TGGAAGACAGGTGGCGAGTGTGAAGCCAATACTAATCTTGTGAACACAAGAGCTTCAATCTTCAAATTTGAGGTTGAAGATTTGTCCTGTACAAAATTACAAGAGAATTAAAATAAAGCAAGTGAATCCAGTAGGTCATATAGTAACAAATAGGATCTAATATAACCTACTTACATTTAGCGCCTTTTCAATTCCAGGAATCAGTGATCCTATGTGTTCTGCTAGACAGTCTGGTAAAACAACCACCAGTTCTTTTAGAACAGAAAAGGCACCCACCTGCAGATGCAAAGCTTAGTTATAATGACCTTATATCAATTCATATAAAACAGATAATTCAACCATTACCTTCGTCTTGATAGATTTCTCACGCAACTGCCTATTAATAGACTTGACAATCTTTGGAACTTCTTGCTTCAATAACCATCTTGCACTGCCGAAGAATAACAGTGCAAATAATCAGAAGGTAGCAGACATAATTGGCAGCTTTTAAACAAACTGCAACATTAACTAGAACTAAATTTTGAAGGGCAAAGAAATGAGGTACATTGTTCTGTATTTTAGTTTGGGGGGAGGGGGATTGTCGGAATATTCAATGCCTTCAGGTTAAAGCTAAGAAATCCTACCTTGATTCATCCATGTCAGTCTGCCCTTTTGTAACATTCCCAGTCTGACGTAGTAGCTCTATAGATGTATTAAACACGTCCATCTACATTTGAATTTAATCAATTGACTTGACCAACAACCTTAGTGATACTGAATTGTCAACCATTGACTGATCAAGGCTTACCTTCACATTCTCTTCCCTCTCTTTGAATCTATCAATTATTTTCGGACATGCCTGCATAAATCAGGGGACAAATGTAGGAAATCTAGGTTAGGTACCACGAGATAACATGCATTTTACAAACATTGAATTTTGCCTTTCGACAAGCTCAAAGACAGCTGAAGCACACGGAATCCACCCAATGCGACAAAAGCAAACTTATCCACTTTAAACATCCTTTCCCCGATTGAAAATTATTCACATGCTCCTAATCATACCTCCATATATAGCTTTGACAGTAGCTCAGGACGAGAAACAATCAGTGCAGCTAAGCATTTCGCAGCCGCTCTGCGAACTTTCCAGCTAACATCCTCATCATCGGTATATTCATTTGCACTTTCACTGCAAAGTAGTTAAATGTTCGATATGAGTGAATTATCACTATGGACCCAAAGCACAGAAGAAATGACATATTATGCTTATTGAACATACTCATCTTCTTCCTCCTCATGAGTATCATCATCAGTATCCTCATCCATGTTATCAGTAAAGTTGGGATCATAGCTTAGGTATTCCAAAGCAAGACGAAGAATGGCATCACAGTAAGAAGAAATGTCCCTGGGGCATCTGAGCAAAAAACTTTCTAATGCCTGAAACCAAAAGTTAAAACCAGAGAATGCAGAAGTGAATAAAACAAAATAGTAAACACATACTGAGTAACTAAGAAGTCCATAGAACATATGTGGTACCTGCAAGCTATATTCACGAAGTTCCTCGTCATTCTCAGATGCAGTAGTGCAGTAATTGATCAGAACAGGAACTGTATCTCCAAGATGGGGTCCAAACCGGTATCCCACAGCACGGCTAAGAAACCAAAGAATAAAGCAGTGAGTAAAACAATATCTTTTGAGCCAGAGCAAATTTACACTAGAACTTAGAGGATATGCATGCACTCTGATGTCCCAACACTTGAGAGCGTGGAGAGCCAACACATTCAAGATATGGGGGTAAAATCGGAATCAAAAGGGCATAAGATTTTATGGACCATGTCATAATCGATACTTAAAAGTTCAAATTAAACTAGATAATATTAAAAATGCATGCTTAAACTAATACTAATTACCTAAAAATTCAACAACATGAGTGATAAGTATCTAACAAGATCTATAACAACAGCAAAAATACATATTCTGATAGTTGTAATTCTCTTTTCTATTAAAACTATTTCATAGTTCTCAAGCCTATAAATTAATAATATTCTGTTTACGGATACCCGTGTAAAAGATAATACAAATGAAACAGGTAGGACATTGATCATTAATTTTATGAATAAAAATCACGTCAGAGGACGACTGGTTACCTTAGGGCACCAATCATTTGAATATTTGTTCTAGTCATTTCAGGCTTCACACCCTTGCTTCTCAATTTCTGAACAACTTCAACAGTTGCCTTGGCCAACAAGTCATCGGACAAGCTTGAGGCAAGAGCAGCTGAAAACAAAAGAATGTTGTAAACCTTACAAATACATTATGCAAAATCCAGAAATATTAACCTGAGAATTGCCAAAATAGTTGATACGAGGAAAAGGAAAATCAGTTGGCCTTGGCCAAGTGGAAGACAGAACAGAGTACAATCCACCGGTTCAAGTTAGCAAAGAGTTATTAAACCAAATGGAAAACATTTGGAGAAACATCCCGCATACAGTTTATACATAGCACAGGATCCAAATCCTAGGCCTGTAAGTTATAAATATGTAGTAGTTCAACATACCAACACATGAAACTGTCTTCTTTCTAACACTGGCCTGAACAGAGTTCAATTGGGACAAAAGAGCAGCCAGGAGAGTCTCATGGCCGGCAGCCATTAGACTTCCAAATTTATGGAGGACTTCACATAAAATATCCAGACCTTCACATTTTATCTCTGTGGTCACACCCTGATGCAGCCAAAACAAAAATATAAATACAAGACTTCCTCGAAGGCAACGTGCGCAAGGCATATGCATTCAATTACTCACCTGAGTAGTAATTCCGTTTATCAATTGTGGAGTCAAAGAGTTGAGAATCAACTGAGCAAGAGATGGAGCAGTAACTTCAGCTATAATAGTCTTCAAAGCTATGCTAGCAATGTCACGATGCTGATCTTTAGGGTTCAGCAACTTAGCACAAAGTTTACTAGTCATCTCAGCCACTCGTGCATCAGTCACCTTCTTCACCAATGGGGCAAGACTGCAAGACCATGCCGTCAAGACAGATGAACAAAGCTTTAGCTACTTTAGAAACATCCAACTCCTACACTACATGCCATCACAGTGGCCAGTACAACTGCAACAAGGTGCATCAAGTAACGAGCACATAAACTAGCAGTTAGAAGGAAACAAGATGTACCATTTTACAGCCAATCCAGAAACATCGCCAGCAACATCATCAAGTTGCTGTAGGATGATACTTGTCAACTTTATCTCCATGTCAGCATCGGTCTTGAACCCATCCTTGTTCAACTCATTCAACAGATCAGATGTAGCCATGTATCTGTAGTCTTTATCTTTTCCAGTCATCTGTCCAATAATAAACGCAACCAAAATGTAATCCCACTGCCAATCAAGAAAGCTCGCACATCCGACACTGAGCAAAGAATCATACCTTCTCCAGAATACCAGTCAATTGCAAATTCGCCATTTTTACTTCCTAAAAGGGTGATCAATACGCTGATGCCAAATCTCCGGTCCCGTATATCACACCTACGTAAGAGATAGTCATAATGAGGAAAACTTGATCCAGCAAAAAGAAGCAGTCGCATTTAAAGCAAAGAGAATCAAGAAACTGCAGTGCACGACATTTCTCTACCGAGCTGCCACAAGTGTGTGCTTGCATTCTGCAGCCACTGTACAAACCTGACCGGCGGATGACTTAAAAGCACAGAAGGAGCTTGTTGCTCGTTACTCGCTAAGCAGCGATCAAAGCTAATAAACCGTTTGACGGAGAAAGATTAGAAGGACGGGGAAGTAAACGAGACAGAAAGAACCCTAATCAGAATCCAGTTGCGACACGAACAGGGAGGAACCGGGAAAAGCGAAAACCCTAAGCAGTCAGTAGAAGAGTGAGGGGAGAAGGAGAATGCAGGAAGAAAGGAAACCCTAGTAAACAGCAGAGTTACGGAATTGGAGAGTGAAATCTGTGTGGAACGACAACAATGGAGGAATAAGACGGAGAGGAAGAAGCAAAAACCTTTATGGAAGTTGGAGTATGATCGGCGGTGGTGGTGCTGGAGGTTGATAGAAATACAAGGAGGGCGGGGGGAAGGGATTAACCGATTAAGAATGGATTTTGGTTGCGTTGTGGGAAAGGATTTCTCTCCTCGGTAGTAACCTTTTTGTATAGCCGTGTCGCTGGTTCGCTATTCCTACTCTCCGTCTGTGTTATATTGTCTTCCAATTCCATACTGTAGAAGTGGCCGAGGGAGTGAGGTCACAACTCGGTGGCCATTCTCGCATTTCACAAACCAAATGAAAAACGACATCGCATGATTTTCAATTGAAAACTTTATTATGGATCGATTTATGAGTGTGTGGAGTCCATTTTCTTTACGAGTACGAGTCAACCGACGGGTCAATCTGCAAGTTGACAATCTTGGCTCTTGGACTGGTGAATTCATAAAGTCGTAATGATATGTCATGTATTTTCTGTGAACCTGAATGGTTGATTAATTGGTTTGACTGTTATCGTCGGAGTTCGTATTTGAAAATAGAAGAATTGATTCGGTTCATTTTATACTAAAAAGTTGTGTGAGAATAAAAAAGATATGTGACACCCACTTCTTCTAAATGTATTTTCGTATACTTTTTACCTAGGTGTTGAAGATTATTACTCGATTCGATTGGATTGTAGACAATGTATAACAATTGACATTACGGGCTCGTTTGCTTGTTGGATTTGAAAATGAAGGTTTTGAGTTTTAAAAACTTTGGGATTTATGATGGATTTGTTGCATCATGGATTTGGAAGAGTACATTGTTTGTTTATTTGATTTTTTATCATGGATTTGCGATGGATTTGTCTCACATTTTTTCCTTCTATTGTCAAATCCCAAATGAAATGTGGGATTTACAAATCCGTGGGGTCCACGGATTTGGATTAAAAAAAGGGTCCAAATCAGTGGACCCCACGAATTTGTGTCACTCAGCAAACAAAGGATTTGTGTCAACTCCATAATACTTGGGATTTGGAACCCAAATCCCACAAGCAAACAACCCCTACATTTCCACTTGCAATTTGCAAAGAAGGATGAATATTATTGCAGATATCATCCTTCCAATCCAAACTATACTCAACTGAACAAAGTGTACAATGTCATCACGACCCATTCTCATTTTCCTCCTAGGAATCTAAGGCATTGTTCCGACTCCGATGAATCATTGGGATGTAAATAGTCATAATCGATAGTCGTCGAAATGTGAGAGAAATCACACCATCTCCCATGGTTGTTTTTGCACGAGTGCATGTTACACTGTGTATCTCAACATATATACACGAAGGAGATACAAAAATCTCAAGCAAATGCTTAGAACAAGAAGAAAAAAAATTACAGCCGCATCGCTCTAGGCTCGAGTCCCGTGTCCCCTTCTAACAACTCTTCGAATGGCTCTTCACGTTCCCCCTACATGAGAAGACGATACATGCTACGTAATCCAGTTCGATTTTTCGACAAGCAAGAAATCAACATTGCAGCAAAAAAAATGAAAACAGACCTTAAACTCTCTCGACTCTCTTCCGTCGTCATTACTTCCCGATGTGTCGCCATCCTCGCGGAGAATTTTTGCTCCGCATCCAGGTGCATCCACTGTTCCGACGGCCTCTTCATCGACCACAACTGCGTTTATAGCACACGCGCCTTCCTTGTTATCAGGAACCTGTTAACCGCGGAGGACGAAGAAAGAAAGCAAGGTCCTTCTTTAGATGATTGATTTTATACTATATTACTCACCAGTCTCACCGTCTTCCTTCTCGTAAAGGAAACAGTTGGAATTTAACAAACCTCGAACATTGCTTCTGTGAGAATGTTTTCCAAGATGCCTCTTAGACCTCGGGCACCTGTATTTTTGGTCATTGCTTTCTTTGCAATCAATCTCTGTGCACTCTCGGTGAACTGCAACTTAACCTGCAGCGACAGGGAAAGAATGTTAGCATTTACCACAAAGAGAAACAAAGAATGTTCTGGTGATCCTGGTACAGGGTCAAGGGTTGCTTACATTGTTCATGCTAAACATCTTTCTGTATTGTTTCCCAAGTGCATTTTTCGGCTCCATGAGGACCTTCATATAAGAATCAATTACATCACGTGTCATGTTAGCTTCTTTAATCGAGATGAGAAGCATTTAGAGCAAAGAACAATTTCAACTGTGCATGCACCAATTTCAACTGAGTTGACAGACCAAAAGAGGCCAGAATGAAAGCATAAGCAGTCAGATATCAGCTAAAGGGACACGACTACACCACCTTGTAATGTTTTTCACTAAAGCAAATAAAGTTCAAAGAAAGCTGATAAGTAACAAGATGCAAGTTGTCTTACTGAGCTACTGTTATACTGGTCATCAATAAGACCATGCACCTTCTCCTAACAAGCAGACAAGACATACCTGAACAAGTTGATCCTCAGTTAAAGCTGACAGGCTCACTAGAATGGGAAACCTTCCAACAAATTCAGGGATCAAGCCATACGCCACAAGATCCCCACTTTCTACCTGCAAGACGGGGTAAAGAGATAGGTGTTGTTGCAACAAGTTCAAGGATGGGAGTAAGACTATTTATCAAGTACATGATTGGTTAAACAAAAAGAACATCAAGCAACTCAGACCAGTTAAGGAAGCATATGGGGACAGCAGATTCAATGCTTACAGATTCCAACAGCGATGATGTCACTAAAGCACTAGTCACCCCACTTCTCCTCATGTTCTCACGAACTGGAGCTCCAAAGCCAATTGAAGCATCTTGACGTCTGGAAATAAATGGATACTTGGATAGTTGTTCCTTTTTTAAGCTTGTGAGCTTTCAAACAGAAACTGTGAATGACTACTTTGACCACCATAAAATATCAAAATGGGTTACCTTTCCGAAATGGTTTTCTCCAAATCCACAAATGCACCACCACATATAAATAGAATGTCTTTTGTATCCATCTGCAGTTATTATGAGATCCTCATAAGTCATTGCAGCTGGTAATCAGGAAAATAATGAGCTGAAGGCCATATTTTCTTTATCTGTTAGCCATCTATGGAACCATTAGTTATCTTCAAATCTGGCTCCCTTCACTAATGAGGTCGGCAAAGGTTGTGTCTTGTGTATGGCGTTTTGGATTTCATAATATGCACATCTTTGAATATTTCTTTTATACTTTCGCCATGGGAGACACTTCTTCCTCCTATATAGCTGCTTCTCAAATCAACTGCACTTTCTTTCAACTTCTCCTGGGGACTATTAAAGCTAATTTCTCCTACTGATAAGAAGAAATGAACCCATACAAGAGCTACCAGTGGCATATGTTCAAAGCTTCCAAATCAAATGTCACACTCACACACCATTTTTAAGATGAACATCCAGCAAAAGATGGGCGATCCACAAAATGGCATGGTGCTAATATTTACAAGATGAAAATTGTCTATACACAGACAAACAATAACATGCACAAATAGCTCACGATCAGTTTACCTGAATTGTATCACTGCGATTATGTTTCCGAGGTCCTTTATCAGGGACAGGAACATTTACTACCTGACAGAAGAAGAGTGAAAACAGTTCAGTAATATAATAACTCTAAGTCCCCCTGCTAAAAAGTGTACAGTTGAGGACGCACCGTTCCTTCGAGCATCTTTAGCAAGGCCTGTTGAACACCTTCTCCAGATACATCTCTACCAACAGTTGAACTCTCAGACTAAAATAAAAATTAATATCATTAGCGACAACAAAAAAGGCTCTTAAATTCTTTGTATTGGAGTCTATCTTTGACAAAGCAAAACCTTCTTAGTTATTTTATCAACTTCATCAATATATACAATCCCTCGCTGAGCTGCTTCCACATTGAATTCCGCTACCTGTTTTGTAGTGGCAAAGAGGACGGAAATGAAATCACAGATTGAGTAAAAGCTAAACCTTAAGAAGAAAAGGAAAAGTAACTGACGGCAAGAATACAGATAACACAATTTGTGACTTGTACAAGACAGCGACCAAGAATAAAGGCATCCAGTATAAGAATAAATTAGGTCAGATAACCATGCTAATAGTTTAAATACATCATGAGAATGAGAAGTGCGAAGAATCAGAAACATCCAATTAACCCCCGACTTTCTTTCTCATAGCTATACGACAAGATGCATAACCAAATAACATACTATCCCAGGAATCAGTACCTAGTCTGTTCAAGTTAGACATACTAGAGGTTTTGATTGGTTAAAAGAACAGGTACGGGCATAAATTGGGGAGTTATGGACAATACCATACCGATAGTAGCTTGTACAGCACTGATTCAACATCCTCTCCAACATAACCTGCCTGACTAGTCAGATTGGGACAAGGGGCAGAGACAAAGTAAGCAGATCATCAGTGGAATTCAATAACCAGACAGACCATATAAACATGCTTTTAACTTTTAAGTCAATATCATGAAGCAGAAAATTACATATCACCAATTATGGCCTCATGAAGAATCTTTAGTCAATTAGCACCAAGGGATAAGTGAATAATATATCTTTTTTCCTAATAACAACATCTTGATAATGGTAAGATAAATTATACAAAATGTGATGCCTTCATAGAAAACTAGGTAGTCAACGTAACTTGCCTGTGTCAACGTAGTAGCATCAGCAATAACAAATGGCACATTCACGATGCGAGCTAGAGTTTTTGCAAGTAACGTCTTCCCTGTCCTTATGATCAAGGATAAACAAGATAAATCAGACTCAACAAATAACTGTACAGAACAACCACAAAGCGAGAAGAAGAGCGAGACATAGTGTCGAAAGGAGGGAAAAGAACATAGCCAATACCTGAGCCAGTTGGGCCCATCAACAACACATTACTCTTATCCAACTCCACAAACTCAGACTCCTCAATTATGTCGTCCATTCCGTTTAACTCTAAACCCGACCTGTCATCCAGATGAAGCGATTAAGACGGTAGAGCAAGACTGAACTGAAGCATTCAGGGTATAATCTTTCGAGACAAGAAAAGTGCAGATGACCAACTGCTTCCACACCATTTGTAAGCAATCTGAACTGACTTTTATTAGTGCGAATGAGTGATCAGACACAAATAATTACAGTGGACCAGTTCTGATACTAACTCTTTCTGCCATGTCGAATGATAAATCCTTTTGTAGTGATTGTACACTGCCACAGAGAGCACCTGTCACATTGAAATAGCTATTGAAATCCAGACCAAAGCATCTTTCAAACCTAATCTAACTGGAAAGCATAAAAGCACAAAAGCGATCTGTTCGAGCATTTTGGTTTCACTCTACAAACAAAACAAGAGAGAAATGCTTACCCTTTTGGCTTTCTCCTGCCCAATCACAAACAAATCAAGCCCTTTACAAATCTCCTTCGGAGTTGGCAACCCCCTTTCCAACTTCATATCACCGCATTCCTCCACATCGCCAATCCTGCCACAATCTTTCTCAACAAACCCCTCCATATCCCTACAGTTCTCGTCATTATCACTACTAGCAGCACCACTACTGCAACTGCTACTACTACCAGTAGCATTAGTATTCTCAAAACCTTTAACCTTCCCCAGCTCGATGAAGCTCCCCTGCAGCGGCTCCAATTTGAGCGGCCGGAAATAGTAAGCGGTTTTGCAGCTGGGGCAGAAATTGACCGCCTGGAAAATCCCTGCTTCCCGGCCTGAAATCGACAGGGGGCGGTTGGAGAAGAGCACCGGCATCTGCGAGGAGCATCGAGGGCAGTTGACGTCAGCCCTGATGTGATCGAACTCGTTGCTCGTCTTGTCGCTGAATCGCCGCGTAAGAACCCCAATCCCCAAAGAGTTCCTGGTTGAGGGAACTGAAAGCGAGGGTTTGCAGGGGATTGAAGTTGCTACGGACGGGGGGGTAATCTCGGCGGGAGCAAGGCGTTTGAGAAGCGCGACGGCAGCCGTGGAGGCGGCCGGTTTGGCTCGTCGGAGAAGTGAAATCATAGTTTGAAAGGCGCCGGAAGTGAGGAGTTGAGTGGCTATCGGTGGCCAGTGAGGTTGAGGGGACAATAATTTCGGGGTGTGGAACTTGAACTTCGTGAGGGTGATGGCAGCACATGGGATATATAATCGATGGGCTTGTAGATGGCGGGTAACCAGAGGCCCAAATGCGATACGAGCCCAATGGGCCGGAGTTTTAGCGCACGTGCAGTACACAAGTGATGTCGGAATGAGACAACGTAGAGAGAGAGAGGCGCAAGTCGCGACCGAAGGAGCAAGCTGGAAGCGCCACGTTGGCGTCGACATCCAATGTTAGGGCATCCTCACCCGCCACCTCAGCAAGTGGAGCTGTGTGGCTGGCTCTGTCTCCCTTTTCCTTGTGCAATTATTTTGGATTTCCATTCATGAAGAACAATAAATTCAAAGGTTGGTTTACCCATGCAAATAACTTGCTTGCATGATAAGAAACTGAAATCCAATTGAAGAATATGTCTTAACCTATAAGATCACCTAAATATGTTGATATTGGAAGATGAATACGACTATTGAAAAAAATTTGATGATGTATTGGATACGATGATAATTTTCGTGATCAGTCATATTTTCAAAACATAAGAATATAGTTATTCTTTTTGAGTATGCATAAAAGATGCAGAAATAATGAACCAGTGATATTTAAAAAAATAGCAAAAGTTTGAGAAGCTTACGACCGTAAGAAGTAAGTTAGACGAGATCAACCGCAACAAACTTAATAGATTGAGCATATGATCAATGAAAACAATGTTTCGATCAGGAATATGACCATGGCTGTGTTTGTAGGAGAACTTTGTTGCCTCCGAATATTGCTGAAATTGATATAAAGCTGATTTTATTTTGATGGTTTGATAGTTTGACTTGATCCAACAAATGGTAAAAACCAAATCACTGAGCATGTCACTCCTAGTTTTCATCATTATTTTGGCATTTGACTAATATCATCGAGATGATCAACAAATACCTACCTAATTATAGCTAAATCTCGAGACAAGTGGCAGTTGGAAGAAGAGAACCAATGCAATCTCGAATTTATTGTCTCGTGATTTGAATAGACTACGTAGAGAGACATAATATTCTTAACCAATACATTTAAAAGAGGGAAGCACATTGTGAGTCCACTCAAAATATTGCATTACTTCCTTGATAACAAATAAGAATATTCGTTCATCGAGTCAAATGATTTCATCAAGTCAATTACGATCAAGCCACGAGTAATTAACAAAAAAAACATATAAGTTGATTGAGCCAAGTAGAAGCAAACATAAATCATATAAAACGGTCAAACAACACATAAATACATCCCTCGAGTTTTTGTCCTAAGATTTCACAGATCCATCCATCGTGAAGAACTCTATTTTTCTTGCTTTCGAATATTTAATAATAATAATTATTATTTTTGGTAGAAAATAGAAATTCTTCTTCTAGGCCTTTGATGTGCTGTGCTGTCTCAGTAGCTCCGTTGATGCCAATTGTACTGTGTTGTTAGCCCACCTTCTGCTTACCTTTTTCCCCTTCTTCTTCCCCACATCAAACACACAGCGCAAACTCTGCTTCTTCCTCCTCCTTCCCTCCACCCGTCGTTACTTCCAATGCCTCTCTTCCCTTCCCCTCCATAAATTCCCCGCCTTTCCCAATCCCCACCCACTTCACTCCTTTCCCTCGCCCAAAAACCCAATTACCCTTCTTCTCTCCGCATCTACAATGGCGCCGCCTCCGATCAAAATCAACAAATCGGCGACGGCTCAGTCCCTCAGCAGCTCCACCACGGCCACAACCCTCGTCCGGGAAACCCTCCGGATTAGCGCCAATCTCGCTTCCGCTCCCCCGCTTCCTTCTCCTCCTACGAATGCTTCCAATTCGGCGGCGCATCAGCAGTTCCCTACCGCCGTCGCCGTGCCCCCTGTTTACGCTGATAGGATGAGGATGGGGATGGTGGAAGAAGAGTTTGTTCAATCCAGCCTCAGGTTGATATGCTGCGAGGAGATTGATGGGCGCCGATGGAAGTACGTCGCCGAGAATGATGGTACCGGCCGGTTTAAGAAGAATTCGGTCCGTGCTGTCCGGTTGCACGCCCCACAGGCACCCGTCGAGGTAATTGCATTGTTGTTCCTCTCTCAAGCTGCTTACTTTTCCACCTTCGATTTGCCCTTTTCTGGTTCTGAATCTTGTCCTGATGCTTGTCTACTGAATTTTCGTCCCGGAAAGTTTCTAGCTTTTTCTCAAATTAAGTATTTGGGTTTTCAAGCTTTTGAATTTGGGGATTGTTACTTATCGTTGTTGAACTCTTCTGAATCAAGTTCTGGCGGGTTGTGTTTTTGGTTGCAGGAATTGGTGTCATTCATAAGATCCTACGTAGTGCCAGAAGGTTTCCCTGATAGTGTCACTCCATCCTATGTTCCTTATATGACTTTCAGAGCTTTGAAGGTATCTTCTTATGATTCCAAGCGCAGGGGAACAACTTTTGTAGTTAGATGTCTGCTTACACTTTCGGTATCAAGTGTTAATTGCTTGGATGCATTTTAACTAGGATTTATTTTGGTATGTTCTTCACAGCATTTCTTTGGCGGGGCAATGGGCGTTTTCACGACGAAGACCCTTTTAAATGCTGTTGGAATTGCTCACAAGCAAGCCATTCCAGGAGCTGTTGCTATTAATTGGATTCTCAAGGTATAGTGACAACATGAAAGAGGTGCTTGCAATTGTCATATAGAACTTTATCCTTCAACTGATCTGCGAAGAGTTGACTTCACTGCATCATGCTCTTTTATCTGCCCACAGGATGGAGCTGGTCGTGTTGGAAAAATGCTTTTTGCTCGGCAGGGAAAGAAATTTGACTATGATCTGAAACAGGTACACACACGGGCATTACGCATTGATTGATCATTGATTATGCTCCCCAGATGTTTACTGAAATTGCTATTTGTTGCAGCTGAGATTTACTGGTGACCTCCTCATGGAGTTGGGTGCGGGGGTAGAGTTGGCAACTGCTGCATTTCCGCACCTTTTCCTTCCTATGGCTTGTGCTGCTAATGTGGCCAAGGTATCGTAATCGTCTTGAACCTTCTAGCTTGCCACGAGGCTTAAGTTTCTCGACATCTGAAGTCTGGCGATTGCTTGCAGAATGTTGCCGCTGTGACATCTACCTCTACACGTACACCGATTTACAAGGCCTTTGCTAAAGGTGAAAACATTGGGGATGTCACTGCGAAGGGAGAATGTGTCAGCAACATCGCTGATTTGGTATGCTTTACTGGTCTTTATAGTTTATTGACTTGTATGCATAGGCATGAGTTATCAGTGGGCACTCAAATGAAGTAGTCTTGGGCGTACTTTGGATACTGCTGTTGATTATGGCTATTGGCTTTCTAGTTTGAGAGGGTGATTAAGTTGATTCCAGTACGAGAGTGCCAATTATAATATGTTTGAAAGTTATTTGTAAACTCTGACATGTACTACTGATGAAAGTAACTGAACCTCAGGAGTAGTTAAAATAATTGGTAAAGTGCAAAATGATTAGGTCTTTAGGTGCAGTGACATGCTTTTGTCTTATAGGCTTCTCATAATGCTTGTCGTTATGTCATCTTTCAACCTGCAAAAATGCGATCTATATTGTTAGTCAGCCGGTCTTTGTCACCTCTATGTATATTCGTTCATGTGTATAGTCGTTTGTACTAAATGTTTGTTAACCTGTCTCGTGAAGTTGGGAACTGGCCTTAGCATAATGCTTACAAGAAGAAATCCTTCACTGGTGATCACATTTTCACTCCTTTCATGTGGATACCTCCTCAGCTCTTATCAAGAGGTGAGAAGCCAACTGAGGCCAGGTGTCATGCTTGTTTATAGTGTTACCTTCTTTCTAGTGCATGGAAGGTTCATCTTACTTTGGGTGACTTTTTATTTTGCAATTCTCTGCCAGGTACGATCTGTGGTTCTGCATACTTTAAACCGAGCCAGATTCAGTGTGGCAGTAGATTCCTTCCTCAAGACAGGTTAGACCAGCTGGGCCATGGTTCTGCAACCATATTCTCCCCCTGATCCTCTAGCGTGAAATTTATGTTTACCATTACTGTAGGCACTATATTTATGTCTGTAAATAAATGTTTTGATATGCTGTATCACCTCTGCAGGACGAGTTCCTTCATTGCGGGAGGGAAATGCTAGGGAAAAGATATTCAGCCCTCCTGGTGTGAAGGAGGGACCTATTGTCCTTGGTATGCTTGCTCTCTCTTATTCTTCTGCAGGATTTCCTTTTTGTTACAACCATAATTTATCATGACGTCATGTATCCTATTCGGCAGGTCCGAGATTTAAAGATGCTTTTCAGGATCCAAGTTCATATCTCGCTATAGAGCCTTTCTTTGAAGTATGCATTCTTTCGGCACAGAATGTACACTTTGTTAGTTGGTTCCGATTAATGTATAGTTTGAGCAACCAATGAATATACTCAATCATTCTGGCAGGACGAGAGATATTTGGTAACATATAACCCATCAAAGGACAAAGTCTATGCATTGCTGAAGGATCAAGCTAAGGCGGATGATATCCTGAAAGCTGCATTCCATGTAGGAGCTCTCTCTTTTCTATTCTATGCTATAGTTACTTAAGAAGAAGTACGATTTTTCATTTGTTATTTGAGCTATGAGATAATGTGATCACCTGTTGTATTGTAGGCTCATGTCCTGCTGCACTCCGTACACTCTGCTCAAGATAGCCGTAGATCTTCCTCTCAAAAGGTTCAGGATCAGGATAAAAACTTGAGCTACATTCTGTCGAATGCTGACCTCGGTGATCGTATTGCTGAGTCATGCAAGATGGTCTCAACCCTTTACGGTCCTTTCAAAAGTAAAGCCGCAGAACAGGTAAAATCCAATCCAAGTCCCGCGTATCATGGTTTCCTCTTCGAGCCAAAGAGCTTGAACTCTCAACCAAAGCATGGATTATTCGAGCTGGCTCTTTTTGAAATGATTGTCATCTGGTGGTGGGTGTATCTTTGGTTGCAGGGTTGGAGGATGTCAGACTTGCTTCTCAATCCCGGGCGAGCCCGCCTTGTCACCACCGGTTAACAGGCCTAACCGGAAGATCCCCTTTGAGCTATTTTTTACAGACTGCCTGCTACTGGCTGTACAGGCGGCATGATAACTCCAAGAAAAGTAAATAACAGACATAAAGAACACAAAGAAGCTGACCGTGTGATGGCAAAGGGCGAACGAGCGAGGCAGTGGCAGCAACCAGACCAACCATCGGAGCCTCTTAACTCGTTGTATTTATAAGCTTGGCAACTTCGTTGACTCCATGCCGCCAAGAAAAAAAGGCTCTGGCTTTTGGTGGATTTTTGGGTTTATGGGAGTCATTCTGAAGATGGATGGGGTTTGTTTGGTGAAGGAATGGGAGAAACATAAGTGCAGACAGAGTAGCACACTGGATCTGTGAGTAAGTAGTAAATAGCCGTTTGTTGGAGTTTTTTTGGTATAGTAGTACATAGAGAAGATGACTAACCCAGGAGGAGACGCAGGCCAGCATAGTTTGCTCAACTGAACTCTTCCATTTCCTCCCTTTTCTGCTATTGTTTTCCAGCGGGTTGTGTGTTGGTGTCCAATTTCTTCTGGTATTGTCATTTTGGTGCGCTTTTCAATGTGTCTCCTTATCCTTTCTTGAATGGCTGTGGCCATGGGTTGGTCCAATTACATATCCATCGTTTTACCCTAGAGATTAGGAGCCTGCCCTGCAGCGAGTAAGATGTTCTATTAGACATTAGAGGGTAACTAGGCTAGGGTGGAAGAAGGGCTCAGGTGAGTTCTATTTACATTACAGTACAGTCAGTTCAACAGAAAATTTAATGAGTCAAGCTGCTGCTCATGCTGCAGTGCTTACTGGTGGTGGGTTTGATTCAGTGCAGCAGTGGGAATCGGTTGGTTGGTTCAGAATATCATGCATGCTTCTCTGCTTTCCTTGCTTGCTTTTGGGCTTCGACTTGTCCACTCTTACCTTTCACCTCAAAAATTTGCCTCCCATCAATAAATGTCTGTGCAGTGTTTTGGTTAGAAGTGCTAGATAGTCAGAAGATTAGTCTGAGAGTTGCCAGTAACTTGGAAGTTTTGAGTTCGACGATCCAAAACGGATAATATCTTGTTCGGAAAAAGTTTAATATGTGTGTCAGTGTGTAATGTGAATCATACATACACATAAATGTACTCGATTTCCTTTCGGGCACATTGTATGTCACCTTTCGTCCAAACAATGATGGTCGGCATCTTCCCTTCGTATTGTTGTTTCTCCCCGTTTGACGACATGGCAAATGAGATATTAGCAAGTCATACAAGGACATTTCTGGTTGTTTCATTTTGGTAGTACAAATGTACAATCCATATGGCGTGTTGGTCCATTTCAGAGGTAGTCTAGTCTATAGTTTCTCCCACACACAAAAATATCCGACGAGAGCTAGCTACTCTAGTAGTCTCAAGGCCGTCAATCCGTTTTGATCATGACTCGGTGAGAAAAAACAGGTGTCATGCACATACCCTCGGGTCGACCCGCAACAGATGTTCTCGAGTTAGACATCATACGTCGTCATTTCTTTTGTTGATTTGTGAAATGTGCATCTTTTTTTTTTTTTTTTTCACGTTCGTCTAATCCTTCTTTTTTTTTGGAAATTTTATGTTGAACGTTTGAATATTGATGTTATATGAGTATGTGCATTTGGATTTACGCTATATGTTGATCCAAGTACGAACTATTATTTTGATACGTAATATTATATGTTCCTACGCATATATTAAATGCGATTTGATACAACTTAGGAATGTAATAAGAACAATATAATGAATTTTTTCATATATACGAACTAAATCAGGCTAAAGTGATGAGCGGACCATTATCACTCAACTCATTATCACTCAACTCACTTGTTTGACCGGACCAACTGAGTTAAATAGTGTTTGACAACCTTAAGTAGTCTAATCCTTTCGTCGGACTTCCTTACTTGTAGTCTAATACGGTAAAACTGTAGAAGGAAGAGAATTAATTAGAGAAAAGAGAAAACGGAAGTAAACAACAAAAGAACAAAAAGGTAATATTAATTCTTTCATTGGACATATCTATAAATAATTTTTTATATTTTTTACATATTTATCCCTTCTCCTCGAAGCCCGCAAGCTGATGTGTACGTTACGTTAATACACACTTGTATTTATACCACTCATGATCAGTACTTGAAGCTTCACTGTAATAACTCATCAGTAACAGTAACAATAAGTAGTGATTATTATTTATTACTCAAAATCCACATGCATAAAGGTGACCATAACTATAATCACCATCATTAGAATAATAATTACCTACTCATTCAGGTTTGTAATGTTAACTCAGTGATAATACCAGCTAATAATAATAATCAAGTGGTCGTGGCAGAAGGATGAGCAACAGACGTGGTAAAAGTAGCAGCAGGAGCAGCCGTAACGGCGCCGTCAACGGCAAAAGCAGCGGCGCCGCCGTGCTGGTTGGAGGAATTAGCATGGTTGTGGTGGTGCTTGTTGTTGTGCATCCACACCTTGAGAACCCGCCGCTTGACGCCGATCTCGTTGCAGAACCGCTGCACCACGCCGTCGTCCTCCTGGTTCTGGATCTTCCACCCGACGCCCTCCGCGAACTCCAGCATCTTCTCCTTCTGCTCCACGCTGAACCTCGTCCTGTACCTCTTCTTCCCCGTCCCCACCCCGCCGCCGCCGCCGTTTCCGTTGTTGTTGTAGTAATGCTGGCGATGGCTGGTGGCTGCTGCGGCAGAACCAGCAGCCATGGTAACCGCCACCATCTTCAGTGATAGACGGAGAAGTTAGTTTATAAACATAGCAAAATTTGCTTTTTAAGGAATGTGAGAAAGGTGCACCATAGAACTTGCATTAAAAAAAGGAAAATTCTTAGCTCCAATTTTGGTTGAAGCGTAGAAGCTCCAATCATTCAAGGTGTTAGTTTGTTATCGGTGGATTTACCTTCCTTTTTACTTAATATTTAATTATGCTAAGTAAATCAAGAATTAAAATATTAAAAAAATGATGAAATCACTTATAGTAGAAAAATGATGAACTCACCTGTGTTGTTGCGTGACATAGCCCAACACCACTAGCACCACCGTCGTCGTCATCGACTTCTTGCAGTCGATCGTGGTCGTCGGAATCGGACAACGATCCTCCTCCTGGCATGTTGAACGACGTGATCATGTGGCGGCGGTGGTGGAAGGGGAGGAGGAGGAGTGGGGAGGAGGAGGAGTGGAGTTGTTGTTGTTGTTTGCGGTGGAAGTTGCGGTGGCAGGTGCAGGCGGAGCAAGTGAGGGCTTCGATGGTGCCTTGTTCGCCGCTAGGCATGAACTCGCCGCAGCCGTCGGTGGCCGTCCCGCCGATGGAGGCTGCGTGGTTCTTGAGGCACTCTCTGTACCTCACGTTGCTGCTGCTTCTCGTCTTCTGGTCGTCGACGAGTGTGGTTAGTGCGGCGGCTGGTGGCGGCGGCGGCGGGAATGTGGCGGCGGGTGGATTAAGACTAAGAGGGTCATAATTGTGACGGTGGTGGTGGGTGTGGATCAAGTGGGCGTGAGGTCCACCGTAAGAGGTGTTTATGGGGACAGGGATGTCCTCGTGATCTTCATTGCTCGGTGCTTCTTCCATCCTCTTTGATCTGTCTCTGAATCTGGGTGAAATGACGATACAGTCCTTCTCTGCCTCTGGTATTGTCTTCTCTTTGGCTGTGGAGAAGATGATCAGCTCAAAAGCTGCAGAAGGAGAAAGAGAAGAGCTGATGAAGGGTTGAGGAGGGAGAGTGTTTGGGTTACTTAAAACAAGCCAGCAGCTTATAGCAGTAGTGTGGAATGGCAAACAAGAGAGAGAGAGGGAGAGAGGTAAGGCCAAAAAGTTAATTAAGGGTTCGTTTGGAAGTTGCGATTGTTAAATAGATGTATTATCGAGAATGCATGTATAATATTATACATGTATTGTCGAATTTGATGCATTGTAGAATACAACGTTTGGTATGTGTGATTGTGTATGTCGCATAAGCTAAAAGCTGAGACAAAACAATCTCAACTCAACTATCTCAACAATCACAACTAAAAGTTGAGATATAACAATCACTCAAAATGAGTGATAGTTTCTGTCACATCACAAACAATCCACGTATTGTTTCTGCTAAAAAAATAAAAAAACGATGCATTGTAAACAATACATGCATAATGACAATCTCAACAAAACTACCGCAACTTCCAAACGACCCCTAAGGTATAGTTACATTTTTATCCTGAATGAAAGAGAAAAGGAGTGGCTACTGGTTAGCTAGTGTTAGTGTATTGTACATGTTTCACGATTGAACATCTCTCAACCACTCGAGTTATTGTGATCAACTGGTTAATGACATGGTATCAGAGCCTGGTTTGGCCAAGTGGTCGTGTGTTCGAATCTCCACGACCTTATGATTAAAGCATAAGGTATGGTAGGCTTGTGCAAACTTCAAGCTCATGGGTTGGCTTTCGTTTGAGGGGGCGTGTTAGAGAGTGTTATAAGATCCAGCATAACCTTCTCCTAAAAACTCGAGTTATTGTGAAAAACTGGTTCATGACAGCTAGCTCTCAAGGAAATCAAGAATTGGGTTGGGTTGGGTCTGAGTCATTTGAACTGGTTGGGTTTTGGGTTGGAATTTGGCATTGCTTTGCTTGCACTATCAGGCAGCAAGGGGTATTTATTTAGGCCATCTTCCACCACTAGCTACTCAACTCTCTGCTACTGTGTGAATGTGTCAGAGAGGCCACAGTGGGAAGATAGCTAAGCCTGCTCTGGGCTAAGTTACCTTTTCTCTCTCTCTCTCTCTCTCTATCTTAAGTTTCCAGTGTACAATTCAACAAAACTACTCCCCTCACTGATCAGAAATCAGAATCATGATGAACAGCTATACCTAGCTTGCTTTCTCCAAATCAAAACACCATGAGAACGGAAAATTTGTATATCAATCATGCTGGCTAGCTAGTCAAATGATCAATCAAAGAGTTCTTTGTTTGATACTCATGAGGTGTGCTGAGGTTGCTGGATTTCTTAGGAAAGTGTTGATAATTACTTTTATGAGCACATGTTCGAGTTTTATTATGGTAGTTTTAAGGTTCTATATAGGAGTTTATATATCTTAACTGGATTGAATCAAGTTCGGGATTAAAGTGATCTTCTTTAATGACTACTAATCAAATGATATTATGAATAATGATATAGTCATTCAACACTGATCGTACTACAACTCTGTTGAATTATTACGAAGTGCATATTTCATTTTTTATAGAAGGAAAAAAATCACTACAACAGAGCGCCAATCACTACTAACGAAACCCCTACTGTAATATAAGCCAATGTGCATATTTAGTATTACTAACCAAGCTACTACATTCTCAGAACGTCGCTACTGATTAACAAGACGTTGTTACTAACTGAAATCGTCCTAGCCCAATCACCAACAATTAATTTCGTGTCGACATCTCTGATACAAATAACGAGTAATTTATTTTGCTAGCTGATGTGATAATTAATCATATCGAAACAATAATTTGCTATATGAATTACAAACTATCTTTTCTTTTATCTGGCCAAATTACAAACTATCTTAAATTGAAAATCAAAGTTTCTCACGATAATACAAACTATCTTTTCTTGGATCTGGCCAATTTATTATGTGTACTTCTTCAAAATTTCATGAATTCCTTGAAATTAAATTCTCATTCTCTTTGGTTTCGCTTTCTGTGAATCTTTTTTGTGCATTTAAAATCTGAATTTAAGAGCTTCACGTAGCTCATGCTAGAATATTTGTGCCTGTGATGATGCCTTACTTGAACAGTATGAAACCATCATGATAATTCCTATTTACAAATGTCTCCCTGTACTAAATTTTTTTTAGTAAGAAGGTCATATGACAGAATTGAACTGATTTTGTAACTAATATGATTAAGCAGTCATGCATAATAAGCAGGGGCGGAGCTACCCTATGGTTCGGGAGGGCCCCGGCCCCCCCGAGAATTTCGACAATTACGTGTAAGTTGTTCGTGATTCTTGAAAATTACGTATAAACAGAGTATAAACCATAATGAAGTAGTCGCAAATCACTTCACGTTTACTAGTGCAGCCCAATGGAATGGTAATCTTAAATGGTTGAGGGATTGCTGGTTCGATGCTCATGACAGACATATTTTTACCTTTAAAAAGAGTACTTGAGGGAATGCTGGTAGCCGTAGGCATTCATTTTTAGCTCTAAAAAATGGTGTAAATTTTGCATTATATATTTTAAGGACTCTTTTGAATATACAATGACTTGAGGGAATGCTGGTAGCCGTAGGTATTCATTTTTAGCTCTAGAAAATGGTGTAAATTTTGCATTACATGTTCTAAGGACTCTTTTGAATATACAATGATTAAATTTTTTCTTGTAATAGATTGTACACATTGATTTTTCAGCTATAAAAATCATGAAACATGTTAGGCATTGGAATGTATTATTATTTGTTGGTAATTAAATCATTTATAGTCAAAATGACATGATAATTTATTCGTCTTAAATCGTGTTTGAAGTAAATCTAATTGTCTTAAAAAGTGTCTTGGGCGATTTTGATGATTAAAAGTACTCTTTTTAAAGTTGGTATTATATTTTTGTGTTTTTTTTTTTTTTGCCTCTTACGGATAAACATTTTCGGCCCCCCGAAGCTCGAATCCTGGCTCCGCCCCTGATAATAAGTATATGTCTTGCTCTCAGTTGGAGGTTATCGACTATTTTCTTATATCGACAGTTCTGTTTGTGGAATTCCAAAATTGCACTTTTTTTTTACCGTGAGACGACTTCCTTTTGTTATTTTGACTCATGAAATTGTGTAGATGTGTCATGTGTACGTATTTGTTATTTTCACTCAACGTGCCAATGATGTTCTTCCCTCTTGGGAAAAGTATATTGCTTGCAAATTGAAGGCTTAGCTTTTCGCTGGTAGTTGCATTTCATTCTTTCACATGAAATGTTGGAGAAAGAGATGAAGTTATAATGAAGAAGGCCGCCCTTGGCTTAAATTCAGGTTATTTTGGGTGAAGAACAAACCCTTTGCCCTAGCCCCTATGTCTCCTTTCACATGAATTTTGATGAACTTTCACCCCATGGACCAAAAAGATCATTTATATAATTATATGCGAATATGAGTACTATAGTACAAGGATATATAGGTACTAGTTTTTTTTAGGGCACATGACCTCTAGTACTTATGCATGCAACTCGTGAATGTTACGTTGTCATTCTCTTGATTAGGGTGTAACTATAAATCACGCCGCATCAAGTTTTGATAGGGAGACAGATGTACGAGATATCCGAATAATGCTTATATCTATTGGGTAAAAAGATTGAGTAAAGCATAGAGTGTTTTCACTAGCTAGTCAAGATGAATTACCAAAATAATTTATTAAATAGAGCAAATGCATGCATATCAATGGATGTACCTATAAATCAATGAAACCTTTTATAGTCATTAATGGGTTTAGTTTATATATGGCCATGTCATCCGTCGAATTTGAGTATATGAATCGTTCGAAGAATTCAAAAACTTCATGAAAGAGGTAAAGAGAATCATGATATATGGTTTATTGAGGTCGCCGATGGAAACTTTTCTTGCCTTTCAAGCAAATATGGTATGTAGGAAAATTTACAAATACATCAATATATATTTAGTTATGGTCATTCATATATGATATTTGGCACCAAATAGCAGGGTTTAACTGAATAAAAAAAACGCAATATTTAGAACCAAATGTCACATTTCTTGTTGACCTTCTAATCAGAGATTTGAAAATCGCTTCTGGAGTTGCTGTAGTTTTCTTATGAACAACCAAACATAGAGTTAGAGACAATATATTCCACTTATTTCAAAGCTAAATATGTGCAGCTTTAGTTAAAGATGAGAACCATGCCCCATTTTGCCAAACCATTTTATCACTTTGTTTACACCCAAATCTATATTTATTGTTCATCATCATCATCATCATCATGCCACACAACAACATGCAAATGTGTAATTATTATATGCCATTTTAAGGTTAGCATCATCCCAAGAGAGATTGGTCCTATATTAGTATATAATTACCCTTTTAGGAGCTTCCATTTCTTTAGTGGCATTTGCACTAACGTGAGTCTTATGCCCAAAATACTGACTTCAAACAAAGAAAATGGTCCATTTTTATTAATGGCTCATAATTACTCATCATAATAAGACTGGTCATAGATTGCTTAGCTTTTTATTCGTTTAAGATATTTTTGAACAGATTTTATTTTGTTTTACTAAATCTTGTGGTCATAGGTACACTGCACTAGTGAATGGTGATATTGTTTGGTGTCATAATTAATGAGGGAGCTAGTGAGTTGTGACCACCATAAAAATTTGAAAAACTCAAACTAAAAAGGTAAAAACAAAAGCACTAAAAGAAACATAGCTTAGTTTGGCCCTGCTGTAGCTTTTGCAGAAGCAGCTTCTGGCTGGAGCTTTTAGATAAGTACTTTTCAAAAAAAGCAGTTTAGTGTTTGGCTGTAAAACTATTAGAAGTGCTTTTTAATATGAGCGGTTGTGTAAAATGACTATAAAGGACTTATAATATAAAATATAAATAAAAATTCGAAACAATAAAAAGTAGTCAAAATGGATCTTGTTAGATTTCTTTTATATTAAATAATATGATTTTATAATTTATTTTATTTTTAAAATGATATAAATGAAGGAAAATTATATTTTATGAAATAAAATTAAAATATGGTAAGGATAATCTTGTATTTTCAAAACAGCTTTTCGCAGAAGCTCCAAATCGGAGCTTCTGCTTTTATGTTATACAAAAGCGCTTTTCGGCTTTTCAAAAGCCGAGCTTTTAGAGGTGTTTGGCCCTGCTTAAGCTTTTGAAGCCGAAAAGCACTTCTAAAAGCCGGGCCAAACATAGGCATCACCTTTTGCAAAAAAAAAAAAAAAAAAAAACTCATCAGCTGAATTAATTCTATTTTTTCTTCAAATATTTCAAACTTCCACAATGTCCTTCTTTAGCGTGTTTATGATAATGTATCAAAATTTCAACTTCTCTAATTGCAATAGGAAAAAAAAAAAAAATCCAACACGAACATCTTCTCGACTAATGCATTCATCTCTCATCTCTGTATGTAACGCTTTCTTTATAACAGTCCAAATTAAACTAAAATGAATTTTTTTTTTTGCATCAATTACAGTGAAATGGCTATATGCCTCATAAAATCATACTTATTTCAGTATAAGTTTATAAAAAAACATAGACAGGGGAAAATAGACAACGTGCTTTTTCCTTTTGGTTTTATGGTTCATATATCACCTAGTGAAATAGAATCTTCCTTCATCAAATTCTAATTAGGTTTTATGGTTCATATATCGCCAAAAGCAACAACTCCGATATACAAACCCAAAACAATGAAGCTAAAAAAAACACTATAAGCAAAGGGGAAAAAAGAAACCGTAGGAAATAGACATGTCTGTGAAGATGCGGACTACCTGCACCTGGACAGAAAGATCCTAAGAAGCACATTCCCTCTTTGGCTCCCACCTTATTTGTAGTCTATATCTCTGTCTGAATTTAGACTCAAAAGAAAGAAGGGGCATGAGATTCAAAGCAAACCCTAACACACAAAAAAAAAAAAAAACAGAAAAAGAGGGAGAAAACGAAATGGGTCATCGCTACTTTGATCTTTGTCATACGATTTCTTCTTTTGTTAATTTGCCCTAGAGTTTGAGCAAGGTACTATTTAGTGTTTAGTATTCCACACTATTTTTTTTTATCAAAGAACTATTTAGTATTTACACGAATTATGAGTAGGATGACATTTACGTTGATTGTCGCTCTATGATTGGTTACTCATTATATTCAAGCTAGCTGATCGCATCTCGCATTCCTATTGGTGACCAATACTCTTTTGTACAGATTCTTTATGGTACAACTTCAAGTTGTACCATCACATAATGGTACCAATTTCTTTATGATACAACCTGAACTTATACATTTAACGTTATGGTACAATTTCAAATTGTACATTTAAGCATCAATGTTTTACAGCATAGTAGAAGTGCTCGTTATGCTATATCTCTGGACACTTAAGAAAGTTTTAGAATTCGTCCCACAAGTTATCGATAGCAAACCCTGATATGGTGATGACAATTGCTGCCCGTACCGCTTAATTTACGAGTTATCACTATGATTCATTACGATTAACCACCCATACTTTTAACATTCATCCCATCCATTGCCGCCATCTCATTAACAACTAGTGTGAAAGTGAAATACGCACGCCGAAGACCATTGGCAATGGCATGCTTTAGAAAAATGATGATTATGATGAGGTATCATTCGTGATAAAAGCACAGCAGAAGGATATGGCATCAATTAACCATTTTTCGTTTATGACAATGAGCGACATTTCGGTATGTACACGAAAACTACGTAGGCGCATTGTATCGATGGCGTTACGATTGATAGATGGATTATTGCTAGCCTCGTTAAAAGAATGGTCGTCCCTAGGCCTAAATCATCATACATAATTATAAAAGACCAAACACAATAACTCAAATCGAATCGATTTATGTTCCAGTTTCGGTTTTTGTCACACTTTCTTTGCATTCAGTTCGGTTCCAACCTATTTCAATCCGCAATGAAGAAGAGGGGGCAGCGGCTAAAAATGCAGGGTTTTTTTGTCTGTTTCTTGTAGAAGTGGTGTAGTCATCGTCCTTCGCGCCCAACCATTTAAGTCGATGCTCTGCTGATGGTGAAAAAAAAAAAATGTTAAAACAGAGTACCACGGAGATGGAGGAAAGAAAGATGAGCGGTCGATGACTTCTTGTGCAGCAGGCTGAGATGGATAGATGGAGAGGAGGCGTGTAAGAAAGCAACCACCTTTCACTCTCATTCTTTTCTTCAAGCAAGGCTCTGCCATTGCTCCCCAACGTTGCAGGGGACAGGAACCCCTTTTTCTGTGCTAAATTTGTATAATGGTAGATGGATGGAATGGGTGACCTCTGTTTCTTTCTTTGATGGAAGAAAGTAATTACTTCTTTCCTTGTTCGTTTTTAACCACTCCTTTTTCTTTCTTTTTTACCCTCCTTTCACTTTCTCTGTTTCTCACATGGATGCAGCAGCAGTAGGGAGAGAGAGAGAGAGAGAGAGGGCAATTCCATTGCCATCATTTTCCTTCTTGTCTTTCTTTCTGCTGCCCTGTTTCTGTTTGAGCCATTGAAGTTTCCATGCTTCACTGTCTGCAACAAACCAGACCCAATCTCGCCCGCACACCAACCAGATTCCAGTACAGATACAATACAGGATGCAGGTTTTAGTTTTGTTGTGTTTGGCATTGAAGATGAAAAGTGGTGTAGTTTTGTAATCCAAAAAGGCTGGCCACCAGCCCACCAACCTGCAAAACTGTAGAGCTACGACTGAAAACTGGTTTCATTTTTCCTTCTTTCTTTCTTCCCGAAAGCAACTACAAATGGTTTCCTTTTCAGCCTTTGGTTTGCAATTGGCTATGTGAGGGTTTCCATACACAGTTAGTTATGAATATGGCTACTGTGCATATGCAAGAACGCTAAACGGATCAGTCAAGCCCCACTGTTCGAGGCTTGAGCAGAATTTTCTAGGCTCCTTCTGTTCACAACATTACTTGCATATCAAACAAAATCACAGGCTTAAGACTAGCAAACCATTTCATTCACCCTATGTATGGTATGACTCACCTATCTCTTCACTGCACTGGAGTAATCAGTTAGTGGGGGGTTGTATTGCCTACACTTTCGACATCACGCTTTGATCTGCCGCGATGCACACATATTAGGTTGTGGTCTACAACTTCCTCAACCCTTGATGAACATTTTCCTGAACTCGTCGTTTGACTTGGGCTGTTCATCTCCATCTTCTGAAGGGGGCTTGGGTTGTCGATCGGTCCAACCAAGTGCTTTAACCATGTTTCTCGGGGCGGCAAAAGTGTTCTTACCCTTGAGCACTACATCCTCAACCTGCCTGCGACCCCCTTCCTGGTGTGCAGCCTGGGACGTTCTCGAGTCATCTGAGGTTCCGACCTTTGTAGGCTCGGATTCCTCATCCTTCTTTCCTCCATCAGTACCGGGAGCTGAAGATAAATAGAGAATGGAGGCATTAGGGAAGAAATACAATTACAATCTCTCTATCCATTGGCAATTACAACATAATCACGTAATCATGGAGGCAATTACTTGAAGATTTAAAACCCAGAGAAGGCAACAGACTTTAAAAAAGAAGAAGAAAAATTACTACCTTTTGGAGCACCCCGATCGCCTTTCTTGCCCTTTTTCGGATTAGACCGTGCAATGCTCAATCTCTTGCCAAGTAACGTTTTCTTGTTCTTTGCTACGGCTTTAGCAAGATGCTCGTCATCTAAAAAGTCCACATATGCCAGCCCCTTCACCAATTCAATATAGAAAAGTCAATTAAATGTGTAGAACGATCATGAGAAAACTATGTGATCATAGGGAACATAAAAGGATCTTGCAAGAGGAGGAACGAATTAATTTCTAACAGATCCATAAATGATGAAAGGAATGCAGCTCAAATGAGCATATTTAGAGGGAGAAAGAGGGGTGGGAGACAAACCCTCGATTTTCCAGTAAACTTGTCATGCAATATTCGAATGGAAGAGATTCCCCCAATGTCCGCAAAGAATTTACGCAGATCTTCTGAGTTGGCCTGCAATAATTTGGAAATCATAAGTACCTACAAGTCAAGGAAATGCAAACCAAATTCCGATTCACTAGAGTCGCTGCAGTAGTGAAGAGAAAACAAAGCACTTTTCACTTGCCTTGAGATTTAGATTGGATACAAATATAGTGCACTCATCCTTATATACTTTAGGCTTTCCACTGCTAGAATCCGTCACCATTCTCCCAGGTTCATGGTCAGTCTTTCCAGTGACATCCTTGGGCTCTTTTGTTTTATCTCCATGAGCTTGATCAGGATCTTGATGTTGAACATTGCCTTGCTCTTTCTTCTGGGCTTGAGTGGCCATCTTTTTACGCTTTGCTGGAGATTGTTCATCAATGATGTTTGAGCCTCGTTTCCTCTTCTCACGAGCATTCTTAGGAACAGGATTCTCTTTCTGCCCAACTATAGCAGCAGGGGTTTTTAACTCTTGCTGCATCTTGTATAGCTGCAGCTCTTCTAGTCGAGGTGTCACCTGACAGGAACGCTCTTACTAGTCAACAACTCATATCATAAACAGACAGAAAATCGATATACAAAAATGTCAACTGCAACAGGTACCATACCTTTTGCACAGCAAGATCAAAATCTTCAAGCGTTCCAAATTCTCTCTCAAACCGCAGCCAAGAGTGGCATATGTCCTGGATAATTCTGTTAATTAGGAAAGGAAGGTATCATCTAATCCACAGTGCATTGAAGACGCTATAACCTCTGAAAATTCCAGAATTCTGAATAACAATAATCTGTGATATGTTTCCCAAGGGACACAAATGAGCTGAGCAAACTGGCAACACTGATCATACTTCTTTCTGCCTTACCAAAAACCATACTCACACACCCTATCCAACATCCTAGATTGCAAGGTTGAATGCCCCATTAAATCCTTCGATCTCACAAGTCACAAGGGTGACATTTACTATGAAGTGTCAGGTTTGCACAAAGGATCACACTAGAAAAGTTTCTTATGACACAAAACTAGACTACACTAAAAAGATTTTGAACCAACGTCCACTATCAAGTATAATTTTTTACATTGGCCAGCTTAAGTTTCTTTTTCTTCCACCGAGGCCCAACTTCAATGGTAAATAGGAACATGGGTGTGTATTGACAGACTACTCACACAAAAACTAGACCACACATTAATCTATGAAGTACAAACATAAAAATAATCTTCATAAAGAAAACTAAAACTTCATTAAGGCAGGGTGTGGAAACAGAATCTCACCTCTGATCCTGTTCCAGCTAATCTTTTACCATAGCATCGCTTATAGATTGATCTAGCTTCACCAATATGACCCAACTCAGTTTCCATTGTGATATAACCTTGCCATGCTTCCATCATTGAACCACTTCAAAAAGAATGAAAAGCAAAATTAATGTCGGTTATCTTCGGAAGAAGAGTGCATAGAATAGAAGCAGCTAGGATACTGGTATCTTAACCTAATGAACTTCGTAACACATCCTAGAACATACTCTACCAAGTCACATAGTAAGAGTGTGCAGATAGCTTACCAGGTCTTAAGCAAACTCTCCCAAACACCTCGTGCTGCCACTAAATCTTTCCCCAGAATTAGTTCTAGGCGGGCCCAATAAGCATGCAGCCGCAACAAACTATCTGTGTTCTTTAGTTGTGGTGACAAGTAATCTGATGCATACTGCAAAGACAGCAAGACCAATTCGGTAAGCACCAGAAGAGGCTGAAAACTAAAGACTCGCTTTGATGACTCCAACTCAAGAAACTGGGACAAATAATCAAGCATAGTAAAGATATAGACTACGATTAAATAGTATGCAACACATACTTCCTTTATATGTGGAACAATAAGCACAAAGCAGCTGAAAGCAACTCAGAACATAAGGAATCGTTAAATTAAAGTATTGCCCTAATCTAATGCAAGAGCTCTTGGAATGGAAACCAACAGCAGTCTTCTACAATAGGCCCAACTGATACTTGCCTGAAAGGTTTCCCTTACTAAGGAGAAATCTAAGACGCCCTCTTTGTCCCTACCAGACAGAATTCTTCGCCTCAAGCCGTCCACTCGTGTGAGGAATAAATCAAGGTACTGAAATAACCAAAGTAATCAAATAAGATAAATTGGTATGGAGGAGTGTACTAACATTACGCTGATGTCAATCTCAACTACCTAAGAAATATTTTTACCTCTTCTAGGGTTGAAAAGGTACACTGCAAGGCTCTCCCGAAAACCTGTTAAAAGACCAAAAACCAATAGACTCATTACTCTGTATTACAAAGAGGGCAATGTTATTTCAGATTTAGAAGTGAGCAGGATGATCACAATCAAATGGTCATTTTAATTGGTATTGAAGACTCTACCATAGCAATTTTGCGTTCACATCTGCCTATACTAAGCATAAAGGTTGCTACACTGACTCTGTAGGAGTAAGGAGTGAGAATAAACATACAGCAGATATATCTTCCTCAGGAGCATGACCACGTTCCAGGGCAAGTAAGTAACGGACCCAAAGTTCTCCAACCCAAGGGCAATTCCTCGAGGCCCTCATGTAAACATCTCTTACAACATTACCAACCTGAAAAAAAAAAAAAAATTAGTTTTACTATTGCAAACACCACAGGTTAAATATTGTACAATTACACGACCATCAGCTCAAAGAGGCAACCTTCAATGTACTGTCCATATACCGCACGTAATCAAGCCAAAGGTCACTTGACACAGGAAACTCAGCTACAGCTCGTTCAAACAGAACTTGCACACGTGCCGGATCGCCGTCTGATTTTTCAAATGTCAAGTAATTCTGTAACAGAATGAGAATTTGGGTCTAAGTCTAGTACAGAAGTAAGAGGAACTCAAACATGTAAAAGAAAAATATATATAATTCAGGGATTGTCCTTGTCAAAGTTTAGAGACCTAAGTAGAAAACGATTTGAACAAAACAATGAGAAAATAGTAAAGAAAAACACAAAAACTCAGATTATAGGAAATATAACTGTCGGGCTGACGATAAAGAAAATGTAAACAGAGCGCAAAGCACAAGAGATTAATGAGCTTTACATACAATGAAACGTTGTAACTTTTCTTCTTCAGATACGCCCTTCATACAAATTTGCTCCTCAAATCCAACACGGGCATTATACATTTCCATGGCCTTCTCGTATGCTGATACAACATGAGTAGGAACCCCATCCAAATCACTTGACTCAGCATTAAGATTACTTCCCTGTTCCACTTCCCATGCTTTGTAAGCTACAAGTGTAGACTCTAAATTAACAAGAGGTACAGACAATTGTCGCTGGAACAATTTCCTGACTCTCTGGACCTGTGATTCCTTGGCCTGAATGACAAGAACAATCATGTAAATGTACAAAGTAAAAGATCACAATACATTTGAAAACCATGCCAAGACAATCATCATCAACAACTCGATATCTTGTATCAACCAGAAAAATATAAAACAAGAACAAAAGCAGAGCAATCTCTGGGAATTATGGTAGGTTCTGATGTATCTACAACTACAAGGCGGAACCCAAAAGACAAGGCATCACACTTCATTAATCCTTATTGAGACAGGGCAATTATTAAGGTTTTCAAGTGGCTTATGGTAATCCAGAGGTAGATTTCCAGCAAAACAATAAACTACAGCAGACCCATGACGGTAAAGGAATCGTTTAAGAAACTTCAAACATGTCATGTATCCAATTTTATATTACTAGACTAGCTATAACCAATTCCAATTGTTTCAAAGATCAAAATGGAACCAGATGGACTAATCAGCTAATGAATTTGAATTGACCTGGACTTTCAATTCACATCTAGCTATGTAAACAACAGAAAGAAGTGATGGTTTGCACCTTACTGTCTTTGTCATCAATTGTATACATGACAGCCTCTTCAAATTCCCTGTATGCTTCCCATATCTTATTCCCTTCCGCGACGTGTAATCCACCGGCAGTTAATGCACGATCAAACACATTTCTGGCCTTTGAGATCCCATCAGGAGAACACTCGCGAACAGAAGGATCACATTCTTGAATGTAGCTAAAGTAGTCACACCAAAGTGCGATAGACTGCATTGAGAACAAGTACTCTCAATCTTCTCAGGAACTATGGAACAAATGCTCATACTCAGGAAAGAATCTAACACTTCATCGAACTTTCAATCAAGAAATGAGTTCAAAAGAACCAGAACTTACCAAATAGTCCAGGACCCCTCGCTCGTACAATTTCTCAACAGCTGCCACATCCTCGGGCCTAGCAAGTTTGATCAAAGCAGCAACAGTAAGAAGTTAATTATTGAAGGAAAAGAATCAGATGAAGTGCCAGTAGCTCTACACATTCAGAACTCTATACACCAACTAAACTAATAAGTAACGACCGAGTGTCAAAAACGTAGTTGATACCCAGACGAAAGAGAAGCTTCATCTTTGGCCCATTCTTGCCACATAGAAGGTGTCAACGGGAACAATGCGTTCATAGCTTCCCTTGCCTGCCTCAGCTTCTCCAACTCCCCCATTCTCCTTAGCAGCTTAATGCACTAGAAATCACACAATCACGATAATAATCAAAACAACGAACTAGAAGAAGAAAGAATAAGCAGAAAAGCTCAGTAGAAACAGTGGAAGAAAGGGAGTAGAAGTTAAAATTTACTTTAACGTGAGCATCGTAGTTAGACGGATTGGCAGCCAGTTCATATTCCAACCCTTTCAGCTGCTCAGCAAGCTGGGAATCATCTTCATCGTCGTCGGATTCGTCACCGGAGTCGTCGTCAATCTCGTCGGTCGAGAGAGCTTTAGGGCTCTGGATACTGCGGTTGCTGGCATCATCTTTTCCGTTCAAATCGCCGTTCGCCGCTTCGCTATGAACAACGGAGTGATCTTCTTCGTCCACTTCCATTATCGTCTCCATTTCCACTTCCCTTCGTCTACTGAACTGATTGCTGATTTTCTTCTCTCTGCTTAGCAGACAAAAGAAAAAACTTCCCGATCCATTGCTACATAAGGGTCTGGGCTTCCGTATGGGCCTCCGGTGCGGCTGGATCAAGTATGAATACTGGACTCCTGGGCTTTCGATTCATATGGGCCCGAACGTTTCTTCATGAACATTCTGAAAACAGCATTTCCTTCGGCTTCTCTCTGTTTCTCTCTAGAGTCTTCATTGCAGATTTTTCTTCCTTTGCCTTCTTTAGCAATGGAAAGAACACTCCAGATCATCCTTCCTTCTCCACCAACTTATATATACAATACATCATCACCTCCATTTTCCTCCCAGGTTCAAACATCATACGCAAAGCAAACCAAAGCAAAGCAAAGCAAAACAAATTTTTACGACATAAAGGCTTCATCTTTCTTTACCCATTGCCCCTGCATCAAACCCCAAAAATGAAAGCATCTGCATTTCTCATTGTCCTCCTAAGCTCCTTAGCAATGGCAATCACACCGGCACAATCCCTGATGCCCTACACGAGATCATCACTGTGGGACATGCTGCTCCCTCCAGAGGACCCGTTCAGGATCCTGGAACAGAGTCCCCTGACCATCCCCGCCAAAGGGTTGGAGACAATGGGGACGACGGCGCTGGCTCTGGCGAGGGCGGACTGGAAGGAGACGGCGAACTCACACGTGATCTCTCTGGACATCCCGGGGATGAAGAAGGAGGACGTGAAGATCGAGGTGGAGGAGAACAGAGTGTTGCGGATCAGCGGGGAGAGGAAAGGCGAGGAGGAAGTTGCAGGGGAGAAGTGGCACCGGGCTGAGAGGGCTGCGGGGAAGTTCTGGAGGCAGTTCAGGTTGCCTGGGAATGCTGACTTGGAGAAGGTGAATGCGAAGCTGGAGAATGGGGTGCTGACGATTACTGTGCCGAAAGTTGCCGAGGAGAAGAAGAAGCAGGCGAAGGTGATTGATATTGCGGAGGAGAAGAAAGGCGGCTCTGTTCAGAACATTGAGGCTACTAAGGCTGCCGCTTGATTTCTGTCTCTTTTTGGTCTATATAGATATTATACTCCCATGGAGGATGCAGCTTTTCCCCTGGTTTCGTGTTCTATGTTTGTTTGAGTGGAGGAGATGAAAAGGGTGTCCTGTGGAATTTGAGTTTGTTGTACTGAAATAAGACCATTTTTTGGACCTCCATTGTAAAAGATTCATCTCTGTGAATTTATACCAAGTTTCATCCATAAATGTATTAATACATTTAAAAAAAAAGAGTAACATTTTGAGGTCAGAATTTACAAGTCTGATGATAAACTTACTAGTGGCTTCTGGGGATCATTTCTTTGGTACATTTTCTACACCAGCCAAATTACAGGCTAAAGGTTCTGTACAACACCATCCCACCACCAGATTCCTTCCCATCAAGCCATTCGTCACCAACCAAGCAGTATTGGCCATTTTTCCCCTTCTCCATCAAATGGTTCCTAAAGTACCATTCTTTGCTATGCTGATGCATTTGGCTGACTGGTTTGCCAACAAAAGCAGAAACCCAGCAGGAGATTCGGAGTCCTGTAAGGAAAAAGTATAAGCTGGTGAGTGGTGTTCTGTAAAATAGTTGAGGCCAGAATGAAAAACCTGATGTAATCGCTATGCAGAATGCTACTTGCCTATTGCGGTTTCTTCACTGCTAGTATGAGCAGCTAAAACAGCAGATCAAGCTTTTCATTAGAAGATCCTCCACTGCGAAACATGCCATGCTAGTGATGAAATCAACTGTCAAAGGAAGCATTCATGCAACTGAATAACAGAAGAATATAACATTACTGTAAACACAAATGCATTCACAAGCGACTGTAATTACCAGGATGACATCTCTGTAAACTATTGTTGTCCTGGTGGATGAGCGCTTGAAAAAACTACAACATCTCTTGTTGTTGGAAAAGAGAAACATCATCCAGCTGCCTGTAGTGCTTCATCTTCCGAGCTGAAATCCACCGACGATGAATCATGACCTAAATCTTTCATTAGCTCTGTCATCCCATCCAATATTGGATACAGCTCATAGGCATACTCTTCCGATGTACCTCCAACCAAGAAACGCTTAAACCCGGAACCCACATCAACCCAGGAACACCCAGGAGACTTCTTCACACCAGAGTCCCTCATCAAAGTTCTAACCATCGCTAGCTTATCCCAACAGCCAGCTGCAGCATACATGTTAGCAGCCAAGACATAGTAACCCGAATTTTCTGGCTTCAACTCCAATAATTTCGTCGCCACCCATTCCCCCATACCTATATTTCCATGAATCCTGCATGATCCTAGGAGTGTAGCCCACATAGCAGGTGTTGGACTGTAAGGCATAGTTGTGATTATCTCCTTGGCTTTATTTAACAACCCAGCCCTCCCAAAGAGATCAGCCATGCAATCAAAGTGCTCCAATCTAGGAACTATGTTATACATACTACACATTTTTCGAAACAACATTTCCCCTTCAGTTACCAGACCCGAGTGACTACAAGCTGAAAGAACCGCGACCATGGTAACATGGTCTGGTTGGATCTTGTACCTATTCATCTCATTAAATAGTCTCAGTGCAGTATGTCCATCTCCCTGAATCCCATATGCGGCGATTAGTGAGGTATAGGTCACCTCGTCCCTCGTGGTCATTGAATCAAACAACCTTTTAGCTTCTGGAAGCTTACCAGATCTCGCATACATCTCAACCAGGGCATTCCATATCAATAGACAATCTTTATAAACGAGATGTTTAAGAATGTACGAATGGAACTCCTTCCCATGTCTTAGATTTGCAATTCGAGCACACATGGGAAGGATGCTTGCAATAGTAACATAATTGGGTTCGACCCCAGCAAGCAACATCTCTCTGAATACTAAGGATGCTTCTTCAGATAGACCGAGATAGGCAAAGCCAGAGATCATGGAGTTCCAAGTAACAATAGTCTTAGTTTCCATCGAAGAAAACAAAATATAAGCATGCCTCAGGTCATTGCACCTTGAGTACATGGTAATTAGGGCATTCCTGACGTTATGAAATCCATCATAACAGCTGCGAATTGCAAATCCATGAAGCTCAGCTCCTACTTTAAGGCTTCCAATATGAGAACAAGCACTTAAACCACTAAGAAGTGCTACTGAATCTAAATTAACATAATTCCTCATTTTAGAGAGCAGGTAAAGGACACCTAAGAAGTTCCGACCACGTAAACAACCTCCTGCCACAGTGTTCCATGTTATGTTGGTTATGCCATCAACTTCTAACTGCATTTTCTCAAATATGTCAAATGCTTCCTTCCACATTCCCCTTGATGCATAACCACCAATAATAGCATTCCATGACACTGCATCCCTTTCTGGCATTTCAATGAACAAACGACGGGCAATTTCCAATTCCCCAGTTTTACTATACATGGATATCAAGGAATTATGCACAAACAAACTCCATCCATGAGAGCTAGCATTAATGGCATCATGAACCTCCCTTCCTAAAGGGAGATCCAACAGTTCACCACAAGCCTTCAGAACAGACGGATAAGTGAAATTATCTGGTCTAACTCCTTTTCTCACCATCTGTTTATAGGCAGCAAGAGACTCTTGATACATCCCATTGCTAACATAAGCAGATATGAGCAAATTCCAAGGCAAAGGGTGCATAATATTTGCATTCTCAACAATAGAATGAGAATCAGCTACGAAATCAAAATTTGAGTAGAAAGTAACAAGCTTTGGAACCAAAACAGGATGTCGATCCAACCCCAACGAGATGACATGGGAATGGAGCTGCCTACCCTGGCAACCCGATTTCTGCTCGGTGCAAGAGAAGAGAAGACAAGAGATGGAATGCACGAGAGAGTCACGAGCTGCGATGGACCGAGCATGGCGCTGCACCAAAGAGAATGTTTCGAATGCTTTGGAGAGATTTCCTTGGCTTGTGTAATCTTTAAGACAGCTAACTAAGAAACTTAACATGATTTGTCCATCCTTAATAGCATAACTCTGGCGAACTGGACCCTCCACCACATTCGTATCCACCTGTAGTTTAGAACTTTGTTTCCACTTCCTCGGTATAAACTTCTGTATTTCAGCAATGGATATGCCCTTGAATGCCGAAGGGGAAGAAGAAGAAGACCGCATGCACTAAGAACATAGCTCCGTCCTATACCTCATCATCTCCATATGCGAGCTGTGCGTTTGAAGTCGGCAGATGGATAATTGACTTCTCGCGTAAAGGATAAAAGCTATAAGCATCAGCCATTGGCCAACCATGGTGAGAAGCTACTGGAAACTTGCTCTGAAACAAAGTGGTGGCAACAACCCCATAAGCTGCTGCAAAACTGAAAGCTATTGCCTTGCTTCTCCTGCGTTAAGTACGGACAAACGCAACAACCCAATTCCAGGTGTTCCCAGAGGATCAGCATCTTCGACTGCAACAATGAAGCGATAAATCAGCCATTGTATCTTTCAGGCCTTCGCCCGCAGCTCACTGCGGCAGCAATTGAACTAATGAAGTGCGGCAGAGGATGAACTCAACCGCTTTGACGCTAAATGCTCTCATTCGGAAACCACGAACTACTTGGATAATAAAAAGCACCAAAGTAGGATACTTGACAGCAACGCGAGCGTCAGTTATGAATTCAAGAGCCCCAATTTGCAACATCCAGTTGCAAACAGACGGCTTTTCACAAAGAAACTAGGACGAGATTGATGTAGAATTTGCAGATTAGGGTTCTTTTTTTGGTTTGTTTGGTTGAACATGGGGACTTGAAGCCTCGAATCGACTCGCCGAGGAAGATGAAGCAAAAATTAAATTCCCGTTTTTGTTTTGAGACAGACGGGCTGAAGCCTACTACAGTGATAAAGGGAAAAGATATTGGGCCGAGGCCCGAGGTTCGTTTTTGGATTCGAATCTTTTTCACAGAATGATCCAATTCTAATCCAGACTTAGATTAAATCAGTTTGCAGGAAATAGGCTAAATTACACTTTTGGTCACTCAAATTATATAAATCTTTCAAGTTTGTCGCCCTAATTATTTTTCTTTCTTATACGCCACTAACTTTACGAATCGTTGCACCGTTAGTCACCGGCCGTTACACTCCGTTAAATTTGTCCTACGTGGCAGTCAACTATAAAGTTTGACTGTTAACTAGATGACGTGGAAATTAAAAAAATAAAAAAATAAATTTAATTTTCCACCTCAACATTCCACTTACTTTATTTATATGATTGATCCTATTAATTATTTAATAAAAATTAATTAAATTAAAAAAATAATTATGAGCGACATTGAGGAGGAGGAATCTCTCCAGCTATGACAAGTGCCTCTCCCACGACCAAGCCCGCAAGGTCGCGGCTGGGGCTCAACAACCTTCTGGGACTGGGATTTGCCCCGCACCCGCGAAGGGTTCTACCGATTCAAAGGTTCGGTGATGGCTGAAGTGGTCCGAGGCAGAGCATTCGCTTCCCTTACGGATGTGATCTGGATGGAGACATCGAGCCCCGATTTGGTGGAGTGCACGGATATCACTCAGGGGGTGAAGTCCAGTTGCCCGGAGACGATGCTGACGTACAAATACAATCTGTCGTGGGGCTTCATCCCCCGGCCACTCCTCCGATTCGTCTGTCGTGGCTTTCGTCAACGGTTTGTAGATGCAGCCGGAAGCATCTCCCTTTTCGAGACTGAAGATCTTGCGGTTGCGGGTACAGTCCCCGCAAGAAATTTGGATATATTGGCTGTGAATTTAACGATTCTTATCAGTAGTGATATTTGTAGAGTCATTCTTTGGTTGATAAGTGTTAATTGAAAAGTTTTGAGAATGTGATGTGGTATTAATTAATGTTGCTGGTGGTTGGTTGCTCTGCAGCCTGCGAGTTTGGTTTTGACAGCTGAGCTTTTAATTGCAAGCCAAAATATCTTCACTGGTTCAAACGACCAGAAATAATTAATAATGTTATATACCACAACCTTGTCTTCTCATTCTTCTTCCATTCTCCATCTTTTCTTCACCATTTGGTGCCCTACTCTAATGGCTTCCACTAACATTCCATCTCATTACGAAGCCTTGATCTTCCTCAGTCCAACCATTTCTGCAGCAGCCCCACTGCTGCAATTCAACCCTCCGGTGCCAACCCACCATTACTACCATGTCGATTGTCTTCCCACTGATAGGTTCACACACAAGAGCTGCAGAAACAACCCAACCCACCACCAGCAATCATGATCAGACCCATCATCAACTGCAGCAACAGCAATGGCGCCGCCGAACCAGACTCGCAACGCACAGGGCTCCCTCTACCTCTCGACGGGACATGTTCTGGTTTGCCAATATTCTCGATCACAGTCGCAGCCGAATGATCCTCCTCCTCAACATCGCTCAAAATTATTTTCTTTGGTAATAAAGTTATTTTTTAATATAATTATTTTTTATTAAATAATTAATAGGATCAATCATATAAATAAAGTAAGTGGAATGATGAGGTGGAAAATTAAATTAATTTTTTTTTATTTTTTTTTAATTTCCACGTCATCTAGTTAACAGTCAAACTTTATAGTTGACTGCCACTTAGGACAAATTTAACGGAGTGTAACGGCCAGTGACTAACAGTGCAACGATTCGTAAAGTTAGTGGCGTATAAGAAAGAAAAGTGATTCGGGTGGCAAAACATGAAAGATTTATATAATTTGAGTGACCAAACGAGTAATTTAGCCGCAGGAAATAACAGAAATTAGACACTCTAAAAACACGAAGCTGGCAAGCTCTACAAAGTCTGTCAAACAGCAATTGCAATAACTCAATCATCATCACATTGTTGAAGCTCGGGTTTCACAATTCACAGAGTGTACGAAGTCACAACAGTGGCTACAAATTGGTAACTCAGAAGTATGCTTTATGACTTTTCTATTTCTTGCCCATGCCGTACTTTGTTTCAGCCGTTGAGGGCATCCTTGAATCCCTTGATGCAATGCAACCCAATGCTCTCGCTCGAAATCACCATCGGATAGGCCAGTTGCGAAGTGGCAATAGCCATTAACCAGGGAGACCGGTCCCCGACGCACTGCTGATACATGGACCTATTCCCCGAAAAATGCTCGACTCATCAACCTTGAACTCCGATGTGCTGTTACCCTTTCTCATTTTACCATACATAGACCTGACCACAAGACGCAACATCAAAACAATAACAAGCAACCCAGGAGTTCATTTCCAGAATAAATATAGAATAAACTATACAGAGTTTAGCATACAGTTACAGAGAGACAACAGAAAAGAGTAAAAGGCAAGAAAATATTAGAAATTTACCTACATATGAGGACGGTTGCAGTTGGTCATCTCCAAACTCGAACTGGGTGCATCATGCCGAAGGTAGTCCCCATATCATAGGCACCATCACTTCCCGTCCCCTACTTGGAATGGAGACCTGGCATTTCACCCACCAAGACAAGAAGCATATGAGCAATAGTGCAAGAGAACTGAAGGAGCAGGGTTAAGACTTCAGTGCAACAACAGCCTCACCTTTCTTTGCTTTCTTGTCCTTCCCTTTCAAGAATTCAGACTCCTCAGAGGACCTTGAATTGAGTGAGACAAGAGCTTTCTGCGGAGGTAGTTCAGCAATGAAAAGTAATGTCTGTGCCCAGCCAGCATATTTACCGTACTTCATCACAAATGCATCTGCAACACGGCCACAGAGCTTGGGTGTAAGGCGAGTGCCAGCAAGCTCGGGTAGGAGATATCTTGTAGCAATCTGCACAACCCCACAAAATAGTAACATTTTCACATCAGAACAGCTCAGCAGAAATGTCAACAACAAGTGGCCAGTCATAGCTGCATCCCTGAATCTTGGTTAACACATATTTACTATGTTCTCATAGTTACTAGTATGCAACAGAGGCGCCAAGCAGAATGCAAGCTTTATCATAGAACATCAAAGTATTATCAGGGGACATGTGAAGTTTGGCCATTCAACCCAAAGCCATCATTGCATTGGCATTATAGAAATCAGGTATAACTGTCGTATCTGAGTAAACAGACTTTCTCGTATCCATCTATACTATACAGAAAGCAATTAGTGCTGGTTTTCATAAACCTGACAATGGATTCTGCTCTACCTATAAGGTGCTCATGAACTCTAGATATGTTTGAAAGCTCATCACTTACCTGCCACACATGGGTATCAACGGGAATAGCATGGTGCTGATCAAGAGAGAAGAGTGCAATGCAGGCAGCCACCTTGGGACCAACTCCGGGCAAAGTACTCAAAGCATCAATCACAACTGGGAGGTCCAATTTGCGCATGGAAGCAAGCCACTCTGAACCTCCACCAGGTTTTGACTGCAAAGCATCCACCGTGCCAGTAATATACTTCGCCCTGATCAAATGCAGCAACAGCAACAAAACCAACCAAGCTCAACAAATGCAAATTCGATTCAGCAATCAAGTTGTATTTGAACAAGAAGAAGAAGGGTTAGGGTTAACCTATAACCAAAACCAGCTTCTCTAAGCTGCTGCTCCGTAACCCCAGCCAGCCGCTGCAGAGTGGGGAACTCATGAAACTCGAAATCCCCAACGGCCCCCAAACATTCCCCCAGCGAGGAAAGGAAATTCACCATTTTAGTAATGCGGCCGATGTTATTGTTCGAGGAGCAGAGGAACTGAATCAGACACTCCAACGGATCCTGCCTCAGAACCCTAGCTCCCCTCAGTTGCTGGGCAAGCTCAGCGAATCTCGGATCGGAGGCCGAGAACTCGCGCCAGAGGTCGGCGAGGGAGACTTCGGCGTTGAGGAAGTCGAGGAGCGCAGATTCGGCGTCGGAATGCGACGGCGTTCGATGAACGTGGTAGTACACGCCGCCATTGTCGTCGTCGTGGTGCTTGAGAGAGATCAGGTGGGGGCCGACGGAGCCGGTGTATTGAAGATGGCCGGTTTGCCTCCATCGGAAGGTCTGGCCGGTGGGGAATGTGAGCGGGAGGGAGAGCTCCGATTGGCTGAGGTTAAGCGGGGCCCAGGTTGAGGAATCCGGCGCAGCTGTAGAAAATAGGGCAGTAGGACGCTTGAGGATGGCTCTTCTCGGTTTCTTGAGCAGTACTTGAGCGGTTTGCGGCGGCGTCGGGGGCAGCAGTGGCAGCGGGTGCGGCGGCGGTGGTTTGATGGTGGCGCTGTCACCGGAGAGTGGCATAGTGAGTCTTGCTCTCTTCATAGTCGCGGCGAATTTTCTATCGTGTGCGACTCGTGCGTTGAAATTTCAGAGGAAGGTTGCCTTTCTTTTTCTTCATCTCAACGGTTAGCTTACGGGTTGGGCTGGGCCGCTCGCTATCGTTACGGATCAGATGGGCCGCACGGGTTGCTTGGGCTGGGCTCTATTTTGCCATTTATTGATTTGTCTTCATTGGTGACGAAAAATCATTTGTGACGAAGGAGACTCTTGATACATCTCATTGTCTTGGCAGATATGAGCAAATTCGAAAGGCAAAGGATGCATAATGTTGGCATCCTCAACAACAGCAAGAGAGTGAACTACGAGATCGAATGGGAAAGAGGTGATCGTCGGCAGGACTATAAACTCGAAGCACCGAGTTCCATAGGTATACGAGATATCCATGGATCAGCATAATCTCGAACGTATGTTGCTTCTGCAGAGGGCTAAAGGAACATACCGAATAGCAGAAACCAAAAAAATGAGATCAACTACTGCATCTCCTTGGAAGAACAGAAAATCGAGCAAGATCGAGTATAAGCGCCGTACAAATACGTCAGGTATGATATGATCTGTGGGCTGATGATACTAAAAATCATTAACGGCTCCACAAGAGGAAGTAGGAAAGCTCAATCACATGATTTGAGCTCTGGGTTTCACCTGTGACTACAACAAGTTACAACATCCGGGACTAGGCGCGAATTTCTGAAATTCGGTTTATCGATTCTTTTTATTTCACACAACTGCATGAGTTGACAGCCAAACCACTCACTCCACTTCGAAACATCCACAAGCAAATGCAATACCTCATCATTGTTTTCAGCCTTTGAGGGCGTCCTTGAGTCTCTTGATGCAATCCATTGCTCGCTCGAAATCATCATCAGACAGGGCAGTTGTGAAGCGGCAATAGCCAGGGAGACCTGTCCACGACGCGCTGTTGATGCATAGTCCTGTTCCCCGGAAAATGGCTTCCCTGATGTTCGACTCATCAACCTTGAACTCGGATGTGCTGCTGAACTTCACCACCTTGTTCAGATATGCAGAGGGCTTCGCCACCAGGGAAATGCCACCTTGAGGCTCCACCACATCCCACCCGGATTTCACTAACGTCTGTTGCAAGCAATTGAGCAATCCAACAGATAAATGTAAGAACTAAGAAATCATGCATGAAAACCGATGGCGGTATATTATAAAGGACAGACGTATCATCACTTTACCTCCTTCAAGCGCTGGGCTCTAGATTTCAGAGTTTTGGTATTTGCAGCAACTGCATTTGTCAGCTCCTCGACTTTCTGCTCTCTCAGACCAAGCAATTTCCTCACAGCGTACCTCATGGTGGCATGCGGTTTACTCAACCCGGGGAAGCTATAAAATGCATCGACCAAAGCAGGATGATTCAGAATCAGGAACCCGAATTTTAGTGCACCAGTGAACATCTTCAGAGACATTCCTCCGAGAAGGGAGACGCAGAATGAAGGGTTAGAGGAAGCAAGACTTGATAACGTGGCCTCCAAGTTCCATCCACCCCAAGCCTCACCATCAAACTCCAATCCTGAGAATGAAGTATCAATGATAACCCGAGCCCCGAATTTGGCACAAGTGGTTAATATACTCTCCATCTCTTTATTGCTGTAGATCAATCCTGTTGGATTTGCAGTCGGACCACAAATGTACACCCAAGGCTTCTTCACAGTGTCGAGCACTTTGTTGAGTTGCTTGTCAGTCAGCTTGAAGCCCTCGGAGTCGGTAGGGATGGTGACAATGCTTGCCTTCAGAAACTTGGCTGAAGAGATATAGTTCCCATTCGAGCCAGATGGGAAGCACAAGGTTCCACCTTCTTGATTGCAGCATAGGACCAACTTAGTGAAAATAGCTTGTGCGCTGTCGCTATACACAAATTCGGAAGAGCTGCCGGTTGGGAATCCATAGCTGCTTTGAACAAATTGTTTGATGCTAGGGTTCACATCAACTTCACCCTCTCCCACGTTCTGTCTTGCGAAACTTTCAAAGATTGAGGCCTTGACAGCTGATGGAGTAGGCAAGAAGCTCTGGTCTACATCCATGTGAATTAGGGCTGATGACTTCTCTTCCTCACCAATTGACAATTCAGAATTATTAAGAACGGAGGTGGCTGAGCTTGCAAATCCTATCACCTCAGCTGATTTGGCTTTGCCAGAATCCCTCTGGAATTTGGCAAGGATGTTAGCAAACTTCGCTCCAAAATTTATGGAAGCTTGATTGATCACATTTGGAGAAAAACTATTTAAATTCAGATTATAATGGAAGAGAGTAACGTGCAAACCTCTGGAAGTGGATGACGATCAGCAAGCTGAAATGCCAGAAGCTCATGGAAAAGACAGCCGTAGTAATGTTGCCTAATTGGAGTAGTAATCCCTTCTAGTACTTCCACTGTTTTGGACAAGGCCTTAAAGATGGCCTCTTCTTCGGAGATCACAAATGCGACTTCTAGATCTGAATAAACCTGAAAACCAAACAGTTGCCTATCTTAGTGCAATCCGTAGCTGTAAAGGAGGATATGAGCTCAAATTGCCAATCATTTCATTAACATAGCACAAGTTCCAGTGAATGCATCAAGAACAAATGAAAAGAGGAGTGTAAGAAACATGTAAACAAAGTTCCGGCAACATGACAACCTCCATTGAGACTGAACAAATACCTTGTTTTTCACAAGACCACAGACGATCGAAGCATGTGATGGCAATACATTTCCTGCAAGATATTTGAGGACTCCATTGGTATTTGGAAGGCTTGATAGCTCAAACTGGTCAGATATGTCCAAGAAAAGGCGAGACCCAATTTGTCTGGTAACATCTAGAAGGTGTACAAATGCTGAACTAGTGACAGCCTCAAACTGAGCGATCCCAGTGATGACCACCTGTGGTCTTAGCTTTGTTATCAGTTCCACCATTAGATCCGACTGTCTTGGTGCTTCAATCACAGTAATCCCATCTTTTGATCCATTTTTTTCAGAAGCCTACAATATTCAGAACAAAAAAATAAGAGTGTTAAATTGAAAAGACAGGAGTCCCTGGATTCAGAAAATGCAGCATCTTGAAATTCTTGCAATTCAATTCACAGTTAGTTGATTTACTTTCTGGTGAAAGTTTCAATACAATGACAGTACAGGTCTAAGGGAACATAAAATACAATAGAACAGACAGGAAAAGTTGATTGTATGATAAATTTCTGATACACCTCATCATTAGTTAGATTCTGAATAAATGAAACCACTAGGTCAAATAGATGTCTGCCCTATATTGTGACAAAAAGAGAACAGAATTAATAGAGAAATCTATAACATAAGAAACGTGAATATGAAGACATTAATCAAGTATAGAAGATTAGTTAAACTAAACAATACATCAAGCAGCAACGGTAGGTTACTACAGCAGATGAAGATGACAAAAACTGTCAACAAAAGGTTGTGCATAACTTAAGAGAGTATATTCATTCAAGGACATGTCAATTTTCACTGTCATTTGAATTGTACAACAATTGAATGTAGAATATGAGTAAACTTTTAGGGCCTGATACCTTGAAAACAGAAAATAGTGTTCATAGGCAACATACCTCAATTACTAACGATGTCAACCATTGTCGGGGAAGATGACGAGTCAGGTGTTCATCAACAACTGCTAGACGAGGTGAGAAAAGTCGGAGAACATGTTCAATTGCTACTGACCTCGAGGGAAAGATCACAACATTCTGGAACCATAGTCAGAAAGAGCAAGTTAGACACATGTTACAAACATTAGCTAGGGATTGAAGAAACTACTATGCCTAGCTGCCACTAAAATCTGACAGACTCATGTATGCTATCAAGCATAAACAAAACTGCACATTTAAAATGCAAGATGATTCCGTCACAACGTAGATTGATACAAACTAGTGAGTAACTTGTCGAAATAGCTTGCATGTGGCTTGTGCGGAAATTCTAGGATTGACAAATAAATAGACTAAATTACTCTTTCTGTGACTTGTAAATAAGAAAACCCTTCCTTACATTTCCTGGAAGTAAATTTGGAAATATGGCTTTTAAGGGGTCTGGAGAAGTATCATGCGAGAAAGTAATAGTTGCATAAGTTTCATATTCAATGGATCTATTAGACAGGAAAAAAGACAAAGATAAAAGCATTGCAGCAATTTCATGCATGATATGAGAAAATAGGCATAAACTGAGTAATGTAAATTACATCGGACTTCAATGGAATATGGTGGTATGTTTTCATAAATCCAGCAATGAAATTGCGAAACTTCAAGCTTCCAGCCGGAGGCTCGTACGAAAAACTTGAGTTCTCTTTTAGTTCACCAGCGAGATAAGCTAGGAATGGAATCTTCTCATCTGCAACTGCATCATCTTCAAAAGACAAGTCCAAAGAACTACCTACATCCTGGAAACCATTTCTAAGAAACTTGAAAATTTTCTTCACCTGTCAAATAAATCATATAGTCGTCACATTCACGAAAAAGGGGAACAAATTAAGATAGAATAACGTCATTCCAAATGCAGGGAAGAAAGATTGATACTCAAGAAAAGATTACTAGCAGAGAAGTACACACCTGCTGTGGCTGACGCAATTGACAACTATAAACTGACAAGGCATGAGCAATACGACCACCAGCTTTCCCATATGCCCATGCTGTTCGAGCACAGATTGGCTGATCACCAGTAAGCCCCATGAAGAACTCAAAACGATGTGGACTGTTCTTCTCAATTTCAACCAAGGCCGTAATGTCTGTATCAGCAGCCTGTACAAACATAACACGTTTCAAGAAGAATGCCTTACTTGCGGGAAATTTTGTTTAAGTTGGAACCTGTTCTTGCCTGTATCACTTTTGTCTGCCAAAGCTTATTGACATTAAAACCACGACGTTCAAACAGACGCTTACAGACAGCCTGTCCTGGACGGCCACCCATATTAAAGATCATAATACCCATAGGTTTGATGACGTCTATTCCTTCCTCAACTGCCCTGGCAATCAGACCTAGGCCAAATTGGTCTTCGACAAAGCCCTGTATACATTTAAAAAAATGAGGTCATCAAGTGGTCTCCATATAAATTTGGAACCAAGTGGGATTATATAGGCAGGACACATCCCAGTCACTCAGCCCTGCCTAAACTAATACTTTAGAAGCAAGCAAATAGAATCAAGACGTTTAACACATAGTATATAGTATCTCATAACAAAGAAGACAAACTAGCAGGCCAGTGACACACTATATAAGAGCTCAACAGGGCAGGAAACATTTACTACATCTAAATGCCTATACCATCAGGTCAGGAAACATGTACTACATCTAAATGCCTATACCATCAAGTTCCATCCTGCTTCTTACATAGGTGCATCAATCAACAGTTCAGTAAGTATCTAAACTCAGTAACAAGTTCAATTCAAATTATGTTAAAGCATCTAAACTCAACAGTTCAGTGAGTAGATCCTGGTGATGTCTTCCTACCTGAAGAGCACAATAGTTGCTTAAATCATACAGGAAATCTTCACTCGCATTCTCCGTAATCATTTTGGACATGGCATCTGGATTTGGATTTAAAATCTGCAAGAAGATAGCGAACAAGAACAAGCCAAAATGTAAGGCACAAAATACAAGAACATGAATGTCTTTCAAAAAAAAAAAAAATACAAGAACAAAGTTCCGTAGTTCTTGAATTTCCTGTGGAGCATGGGTTGGCTCACAATAATACCTGAGGTATGCATCCAACAATTCGTTCAAGTTGAATGTCATTGTCTCTACAATGAGATAGTAGATCAGATTCATAGAACTCCACCCTGTCCAGCAAAGTTTTCTTTTCTGCGTCATATATGGGCTGACCTTTGTCATCCAATGCATTTAAGTATAGGTTTATCCAGGAAACCTTGACAGCTCTTGGATTAATATCAAGGCCATATACCTGAAACATGTATGCCACCCCAATCAATTACGAAAGTTCCAGAGGAATACACAATGAAACTCTAGAAGAAAGGATTGCTGGAAGTGTGTAAGCAACAAACTTTGGAAGGCAACCACTTGTCAGCAATTGCAATAGATATCCATCCATTCCCACAGCCAAGCTCTGCAACTGTCCTGTCCTTGAAAATAGAATCTGGGTGTCTATTAAGTCCTTCATAGAATGTGAATGACCAGTCCTCAGGAATGAATATGCTAGGGATAACCATCATCGTCAACTTCTTTCTCCCTTGGTCAGCTGTGGAAATGCAAAGTGTGACACATTTCATGTGACGTTATGGGTTTTAGAGCACAACGCAAGTTGTAGAATAAAATAATGGAGTTCAGCAACAAATTCCCAGTTCAATGGCCACTGGCTGAGAATAGGACAAAATCCAAGTTAATACAAAAAGACCTCGCAAATGGGAATCTCTTTTTGAAGCGCTAATCAATGTTTGGATAAGGGCCTCGTTTTACGTATTCTTGAAAACCACCACTACACCGAAAATTGAAATCTAAACTCCAAAGCAACCGATCGAAATCTCCGAAGATAGCAAAAACGAAGCACAAATCAAACAGATTTAGAGTAATCACCAAGTAACAAACATTCGAATTCAAGCGACCGAGTTCTAAATCCAATTTCCCTTCCATATAGTTCCTCTTTCCCTTTTCTCGGGAACCAAACAGAACATCAGTCAACACGAATCACACTCAGCCCCGCATTACAACCGCAAGATATTGCAGGGACCAAATGAATTCATCAAGGCTTCGTCACCGCTCAAAGAAATCAACAAAATTACTGGCGTAATCAATGGGGAACGGAGAATGTTACCTTCGTGTTCGAGGACGACGTCTTGGATCCGGAAGTGGTACTTGTTGAGGCACTGATCGGAGTCGCCGACGCGTTTGTAGAGATCGGAGAGGAAAACCCGAGACTGAGTGCGCGTCGCCGGATCCTCCAGCCGCTCCAAGAGAGAGCGGAGAGCGGCGTAGGCGGAGTCGCCGGACTGCTCGCACTGCTTCAGGAACTCGTCCATGGAAACCGCCATTGCTGAAAGAAACTGATCACGGGGGCAGACCAGGAAGAGAGTGAGTGAGCAGCAGAGAAGAAAATGAGGGAGGTTCTTCTTCTTCTTCTTTGCTACAGTGTGGAAGGAAACTAGAGACTGGAAAAGGAGCAGTGATGGTGAACACACAATTTCGCGGCTTCTGCTTTTTCACTCACCAAAGACTTCCTATGATAGCCTCTTTCCTTTTGCACTTTTAGTCTTTATAATTTACGTTATTTAACAAATACATGCCTAAACTATGAATTTTTACAAAAGCATCCTTATATTATGTTGTTTAACCTTTTTTTTTTTTTTTGTTGCTATAAAGCCTAAAGACACCGTTTGAATCTATAATAGGTTAATACTTTAATAGTAAGATTGAACGTATTGTGGATTTGTGCGTTATTGATATGGGAGACCTGAGATCATATTTAGGATATGAGAGTGAACCTAGGGTTACAATCATAATATTTAACATATTTGACATGTAAATTAAAAATATTTACTTAGTAAGCTTAAACAGATGGTCCATGTAAATTAATTCTAATCTCGAATTCTAAGTGGGGGGCTTGGACCTCTTAGGGCCACAAATAATTGCCATAACCGGGTTGCTCATTAGTACGATATTGTCCGCTTTGGGCCAAGCCCGCACGGTTTTACTCTTGGGTGTCCTCCCCAAAAGGCCTCGTACTAATTGGGCTAGGTGGACTCTAATATACAAGGGTTCCTTCCCTTGTACAACCGATGTGGTACTTGGATTGTCCCATAACAATCCTCCCCTCAAGACAAGGACCACGAACATCGTGTCCTCACCTCAGCAATTATCTTGATCCGCCAGACGCCTTGTATCGATGGGCTTCTCGGTACAAGGACTTTACCAGACGCAGAACTCTCTTTGATCTGCTTCCCAAATGTGGATCTCTCCTGGATCCACCAAACCAGACGCAGATCGCAAATCCCGAGGCCACCGAATGAGGGTCCACCAAACTGACGTCCACCCCCCCCCCCCCGCACCGAACCAGGCTCTGATACCACTTGTCATAACAGAAGCGTGCAATCGATAATCCAAACCAAACGAACACAAATTTAACGTGGTTCACTAACACAATGTGTGCTAGCTAATCCACGGGCAGGGGAGAACAAATTTCACTGATTTGAGGAGAGTACAGGTTACAAACCAAATTCCAAACGGACAAACCAAACAAACTAACCTGACTGACCTTACTACAGACTAGGGTGATGAAGAGTATTTATAGAACTCTTCTCCTAATCCCAAACAGAAAACCAAATACCTTTTCTCAAACATACAAGGAAAAGGTCAAAACAAAGCCCAAACAGAATAGGCCTAAAACACAAAACAAACCCAATCAAATTCAAGTCATATTCTAACAATCTCCACCTTGACTTGAATTCTCTCTCAAATACCAGATGTACCAGACGCAACCAAGGTTGCCAGATGTACCTAAACGCGATACATATCGCCAGACGTATCCAAATGCGATCGAAACCGCCAAACTCAAACGCAATCAAGATTGCCAGACATATCCAAATGCGATTCATATCGCCAGACCAAACGCGATGCACATCGCCAAACTCAGATGCAATCAAAATTGTCAAACGTACCAAACTTCTCCAAATCAGCTGTACCAGAATCTCCCCTGCCTCCAAATGCCCCTAAGGGCAGTTAACAAATCCAAACATGCAACAAGTCCAACTCATGTTGGAACTTGCCATGCAAAACCAACTTTGTGTTATTTCCGTCCATAACACCCACAACAAATTTACTGCTAACTCCAAACCTGAAACTCCAATTGACTTCTCGATCTTCAAATCCATAACAAACATCCTTGGTGATCGAAAACCCTGATCACCACCAAGGACAACAAACAGAATTCTCCCCAAACCACAAGCTATTACCGAACACAATAAATTCAAGTAATTGCTTCCAAATTCCAATTGATCCGCCAACTAGCTCCTTACCGCAAATTCCAAATTCCCAAATTTTCTTTCTCAACAAATACCACCAAATAATTCCAAAACAAATTCCAATAACCTCCCAACCAAATAAACGTGATCCACAAAATAATTCCAACCAACAAAGCTACCAAAATCCCAAGCCGCAAGCTGAAGTCAAGCTCTAGGTGAAGAACGATTCACAACTTAATAATTCCAAAGTAGTGTGATTTCCAAAGTCCCCAGAAAATTACTAACCAGGCTCTGATACCACTTGTCATAACCGGGTTGCTCATTAGTACGATATTGTCCGCTTTGGGCCAAGTCCGCACGATTTTACTCTTGGGTGTCCTCCCCAAAAGGCCTCGTACTAATTGGGCTAGGTGGACTCTAATATACAAGGGTTCCTTCCCTTGTACAACCGATGTGGTACTTGGATTGTCCCATAACAATAATCATTTGCATCTTCTGTTAAACCACCACAAAGAATTATGCATCATTATCTGCTTTCGATAGTCAGAGTAGATGATGATCGAACGCGTCCGGTGCATCCAAGCCCAATGGGCCTATAATGGGGAAAAGGAAAATAAGCGGGCTTTCGTTTTCCCCTAAACTTTCTTTGGATATCGGCCTGGCCAATGTCTATTCTGGCAGAAGCCCAAATAAAATCAGCTAATCCGCGAAACCCTAGTAAAGTCCCCGTATATATTCATTTTCGCAGTTCTCTGAATCTACTAGTTACGCAACCGCAGCAGCCGGGAACGGAGCGCTACCGTCGAGCAGGCAGCCATGGTAAGTTAGCGCTGTTTTTTCTCCTCACTCTCTAGCTCGTGATCGATGCCGTTTCCCGATTTCTTACCATTTTCATTACCATGACAATGCAAGAACGGGGAATTAGGAAATTTGATGAGTTTTTACTGTATTTATCCGCCTTCGTAGCTGAAACAAATGGATGATTTGGTTTGATCTGTGGAAATCATTCCTTAAAATCGTTGTTCCATTTGTGGAGGAATGGGTTCTGGCTTGCCTTTCTATTGCATTTCACTGTCCTCCTTTGAGCTTTAGTTCCTCCATCCTTTCAGTAACGAAACCTAATGATCTGCATGAACCGGAATTATTCCCAATCTCTTGTCCTGGTGGTAGTCGTATGAACCTGCTTCTTCGTGAGTTCATAGAGTAGGGCAAGCCGAGACTCGAAGTGTCACTTCTGTACTGTCCTTGGTAGAATTGGAATTGGTTGCTTCTGCTATCTGTGAGCATATCTAGAAATCTGGACACTTGTTACCTCATCAAGTAAGAGGATCAATCTTATAGTGGATAAAATGTGCAAAAGGCACGCCTTGGCTGTTTCTCATTTGCAACTCGCTTGGTTTTTTGCTTTTAGGTGAACGTACCGAAGACAAAGAAGACCTACTGCAAGAGCAAGGAGTGCAAAAAGCACACCTTGCACAAGGTCACCCAGTACAAGAAGGGGAAGGACAGCTTGGCTGCGCAAGGGAAGCGTCGTTATGACAGGAAACAATCAGGTTATGGAGGTCAGACGAAGCCCGTTTTCCACAAGAAGGTATTCGTTCTTTGGTTTTTATCCGATCAGTTCAGTTATAGGAACACATCTCATTACGACATTCTGGTATTTAGTAGTTATTTCCTTTGGTTTGTACACTTGATCAAGTCAGTTCATCTTTTTTTATCTGAATCTATGCATGGAGGCCTAGGATGATTAGTATTTTGCCTACATTGTCTGATTGTCATATGACAGAGACAATTCTTTTATACTGCTGAGGCCTCCTGATTGAAGATTCACAACTCCAGAAATGGAATTTTATCTTGTAATTAAATTCTATTGAAGCTGATGTTTATGCTCATTTCCACAGGCCAAAACCACGAAGAAGATTGTGTTGAGGCTGCAGTGCCAGGGTTGCAAGCACGTCTCCCAGCACCCGATCAAGGTACGTTGGGTTCTCTTATACAACAAGCCTGTTACGGAATCTCTCGATATGCATTCGAAATGGTAATCTTAATTCTTTGCTTGTTGTTTTTTGGTCTTGCTGTGTGCAGAGGTGCAAGCATTTCGAGATTGGTGGAGACAAGAAGGGGAAAGGAACATCTCTCTTTTAAGTCATTTTTCTGTTGTTTGCTACTCTGTTTCTGCTCTCCCTTACAATGGGAAGGGGATACTGCTTGGGATTCTTTCAGTTTTGTTATTGCAGCAGTGGACAGATGCAAATGTGCTTTTACCAAGTTGAACCCATTGTTTACTGTAGTTCAAGAATGTAGAATCATGACGAACAAAGCTTATTATTATGACGAACAAAGCTTGGTTCAACCTCGAACAGTTGAGTATGCTCATGCAACTGACTAAAAGTCAATTTTGTTACCATCTACCCTCCTGTTCGAAACAAAAGCCGATCCTTTTCTTTCCATCTATGAATGACGGGTGCCATTGAGAAGGAAAGCTTGAGCTCTCTTCTCATACTTGAAATCAACATCCGCCGCAGCAGAAGCATCCGCCGAGAAGATCATAACTCCATTCACCCCAAATCCATTCCTCTCCAGCATCGCCAGTGCGTCAAAAAACCCATCCCCCTGAATTCCTCTCCCCTTCACCTCGTAGCTCGGCAGCAGCTTACGCTTCCCAAACTGCTTCGCCCGCACCCGAAACGCGCTCAGGTAACCCACCGGGCTCTTCACCTTGTCCGTGTAAAACTGGTAGTTCACATAGTCAATCAGCCCGCCGTACTTCCGAAACAGAGCCAAATACGGCGCCACGGTGGCGTGGAACGGCGCGATCGTGGCGACGGAGATCGAATTCTCCCGCTTCAGCCGCGCGATGAGCTCGCCGACGCAGTAGGCGAAGCTGTCGTCGTCGTCGGCCTCGCTCCGGCCGAACGTCTCGTAGTCGACGTCGATGCCGTCGAGGTGGTAGGTGGCGATGAGGGATTGTAGGGAGGAGACGGCGTTGGAGATCCATTGGGCCGGGGATTTGGGCCGGCGCCAGCGGAGCACTTTTTCGCCGATGCTCCACCCGCCCAGGCTGGCCATGACTTTCACTGTTGGGCCGTGGCGGGCCTTGAGGGACGAGATGGACTCTGGGGTCAGGCTTTCGGCCCAGTAAGGTTTGAATTTCCCGTTGAGTGGTTTCCCGGAGAAGTCGGCGTCGATGGCGAAGCCGAGGATGAAGTGGAAGTTGATGCCGGGGCGGATCGGGACGGCGTGGAAGTTGATCGGGGAGCCTGTGGCGCCGATGTACTCCATCATTACCTTCGCGTCGGCTTTGCGGATTGTAATTGAGGGAACGACGGTGGAGAGGAGGAGGAGGACGGCGTGATGGATCCATGGCTTGTTCATTCTCTTCTTCTGGTTCTTGTTGAGTTGAGTTGTGACACTAAGATGTGTGATGAGGTATGGTGATTAGATGATATATAGGGTTGCGTAATATTAATTAATTAGTTAGTTAATTAGCTCGAACGACAAACAATGAAAGGAGGGTTACGTACGTTGTCGGGGAAGGTTAGGGAGGAAGTAGAAGTTGAACTTGCAGACTCTTTTGATTTTGACAGAGTTTGGGAATCATTGGATGGTGCTTGGCCGCAGTTTGTCGATTTATTTAAACTTTCGATTTGGACAAAATAGTAATCAAGATTACAAAAAAAAAAAAGTTATTTGTTAAGGGGTCGTCAAGGATTTGGAGGTGGGATTTGGTTCTCAAATCCCACACATGAAGGATTTGTCCAAAAACCATTGTTTGTTGAGCCAAAATGGAGGGTACCAAATTCGTGGGTCCCACGGATTTGTAAATCCCACCTCATACCCTGGGATTTGGAGACAAACTGAAAAACCATCAAATCCATGATAAAAATAGCTCAACAAATAAAAGATTTCCTCAAATCCATACTACCCAAAATCCCTAATAAATCCCAAGTTTTTTAATTAGCAAATCCATGACAAAATCCTCGTTATAAAATCCTTGAAGCAAACGACCCCTAAATTTCTATGACCACTTATGGTAGACGATCTTGTTACTGGCTCAAAAATGGTTGGGCCACAATTATGATTCGGTAAAAGAGTCCGTGGCACACGCACCCAAGGCGGACTCAACTCAGACCAAGCACCACCACTGGCCCAGGCCCAAATAAACCAACGTGGCCCAAATCGAGATCACGTGGAAAAGTCAACGGAGTCTACTGGCCTCCGCCTGCTTCCTCCGGCTGCACATAAAAATAAACAAAGTCGTAGAAAAGGTGAAAAGCACGTGACGAATTAGTAACAACCCCATAGTTTTAGTGACGACTTCTTTTTACTGCCTGTCAGTATGCCGTTTGTTTCCTTCCATTTGTTTGCTCTGTTTTTCTCGTATTGCATATGCAGATGGCGCTCACCCGGAATCCATACAACAAAAATCGGTTCATTGCTCACTTATCCCTACAATTGCAACCACTACATAATCACAGAAACTCGATCGTTGTCTTTCTGCACCCATTCCTCATTTGAGTCCCCTGCTGTTTGAGATTCCAGTCGTCGTTTCCATGGCGCAATTAGCTGTATCACTGTTGTTTCTCATCTCCACCTCACTATTTCCCGACACCATTTCTGCACTGACTGAAGTTGGTGACTGTAAGTGTTAACCAATTTCTCGCCCTTTAAGTTTCTTTTTGCTTCAAAGTTGCAGACTTTATCTTATTCTCGTCCAAAAATGTTTGCAGTGAATGGGTTAAAGTCCCTGGAGGAAGCATGGGGGAATACAACGCCACCAAATTGGTTAGGAAACGACCCTTGCGGCTCGAGCCGCCGCTGGGATGGAGTTACCTGCACCAACAGCCGTGTCACTTCCCTGTATGTTAAAAAAAAAAAACTCACATTGGATAAACAGAGCTCTGCCTCTATAAACCAGTTCTGTTTTTTTTTTTTCTAGTGGCAATTCTTCCTTCATTTTTAGTGACGCATTGGCTGGCAACATATTGCAGACAACTATCTGGCATGGGATTGAAGGGCTACCTTCCTTCAGACATCGCATTGCTACCCGAGTTGCGAACTCTGTATGTACCTCGCTTTCGCTTTTGTATACAAATAACGTAACTCGAGGTATTGGAATCAACTGATCATTTTTTTTTTACGTATGTGAATGATCACAACAGAGATCTGTCCTTCAACAAGGGTTTGGAAGGGCCTCTTCCACCCTCAATTGGCGATCTCAGGAACCTGACAACACTGTAAGCGAATAAACCCATTTCTTCTTCACTTGCATTGAGTATAAGTGTGTTAAATTCAACGTGTGGATGCAGAATCCTGGCGGGATGTAGCTTCTCTGGTTCTATCCCTGCCACTGTGGGATCCCTGACGAGTCTAGCAATCCTGTAAGCTCACTTTTGTCAAACATAATCCGATTCTGTGTCAGTAATTAGCTGAGGAGCTTAACTTCTAACTGAATTCATGGCAGCTCACTTGAATACAACGCCTTCACCGGCCAGATTCCACCTGAAATCGGCAACCTTACTAATCTGTCTTGGCTGGATCTTTCCTACAACCAGCTTGTTGGGAACATTCCTGTCTCCACTGCTGATACACCGGGTCTTGATTCGTTACTAAATCTTAGACACTTGTATGTAGTAATCTTCCCTCTTCTGCTGGCCTTAGATTTTTACAATTTTTTTTTTTTTTTTGGATTTCAATCTTTGATGTGGTTGTGAATGATCAATGGTCATGTCAACTTTCCCCCCCAGGCATGTGGAGAAGAACTATCTGTCAGGCACGATCCCTAATCGACTTTTCAGCTCTGCCACGACTCTCGTGAGCTTGTCAGTTCCAGACCCAACTGATCTTATCTCATTTGGAAGCTTTTGTGTCCAGATAGTTTCTGGGTTTAATTTCTTTCTTTGTGCTTTACATGTTCACTCATAGGCTATTGGACGGAAACAGTCTCACTGGGAGCATTCCTTCCAGCCTTGGCCTTGTGCAGAACTTGGAGGTTATGTGAGTATCACTCTCTAGCTCCACTTGTTAAAGCTCATCATTCAAATGGTCATTTCACAGTTGAATCCATCTGAGTAATTCTCTGACGATTGTCCCCTTGGTTACAGACGCTTAGATAGGAACAGGTTGACTGGAACAGTGCCTAGTAGTCTCAACAATCTCACAAATCTCGATGAACTGTAAGTATCTAAAGAGAGAGTGATCAGCTGCATCATATCAGAGGAGACAATCAATGTAACATACTGTTCCTTCTCAATGTTTCTGCAGGAATTTGTCGAACAACATTCTGAGTGGTCCTTTCCCAAACCTTACTGGCACGAATCATCTCGGTTTCTTGTAAGTAGATGATCTTAATTCTTATCCAACATTTCTACCCTTAGCTAAACTTTGTTCAGTAACCATGCTCATTTGACCAAGAAATGTATGGCAGAGACCTGAGCAACAACAGTTTCGACGTATCGAGTTTCCCTTCGTGGTTATCAACCCTGAAGCTACTATCCACTATGTAAGCAAACTAGCTAGAACCTGCGATTTTGTTTTGCAATCGTGTAGCCGTGTTGCTGGTGTTTATTTTATTGGGGCTTTTATGGGTTGGCAGATCTTTGGAGAATATACAACTTAGAGGGCAAGTTCCAGCTGAAATGTTCAGCCTTACCAAAATACAGATTGTGTGAGTTACCCTGCACAACGTCTTTAATCATCTTCTTCTACACGTATATGGGTTTTGAATATTCGACATTGATTAACTCCGTGTTGGAAACTTGCAGGAAACTGATGAGGAACCAGCTGAATGGAACTCTGGATATTGGACCTACACACAGCAATCGACTGCAACTCGTTAACTTACAAAACAATTCCATTTCAGACTACATGATAAGACCAGAAGCTAACAATGTTGATGTCAAGTAAGCCAACTTGTAACATTTGATTGATTGAGTGATTTGTTTTAACTTGAAAGCCTAAGCTGCATTCAGGTCGACCGTGTTTCAATCTCATTTCTCTTCTACTGCAGACTTTCAGGGAACCCAATTTGCAATGGAACTACACCAGGACCAACTCCCAGCTACTGCATGGTTAGCTAGAAGGATGCATCGCTAAAGATAACAAAATCACTGTAGAACTATTCTCAAAGGAGGAACTGCAATCATTAAACTGTTTTCAATATTGATCAACTGTTACGAGTTACAATGATTTTTCCTAACTAGCAGAAGAAAGGAGAAATAAACAACTAGCTACACTAAGGTCCATTAAATCACCTCTTTTGAAAATTGAGCAGCATAATGCACATAGAGAAGATAGAAATGAACAACACTCCGAAACCTACAACTACGATGCCAACGACTCCTACGAAATGATGTTCAAATCCAAAGTACAACTTTACAAACCCTTCTACTGTTAGCCCATCTGGGAAAGTTGTCTTCACATCTCCATACTGTGATGCAACAACTCCATAGAATGTCCATGAAACTGGGCACACGTTGAAGTACCATCTCCACCATACAGGAGCTCTCTGTAGGATAAACATTACAATCCTTGAAGCACATTCTTGGTAAATGTCCTATACAATGACAAGAATCAATTCATATACATAAATACTTACTGGTTGTGGGATTATGAACCCTGCAAAGAGATTCCAAAGCCCATAGAACGCGGTGGAAACGATGTACCCAATCTGCTGGTTTGGTGTGAAAGAGACTGTCATCATTCCATAGAATGTGAAGTACAACAAGGTGAAATACATGAAGAACCAGAACCAAAAGCACTTGAGCAAGGTGTATTCAAATCCTATCATTGGATAGACTATGATGCAGTAAACCACTGTTTGTAGTAACATGTATGGAAGTTCGATCAAAACCTGCGAAAAAAAATCCCCAAATCAGGTGGCATTATTGACAATATAATTTGATGGCAGCAATTATGTAGGAATTTTGGTGACTTACTTGGGACAAGGCATAGGGAAAGGCTGCATACATTCTAGCAGCTCTTTCTCTGTAGAACACAGTTCTTTCGATGTCCACTACAGATTGAACTGTGGTTGCATTTTGGATCCCGATTGAGAAAATTGCAGTGAACATCGAGCCAATCGCGTTGAAGAGATCCTGTTCGGTTTCCCTTCAACATTTGAACATCAAACATTAATAAAGTTGCATGAAAATCATTTGAGAACTAAAACACTAGAAAAAAAATGTTGGTTCAAAGTATGTTGATCACTCACATTTTGCCTCCAAGGTCCCAATATATTCCCCCAAATAAGAAGGCTATGATCACTGTGAAGAGAAATCGAACGCCAGTATAAGGCAGGTTACGTGAGTACGATAGGTGAAACTTCCATAAGCACGCTGCACATTGCGTGAATGTTGATCTGTAGTAGCGAGTCGAGAAGTAAAGATCCCTAGAGCCAACTACAGGACTGCTCAACTCTTTGATCATGACCTTGTTTCTCCTGAGGAAGACACAAAGTTGACACATTCTACATGTGCACGAACGATAAAATAAAATTTTATCTTTACATTGATGATCACACTTACTTGTAGAGGTCAGATTTCTTGTATAACATTGCAAAATCAACTCCTAAGACTGCCTCTTGTCTAGGTGTGGAAATTTCCAGCATCCAAGTTGCTGGGTTGTAGCCATCTTTTATTTTACTCACTCCTTGGATTCCCTTCATTGAAATAAAACTTATCATTAAGCAACAATGAACAATCGGTATCCATTTATGAGCATAATAGTTTTGAATTCTGATATGAGTACCTCAAAGTACTTGATTAGGTGACAAAATTTGGGACCTATAGGTCCAACGTATATCTCTTCTCCACCATGGTTCAAGAGGAACAACTACCAGTCGAACAATGGCAACCAATAGTGAGCGAAAATAATATCGTTTCGTTGCAATTGCTTCAAGACGGTGTATCAAGAACTGAGATTCCTACTTACTTGGTCAAACGACTCAAAGATATCCATACTCGGTTGATGGATGGTGCACACAATGGTTCTTCCCGTATCAACCGCATTTCTAACTGTTCTCATGACAATTGCAGCGGCTCTTGCATCCAACCCTGATGTCGGCTCATCCATGAAAACTATGGAAGGGTTCGCCACTAGCTCAACTGCAATGGTTAGCCTTTTTCGTTGCTCAATCGACAAGCCATTTACGCCAGGCAAACCGACCATCAAATGCCTCAAGTTGTTGAGTTCCACAAGTGCAATGACTTCTTCAACAAACATCTGCAGCAGCAGAACATTTACGTGCATCGCAAGTTACAACAACCATGTGTGTAACTTGATGGACTACTAGTACTGTTGAGAAACTTACCATTCTGGTATGGAAATCCACCTCACTTGGCAGACGGAGCCACGCTGAATACAATAAGGACTCATGGACAGTGACAAACGGAGAATGAATGTCATTCTGCTCACAATACCCCGAAATTCTGGCAAATGTGTTCTGCTTCTTCGGGTACCCATTGATCCTGATGTCTCCTTGAATCTGACCACGAGTTTTTCTTCCAGCCAGTACATCTAACAACGTAGTTTTCCCTGCACCCGTGACTCCCATCAATGCTGTGAGAAGCCCTGGCCTAAAAGCTCCACTAACCCCTTTTATAATCGTCGATCTCTTTTTAACGACACTTTTCTCGATCATCCCCTGCCACCAAGCAAGCAACCATGATCTGTTCATTTCACTTCCCTTTGCCCAATATGTCCATTGTAGTTACTAGTTAAGAGCAAAGCAACATGATACAATTCGACATATTTCTCACCTGTGAAGTATCCAGAACATAAGTTATGTCCTCAAAAGTGACAAAACGTGGTTCGAAGGGAAGAACAACTCCCTGCTTCATTGATACATTATCATCATCATCATCCAAAGCTACAGTATCAAAAGTTACACTGCCATTTTTGCTAGGGTTGCTACCTTTGTCACCTTCAGAGTCCTCAGAAATGAAAGCCCGAGACCTTCCAAATGCTGCAATTTAAATCTTATAGATTAGTGGCCAAAACACAAACGCATAGAAATGGTCCAAAGTTCATTGTCTGAAGCAAGAAAATGGTGGACATGGAGCTCACGGTTGAGGAAAGTTAGGGCTAGAGCAAAACCAAGTTGGAATATGATCGTGAATGCAAGCAATGCCAACACTCCTATCCAATACCAATTCGGATCCGCGAAAAAACCCCGAAATTTCAGAATCTTAGTTCCCAATGTCCCTGTGCTGAAACTGGCACCCTAAACATTAACAAAAAAGAGAACATCACTAAGAAGGAAAGTTAAATTGTCATATAAAGACATGCAAAGTGAACTAGTGGTATGGCATACTTGATTCCAATTATCTCCTAGGAACTCATTCACCAAGATGGCATTGTCAGCATACATGAAAGGAGAGATCCAGTAGCCCCATATCCCCAACTTGTTGATTCTGTCTACAACACCAAGCAACCCGCGTTAACGCGATTTTTCGAATACACGCGATTTTTTAAGGATTAGCATATATTTTTTTACCTCGAGAAAGAACAAATCCACTCATAGTCAGAAGCACGAGAAGGATGAAAGCACTGAGAGTGCTGGAAACCGTCTCATTTCTTCCAATCGACCCGATGAAGCGAAACATCGAACCCGACATCTGGCTAACGAGTACCAGCAGAAAGTACTGCTTAAAGAGCCTGCACATATGCGAAATTTTGGAAATCGTCAAACTAGTCCACCAATTTTCATTCCAACACATAGAAGGAACGAATTTCGAATGTGGTCGAACTCGTGACCTTGCAATCTGGGGATCGAATCCGATCATGTAGTAAGGAATAGGGACGAAAGCAGCAACCTCGAGGAAGATAATTGGTATGTGAAGCAAACATGGGGGAAGAGAAAATGCCCATGGAGGATAGAATCTGAATTTCCTTTGCTTGTAGAACACGGGAAGCTTTGGAAGCATGATGGATAGATCAGCCATCCCATTGAAGAGGATCATGATCACAATGAAGAACATTGCGCCCATGTAAATCAGTCCATCAATGGCCGTCTCTCTTTTCATCTCGGTTCTCAGGAAGAGTGTCCCAATAACCACTGCCATTATTATGAGCTACATACGTTCGATTAGTTTCAAGGGAGACAAAAAAAAAAGGGTGAAAAGACAACAATTTATCTGGAACCATACCAAAATGGTCGCAGAAGGCTAATTGTCGTAAACTAGTTGATCCCAATAACTCGAGTTGTTGGGAGAAGGTTATATTAGATCTTATACCACTCTCTAACACGCCCCCTCAAACGAAAGCTAACTCATGAGCTTGAAGTTTGCAAAGGTCCACCATACCATGTGCTTTTTATTAACTATTAATATTGGAGGTCGTGGAGATTCGAACACACGACCACTTGGCCAAACCAGCTCTGATACCATGTCATAAACCAGTTGATCCCAATAACTCAAGTTGTTGGGAGAAGGTTATGTTGGATCTTATACCACTCTCTAACACTAATTTGTTGTCGAAAAAAAAAATATTTTACACGACCAGAAAGTAAAGGAGTCGGAATATGTAGTCATTCAACAACTGCTAATTGTAGAAAGTTTTGTTACCACTTACGACCAACAGTAAAACAATCACCAAAAATAGGTTTTTGACTATTTATAACGACAACAAAAGCACTACAGATGATTTATTTTTTCCTTTTTGGCAACCCTTTTTTTATTTTGTAGGACAGTTTTATGGTCGCTAAATGACGTTTTTTTCCTGTAATGTTAACCATTTAGGTAAGTACAAGAGAATCTCACCTGAAGGATCTTAAAGACGTAGACATAGGAATTCCTCTTCATCAGCATAAATTCCCTAGAGATACAAGCCTTAAGCAACTCCCATTCCGAAGCTCCATGCTTCAAGAAACTCAAACCAGCTCTGTGTTCCTTCTTATCAAATGGCTTAGACAACTCTTCTCTCATTTCTTCTCCCGTTGAAAACGACTTATACGCTTCGGCGAATTCTTTCACTGTAAAATAGCGGTAAGGCTGATAATCTCGTGCCCAATATTGTCGTTGGTCCTTCTTGGAAATCACCTATGATAATTTGATGGAGATCGAAAAACAAAATCAGGACAGGAAATGATTGTTTTTTTTTTACTAAGAGAATGATATAGGAATCGATTTTGCATATACCTCGTGCAGAAAATCGGGTACGTTTTTTCTTCTGGGACACGTGAATCCCAAGTGGTGGAAGAACCGGAGCACGTCCTCACGGGGGCCGTGGTAGACTATATGCCCCTGAGAGAGGAGAAGTACGTCGTCGAAGACTTCGTAACACTCTGGAGTCGGTTGCAACAACGAGATGAGAGTAGTTCCCTTGAGGATGTGGGTCGCTCGTCTCATGTAGTTCACGATCCGGAACGTCGTTGAAGCATCCAACCCATTCGATATCTCGTCCATTAGCATCACCCTTGCTCCTCCAACGAGCATCTCTCCGATTGTGAGTCGTTTCTTTTGTCCCCCGGATATCCCCCTCGACATTATGCTCCCTACTAGTGTGTCTGCACACTCCTCCATACCTAGAATCTACATGTAAAATTGAAACTTGTGCATGAAGAACAATGCATGTGGAACTTTGAGATTTTCTTGTTTATATCATATATCTTAATTGTACTTGGAGGGTGACTTCCTTACCTTTAGAACATGGTCAATCATAAGAGAAGCCCGTTGACCTTCATGTCCTGCAGTCTGAGGTTAAGAAGAGAAAGAGAGAAGATCATCAGAAAGCGAAGTGGGTTTAATACGAGGGATATATTGACGCAAATTCGTAAATTTTCTTGTTTTGTCGTAAAATAACCAAACAATAAAATTGTTCATAGATGAATTATACTATCAAAATTATGCTTACATCGAGAGGATATTTCTATGGTAGACTCGGGAAAAAAAGGGATACGTTAAACACGTATAATTTAGTATTATATTTTGAAACTAACATGCAAATTAAATTAGTAGCTAATCACCTTCATGAACATGTTTATATCGGCGCTATGAACAACGTCGTCGTCAACATTAAGGTTCTCTCGTCGCTTCGTCCTCAACACTTCATCTACCACTTCTGAAAAAAAAAAAAGAAGATAAAAGCATCTTTTATACATAATAATGAAGTATGAAAGTTAATTAGAGAAATGGACGACGAGTCGACGACTATGGTTTTATTATTTGTCCCACCTGAGAGAAACCCTGTCCCTTGACACCTTGCAGAGAAAGCTAGGGTTTCCCTAACAGTCAGTTCTCCGATGTGGTTGTCGTGTTGTCCAATGTATGCAGCTGTTCTCTGAGCTACAAACTCGCTCGTTGTGTGCCCATTGTACGTCAGCTTACCAGAAACCTGCAATTTATAACACACCCAAATTGGGATGAGAGAATCAATTTGAACGTTTGCATGAAAATTAGTTCAACAACCTAGCTCCCCATGCACGTACGTACGTACGTACCTTTAAACTAGGATCCATTTCAAGTCCCGCTAATGAGTTTAACAACGTGGTCTTCCCCGAACTCGGGGGCCCAAGCAGCAACACCATTCTGAAGAATGAACCAAATAATTAATAAGCCCAATACGATTAATTAACACATGTGATTATTGATTAATTAAGCAGTGTAATTTCCTCAAGATTTGATGAGTATTAGTTAATCGATTAATCTCGATCACCTTGATGGCTTAAGGACTCCGCTCAAATCTTTCAAAATGGGGAACTGTCTCTTTCTGCTTCCGATTATATGGAGATAACTCAACAAATCCTTCAAGTTACGTTGCACAGAAAAGAGGAATAATTAATACCTAAACGTACGTTAACAAATAATACCAAAAATGAGACCGATCTATCGAGAGCAACATTTTGAGACATCAATTACCTCCAACATGTTAGCTGCAACGTTGTACAGCGAAGGCAATGTTCTTCCTGAAGGCCGAGCTTTCCCCTCGACGTTCAGATGCTCGAACCGAACTTCCACAGTTGGAAGCTCGATCCCCGCTCTGACAAAAAAAACCAAAAATAATTAATAGCCTTTCACTTCACATACATCCTAAAACCGTTTGATAATCTCTCTTGAGTCGGTTCTAATAACTCAAAGTTGCAGGGAGAGATCTTATACTACAACGAAATCCATTTATAAGGGTTTGAAATTTGCACGGATCCAAATAACGTGTGCTCGAGCTCAACAAATGGAGGTCATGAGGGATACGAACACAAGACCTCTTAATTATGACAGAAAGCTCCGATACTATGTTATGAACCAGTTAGGCAGCTAGTCTGACTATATCAAAATTACCTCTCCATAACGTTCTCGAGTCGAAAGAGAAGATCGTGATCACCATTCTGAAGATCCTTTAGCGGGGTACCATCAGCCAAACCTTCCATATCTGTCATTTCTCGTTTGTGTTTAGTCAAATTGACCACTCTTCCACCTCTTGTAACTATATATATATAGAGAGAGAAGTTGGATGTTTATTAGCAGTTACTGCACAAGGTCTTTCTTTGTACGCATTAAGTGGAGCCGGCGATGCTAGCTGCTTTCTCCTAGGTATATACCCCGCAACAATGTTGGCCAGGATTCCTCGACCAATAACCTTGCCTTTTTTATTCGCGGCATGTAACTGGTTAAATATCATACATAAATTTCTCTCGATAATTCGAATTATTCGAACCAGTTAGTTTATGACATGACGGTATCAGAATCGATTAAAACACGTAAAAAATAAACAGCCGCAGAGGATCCCGACAAAAGATGAAAACAACACAGAAAAAACGATGCTGCTTCCGGCATTCGCATGCAGTCGGCAAAAATAAGGTTGTACGTTGTTAATTACGTATAATCACATTGTGCTCTGCGACCAGCGGCGGCATAATATAGTCGCCAGAGCATCATGTATTTCTAGGAAAGTGTGCCGTTTTGTCGTTTTTGCTTTTGTTCAGCCGTTTGTTCCTTTTGTGTTGACAAGTTGGTAAGCTTCCAACCAAAACGAGCCAAGATGAGAACGGCCAGCTTATGGCTAGAAACAAGGAGCATAGTGTGCATTGTTGTGCTTGTACTGTACACTCCGTCGGTTAAGGTTCCCTTCCATTTCCGTTCAACAAAAACAGAGCAAGCATTTGGCTGTTTTATACTGTAGATTGTGATATAATCACAGTTTCTTGTAATTTTGTCCCCTGTAATTATGCTCTGGTGAGAATCTAACGCAAATACCCACGGCAATCGATTTTTTTTCTTTTATATGGTATCAGAGGTTGCAAGCCGGTGACGGGAATGATGGTTGAACATGCCCGGAATTGGGGCGTTGACTCGTATTATCTGTCGTTTTATCCTTTTTTTTTATGAATTAGATTATTATCTTCCATACGACCTACGATGCATACCATTTTTTGTTTGTGTTTTTGGTATGGTCTGTTACCTTATTATTTACCATTTTAGATTAGAGTTAATCCGTTTGAAGAAGTACTATATATATAATATAATTCTCATATCTCTGTAATATTTATCTCCCATAGTATGGTAAACCTAATTTTCTCGTGTCGGTAGACTAACATATATTGTATTAGTAAACCACCTAAATTAGTATGTTTTTACTTTCTTATATTATCGATTATTCGACCCATTCTAATAAGTACTCAAATTCGAACTTTTATTATTTTTCCTCCTCTTCTTCCCCAATTCTGGTCTCCTCTCTTGTCATCGAACCCGCCACCGTTCCCTCGTCGTCCTCGTCTCACGGGCCCATCCTTAATTTTTGCGACCTTGGGCCAGCAAGCATTCCAGCTTGCTCTCCTAAGGCGACCCGCCTCTCTCCTCCTTCAATTTAAAGCCCATTGCACCAAGTAACGAGAATATAATGGCTTCAATTCAATAGCGATTCCAAAAGGCATGGGCTGAATTGTTTCGCGGCCCACTTACAATTGTGATCGGGTCATTATAAGTCAAAGCCCGGTCGCACCTTTCTTTTTAATTTTTATTTTATTTAGGGTTTGTGATTTGGGTGCCAATTTACGGTTGGATCTTGAGCTCATGTACCTAGCTATTTGAAAAAAATTCAGAATTTATTCCAAAATAATTCATTTTCGTGTTTGAAAGTCATAATTTTTTTCCGCTCTTATAAAAATATCGTCCATTAAATTTGCATTTATCATGTCGTCGTAGTGTTACTTTGAGTATAAGAACTTTCAATGTTGCCCTTATCATGTCCTCTAATTGTTTACGCCTATTATTTTGCTTTAATTGATTAGTATGAACTATGAACTATGGAGTGTTTATTTGGCTTCAAATAAGCCAATTAGACTATTTCGAATAATTTGGTTGGACCAACAAGAGGTTTGTACTTTAGTTATTTATGCCCTATCATAGACAACGTTACGATACTAAGAAGCGACATTGTTTGGTCGAGTTCAAACAATGGTGTAAGTTCATCAATGCCACGTTATAGCACTAAGCCATGTGGTCCGATCATTTGACAAACTTGATTGCGATCATTTTCAAACAATAACATTAAGCTATCGAATACATATAACTTTTTTTTGAGTGAGATACATATAACTTTTTTATTAGACGATACATACATACAATTTTTTTCCACTAAAAATGCAAATAAATCAATCTCTTTTTTTCATTAAGTGGCGGACCCAGGATTGTCGGAGAGGTGTGTCGCCGATAAAAATTAAATATAAATTAATCATAAATTAATTTATAAAGTTCACATGTCATGTTTACAACTAATCAAAATGACTTTTCATCTACTTAAATGTCTCTAAAATACATTCATCACTTATGCTGCAAAACAAATCTTTTTCAAATATACACAACAATCATTCATAAATTTGTCACCCAACCGATTTCGAAGATCGTTTTTGATTATCTTCATAGTTGAAAATGCTCTTTCACAGCTTGCATTTCAACATATGAAGTCATACGGTACCAACTTCAAAAGCAAGTATTCTGGTGAGCCTCGACAGTTGCCGCTTGGGTTTTGGTAATTTTTTTGTTTCTCCGTTAATGAAAGAACACATCCCAGCACACATGTATATTGGTATGGCTTGTGGATTTTTTTAATAGCAATTGATATGATTATGAGTTATTTTAAACAAATTAAAAATGAATTTTGTTAATTAGAACTTAAGATTGATTCATTTAAATAATAAAATGTTTCCAGTCTAATGAAGGTGTTTCGGCTATAATTATCGAAAGGTTGTCAGAAGTCCAGAACTTAAAATTTTTGTACCAAAAATATGTAGGTCCTTCACAAAATTCTCAGGCGAGGGCGACACACCCTCCCTTGCCTTGGTCCGCCACCGTTGACACAAGTAAAAAAATAAAAAGCAATTATGTTAGGGTCGTTTGGATGGGTTTATTGTCAATGTGGTATTTGTAGAGTCAAATAACTCATTTATTGCTCATGTGGTATTCCAGTGTTATTTTAGTGGTAATTGAAATAAAGTATCTCGTTTGGTTGAACCATGCAAATGTGGTATTTGACATGTGGTATTTGGTAAAAGCAGAGTGATAAAACGAGTTATTTCGAAATAACACATGAGTATAAGTTATTTCAAATAACTCGTTTTGAGTTATTTGTAAATAACTCACTGTCCAAATAACTCATTTCACTAAAACGCTGCCAAACGAGTTATTTGCGTTCAAATAACTCATACAAATACTCCATCCATTAGATTGCAGAGACAGAGACGTGACTGAATTTTTTTAATTTCTTCAAACACTTCTGTCTTTGACTTTCGACAGTAATTTGGAATTATACAAAAAATAATATCTTATTGCCGGAATTAAGTCCGACAGTGAGAGTTGCAGCAGTCCTTTTGTGGTGGTGGATGCGTCTTCGTCAGCTAGTAGCAAACGGTCAACACCTTCCACCTCTTTCTTCCTCACCTCCCTCCGTCATCTTACCGCCGCCGCCGCCGCCATGATTTCCGGCCTCCTCCTCCTCCTCCTACTAATCTCGACCACCATCCCCTCACCCACCACCGCCTTATCCTTCAACTTCACAACCTTCACCAGCAGCAACCAGAACATCACATACGAGCAAGCCTTCGCTGCCGAGAACTCCATCCAGCTCACCCGCAACCTCCTCGGCTCCGATCTCAACATCAGCTTCGGCCGCGCCACCTACCGCTCCCCTTTACCCCTCTACGACCCCAATTCCAGAAACCTCACCGACTTCCGAACCCACTTCACTTTCAGCATCTCCTCCCAAATCCAGGACGCCGGCGGCTACGGCGACGGCCTCGCCTTCTTCCTCGGCCCCGTGGGATCCAGACTTCCCCCTGACCTCACCAATGCCAGCTCCATGGGGCTCACCAGAGACGGACAGCTGCTGAACACGACGGCGAATCGATTCGTCGCCGTCGAGTTCGACATTTTCAGCAACGAATTCGATCCGCCGACGGGGAGCCACGCCGGAATCGACATCAATTCGATGCGATCGGTGGCGAGCGTACCCTGGGAAGGAGATATAATGGGTGGGAATAAGAGCGATGCTTGGATTTCTTACGATTCTGCTCTTCGAAATTTGAGCGTTGCGGTGACAGGGTATGTGGGGAACGTTTCAGTGATTCGGCGGCTGAGCTACAATGTCGATTTGAGGGATTACCTTCCCGAAGAGGTAACTTTTGGGTTCTCGGGAGCAACACGGAATCAAAGCGCGATTCACAGGATTCATTCTTGGGATTTCGTTTCTACATTGGAAGAAATCGTTCCTCTTGCTAATGGGAGTAACCCTAGTCGTCCAATCGGTGGGAAGAAGAAGAACAGAGTCGGTTTGCTGGTGGGTTTTGGAATTGGGGGTTTTCTGGTTGGTGGGTTGTGTTTGATCTGTATAATTCTGTATAGGAAAAGACTGCGCCGGAGATTTAACGGTGAGAAGGACGACGACGGCGACGATGCAGAGCAGGAAGAAGTTAATCGCCGGATGATGGATGAGATACTGGGGAAAGGGACAGGGCCGAGAAAGTTTACTTTCAAGGAACTGGCTAAGGCTACTAACAACTTCAGCGATTCGCACAACAAGCTTGGGGAAGGAGGGTTCGGCGGGGTTTACAGAGGGTTTATCAAGGAGAACAATGAGTACGTTGCCGTGAAGAGAGTGTCCAAAAGATCGAGACAGGGGATCAAGGAATTCGCGGCGGAGGTGAAGATCATCAGCAGGCTGCGGCACAGGAATTTGGTGCAGCTCATTGGATGGTGTTACGAGAAAAGGGAGCTGCTCTTAGTCTACGAGTTTCTACCCAATGGCAGCTTGGATATCCATCTGTTCAAGAACAAGGATGTGAACTCTCTTTTGTTGACATGGGAAATGAGGTACAAGATCGCCAAAGGGCTGGCAGCAGGGTTGTTGTACTTGCACGAGGAGTGGGAGCAATGCGTGGTTCACAGAGACATTAAGTCGAGCAACATTATGCTGGATTCGAGCTTCAACGCCAAGCTCGGCGATTTCGGGCTGGCGAGGCTGGTGGACCACGAGAAAGGTTCACAGACGACAATGCTGGCAGGGACGATGGGTTATCTGGCACCAGAATGTGCCACAACGGGCAAGGCGAGCCGCGAATCGGACATTTACAGCTTCGGCGTGGTGGTTCTGGAGATTGCTACGGGGAGAAAGCCTGCTGTTGTGGTGAACCCAGAGGAGGAGCAGCGGCAGCAGTATGCGGAGCATTTGACTCAATGGGTTTGGGACCTCTATGGAGATGGAACGTTGTTGATTGAAGGCCCTGATTCAAGGCTGGGCAAGGATTTCGACGAGCGGGAAATGGAGAGGTTGATGATCATTGGGCTGAGTTGTGCTCACCCGCATGCCAAGTTCAGACCTTCCATTCGGCAAGCATTGCAAGTCCTCAACTTTGAGGCTCCATTGCCGGTTCTCCCGCTGAGCAGGCCAGTGGCGACTTATGTTTCGGCCCCATCGACTGCTGTGTCGTCTACTTTTTCGTCTTCCACCGTTGGTGGTGGTTCTAGCTCTATGGATTCATCAGTGGAAGGTGACAGGAGGAGCTACTTCTCTGCTGATATTGCTCCTTCTAGGTTGAAGGTTTCTTCGTCTTCGGTGGATAGTTTCCATGTCGCTAATACATTTTAGCTAGTACCAGTTTTGACTGCATCGATTTCGACAAGTGTGTATCATCCGACTTTTATAGGTTCGTCGGCTATTTATGAAAATCGAGATAGTATTTAACGTATAAACCAAGGTTCTCGTATAATGGAAGTAGAGCAATTGTAAAAATCTATGTCCATATCGTTGAAGTATCTGATAAAAAATCTGGGAAGCATAAGTACTGGACATTGAATCAGAACTACATTTCATCGTCCGTCACATATTCATCTTCAGAAGCATTGGGTTCGAACAGGTACTCATAACCACTCAAATCATCCCAATCATCTCTTGGAGCTGCTTGGTGTGTCAAGAACATGTGATGGCTCAGAAGATATGCATCCCTCCCAACTTCATACCCAGATAAATTTCTGCTGCTGCTGCTGCTTTCAGCTATTTCTTTACCCTTGCTGCTCTCCTGCTGCTGCTCGTATATGACTCGAATGCCACACCCTTGGACTTCGAAGCACGCCGCAAGATCCATGACGATATGAAGTTCATCCCCTGCTTCCAAGTACTCTCCAAACGTCCAATGGCTTAACCACAACATGCTGTTTCTACTACCAGCGACTTTAGCCCCAGGGATTCCGAAGAACATGGGGCTGTAACACCATTTTACACCACTTGTCTCATTGATGATCTTAAGGTAATTCTCATCCACAAGTGATGTTTCTTTCTCTTCCTCAGATTCCCATTTCCCTGTATAGGCAGTGCACAAACTCAACCCACGTATCTTTAGACCGGAAGCTGCTGGCAGCACCATTGACAGGGATGAGGATTCTTCAACTCGGATGTTGAACCAGTCTGGAACTTCACTCCCGGGAATGAATGTGCTGAAGATGTTGCACTCTTGGAGTACCTAAACAAGAGCTTTCGTCGTTAGAACATTATAATGCTATAAACACCAAAGGGTGAAGAAGACATGGATTTCATGAGAGGGAATGTGAACACCTGAATTGGTGTCTTTATGGTCGTGCATGACAAGGCATTGGACATCTCTATTTCAATCCCCTCGAAGCTTTCGAGGTCGAACAGGCCCAAATTGCTCAGCACTTCTGTGTCAATGCTGCTTAGTCTGTCTAATCTAAACAATCCTCCAATTTCAGTTATCCTTTCACAACCATGGACTTCCAAATCCAACCATTCAAGCAAGTTTGGCAAGTTTGCTATTCTGTTCAATGAGGAACAGTCATCTGCCTTCAGTATGCTTAAACTGGTTGGAAGCTCCGGAAGTGCTTCAAGTTTTGTGCACAGCTCGAGCTCGAGGGTCTCCAGCATACCAAGCTTGTTGATGTCTTCCGGTAGGTAACCAAATGGGTTCTTGCTCAAGTTCAAGCTCTGTAAGAACGGCATGTGGGTAAACCGTATGGGAAGAGTTGATATGTTGCAGTCTGCAAGGCTCAGGCTCAACAAATTGCTAGGAAAAATTGAGAATGAAAGTGTGCTAATAGATTGTGCCTGGTTTTTTCCAACTCCGTCGGCAGCTAGGAATTTCAGTGACTCCATTTCACTCAAATCCTTGGGCATTTGTTGGAGATTCAAGCAACCAGAGAGAATAAGGACACAGAGAGAGCTTTTCAGAGTACCGAAGTCTGCAGGGAGCTTCCTGAGACTTGTGCAGTCTTGCAGGTTCAATAGTTCAAGCCCCTTGAGGTCACAAATGGACTCATCAAGTTCGGTTAAGCTTGCACAATCCTTGAGCAGCAGCCTCTCGAGGCTCGGGAGTCCATTGAAGTTTGGGGTTCTAACAAGGTTTTGAGAGTGATTCAGGTTGAGTATCTTCAACTCAGGTAGGAACTGATACAAAGGAAATAAATCATTTACTTACTGTTGTTGGTACTGTCACTGAATCACTAAGAAAATATGGTGTCGTTCATTCATACCTTTGTTTCCTTCCAGAGATATTTGAGGTTGCCATTTCTCATGTCGAGTACAACCAACTTTTCCAGGGACAACTCATTCGGCATACATTCCATCGGGAAACCTTTCCAACGCAGCCATACTAAGTTTCTAGGAAAATTCTTGTAGTCCCCTTTGAACTTCACGTCATTGAGATGCAGCAACTTAAGTTTCTGCATCCTTGCTGCCGACTGTATGGAGAATGAACCTTGTGAAGTACTGTCTGCTGGTTTATGGTGGAAGAAGCCAAGACGACGTTGCCTTTTCGAAACGTTTCCTTTTGAATCACTATTTTGGGACTGTGTTTGATAGTGTGGTGAACCTTTGTGCATATCCAAAGTGAGACCCTTCACTAAATCTGTACCCTGCATTCACATGAACACATTTAAGGAGAAAACAAGTCAGCTTCTTAGTAAACAGGCAGGCTCAACTCAAATGCAGTGTTAGAGTTGCCATTTACCTTCTTCTCTTTCAATACCATGAAAGAATCCTTATGATCCCACAGCCTGCTACGTTTCCCAGGATCATCAACTGACTCCTGACGAACAATCTCTCTCCCCATTTCCACCACCAGCTGATGCATTGTCAACTTGTTCTCTTCGCTGATACTCACCAAACATCTGCGGGTCAGATTCTTAATACCGACAAATGCAAAGAATCCACATCCACCAGCTATCCTAGCAACATAGTCCACGTCCATTCCATTGAAGAAACAAGCAATATCAAGGAACAAATTTCTGTCATGATCATCCTCCAGAGAACCAAAGCTTATCTGGAAAATGCTCTGGATATCGCTCTCAGGAACCCTTTTCAGCCTCTGCAACACACTTTCCCATACCTCATTAGACTTCCCACAAAGGGAAGAGCCCAGAACTTGAAGAGCTAATGGAATACCGCCACAACGATCCACTGCTTCTTTAGACAGCAACTCGTAACCATCATCGGGACGATCAGCACCACCAAAGGCATGCCAACTGAATAGCTGAATAGATTCTTTATCGTCCAATTCTTTCACCTTCAGCATCAAGCTAACCGCATGAGCTCCCATTATATGCTGATGCCTAGTCGTTATCAGTATCTTGCTTCCCTTGTGAAACCACTGCAGCAATCCCATGATTACATCCAGCTGCTCCGAGTGATCAACATCATCGAGAATGAGAAGTACTTTCTTACGATACAAGGCATCTTTGATCTTGACAATGCCTTCATCTGCACCGTAAACTTTTGGAGCACTGCCCTTTGTGAGATCAGAAAGAAGCTGCCTCTGCAGACGAACCAACCCATTGGGTTGGCCTGAAACGCTTCGAATATCAGCGAGAAAGCTGCCAGCATCAAATTTGTCAAAGTTTTGGTTGTAGACGATCTTGGCAATGGTTGACTTGCCAACACCACCAACCCCATAAATTGCAGCAACAGTTGCATCTGCGGATTCATTTTGCAGCCATAAGTTCACGAGCCCTGCTCGGTAATCCATTCCAACCAAGTGGGTGGACACGTCGACCAGTGTACGGTTCAGCAGCTTCGCCACTTGCTTTACTACATCCTGAACAAACTCGGATTCGTACCTACAAAGAAATGAGGAAGAAGGTTATGTCAAAACGTAACTTGCCCTCAGTTGATTTTCCAGAGTCTCTGAATTGTGATTTAACTAACCTGTCTTGCAAGACCAAGTGGGGTTGAAGATGTTCAAGCTGGGAAACCGCCTCTCGCCACCGATCCACGACATCCTCGTCGAAACAGTTCCGATGTTGAGCAAAGGCTTCGCCGTAGCTACCAGACAGGGCGTGGACATCAGAGGGAAGGACATCGTAGTAAATTGGGACGACGATGTGGCCGTGGGTTTTCCGGCGATCCATGATCAACGCGAGCTCATCAAGACACCATCTTGAAGAGGCATAGTCGGAGGAGAGGACGAGGATTGAGAGCTTGGACTGACGAATGGCGTGGTTGATTTCGGACTCAATGTGCTCCCCTCGCCGGATTTCGTCATCGTCTCTGAAGGTGTTGATTCCAGATTGAGTGAGGGCGGTGTAGAGGTGGTCGGTGAAGTTTTTGCGAGTGTCTTCGCCTCTGAAGCTCAGGAACACGTGGTAAGTAAAACGAGGAGCAGGGGAAGAAGAAGAAGAAGAAGAAGCCATGGAGATGGGAGTTCTGAGTTCTGATGGTGAAGAAATATCTAACTGAACGAATCAATGGGTACTTCAAAGCATTAGTGGAATAATCAAAATCAAAGTCAACGGTAAGGACAAGAAAACCAGCAAAGTCAACTGATGGAAATGTGGACAGTGGAAATGAGTAGGAGCCAACAGGCCATGTCGACGGCTTTACAATCGGACCAGATCTAATAAACAAAAACGTCGATCCAAAGTATAACCAATTCGATTCGGTTCGGTTTCGGTTCAATCTCTTTTATAATGCTGGCGTACACTACAAGGTACAAACGAATGCATGACCTTAAAGCAAAGATTAGACTCCACCATCACCTATCCCCTGCTTCATAACTCACTCTTTTTCCATCATATTTCTTCGTCTTCGAAGGGGTCTCTTTCTGGATAGTCACCAACCTGTCAATAATCAATATTGCAGCCAAGGGACGATCCATTACCAAATTTCATTAGGATTATCTAGCAGAACCAAAGACGAAAACAATATGGCACTAAAGCGAACCTAACTACCGTGGCTAGATGGTTGTGTTCATACCTTTACTTTGTCTGGCCTCAGCATTGCACCATGAAGAGGAGGGCACTCGAAATACCGGGTTCCTTTCACCCTACAGCACCACCCGGAAAATAAGAGGTATCACTAATCATGTATACAGAGAAATGTAACTGAATGCTAACAAACCTAAGCATGTGTATATTCTGAAAACTGAGAAGCCAGGAATGACATAGGATGAGAGACTTCCATAAATCAGTTCACAGAGCAGCAAAAAGAAGTGTATACATACATGCCGTCGTGTTTCCCCAGCGGCTCATCATACTGAACTCCAACCCAAAATCCCAGTCCAAGAGGTTCTGCTCGACCAACATACTTGATAACCCCTCTTTTCTCCCCTGGTTGAACCTCACATCTGTCTCCTACCTAATTTGTTCAGAAAACTAGACAATGAATCACGAAGTTTTTTCACTGGAATGCAGTAAGTACCAAAGCCATGAGATGTAGGGAGGGTAAAACAGCTTAGTCAAACCTTCATATCTGCACATAGTTCTTGCATATAGTTTTCCATTATCTGTGGATGTATAAAAACTAAATTAGGGAATACATAAGGATCATGATCTGAACAGTGACAAAATGGCAACATTGCACCCAAGCTGGCTCAAGTAAACACCATTTATCACAATAGTGTATTTTTAAGCAAGAGGTGTTACAGAATAGAGCAGTCGATTTACAATAAAGAAAAGGCTCATATCAAGATATCACCTTCGGCTCAAAGGCTGCCGGATTTTGAGCGACCATCTTTTCTTTGAACTTCCTGAAAGTTCCTGCTAAGGAAAAGCAACATGTAAGCTTCCCATTAACTCAAAACTTCAGACTTTAGACCTTGACTTCCAACTCCAAGAAGCCAACAATCCAGAAGAAATTAATTTCGAGTGAGAACCCTGACACCAAATATCTGAAAGATAGAGCTCACCTCGAACCATATATAATAAAACAGTGTTTAGACATGCTAGCCCAAGCAGATCATAAAATAAGGGACCTAATCATCAATGGTAACATCATAGGTTGCAATTGAACAGTTTCTCGCTCGCATTCAGTTAGATTACAAAAACACACGAAAGATCCCATCCCAAGCTTCCAACTCTGATGGACAACCCCACGGAAAGACTAACAGCAGATAGTACTGGTACCAACTGAACCCAACTCCCTCACGGTAAACGGTGATGCCAGCCAAATCTAAGTCTATAGAAACAGAAACCAGAGAGGCTGATTCTTTCAGCAAGCAAGCTGGTTTGGTAGGGACTAGAGCATTGGCTTACCATCAAGTTTATCATATGATTCATCTGAGATTGTGTACTTCTCCACCAATGAGGTGTCTTCCAACCAGCCACCAGAAGTGACAGACGACGGATCGAGATCTATAATGTGTAGCCGGAACCTTAATCGAAAACCAAAAAAGAACAAACACTTAATCAATCATCCAGCTGCAGGGGAAATTGAGCGCCAAAATTAGTTCACAACACCCAAACATAAACTACAGAAGAAAAGAAATCACACCCGTCGACAGGAGTGTAAAAGCCGAGGAGAGTAGTGGGATTATTCAGATCAGCGATTTTGGTGTTAGCATCATCATAGAGCTCCAACGACATTGAATTGACCGATGTCCCACATTTCCTCCATAGCTTGTCTTTCACTGCTTCTACTGTTGACTGCAGTAGACAACCAAAAATGGCAACTTTTCACTCTCGCGATCATCATTCGTGGAAAGGGGCTGGGGGGTAGGAATATATTTGGGCTTACCTGAAGTGAGCAGCGGACCTCGGCAGAGAAAGTTTTGAGATTGGAGTGGGTGACGCGGAGGAGAACTGAGTCGTCTCCCTCAATCTGAAACCGAGCCGCCATAGACAGCTTCTTGAGTAAAAGGACGGAAGCCGACGGGCCAGATACAAGAGGCCGGAAAGGCAGCGATTGAGGATCCCCCGACGGCGAAGGACCGAGGAACAGGGGAGAGTGGTCAGACGACGGAGATCTCTCCTCTTTTTGGTGAAAGCGGCGGAGATCTCTCTGCTGCCGGGAATTCACGATCGAATCCCTTAATTGAGGGAGTTGTGAAATCTGAAATTAATTGGATTAGCCAAAGTACTCTTACAGTCACTGAACTTAACCCAAGTTCCGAATTCATACCAATTAAACTTAGAAACTTCTCCCTTTACCACCCAAAGTTCACTTTCTTAACTTTTGATTCTTATATTACAATACAGAGCAACATTTGTACACATAATACCTTATCTACATGCTCCAATGGTGTCACAATTTTCATACACACAGCAACGATCATATTCAACATACAATAGGATACTTAAAAGTTTGCATATGCTGCTGCAAGCAACTATGAGCCACCAAGATCAAGCGGTTGGGTAAGAAGCCTGCATAGCAATGCTGCAGAGGCCTTCCTCGGCCGAAACATCTCTCTGCATGCGAATGTATCCCTCTTCCCCCACTGAGCTCCCCAAGAGTTCTTCACCAACCAGTACTTCATCCCTCCGCTCTCCCCATACCCGACCGCCGTCACACCATGGTCCAATTCGGTACCACACTCTCCTGTGAAGACCCCGCTCTTGTAGAACTGGAACGAGGAATCCCCTGCATCGATCGCGACCGAAATGGGCTGACTCGCTACGGCCTTCAGCAATGCGGACTCGCTGTTGGCCGGCACGTCTTCGTACCCCTTGATGTCAGCCGCGTGGTTGCCTTCTCTGCTAGCGCTGCTTCCACTGCTCGTGCCTGAGGCGCATGGCGGCCTCCTGAGGGGTGTGGCGCGCCATGGATACGGAAGCCAGAGCTCCGAGGGTGAAGATGGAAGCTAGGAGGAGGAACTTGCTGTTCAGGGCCGCCATTGTTGGGTTTTTAGTGTGATGTGGATATGATGGAGTAGAAGGAAGACGGGTTTGTGATTTATTGGGTTGGTATGCTCTGCTTTTTATACAGAGGAACCGAGAGGCAGGGGAATTTGGCAACATCAGCGTGGCTGAGATTCCATTCCCAACTATTTGACTTCTCCTTCGTCTTCTATCACTGCAGAGATTAATTTTGCAGTGGGAATTCACCAGATTAAATCGGCTGGGCCGCCTTCATCGTGCCGTCTCGTTTGTTATGAGACATATTTCATATCAACGTTGATCGTTAATTTCGTACTAGAACTGCACTTCAATCGTTTTATATCTTTAAAAAACGCATATTGTTTGATGTTTGATATCTGGTCCAACCGGCCGGTACTGTTAGGTTTTTACAACATTGATTTTGTTTCATTGAAAATGGTTTGACATAGACAGGTTGCAATTTCGATCCTCGTCGATATTGGTATTTTGGAAATGAGGGCGCAGATAGAACCTAAGAAGTTAGAATTTTTTGCAATCGAAATCAAATGTAAAAATACTCAACGTGTGAATATTATGACCGTGGAATATATATCAAACGAAATCGTTATGTTCAAATTTGGGTTTGATTGTTAAGCATTCATTAGTAAGTATTTGAACTTTATGGCTGATTAATAATGATTTTGAGGTCATTCGGAATGATTGAGACATATCAGTAAATTTTTCGAAGCAGGTTAGCAAACATTATTTAATAAACATTCTATTGTAGTGCATTTTGTAACATTTCGATATAATAACTATTTTGATATCTGATAAAAGATTTAATTTAGTCGATTATCGGTTTCATATACCTTAGTTCTATACTGGAATATTACCTAAATGGGCTTATGAAAAAATTTGATTCCCAAATTGTCCATGTTGACAAGTTAGGTGATCATTTCGGACTTTACCACCCCTAAAAATAAATGCCTGACCCTGTCCGCCGTCGATCTCCCTTTAACTGGTTCATCTGTGTCCCTCTGCGGCCACTCGGCAGACACAAACAGCTGGTCGGAAACTAGGGCTGGGAAAATAGACCAGACCGTTAGAAAAACCGTGGTTCAAACCGTTCCGCACAGGTTGGTCCGGACCGTAGACCGTGAAGTATGGTCTGGTCTGGTCCATGGTCTGTATTATTTTATGATTTGATCTCTTGATCTGGTCTGGTCTAGACCGCGGTTTACCGGACCAAACCGTAGACCCAACTGACTTGTCAATACGTATTAACAGCCCATTCGACCACTCTCCAAACTCCCACAACGACACCCAAGTCTCAACCTTAATTTTGTAAATCTCTTCCCTCCTTCATTCACAACCACATTTAACCACAGAGTAGAGATAATCGTGTCTCCATATGACATTATGTTAATGTTTATGACATTATGGTGCAAGTTGGGATGCTTTTACTTTGTATCTTTGTTATGTACTAAGATTTAGAGTATCAAAATTATTCATGCATGTTAGGATTAATGTTTTAAGGCAAATAAAAATTATTAATCTTAGTTATTGGTTCAATTTTTTGTGTGGTTGACTAAACAAATTATTCATTTTTCGTTGAATATGGTCTATCTGGACCAGACCAGACCGAACCAGACCGCACAGACGTGGTCTGGACCAGACCGTATAGTCTGTGGTCTGGTCTGTGATCTATACTTTAGCCTCTCGGTCTAGACCGTAGACCGTCGCACCGTTTCCCAGCCCTATCGGAAACCCTGAAGCTGTTGAATAATCCCTTTCCCCGGCTGCCCGTTCACCGTAAAGATGCAGAGCAATAAGAAGAAGAACTTCAGGAAGAGGACTTGCCCAGAAGACGATGAAGCCGGAGACCGAGAAACTAACAATCCCAACTCCAGCTTATCAGACGACGAAGAAGAACGCAGGTATTCTCTCTTTTCCTCCCTCTAATTTCCCCTCCTTCCACCAATCAAATTAGGGTTTTTGCCTGATGTGGCAACCTCCCTTCTTCCTGCTGCAGATTAGCATTAGAAGAGGTCAAGTTCCTTCAGAAACAGCGGGAGAGGAAGTTCGGAATCCCTGCCCTTCCCGCTTCCCAATCTGGGTCATTGCTGTCAGCTAAGAAACTAGCTGACAAGAATGATGCTGCGTCGGCCGCAGCTGGTGGCGGTGGCGAGGGGGAAAAGGAGGAACTCGTCCTTCAAGACACCTTCGCTCAAGAAACTGCAGTCATGGTCGAAGATCCCAACATGTAAAGTTTCTGTTTTTCTTCTTCGTCTTCTCCCATCCTCTTGCTGTTTTGACTTGCTTCCCTTTCAAGATTCAGCTCAGAAGACCTTGTTTTTCTGCTTCATTACTCTTACCTGAAGACATCAGTTCATTAATTAGGTTTCTGGGTGTTAGTAAATCGATTAACTAACACTGCTCCCTGAAATCATTTCCTGTAATCAGCCAGGGAAACTCCTTTGCTCACTGTTTGGCCCTTGGCCGACCATTTGATAGATCAATGACAATGGCTATTACTCTTCGCCTATTGCCCATGGCAATTCAACTTACTAGACTAAAACATACCCTTTCTGCTTCTTTATAACTGATCACCACTACATTTTTCTGAGAGCTCTTAATGCTGCTCTTTTTCATTATGTTGCCTCTGGAGATTCCTTGAACAAAGGGATGTTATAAGAAAAAACCAACTATTTTTTTGTTTTTGTTTTGATTGATTAACAGGTTGAAGTATGTTGAGCAGGAATTAGCTAAGAAGAGAGGCAAGAACCTGGACTTGGATGGTCAAGTTGAGAATGAATTAACGCGTGCTGAGGATGAATTATACATAGTCCCTGATCATCTTAAAGTGAGTTTTTCGTTGAGTTGCAGCCGTTTGTTTTTCTTTTCACGTGGTTCTGGAAGGGAACATGGTTGTACATGTTCTAGAGACATCTGTTCTTGTTTTCTCCTCTAGAAGATGCTGTTTTACGCTTGTCATTGCTTTTGAACATCTCCCTGAATTACCTGTCAGGTTAAAAGGCGCAACTCAGAAGAGAGCTCTACCCAATGGACTACAGGAATTGCAGAAATTCAGTTGCCAATTGAGTATGCAATTATTTCCCTCGGCTCATTCCCTCGATTTGTGTGGTTGGACTTGTAGCTGCAATTTCTTTTAATGGCTGTGATATTGTTGTTGGTTTTAGCCTCGGTGGGGGAGCCATGTGCATTTGCTAGCATGTACTGCTACAGCATTGTCCTGCCTTGATATTACAAGCTTCCTTCAGAAACAGAAGGGTTCTAGAGTCTGTGCAGTCCACCTGTGATGCTATTGTTGACTGGTTTCTCTATTTCTCGCTGTTCGTAGATACAAGTTGAAAAACATTGAAGAAACAGAGGCCGCAAAGAAGCTGTTACAGGAGAAGAGGTTAATGGGTAGGACCAAAACGTCTGACATTAATATCCCATCAAGTTACAGTGCAGATTATTTCCAGCGTGGGAGGGATTACGCTGAGAAACTTCGAAGAGGTTTGTTCTGATTCTCTTTTTCTCTGCTTTTTACTCAAGAATGGGTTACAGATATCTTGTGGCATTTATCCCTGGAGAATTCATGAAATGACCAAAACCAACTAGTCGATGTGGCTATATACCTTGAGTGCAATCTAAATTTGCAATTGGGTATGAGCTCTTTGGAAGTCTACACAATGTTGTGGCTGTATTCATTCATTTGATGATTGTTGACCCGCCTGCTACATTGAAAATGCAGAGCATCCAGAACTGTACAAGGATGGGAAGCCGAATGCTGATGCTGCTGGAGGCGGCGTACCTAAACCTGCAGCAGATAGCAATAATCCGGAAGCAGGAGGAGCAGCAGCTCGCAGGGAAGCTGCAACAGATCAGTTCATGCTAGAGCGTTTCCGGAAGCGTGAGCGCAATCGTGTCATGCGCAGATAGATGCCTCTCTCTGCTCTGCCTTTTCCTCTTTGTAAGGACAAGATTGCTTTGATTTGCCTCTTGTACTATTTGTTGAGAGATGCAGAACGCATGACGATTGACATTGTGGTGTGGCCATTCAGCGCGGCACTGAAATGAAATGAAATGTAATCTGATGCAATGAGATTGAGATTCATATGCAATGAAGGTCACCGAACCTTGCGTTTACCGACGATTTGAAAAGCACGATTTGAAAAGCGAATGGCTGACCATCTCAAAAGCTCAAAATCCCATTCTGTTCCATCTTTCTAACCATCAGTGTAGATTAAGAACATAACTTATACAGCCAACATAGGAAACCCTAACAACGAGCAACTGTTAACTATGCATACCCAGGCGATCTTCACAGTGCAAAATAGCTTATACGAAGCAATAACAAGAATCAAGCTACATTACATGGCTGCAATAGATGCATCCAGCGGAATTGGCTGTTCCAACAGCCATGAAGATTCTCCTAAAAAAAATTCTTAAACACAGAGTTAACAACCACAATCTTATTTATGAGGGAAGTTTATCCTTTTACAGGTTCCACCACTGACATCAAAAGTACACCAAGCCCAAACATCTACATGGACGACTTGCAACGTTTGGATACAAAGGAAACAAAGTTATAGTCCCAAAACAACAAATTATTTTTGCCAAACAGCAAGCAACTCTTTGAAACCAGGAAAGTAGGCATCCCAGCATTGACTTGGCCTTCCAACAAAACGCCCATCTGCAATATCTGCCATAAACCAATATACAGGGATCAAACCAACGAATCAGCATAGATACAAGAACTCTCTTTCAAGTTTATGCTTTAAGTACCACAAAAGGACATGCATTCTAACGAACAAACAACTTTCCAGAGAGCTGTTCACAAACTTGTTATCCTCATCCAGAGTTCTCACAATGATCTAACACAGACAGAAACCTAAACAATTGAGAGTTGAATTTAAACGCGAGAACCTGTGGAAGCATAATCACACATCTACTAATGGTGTATCATTATGGCTTGCTCATTAGCAAGACTGCAAGAGTGAGGGATTGCAGAGCCACAAAGAGATAGCGACTCCTACTCAACCATTAAGCAACACCATACATCCTGTTATGAACTTCTTTACTTCGCTATAGTTCGAGAAAAAGTTGAATTACAGCCATTGAACTCTTCCAACTCACTTGGGGTGGAGCTAAAGTATCCATAACAGCTCATAACAAAACTGCCAACCCCCATGAAAAAAGAAGGGGTAAGACCAGAACACTGCCAGCTCCCAAATGAGCAATTTGGACAGACGGGAAAGTGACGAATCGAGGACCAACGCGAGAACTATTGTACTAACATAATTCGCCACAACCAACATTTGTATGTTCATAACATCACAAGTTCTTGACCCCCGCAATGAAAAGAAAGGCCATGGAAGTACAGAACAGCAGCACCTAAACGCAACGGAATCCATCTACCAGAAACGTAAGTCACACGACATCAGCTTCGAGACAACCCAATTCCTAATGAGATTCAATTCAAACAGGGAACCTATAACTACCCTGGATCGCTAAGCGCTATTGACGAACAGCTTGATATAACTGAAAAGAAGACAAAATCCTACCCCCAAGTAAATTCAATTGGAATGAAAACCCATGAAAATTCAGAACAATCCCCAAACTCGAGAAAGAGAAAGAAACCAACCTCAGGGATACAATTATCAAGAATCCCAAATCAATGCGAGTGAGAGGACGAAGGCGAGCCAACCCTATCGTAGATTTGCTCGCCGACGAGATATACGCCGAAGGCGACAAGCGCGATGCCGAGCCCAGGAGTCGCGTGGCGGAACTGCTTGATCATCATTGGATGCTTCCTCCATTCATCCCTTCGCCGGAAGAATTCCCCGGTTGGTCCCAACTGCTTCCCCATCTTTCTTCTCCGATTTGACTACTGTGTGTGCCCTCTCCCCCAACTTCTCCCTGCTTCCTGCTCTCAAATGTGTTGGTTCTGCAAATCGGGAATCCTCTTCATTTCACAACAGCGCAATGCTCCATCGCGTGGGCCTATGTTGTTTACGGCCCACAGAACTACAAGCTACGCTCAAGCCCATTAAAGTTGGCTGCTTTCGGAAAAAACAATTTTGTAAAGGAGCAGCCTTGGTAGTGTAGTCAGGCGACGAACTTTGACCGGCGATTATTGGAAATTTGAGCCGGCGGGGGAGGTCTGATTTAGACGACGGTGGTTGGTGAGATTAGAAAGGCAAAAGTTCAGGTTTTGGATACTGATAGATAGACAGGCCGAGTGACACAGAGCTGGGTGGCAGCAACAGAGAGAGAGAGAGATGTCGATTACTCTGCAACTTCGTCTTCTTCCCAATCCCACCAGCACCAACCATTCTTCTGCAACTGCCACTGCTACCCACTCCGCATTCCTCTCTCTGCCTTCCAATCTCTCCTTTGCTGCTTCTTCCTCTCTCTCCAACTCTTCCACCCTTGCCTTCCTCCCAGGTGAAACCGAACTTTCACCACGTTCTCTTCCTCTTCCAAATTCCCTGCATCTATGGCCTCATTTACTTGGGTTTTCGTTTTTTCTCTCTGTTTCAGGTCACAAACTCAATTCCCTCCAGAAGCCCAGATTTGCCGCCTCCCCCATCAGATGCTCCGCTGCCCAGGAAAATGTATCAGCTTTTCCCCCCCAACTTGCTGAGTTTGCTTGCTTTCTACAAGATAGTTGTATGGTGGGCTATTTCTGATGCTTCCATCTCTGTGAGCAGGGCTCTGGAGCTGTGAAAGAGCGGAGTGTTTCAGTGGTTCTATTAGCTGGAGGACAGGGGAAAAGAATGGGTGTATGATTGAATTGCTCCCCGCCTTAGCTATTTAACTTTCCGTCCTGCCTCTTTGATTATCACTGGTTACTTATTTCTACATTTTTCCAGAATAGGCGAGCATGCCAAAGCAGTATCTTCCACTTCTCGGCCAACCAATTGCTCTCTACAGGTAACACAAGAATTGCAGTTCTCTCGTTGACTTAGAAATAATAGCTGATTGCATTGTAATCCTGAGAAATGAAAGATGTACACGATAGCATTGATATGTTTAGAGAACCAAAGCACATTTCTTGGAATCTTGGAGAGTAGTAGTGAAGTACAATACCATGTCAGCGAATTTGAGTTCTCCTTAACCCTGAGAAACTGCTCTTAAGACACTGTACTTCACACTGCTACAACTAGTTGCATTTTATATGCCTCTGGAGAAATGATGTTGGTGCTGTTTCTTGGCAGTTTCTTCACTTTCTCGAAGATGATTGAAGTAAAGGAAATCGTTGTGGTCTGTGATCCTTCCTACAGGGACGTCTTTGAAGGTTTCTACATCTGTAGCTATCTGTGCATCTGCTTCCCATGCGTGGTGTTTTCTATTTGCTTGTATTTTAACCGTGTCGATTGCCCTGTGGCTGTCGTCTTCTTTGCTTAACTTAGCTGAAACCGACTAATGGCCGGTGGTTTTTCTCAGATGCCACAGAAGGGATCAACATTGACCTTAAATTTGCACTGCCTGGTAAGGAAAGGCAGGATTCTGTGTACAGTGGTCTTCAGGTGAATCGGAAATGGTTCAAATTTTGTTGAGATTCATGAAATAACCAGGAAATGCTTGTAGTTACTAGTTACTCACACATGCCTCATCTGATGACAGGAGATAGACCTTAGCTCTGAGCTTGTTTGCATCCATGACTCTGCACGACCTCTGGTGCTGGCAGCTGATGTGAGAAAGGTCTGTGGCCAGGAACTAATCTGTCTGGGAAGAATTTCTTGGCTTGAGTGGAATTATACATTACCAAGTCCAACCTGTTTATCTGGCCTATGGTTTAGGTCATTAAGGATGCATCAGTGAATGGAGCAGCAGTGCTCGGTGTTCCTCTTAAAGCCACCATAAAAGAGGTAACCGATTCTATATGCTCTGAACAGTTTAGTTTAGACTAAAGATATTAAAGGGCACAATCTTGAATCAGGCATTCCGTGTTTTGGAGATTGATAAGTTTAACACTAAACCTCTACCTGGGTAATTTCGTTGACGCAGGCAGATGGTAAGTCATTTGTAGTGCGAACTCTTGACCGCAAAACACTATGGGAGATGCAAACCCCACAGGTACAATGAATGTCACAGACGTTTCATCAAACCTTCAGCGTGAGAGAAGGGCTGTTGTGCTTACAAGTAAATCTGGTATTACTTTTATTGACAGGTGATCAAGCCAGAAGTGCTTAGGGAGGGCTTCGAGCTAGTCAATAGGTGAACAGAGTATATATTTGAAGTTCGTTGTGTATTTGGATTGACAACTGCATTAAGAAAAGCTCATTTTCCGAGAATGAGATAGTGACCCATTCTCCTCTTCACAGGGAAGGCCTAGAGGTGACTGACGATGTTTCGATTGTAGAACATCTAAAACATCCTGTTTTCATCACTGAAGGATCATACACTAACATCAAGGTAATCTCTGAATGAAGCAAACTCAAACTAAACCTTTCACCTTACCGTTTGCTGACTACTTTGATTGGGAATTGTAGGTTACAACACCAGATGATATGCTGCTTGCCGAGAGAATTCTGAACATGAATTGAGCTTTTAGGTTGAGAAGTCATGAGTTTTTCAAATGATTGTTTGCCTACTGTTCTTTTGAGGCCTAACTATGAAAGGAAAACCAAATACTCTGGATTTAATGCAACGGCAATAATACACAGGATGCAATCCATCGACAATTTATGTTTTGATATCTTCCAAGTTCTTCCATTTTTGTGTCGATCAAACTTGAACTATCCAAATGGAAACAAGCCAGAATGAAGACCAAATCTACAACCTTGATTCTCTTATTCATCAATGGAGGAAAAAACATGACCAAAATGGGAGTCTATAGCAGTAAAAACAAAAGTGAGGACGCTCTTTACATAGTGACGTAAACATTTCTGGTGTTATTGTTCCTGGGCAATGTCGCTACCTAAGAAATAATATAGGCTTTTTCAATGAAAAAAATGTCGCGAAAACAAAGAAGGGGCAAAAGGAAACGCAGAAGAAACAGCACAGACCCACAAGTGCACTCGGATTGTTGCCATATGAGCTACCTTCTTCTAGCCATGCTCCCACTCTTCTTTTGCTTTCCACACTCACCAAACAGTGAAAATCCTCCAACTCTCCGTCGAGACCGCGCAGTAGCAAAATTACCCTGTTGTTTCAAGCAAAGAAATGCAACAATCATTTCTGTCAGTAAACAAAATGCAGTCATAGGGAACAAAACAAGAAAAAAGAGGCAGCCGTTACCACCTTTCGCCTGTGGGATTTCTGTGCATTCCAACAGAAGAGCCCGCTGCAACCTCCACCTGCAGTGCTTGACTCATACCCCCCACTAAACCCAAAACGAGAAAACAAAACATAAAGACACAATCTTTAGGTAATACGAGTAGTACTAATGCAGAAATGGATCCATCTGGGAACAAAGAAAAGATGGGTGGAAAAAGACTCACCTTTCTCTGTTTGAGAAGTTGGTGAAGCCGTTACTATGAAGCAAGCTAGGTGATATTGGACTGTGGCCAGCCCTTCTACCAAGTTGATCCTTTATCAAGACCTCCTTTGGATCCTGCATCTTTAGAAGCTTCAGTTCCTGATTCAACTCTTCCCATTGACGTGGAGACAACCCCGTTGTTGGCTTTGAAGTTTCCTTTTCTCTTTCTTGATGGTGGTATATCTCCTCCTGAGGTAGCACCTGATTCCTCTCTGGTTTCAGCCGGCTTAAAGTCCCCGGTGTGCCTCCTTTCTCTGCTGTTTGTAACCATGCAGTTTCTAGCCTCTGCTCCCGGATGATAGATTCTATTCTTTGCATTGGTATCGCTATCCCAGTTTCCTTCATTTCAGTGCCATCAGCTTCAGGAAGCAATTCTTGCGACAACTTAGAGTGTTCTCCTGCTACCCCTCCCTTTAGCTTACTTTCCGGGCCACTAAGCTCTGAATAACCATCCAGTGGATTCAAGCGACTTCCCTTTCTCTTGGGACCACTTCGTTGTGAACCATTGACAAGAAAGTCAGTATCAGAGACGAGGATAATTTTGACTTCTATATTGCGTCTCAAGACCATTTCTATGGAGTTTGTGATGCTACTCATAAACCTTTCAGCTCTTGCTTTGATTTCTCCATCAAAGAATGCAACATACACAACCAGCACACCTGCAAGCAAAATATATAGAAATCAAGGGATATATTTCGTGCCAAGTTTATTATTACCGATGAGTAAATGACTTCCTATGTGTTTTGACTTGTGTCGGTGACATGATAAATTTCTCTGAGGATAGTTTATAAACTTGACAAAACTAAAAACGTTTCTCAATAGTTTGGTGCCATGTAAAACCTTCTAGCTTATTGGAAAACCACCAAACACACCTTTGTCTTAGTTCACTTAAATGAGAGCACTGAAGGGTGCAAAGGACTTCCCAATTGAAAAAGCGTTCCAAAAATAGTGAACAATTGAATTGCATGCGCAACATTCTTCATATCAGTACAAGATAATTCTTTAAATATAGCTCCAGAAGGATGAAATGCACAGTTGTTTGGGGGGAAAGCATGTAATTCACACAGCTCATGATTCATGAAAAAGCACGAGTCCTAAGGTTTCAGACAACATCATGAAAGTCATATTGTATATTGCTCGCTCATCCATTCATTCTATGTTTCTGTAACTTTCTAGAGAGATCCACGTGCTTACCTTCAACTTCTGCTATGGACAAAAGCTTCCCATGTGCATGTAACAGCTGCCTCAGAGACTTTGAGTGACACTTCTCAATGCACTTCTCCCAGATGAAATCCAACTTTTCTGAGTCTCTAAGTCGAGATTGTGTGTCACCAGACATGCTCCCATCCTGAGAAAGAGACGAGCTACAGGTACCCGTCAATTGACTGTGAGGGGACTTGCAATTCAACCCAAATGAGCTACCATTCATTGCATCGTACAAAGAAGCAGGTGAACTCGATCTTCTTGGTAGAGACTGAGCATCTGACTTGTGTTTGTAAACCGTTGCTCCTCTTGAAGCACTTGAAGGATCTTCCTCAGTCGTCCTGGAGCTGCTACCCCTTTTACTGTTGCTTGAGATTGTGAGTTCTAGTGAAGGCACTGAACCAAGCTGTAAAAGGGTTGCAGTGAACCATGTCGAACGATCACTGGAAAACCTTAGTTGTTTTTCAGCATCTGACAGAACCTTCAAGGCATTCTTTAATCTATCCACTTCTGCTTCAGTCACTACAGCACAGTTAGGAGACAGAGCAACTATTAGTATCCTGCCGTACTCTTGCACAAACATGAACAAGTATTGTCCTTCAAACATGCACTGGTAAAATTATGAACAATGTTTTTGAGTAATTGCTTAAGCATTACAAAATGCAGAACAGGAAACCAAAATCACTAAACCTATCAACATCTTGGCATAATTTGTTAACAGACATTTCTAAAAGGATCCAAACTTCCCGAATAAGCATCATACTCACAGCTTCTTCCACCAAAGAATGAATTGCTAGATCTGCCATCGCCTGCATTGCCAATTCCAGCAATGATGTCCATTATAAGGCTAGCCAATTGAGACATCAATACCATTGGATCAATCCCTGAGTCCATCAAATCCCTGGCTCTTTTCACTGTTTCGGTAGTGTCTGATAACAATGCCAACTCCAAAAGTTCCAGTAATTTCTCATCTGAGACAACTCCAACCTACAGATGCAGAAAGTTTTGAGTTTCAACCCACGCTAGTCCATATTCCAAGACATCATTCAAAGTAAGAACATAGTAGACATTCTGCTAAGAGTTTTTGAGAAATTTTACAAATAAGAAACTTTAAGTCGAAATATCCACATTAGAGCAAAGTAAATGGAACCATTCTGTTCTGCATAGAGAACTTACAAGTTCATTCGCCAATGATGTAGTTATCTTCTTCCCCAGAAGACTCAACTGGTCTAACATAGTCTCCGCATCTCGAAGTGAACCATCTGCGTTCATGGCTATAAGATCAAGTGCATCTGATTCGACATCCAGATTCTCTTCACTAGAAATTTTCCTTAACCGCGATACAATATCTGCATCTTTAATTTTGTTAAACTGGTACTTCTGACATCGGGACTGTACCGTTCGTGGCACATTGTCAGGATCTGTTGTGATGAATATGAACACCACTCCCCGATGTGGCTCCTCAAGGAACTTAAGGAACGCCAACCACAACTTAGATGGAAGCAGGTGACATTCATCAACCAGAAACACCTGATAATGCGAAGAGCTCAATTGGCGAGCTTGAGAAACCATTTTGAGAAGGTATCTCATTTTGTCAGCACATTGCTTACTCGTCCCATCAAATTCCCACAGAAATCTGCTATTTCCAGAAACGAAGTCAGCACAAGATGAGCAGTACCCACAAGGTTTAGTTACATCAGTAAAAGTGCAATTCAAAGCAGTGCTAAAAATCCTGGCTGCTGATGTTTTCCCAGTTCCGCGAGGTCCCTGGAAAAGATAGACCGGGGCAATCCTCCCCCGAGAAACAGCATTCATTAGCGAATGAACAACTATGTTCTGGCCAATCAGCTCACTGAAGAAGACAGGCTTGTATTTTTGGCTCAAACTCTTAATATTTTCAGGACTAGTTTCTCCTTCAAGATCTCCTCCATTCACAGGAACAATCTCAAACCCCTCTGCACTCCTACAGTTTGACCACCTTCTCCCATCCAATCTACTCAATGCCTCCATATCAAGCTCCCCGTAGTTCGCTGCAGATAGTTCATCATCACTGCAGGCAGTACCAAGAGATGATCCACCTCTGCCACCGGCCAGCAATGGCAGAACTCCCTGAGCACTTCTCGACGCGATCCTCCTCTTATCAGACACCGATAACGAACGCCTCGATCGATGACCACCAATCGACTGACTACCACCACAAAGAATCCGACTTCCTTTCCTCCTCAACGTATCCGACAGTGAAGGAGAGCAGCAACTACCACCACCATACGACCCTCTACTGTGCCGAGGAGTCCTCCTCGGCCAGTAGCAAGGCATCCCACATCCACGACCACCAGCCAAATCCAAATTCTCATCATCCTCATCATCATCATCCACTCCATCATTCGTGGTGGCGTCCCAAGATCCAACGGTGCTCGCATTGCGATTGTAGTACCGATTGTACGAGCTAGTCGACAATGCAGGGGTGTTGTAAGAGTAAGAAGAATCCTCCTTTTGACTACTCTGCCTCAGAAATGCTGATGGCGAGCGAGCCCAGTTCTTGTGCTTGAGCTTCAACAGCAATGGAGATGCGGAAGGAAACTTCCTCAAATCCTCCGAACGAGCATAAGCATGGTCCTCGGTAGTGGCATCGGAATGGTCAACCGAAGTCCCTTCTCTGCTGCCTAGGGCTAAAGCCAGAGAAGGATGATCTCTAAGCAATTGGGTCAAATTAGGTTTGTTGTTGTGGTTGTGGTGGTGGCCATATCTAGACAGAACATCCGACCGGGTAGCAGATTTCTTACCCCGCTGCTTCTTGATCGGAGCAGCTCGCTTGTTAATCGATGGAGAAACCAGAGCAGCGTCGCGGCAGCGGAGAATCTTGGATGCGACAGAGGAGGAGAATGCATGGGTGTCGCTCTCCCCCGCCGCCGCAGCAGCAGCTCCGACGTCTGTGAGGCTGCCGTCGAGGCTCTCTTCCTGCAGGGAGCAGGACTCGCCGTAATAATAATCATCGCCATCGGCAGAAGCAGCAGAAATTAGGGGGTTTTGGTGGGAGGACTTCCAATTGTAGAGGAAGACAGGGCGGCTGGGAATTGGGTCGGCGGCATTGGAGGAGGGAGGAGCGGCGCCGGCAGATCTGGAGGCGGCGGAGGAGGAAGGAGGAGGGGGGAAAGGGGATTTCTTCCAGGAGGAAGAGGTACCTGGGTCTCGGAGGACGCGGGAGGCTTTTCTGATTTGAGTGAGCTCTTTTCTCAGGTGGAGCCTGATGGGATCAGCTAGTCGGCGTTCCGCCATGGGAGTCGAAGTCTAGTGTGTGCTGCCGCTGATTGTTGGTCCAATAACAGAGGCAGACACATTTGTCATTTGAAGGTGTGAGAACAGAGGAGTGCTGCAGATCTGAGAGAGGTAGTAATGGAGAGGAAGAGGAATATTATATTCAGTGAGCATATAGAGAAGAAGATGGAAGAAGAGGGAGCGTGGTGGTGGAGAAGAAGGCGCACTGGTAGAGAGAGAAGGTTGAAAGAAGCGAAGAAGGAAAGGAGGGAAAATTTGTTTTTGATTTTTGCCTTTTCTTTTTTACCCTTTGGAATGATTGACGGGAAACATGTTTGTGTTGGTTTCTGGTCTGGTCAGACTAACTTTTCCGGCAATAATTTTTTCCCCGTCGTCGTCATTAGCCTTCTTTCTTCCATTAGTAAGAGCTTGGAGCATATTTGACAAGCCGTCATTCAAGGGCGATGGATCCAGCTTGGCATGTTGATATGCTTGGCAAAACATAATTAGACCCTATACATTGGACGATCGTTGAATTCGACCACGATGCTCATGGTGTCTAGCACAAGGTATTAGACTTCCAACGAAGCGATCGATACTCGTCGACATGTGTTGGATCATCAGGCTCGTCGACATCCTCGTTTTTCCACCTCGAGTGACTTGCCCGCTCTCGAGGGCTTAGAGATCTCCGCAACTCGGTGTTCTTCGAGGATCGTCAGCCTCGCTGGCACGTCTTGATCTATCTACTTTGATAGAGCAGTGTTACAAATGATCTAGATCATCAAGAAAGAAAAATACTTTCTTGCGAGACTGGGGCATCTTTGATCTTGACAAGCTGCCCCAGCCATTTGCGAGGTGCTGACCATTGTCAAATGAATCACTAACCATGAAACACCAATGGTGGCGGAAAGCCTCTTACTTCATCAAATGGATAAAAAGACAACACAATTCATCAAACTGTGACTGCAACCCAGGAAAAAGTTCAAGAAACTAGTCTGATTGAAACTCAGGGAACCCAAATAGGAAGCAATTCAGCCCAGATTGTTCGACCGAAAATCCGAAATCAGCTCGTTGTAGCAGCATAAGATAAACAGATCATCATCCATAGAGCAAAATCAAAATGGTTTAACAGAATAACCCCAAAACACCAAATGCCAAAAAAAAAAGAACAGGGGAGGGCAGGGGAAGACTCGAATGTCACCAAGAGTCAAGACTCCTCCTCCACCATTTCAGTACCGAGTGGGACATGAATGTCCTTATAGTGGCAAACATAAGGGGCGTCGCCGCCATGGTAAGTCCCAGTCCACCTCCCTTCATCGATGTAGCTAGCATCCCACACCGACGCATACAGATACATCGGCTTTCCAGGGAAACAAATCGAATCAGACGAAGAAGACGACTCACCTTGGCCTTTATCCTTCTCTTCTTTCCGCACAACTTTCCCATCAATCACCCACTCGATCCAATCCGGGTACCATTTGATGATATACTCGTGAAACCCATCCGAGCAATCGAACCCTAGATCGTGGATCTGCTCCCTGTTCCCAGTCCCGGCGGTGTAGTAGTTGGTCTGGACGACGGTCTTGTCCTTTCCGACGAACTCGAAGTCGATCTCGTCCTGGGATTTGTCTCCTTCCAGGGAAGAGAGGTAGATGTTGAAGTTGAGGCCGCTGGTGTTCCCCTTCGGGCACTGGATCCGGGAGCTGAATGTGCCGTAGAGGAAGCGGTTGGTGCTCCGCCACCGCGCGCCGCCGCGGTGGTCGTAGGTCAGGGTGATGGAATTCGTCTCCGGGCAGTGGGTGCACGCCTCCGGCGTGTAGTCCACGGCGATCTGGTTTATGGGTCGGGTCTCGTGGTGGAGCGCCGGATCCGCCATTTCTCGAAGTGGTGCTTTCCTCTCTAAATTTTCACGGCGGCTCCTTATTACCGGCGGCGGAGAGGCAAAAATAAAAGCCCAATTAAAAACTAAATGAGCCCCTTGGGCCAGAGAAGAAACAAAAGCCCAATCAAATCCAACAACGCCAAAACACCTGTAAAAAATTTCTTACAGAACGCCTGTGAGCAACGTAACCGAATTGGAAGCAGAATATGGTAAATGACACATTTGGTCACTGAGATTATTAAATTGTGTCATGTTTAGTCACTAGAAAAATTAATATCAATTTTGGTCACTCGAATTACCGAAACTGGTCAAATTTAGTCACTCTCCCGTCAGTTTCCGTCCAACTCCATTAATGTAGTTGGACGGAAACTTTTGGGAGAGTGACTAAATGTGACATGTTTCAGTAATCCGAGTGACTAAATGTGACATTTTTCAATAATTCGAGTGACCGGAGTTGGACAGAGGCTACAGAAGAGTGACCAAATGTGACCTGTTTCAGTAATTCGAGTGACCAAAATTGATATTAAATTTTTCTAGTGACTAAATATGACACGATTTAGTAATCTCAGTGACTAAATGTGTCATTTACCCAGTGACTAAATGTGTCATTTACCCAAGCAGAATATTTCACATTATAACATGACACGATGTAGTCACCATCTATTTAGAAATAATGGAGTTCAAGTCCCAACAACTAATAGAAAACAACAGATTCCCGACAACATTGAGATGAAACACATCGACCTGAAAATTTTTTGACATAGGGAAAACCATAGACACTTAACAAGGAGACCAAAAGAAAAAAAGTAAGAGAAAAAAATTCCAACAATCTCCAGAAGTCGTCCCTGATCCTGAACTAAAATGGGCGCCTGAATTAGGGCCGGTTGGTTAAGTTTTTCCAACTTTTTCAAGGCTTTGCAACAGACGGATTAGAATACGAAAGCTAAAAAGGTTCTACTACCTCCCCTCCCCTGGCTTCCATCAACCTCCAAGCTTTCCTCCAGCGGCTAATATGATGATGCCTAGACTCTTGCCCGCTTGCCACTGCATCCAGGGCATTTATACTGCTTGATGTGCTCAGCCTTTGCAGGTGTAATCTTCACACATTTCCCATGGAACCATCTCTCGCACACGTCGCAGCAGATCCAGAACTCGTCTGTTCCGTAGCTCTCGCCACATGCCCCACAGGTTGCACCCTGTTCATCATCTTCCTCCTCGTCTTCCCCGCTCTCGTCGTCGTCCTTCGGCGGTGGAGACATCTTCACTGCCTTTGTGAGGGGCTCCGGCTGCCGAGCTTGCTTTTATATCCATACATACAACCACAAGCACGGAACCCGGTTCGTGATTAAGTAGATGAGTTCTTCTAGCAATAAAATCGGGACGGGATGCAAGAGAGAAAATAATTTGTCATACGTCATTCTCTTACCATCTTTGAGCTTGATTTGCTTTTACTGCTGCTGTTGTTGTTATGAGTTACAGACTGGTCCTTGGGTTGCTTGCCCGTTCCTGACACGACTTCAAATATTGTGGGGACTTCATTTATCATCTGGAAAAGCCTCTTCCTGCAAATAGAAAATCCCAAACGAATGACCAAGGTCAAAATCGGATAATTCGGTTCCGCTAGGCTATGTTCACATAAGGTGAGAGTCACAAATGAAGCTGTAATAGGCATTAGACAGGCAAGCTTACAATCAATGTTATCAAGCCTTCATAATGAGATGAGAAAGAAGATTTCCGAGTATCAGATATTAACGAGTCAAGCTCATCAATGGACCATAATTAAGCTTTTTCCTCAGCAGTGGAGAGAGACATTGAGATACTGATCTGATCCACGTCCTTCCAACTTATTGCCCCTTAACCCCCCTAAGGCCCTACCTCAACAAACAAACTATAAAGGAAGAAAGAGAACCACCTGAAACCCAATGGACAATCCCATGTGGGTCTGCTTACACCAGAAATAAATAAAAAAATATTCAAAAGGGAAGATGAAAGGAGGAGGAGGATAAGAGGCAGGTCATCCACATCTTCTCATTCTGGTTAGGACGGTCAAATACAGTGAGCAAGGTGACAATCATACTGCTACTGCACTGCACACAACTTTTTAGCATTGTAAGATGTAACAGACTCTACAGCACAAAATAGTGCCCTAGCTAAGAGCATAACCATCCTCACTGTTGCTAGTGCCCTGTAAACATTTCTTATTGTTTTCCTAATTAGAATGTAATGAATGGAACCTACTAACGTGAATGTGCAAATAATGAAATATATGGATGAAAAGCACATGGAACCCAACTTCCTAAACGTAATTAATTGGAACTAGGACTGGACTGTTTGGATTTTTTTCCGGTAATTACTGTTTGGCTTTGTATGCCATTGTACACTACAATCTAGAGATGGCCCATTCCGATCAACAACACAAGAGGGATTTAAGAAGATACAGAAAGCGGTAATGAACAGCTCTAAAACATTATGTAACCGTACCTTTCGTTCTTGCCAAAACCAAAACGTGCCCCGAAATAAAATGCAACAGCAAGCAGCCATGAATCACTGTGAACTGCAACAAGTGACAACCAATCCTTCTCTTGCATCCCATCTCTAGCAAAATTAATGCCTAATGCAGGTTCAGGAAGCTCAGGAGGCACCTCCTCCACTGGCAAGTTAACTTCCCACGTCTCATTTGGCATTCCATAGAGACACAGATTCTCCTTCTCTGTTGAGGCAAAGTTTGGCCATCAGAGACAGCATGAACCAAATTTGACTAGTAAATATAAACCACATTCAAACAAATTTCACACAAGACAAAACTTCACGAACTCCAATGATGGGGGGAGTGCCTAGCAACCTGGTTAAGCTACGACACAACTGTAAGATGTAACCGACAAGCTTAAACTGAAGATGTCAAGCTGTGACTACAAAACCAGTATGGGCTAGGGTCACTAAAAAAACCATTCATGATATCATGGTTCGTGAATGCCAATGAAGTGGTCTTTTGGAAGGAGGATAGAACACATTTTACCTTGCCAAGCACCTGTCAAATGTGTTGACAACATAGAAGCTGGCCGACATGGCTAGCATCTATGTCACCGGCGCCAGCCAGAATATAGAAACCAATTATTTACCAAATACTCGCATGTAACGCAATCAGTGCACATATCCAAACACAGACCATACCTACATCACATAATTCATACAAAACCACATCATCTCATGCTCTGTTACACACTAAAAATCAGTATCTTAAAATCAGGAAAGCAAGTAAAGCTGAAGGCATGCAGATACATGAGGGGATATAAAAGGCTTAGGTAAGTACTAATGTGAGAACGACATAATTAGCAAACAAGCAAGGATGAGACAGCATGATAGTGTTAACAGGGTTAATCTAACTTCAATCTAGCTGTTTCTAATACTTGTCAGTGGATCCTTCCTCACATTTTCTGAATTGATAACCGTACTGCATTTACAGGAGCTACCACACACCAAAGACCGAAACGCCAACAACTACAGACATTTGCGTGGCAACAAATACTCTTTTGGTTTCAGAAACATATAAGGCAAATATTGAAATGCTAGGAAGTAGCACTTATTCCCAAGTCATCTCATATATGTTTATAGTTCAGTGCAAGCGCAACACTCTTCAAACCCATTCAACAACCGAAAAGACCAAATTCCAAGTTCGCAATTTCACAGCCTGCCTTATTTACATCACTAACAGACTAACTGAAGATGCTTACATAGCTCAAGTCTACCTGCACCTTAAACAACAAATGCAAATGACAGACAGACTATAACGTAACAAGAAGGAAAGCAGTTTTAAGCATTCCATTTTGACCCAAGCAGCCAATTGCATGTAATAAAGAAACAACACTCATCTAGGCATTAATTAAAAACATAAGAACGAAAGCGGCCACATCAGAGTCTTGACCACCGAATGTGAGGTGCCATAGGCACAAACTTCACACATAGTACTAAAACTAGCTCCAGAATGCTCTATCTTCAGAGACTGGACTCGATCTCGACGCATGTATTATGCAGAGAAACCCATTAGAAGAACAACACACCATGAAAAGCAGAATTGCAATATGGGCACTAACATAAACGTGCATGAGCAATAACCAAAGGAGCCATAAACGAATATTCAGGAGCTTCGTCAAAGAGAGAAATTAAACAGAAAAATATGAACGGATAACCGGAACCCACCAGGGTCGCACTGATGGTAGAACTTCTCGACATCTGCCATAGAAAAACGGGAAACCAATTAAGAGAATTACATGTAAAGAAAAGACCCAGACGTCCAATCAGAATAAAGGCAAAAACTTAAGCCAATTGGAGAAGAACCCATAAAGCCAAAGAAAGAGGAGATTTAGGGCGTTCTAAGTACAAGACAACAGAGAAGCTGAAACATAAAGAAAAAGCAGATTCGGAAGATGAAGGGTACCCAATAAGAAAAAGATACCTGTAGTGAGAGCCTTGATCAAGCCAGCGCGCCTTCCTTTGAAGTCACCGAAGACCTCTTCCACGGTCCGAGGTATTGGGTGCGGTATCCCCTCCATGCCGTGTTTTCTAGCTGGAAGCGGAACTTGTTGCTGCTCGGTGTGTGGAATGAATCGCTCTCAGTCTCCCACAGTGAGGTTCTGTGAGCAGACACGGACGAGGGTGAAATGCAGGCGAGAGGGGTAACAGGGAATTGCAGGAACGGAACTTGTTGAAGGAATTAGGGTTTGCAGGTGAAGTCGAGTGAGGGGGTAGGATTGTGAGTGAAGGAAATTAGGGCTAGGGTTTGCTGGTGCGTATCTTTTTTAATGGGTTTCAGATTTGGGGAGGAGGAAAAGAGGAAGGAAGGAGAGAGAGAGAGAGGCGACGAGAGCGACGAGCGGGCGGAGGGTAGAAGAAGAAGAAGAAGTTGCTGTCTGTCTGTCAATCCAATCTATGGGGGAGAAGGAGAAGTTGAAATTTTGATTGTTGTAATTTATTTGTATCATTCAATTTGATCCCCAATTCTTATTCCGATTGAAAAATGGATACGAAAAGTTCGATTTATCTCCTGAATTTTATGGTGTATTGATGTTTTACTACACCAATCTTTGAATTGTGACAATGGAGTCCTGAAACTTTTAAATTTAAGTCTAGAGAAGGCGCGTTTGAATCCAATCGGATTTATTTTCTTACAATTGAGGGATTCTTCGAAAATTATAGTTTTAGTTTTATATAATTAATAGTTTCTCGCTTTAAAAGTTATTTGGTAAAATTGAATTAGATTTCGAATCTATCAGTTTACTCTTTTGATTTAATGCAGTTGCGTGATATTCAAAATCATAAATATATTGTAATTGGATCACTCAAAAGTATATTTTCAATTTTACTTTGAGACTCAAAGTATGCTTCTGATCATTCTTATTCAATCCAAATACCGATTTGATTCTACGTACATCAAATTGTTACTCACCCCTTACATATTCAATTAACTCTGAAGGAAATACATGGCTTGTTAATTTCGCATACTATTGTTTCGTTCCAACCTTCGAGAGGTAGTCATTAGGAATAAATTCTTTTCTTTTAAGAAGTTGGTTCTCATTAAATGCAATATAAAAATAGCTATAGCCTAATATAAACATGTTTAATTTAATGGGATCTAAAAAGAATGTAATGTGTATCAAATGGAAAATTCACTACTAACATGATTAAAGATTACTTGTACCAACAACATTTTGTGTATTGGCTAAGGTAAAATCAAGGAAGGTCACTGAACTCGAAAAAGTTGGACACATCAAGTATTGAACTTGTGATTATGACAAACTAAATCACCAAATTTAATGAATTGGGGTCCTTTAGGTACTCTGCCCATTTTTGTCCATATGTGGAAAAACAAATTCAAAAGTTACACATACTTTTAGTTACATTTTATCATCTAAAGTTTTAAATTTATCTTCTTACTCTAGATCACCATGAGAACTCACACTATGTTTGGCAACAAGGGGGTGCAAGTTCGAGGGGGTGTAAGTTGAGGAGTAAATTGTTGGGAGGTGCAACTTGGTGGAGGGTGTAAGTGGAGGGGTAAATTGTTGTTTGGATGAAAAAGTAGGGGGGTGCAAATAAAGTAAAAAGTAAGTAATTATATTATTATAAAATAGATTTATCAATTCATAAAATATTATCACAAAATAATAACATGAAAATTCAATATATAATAATATATAATAAATAAAAATATTTTTAATAAAAATAATTATTATATAATAATGCTCAAATATAATTATTTATAAAAACAATAATAATCATTGGTCGAGCAACCTCGAAACTCGAAATCCAACTCGTAACTGGTCATCCTAAGGGGGTTCTCGTGCCTAACTTTAAATTGAATATGGTCAAACACGTTCGAATCTGTAAGTTTTAACTACTTATTAAATTAAATCGAGTTAACTAAACTGTTCCTCTCTATCTTTTCAACAAACGCTTCTTATCTCTAATTTTCAATGCAAATTCGGGTCAACTAAGAGATATCGATTTGACTAGGCGAACATTGACAAACTTGCTCTCTGTAATATAGATATAAGAAAAAATTAATAATATCGATTTGACTAGGTCAACTAAGAGATATCAAACGGTCAACCCCAAACAACTTCTACACTAATATAGATATAAGAAAAAATTAATAATATTAATTATTATGTAATTATAATCTAATTAAAAATTCATAATTCCCCTCCTCCCCCTTCCCCCTCCCTTCCTTCCTTCCCTTGCACCCCAATTTGGGGGGTAAGCCGAAACAGTGAATTTACGCTCACGTTTTGCACCCTCCTACTGTTACAAAATAACCAAACAGGGGTAAACGCCTTGAAACTTGTGTTTACCCCCTCAAACTTGCACCCCCTTCCATTTACACCCCTTCCCAAACATAGTGTCAAAGTGAGTCTTTAGACTCTAATTTCAACTTGAATTTTATTAATCTTGCCCTCCATCATACATGAATTCGTGCTTGATAGAAAATTTTGAATTGCTCTATACATGTTGGAGTTCAAATAAAAAAGAGTAAGAAGTGAAGTTCAAAATTAGAAAGGAAAAGAAAATTAGAACAAAATGAGCATAATAATACAAACTTATATGAGTAGTTTGTTTTCGTATTATTGCAAAGTAACCGATTAAATTATAGTATGTACACAGAACTTAAATTATAACACTACAAAATATCCTTGGTATATTATTTTGTATTTTGTGCTTAAATCTTCTTGACTTAAAAATTTAAACTACCAAATCATCCTTTACCATTTTTTTTAAATATACTTCAAAGTTCTCCAGGGCTGCTCTTGCCGGTCGTTGGCCTCACTGGTGCCCGGTACCAAAGAAATCAATAACAATTACACCAATTGTATTATATATGCTTTCTCATTTGCTCGTTACTCCAATAGGAGGATTGACCATATTTTATTTCCTGTCTGTTGGGATAAACATCTATAAAAAATACATCTAAATAATTACATCAACATCGAGCTCTTTCATTTTCGTCACCTAAAAAACATTTTCCCCTCCATCAACAACCATGAAGAGCAAATTCCCAATAGCCCATGGATCTTTCTTGTAATGATTAAGCCTTCGCCTGATGCTACTAACTAACGGTTGTGCCAGCAGATTTATCTACTGCCAAATCTGTTTGGGGCGCCAAAGTTGTGGTTTCCTAGCTGAAATTGAAACTTGTCCTCCGAATTTTTAATGTTTCGGAGTGGAATGATAGGTTTGGTGGTTGCAACTGTAGGGTTGACATAAAAATCCATAAGCACCTATGCATCTTGAGGTAATTCAAGTGCTCTCCAACACTAATCTCAAATTCTTACTGTTTTTCTTTCTTGAGTTCCGGTATTAGCTAGTGATGGAGGATTAAAGACTGGCGGTGATGAGGCTAAGGGTAGGGCATGTGTTTCCAATGGGTAAGGATGGGTGGGTTTGTTTTGTATAAATTGAGTGTGTAAATATAGAAATGTAGAAGGGAATTAAAAATATTAAGTTAGGGCGACAAATGGCAACCATCATCCCAAATTGGAGTTTAGAGCTAAGTTTTTGTCATCAATTTGAATATAATACCCATATTCGGGAAGCAATATGAGAGCGATAATAGTAAAACCAGGACGACGAATGACAACCCTCATCCCAAATCGAAATTTAGTGCTAAGATTCTATTATGCATTTGAACACAATGACCATATTCAATAATCAAATTTATGCTTGGATATTCACATTGATGCTCCACCTTTTGGTCGGAGAAGATATCTCTACATATATCATAGTTACACACACTTCAGTGTTCATGCTTATTATGTGTGAGATTTTGATCACACATGTTATGCCAGCGCTCATGGTCACACTTTTCAGTACCTAACATGACTATCCTAAACAAGCTCATGCATTTTGAAACGTTAAGGTAAAACACGAGATACTCGATCAATACAAGACCTGTAGTCATGTATCTTTTGAGATGATTAACCATAGTTTTTCACCAAGTATAACACATAGTAAGGAGTCATCCACCCAAGATACATATGCAATCAGAATCAGTCCACGAAGCAATGTTTCCAAACATGTAAAAGGCCAGTAAGTAAGCCTTGAAGAAAATACCGAGTTCTCTGCAGAACATGTAAAAGTAGAAGGTGTAAAGGCTTCTGCAAGGGGGAAAAAAAGGCTTTTAAAGGAAGAAGCCATAAAAAACTGTAGAGAAAATCGCCCACCGTGGGGCTCGAACCCACGACCACAAGGTTAAGAGCCTTGCGCTCTACCAACTGAGCTAGACGGGCTTGTTGTTCTCGGACAATAAGTTCCTTTTTAACTCAAATTGTCTCTGCATTATGCAAATCAACGAAACTTTACACCCACAACTTATGAACTCTGGGTAGAATTTTTGGGTCATTTAACTCGAACCGAATCCTATCCGTGGGATCACTGATTCACTGCCTGTCAAACCTTCACTCTCATAATCTCATTCTCAGGTTCCGTTCTTTCTCCAGTGTTGGGTCGCAGGCTCGCAACTCCAGCCCACTCATCCCCAAATCTTTGGCCCATTTCTAAAGGCCCTCGAGCCCAACAGATTTATGTATAAATTATTTAAACTATTATATATGCAATTGCAAGTGAATTGCATTGATGTAGGTGCAATGAAATAAAAGTGAGTTGGATTGCATAAAATTTGAGATGATAATAAAATAATTAAATATAATTAATTTGCAAATTGCATTGTTGTGGATGCTCTTAGGTTAACTGCATACCATTTTCTACTTTCATTATGACGTGGATCGGTGGATATGTTGTTGCAATTACAAAATGAATTTTACTGATGTGTGAAGTGCTTGCAAAATATGCAAGGTTTCATATAGTGAAAGCCCATACGCAATTAAACGTGGCTGACTAGTGGGGTTTGACTACTTTTTCTTCTTATTTTCTAATGTTATTTAAATAATATAAAATATATTTTCGGTGTGTTTTTTTATTGCCATTGCAAATGAATTGCATTGATATAAGTATAAGTATATTAAATTTAAATGAGTTGGATTGCATAATTATTGAGCGGGAAAAAAACAACAATTGCAATTGATTTTTGCAATTGCATTGTTGTGATACTCTTATGGCTCAAAATACAGGAGAATTTTAGGCGAGAGGAGGGAGTAGAGGAGCCGTTGATTTGAATTGACATTATTCCCCTACGTACATTAATTACATATAGATACGGCTTAGATTATATATAAGCTGATAAACCCTAACCCATAAAGCTACAAATTATTGACCATAATCAAGAATCGACTGATTAATTAATTACTGGTACATAATCATACAACATTAGGGTTTATCATCATCATCATCATCATGCACTCATGAGAATCTACATATAGCTTAAGTTTAATCCCACTTAATATTATCATTATCATTAGCCTGATGATCATCCTGATCACCAGCCCGCTGAGGTACGGAGACGACGTTATCATTCCACTCCCATATCTGCAACGGCGACCTGCCGTTGCTGAAGCTCGGCGTCGGGAGCAGGATTTGGTTCACCCCCATCTGCTGCTGCTGCTGATGTGGAGGGAGGAACATCATTTGCTGTTGCTGTTGCTGAAGTAGTGAAGTGTAGTATTGCTGCTGATGGTGCTGCTGGAAGTTCACCAGCCGGTGCAGATCATCTAGGGAACTAATTACACCGGCGTTACTATTATTATTAATGTTGTTGTTGTTGTTGTTGTTACTGTCACTTCCCCCGCCGCCGCTGAGGATCAAGAACTGCTCGTCCACTACTTCATTTGGCGGCGGTGGTTCGTGGTGGTGGTGGTGGTGAAGGGATGCTGCGGCGGCGGAGGAGGAGGAGGAGGTGAGCTTGTCTACTTCCATCAAGACTTGTGATGAAGGTTGTTGTAGTTGTGGATGTTGTTGGCGGTGGTTTTGATGGTGGTGGTGGTGGTGTTGGCGAGGCGTCATGGTGGAAGGAAGTGAGCGCGGGAGAGAAGGGCCGCCGGCGTGGTGATCTTCGACTCCTGGTCGCTTGTATACTCGGCAAAGCGATATCTCCGTCGTCTGCATTCATATGCGTGTATAATTTCGGGTTAAAACGAACAATATCTGTTTATGACTTTTAAAGTTAAAAACATGCTGATGAAAATGCATTTGAGATGAACGATAAACTTTTTGCCCCGGCCTCCCCAGTTATCACAATTCAAAGTCCAGCCCCCCTCATTTAGAATTCTAGTTCCATCACCGAGAACATGTATCATATTTTGAGTTCGAACATTGAGAACAATAGCCATTTAACAAAATAAGCTAGCAAATTATATAATTATATGAAGTGAACCACTGTTGATGATTCAACACTGTTGATGATTCAAAAAACACACCACCCAATCATGATTAAGAACGAGCTAGCCTTATAGTGCAAGTCTAACAAAATTAAAGAACATAGTAAGCACAATAAAAGCAATATAATAGAGATAAATTAAGGATGATTATCCAAGAAGTCAACTAATACCAGGGCTACAAAGGAACCAAACAGTTTGCGAGCGGCTCAGCGTTCGGGTCGGTGAAAAACACGTTATTAGACGCTCGATTCGTTTTACTTAGAGTCAAGTTTGAGTTAGTTATTCTTGTTCGACTTGCAAGGTTCGCGAATCAGCTCGACTCGATGGCTTGTTTAGGTCGTGAGCAGCTTATGACCGCATAGATTAATAGCTTACCAGCTGGCTTGTTGATCATTCATAAATTTGCTAGAATATTATATATCTCACTAATTTATAACTATCGAATACGAACAATTAAAAAATTATGAGCTAAATTATATCGAACATGAGCAACAACTAAGATAAAACTCGACTCGGCGCATTTGCCGGTATAATAAAACCTGGACACAGTAGATAGAAGCAATGCCGGTAGTAATGAAGTAGAGGAGCTAGGTTTGATATCACGGGAAGTGTAACATTTCATAGTTTGAGTTTTGAGTTTTGAGAGGGTGGGAGGATCAGAATTGCTTAGCTACTAGCTAGCTAGCTTCCGTTGCATGCACCCTCCCTCAGCTATGGCTTCCTGCAATTAAAAGGATCATGCGTTTCCTCTTCGTGTACGTGTCAATAAATACATTTTATGTACACACTGTGATTCTGTGAAAGAGAGAGTGAGAGCAAAAAAGAACAAGGTTGTGGGAGGGAGAGGATCTGTTTCGAATTGAAACAAAGTTATGGACTGACTGTCAGAAGTGATTTATCACCAAAACGGGAAAGACAAAAATCATAAGAAAACAATAATAAAAATAAATAAAACAATGGAGGGCTGCTGACTGTCAGAAGATCGAATTTGCAGGATCCGGATTATTTTTCTTTCTTTCTATCACATCAATTGTTTATTGTATTGCTAGAATTAATTAAGCCACATAGCTTCTAGCCTGCTAATGTGAAGTAGGACTCATTTCTGGAGTTAACAAAACCTAAATTTGGTGCTGCTAGTGCTATATATGCATCTATACAGAAGAGCACAGATGATCATAATTAACACTTGGTGATAATGGTATTTTCTAAAGGGTTAAGTGCAGTCGTTTTAGGGGTAAGGCGCGAGCATCGGAGTCTTGTCTAGTGTCTAGTTATCGTGCTTTAGATACTGAAAGCAAAAACAATAATCTGCACTACACGTACAATGAATGCAAAAACAACAATGTACAGGACTTTCCCAATACTTTAGTTCAACCGGCTTCGGTTCAACTGGTTAATACCTTAATTGAACAACAAGAGAAATTAGATCGCACGCGCGTTCATAGATTCACAGCTGATCAGTAACTCATATATAGTTTTGATCTAGTGCAAAATATTGAGATGTAGAAGATCGAGTATATTTTGTAGAGACGGGTGAATTTTCCTTCTGTAATATTGAATGCATTATTAGCGCTCCCATCTATCTAATTATGCAGTGTAAGAGTGTCGCCTTACTTTGTTGCCTCAATCTCCATATCTAACCCCATCGCGGTACCCTTGAACGAGGCGTTCTCCATATCTAATGGATATTATTTTTAGGCTTGATGTATGTAAGCTAGGGTTGGGGGTTGAGATGAACGATGTATCAAAATCTTTTTTTTCCTTCTTTTTTGGTAGTATAAGTTCATACGCGCACTATCGCCTAACACGTCTAGATGTAAGTTGTTTAATCGCGTCTTTTTGAACCATAATTTTTATCAGCGGGAATGGACGGATTATGAAGATAGATTACCTTGTGGTAGCGCTGGGTGTCGTGGTGCGGGAGGCGGTACTCGTTCATGATCCAGCTGGACCTCACTCCTTTAGGCGCCTTTCCTGAGTAGAACACCAGCGTCTTCTTCAGCCCGATGGACCGGCCTAATCCCTCGGTCCGGATCATCCGGTCCGCCCCCGTCGCCTTCCAGTAACCGGACGCCGTCACCCGGTTCGGCCGGTCCCCGTTCCGGTACTTCCTGTCCCTCGGCACGTAGAAGAACCACTCCTTCTCCCCTATCGCCGCCATCGCTACATATAATAAAAACACATCACGTACGATCTCGAGAGGTAGAGATAAGGAAAAAAGAACAAGTGAGAGGTTTTTTTTTGCTTGCTGCCGCTGTTGTTATATATATATAAAGGAAGTGGAAGTGGAACCTGGGAGCTGCCAAGGGTCGTAGCGGTAAAGGTCGAGGGAAGTAATGAGGTCGACGTTGAAGCGCTTGCCCTCCACCTTACGGCGAAGGTAGAACTCCACAAGCTCTTCCTCCGTCGGGTGGAATCGAAACCCCGGCATCACCATGTCATGCTCGTGATCATCGTCATCAACAACAGCAACAACTGCCAGTTCCTTGCTTCCACCGCCAGTACTGCTGCTGCTGTTGTTGCTTCCTCCTCCTCCTGCCGCCTCGCCGCTCTTATCCTCATCTCTGCTCATTCTTTCTTTCTTTCTTTCTTGTTTTGTTTGTTGGGTTTATGGGGATGGATGGATATATAGACGCGGCGGCCTCCAGGTGGAGGAGGAGGGAGAAGTAGGTGGTGAATTAATTAGGGGAATAAGAAAGGAGGGCGGTGGTGTCCGTCTGTGGAGAAGAAGGAAGGAGGAGGAGGAGATTTTTTTTTTTGTTAGGATTAGTTTCTTCTTTTTGTGCATAATATTGATTGATTGACTCACTCTTCACCACATCGCACGCAGTAACTCGAGCTGCTGGCTGGCTAACGACTGGTTCCTTCCTGCAAGTGGGCACACGATCTTCGTTGTATATGGAGATGGCAACGGGTCAGGTCGATCGGGGGCAGATAGTGCATGCATATCCATTACCGTGCTCAAAGTAGTTCGGGTTTTACTCATACACATACCCACATAAGAAACGAGTAGAGATTAGAGAATCCAAACCGTACGTGCCCATATACCCGTTCGGGTTTCGGGTATCCACTGTTATCTATGAGTAATAGTTTCTCTTTATAACTCCAACCAATTATATTAAATATTCACAAGTATTCTCACATCACGTAAAATGAAAAGTACAACAATAATTCACTGGAGTGAAGAAGATTAATTTAAAACTACACAATTTCATAAAAGTATTATATTTATATACTAAATATTTTAGAGAAAAATATTGATTATTTCTACACGAAATACATATGCATGTGTATAATCGGGTGGGTTCGGGTTGGATAGTGAGAAAACCATGCCCACCCATTACCTGCAATATTCGGGTTCGGGTCTTACCCGTGCCCAACTAAAAGTACTTCGGGTTCGGGTTTAACCTTACCCGATTAGATCGCGGATTCGTGTGAATATCCACGGTTTCGGATATTTTTGCCACCCCTAGTTGTATATATATATATATTGATTGAGTTAAGACATACGGTCTAGTTAATGTGTATTCTCCAAGATGAATAATTTCTTCTACAATTGTAATGTGTTAATTAGGTGTATTGAGACTTCATTTCAAGATAACTAATTAATCATTTTTTCCGTAATACAATACGTTTACGCCACCAGTAATATTGGTCTTATTCATCTAAGGGCCAGAAGAGAGATGTACATGGAAAAGTGGACTTACCGGCGGCCACCGGAGAGGCGGTGGACGGCGATGGATGGACGGGTGCCTCTAAGCTAAGGCTAATGCTAAATAGCTAATGGCGCGTTTAATATAATTAAGAAGGGTAGAAAATGACATGTCAAGGTACAACTAGCTAGGGCGGGTCCCACTTCGTCTTTGTTTGCGGTGCCTCCCCTTTATTTTGGACCTTTTCTCCCCTTCCATAACAATCCACTCGTCTATTATTTAGGTGTCGAATATTTTTTTTTTTATCTGAGCCACTCGATTTAATTCCGTAATATTTTCACAATTTTCCCCCTGTATAAATATGTTTTTATGTAGATAAATAACACCCCATCAAAAGAAGTTTTTTTTTTTTTGCATTTTTTAGGTGTGAATTGAGTGAAAACGTCGGTTAAATACTGGCAAAATCCGAACCCAACCCGCCAATTAACCCAATGACAAAGATAATCATGAGGGAGGAATTTTACAATGCTATATAGCATTGACGCTATAGGTTTTTGACTTTATGGTATAACTTGAAAGTGTACATTTAACGTTATGGTACAACTTCATATTGTACCTATACTTTTTATACAAATTCTTTTATGGTACAACTTGAACTTGTACCTTTATGTGATAGTACAACTTCAAGTTGTGAAGTTGTACCATAACATAATGGTACAAATTCCTTTATGGCATGACCTAAACTTATACATTTAACGTTATGGTACAATTTTAAGGTATACATTAAAGCACCAATGCTTTATAGCATAGTAAAAGTGCTCAATCACGAGGTCATTTACATTGGATTAGTAAGAGTCAACGGCATGATCCTGATTGTTTTTGTCTCACGTTATAGTGTTGTTATGCACCATATGTATATGGAGCCCAATATGATTTTTGGCATGTATGTATGTGCTGTGGCTTGGCTGCCTAGCTATACATATGGAACAAAAATCATGTGGTTTCCAAAGACCAAAATCAGAACTCATGTGTGTGTGTTTGTGTTTCTAGCTATCTAGCTAGCTAGATTGCACATCCATATATGGCCAACCACTTGCAAAGCAACGTCATTCAATCAGTTAGTTTGGTCTTGCTGTAACTTTTGCAGAAACTGTTTTTGGTTCTAGATTTTAGAGAAGTATTTTTCAAAAAAAAAAAAAAAAAAAACAGTTGAGTGTTTAGTTGAAAAACTATTAGAAGTGCTTTTTAATATGAGAGGTTGTGTAAAATGAATATAAAAATTATGAATAAAAATGTTATAAACAATAATTTATTTATTTATTTTAAAAACTCTGATTGTCCAGCTTAGGCACCGCCAACCACAGTTGATATGTTCATGTCCCATATAGATCCAATTTAATCAGCTGCACCTGCTGATTTCAACTTCTTAATCACCACAAACATGATTCTCTGAAAATATCTTTATTAGTACATACTGTTAGAGTCTAACTTTTAGCTAGCAAGCCCACTAACTAATGACTAAACAACATACTCATCTATCTCCCATATCCTCATCAACACTAACAAACAAAAGCCTACTTTCCCCCCTTTCTCATTGGCCCACAAGTGCCTATCCTCAAAACTTGTAAAAACCAAGGTTCAACAACAAGGCGAAAATAAGAATTTTATAACAATCTTGTAGCACTTTTATTTAGGTTCAATTTCAAATGAGTAATTTATAACTCGGTCAACCCTCAACAACAATCAGAATATGTCATGATTTCCACAATAGGTCCCCGTTCAGCCATCACTTCATCTTCATCATCCTCAATAGAGACCTCCACCCATCTTCATTTTTTCTTCTTCCTCCTCCTTCTCGGGCCCGAATTCTTCGTCGTGGAGCTCTCTCGCTGTTACAGTACTCCTACGAAGCTCAAGCTACTCACTAGTTACCATTGAATTTTTTAACAGCGCACCGCCGACAGTGCACCATCTCCTTCCTCGTCCTCATTCCTAAACTCATACATAGCATGCATCATGATCATCTCTCCCTCAGGTAAAAAGCCCTGTACTTCAATTGCATCGGTGCATAAGATAATATCAACCTCGGGCAGCTATTAGCCTGCTTTAGCGTGCCTAAATTTGATTAAGCACACATGAAGCCAATTAATTAGGTCTAGCTCCGCCGAGGCGTTATGAACACCTAATACTCCGCAATCTGCATATGACCTAGGCGATGCGTTAGCGTCTAGGCATGCTTTAGCGTACAAAAAAAAATCACGCCTTGTCGAACCCTGCTGGCATAACAATACCGGAGCTTGTACAGGAAAAGTCACCAAATACACGCGCGATATTTCATGTTCAAAACATGATCTAATCATTGTCCAACCGTTCCGTACCGGTAAAACCCGCCCCCCTACCGCGCGGCTTGAGTTCCAACATACAAATTTTCCGGTTTAACCGCCGGTATACCGTACAAGTTCGCAAACACCGATAATTCTACAACTTTGGCAAGAGAAGGATCTAGCTAGTAATCAACCACTGCCTCCAAAATAAATCAAGTTGAAGGCGCCCCGCCGCCTAGACTTGAATGGTCTGCTGTGTGCGCAGGAGGCAGTATACGTAGTAGCATTGATTTCAAGAACACCACAATTCATGATGAAGGATATCGTCGATCATTTAGCTGAAACGAAAAAACCAAGTGGACGAGGGCAAGCAGCATGCACCCGCAGTCTTAATTTTTGAGCGGTGATGATGGTGCATTTTCTTGGCTGGTTTTAAGTCACCCAAAGTAAATAAGACCAGTCGTCCATCGGCAACATTATAATAGCGGTTGTGGGGCTGGACACTTCTTTCACAATCAATCGACTCAATTGTATTATCGAATAATATCAATGTATTATTATTGCTCTAGCTCTTGTTCTTATTGTTTTTTTTATATTTGTGTTTCTTTTTTAGTTGACCAACGCTAGCTATGGACAGGGCAATGTACATATTGGACTTGCAATATACATTGTACCTTGATGTTATGGTATACGTAGGTTTCACGTTATATTACTAGTGCAAATTTTGTACCATAACATAGAGATTCAAATTCAGTTGGTACCATAAAAGAAACTTTGCAGCTTTGATGTTACCTTACAAATCCGGTTTGCATTATAAATAAACTTTTACAAAAATGATATAGACACAAAATGAATTTGTACCATAAAATTATTTTTTTTTGATATTACACAGAGTAAAATTCCTATTGATGATGAGGTGATTGATGAAGGAGTACTGTACCAAAGGTAAGATAGCCTAACGGTAAAGCTGCCGCGCGACAGTGAAGGCTTGGGAGGTGCAGATCCCAGGTTCGAATTTGATTGCAGGTGGCTCGGCTCCCAGGTTTAGTAGGACTCGCTGTCACAAAATGACACGTTGGGCCGAGGTTCCTCGGTAATTAAAAAACAATGAAGGAGTGACTGAAAAGTGTTGACCCTATGACCGGACCACGAAATTATAGTTGATGACTTTGAACGTCAACAAATCCGGGCTTGGCCATCCTTAGGCATTTAATATTCAATAGGTATCCGCTGACCATTTGACCAAGTTTATGAATTTTGTCCCATACTCAGCGACTCAACCCTTTATATCTCCCATTCTTCACAATTATATTCTTTTCTGGCAATTTACACTGTCATTAAAAGGGTAGGGAAGAATCCTTACGAATTTGCCTGCAGAAGATCACCGATGATACATACACTCAAGTTCATAACTACGGGTAAAACTTACTGAAGCTCTCAACTGTCCGTCTCAGTTACATATAATAATGAAGGATGGTCCTAAAAGAAACATACAATGAGAATTGAGACACCACTTCTATAGACGAGCTGATGAATGAACGGACCATACAGCAACTTCTGCTTCCAAAGGCTACCCTCTTCCGCACGTACATAACACAAGCTCATGCATACTTTCCATCTCAACCCACCAAAGTCCTTGTCCGATTCTGAATGCTGCCATGTGCCTCCCCACTTCATCTGATCCAGCAGCTCACACTTACCAGTCACCAAATGCAAACTAAGTCGGTAGCTTTCGCTTGTCTAAAACGGGGGTAGCTGAGAACGTTCGATCCACCATGAGTCCGGACCAACTCGGTCACATCTTTAGCAGATGCCAGCAGGCTGTAGCTAGGTACAAACTCTACTACTTTCTCCACTCATCCTCCTACAGCTTGTTCCTCATGTCCATGAGAGCGTCCACCACTCCCAAGTCGAGCTTTTGCTTTAACAGTTTCCCTGAAAAGAGAAAACAAAACTCATCGTCCAATGTTCATTTCGTAACAGCATTAGCATCCTTATCTGGTTCACAATTGGCCTACCGTACCTTACTCTTCAACTATCCTCTCCACCTCCTTCTGGGGCGCCTTACTCTCCAAAGAACTCCCCCGGTGCATCAACTCTAAGGATAAACCTATACTCAGTACATGCATTTGGTTGGAAACTAGGAGCTTCCCTTGTCAAGCATGGTGCACTACTAACTCACTCAGAGACCAAGGCTTTGCAACTCCAAACAAAGCCTCCCAGCAGCAACATCACCGCAAAAAGCGACCTCCAATCGTCATCAGGTCACCATCTGAAATAAATAGGACTAAGACCACTTATATATGTCTATCCATTCTGCCACTTGTTTATCCTGTAGTACTGTATGCCTTCCTACAAATGCCGTCTCATCCAACAACTTGGTACTAGTATGTTCAACTGATAAAAGCAACGAATGTGTTAAAAACTTTCACGCGAAATGAATGAGATGGTAGACATATACCTACAATCTAGGCCAAGTCGGCAGATTTAACAAAACACTACTATGTCCACCCCAGAAAACAGGGAATTTCCCTGTCGGAATTTCCAGAGGGCGCAAGAATGGAAATGCAATAGAATGCCACGTAAAGCGTTCAAAACCTAACCCTACATATACCATTCTTCAAGAATGCCTATAAGATGTGGGCTCAAAAGCAAAGAACAGAAGCATAAATCATTTAACAGACCCTGATGCAAATCACCAAGAAAAAGAAAGAATGCATACTGCTTCATGTGCAGCATGTTGCTGGCTATGGTCAGATGTCATGACCCACACTTTGGGCAGCCATCTTCCCTCAAGGCCATAACCTGCAAGGGGACACAAAACAACCTAAGATAAAGTTCATACACCATTTTTTTCAGTGTTCATTGACACTTGTTAAGCAAACACATAAATTACACCTAAAAAAGACAGGGGTGAAGGAGGAGAATACAATTTTCTGGGACTTTGATTAAAAAATATGATGGGTGTACAATTCGGTCCAACTCACACATGATAGTCAAGAGATAACTGATTCACATAGCAAAAACAAAATCAACGTGGAGGTTTCTATAACCATTATGTGGGTTTGATCCTAAAAGCAAAAGACAGAATCCAATAAGAAAAATTATAAATTTACCTCTTTTTTCGATCATGAGTCAGCACATGTTTCACCTGAGTAAATTATGTCAACACTGCAACATGGTGAACCCTTCAAGTCAAGACGCTGATCTTATCAACTCAGGAAAACCATTCCACAGTGGAAATACTATAAAAAGCAAATAACTTGAATCAATAGAAGCTTTGTAACAGAAAGTATAAAATCCTAGTTCATCATTAACTTTGCTCAAACACAAGACTTGAACATTCTTCACAAAACATGATAGTAAATAAAGGCGATCAGCAAGTAGTTGTCCACACTCTTGCCACATAAGACCTAAAGTATGAAATTTGAATCAGAAGCAGAATAGCTTCTCGTATAAAGTACCGCACAAAAGCTTTTGTGTGTGTGGGCAGTCCAAACATCATGGCATCAAAGACTACTATCACTTTGAACTCTGTAAATGTTAACAAATAAACATAGGGGGTAAAGGAATCAATGAACAGAATTAGGAATTTGAAAGATTTTATAGGCACTGAACGAGTTTGTTCCATGATAGATCATAGAGTAGACCTCTTCGAATTATGGCATTACAAAGGATAATACCATCTTCGAATTCATAAAATTTGTACGGACAGACTTTTTCGTTATTCAGAAAAGTTCTCTACTTTGCAGCATGATTGAGGAACAGAATTTGCAGCAAATGAGAGCATGTCATGTCACCTATGGTCATTTTGCAGTAGCTTATTGCATCATCATCTCTAAACTTCCTAGGGTGAACACGCCACTTTAAAGTGTTGTGGAAGGAAATGAGGGCAAAGAGAATCTGATATAAGGAACCATTACCGACAGAGAGCGAAGGATGGATCACGATAAATCTTATGAGAATCTTCAGGTAGATCTTCCTTCTCCACATTCTTCCTGCCGTAACTAGTCTAGTAGCAGGCCTTGGAGTACTAGGCCTCCGCCTTAGAATTTCCTATAAAGTTGGCAAGTTGGATTAATCAATGAGTTAAAGAATCTCCCTTTCCAGTCCCATTACATTCATTCAAAGTACTAACATTTGATGTAATTCTGGGAGGTGGGTCGGAGGAACCCTACGTTTGGAATGAATAGTGAAAGGTAATTGAGGTTTTGGAACCGTAGAGCGAAGAATTACCCAGTAAAGAGAGCAAGGGAAACCTCGGAATCCTTAGGCTTCTTGCGTTTGGCCATGGCGCGAGTCATCTTATTTTCGCAGTTGCAGTAAGCGGCAGAAGAAAAAGACGCGCTTCGAAACCATGGTGAAGAACTGGAATTGGGGATAATAGAGCAATTTTCATGTACAAGAAGCCAGCACCATCCACCCGAGCCAATTTCACAATCTCCCGCCTTTACCCAACCCGGTTCCAATAAATAGTCTTGCAATTGGATTAAATTAATTACCCTGAAATTAAATAATATGTAAATGATAACCTATGCAAAACTAAAAGATTGAATTTTGATGTCAATAATCATCTAAACAAATGGTTGATAAATTAAAATGGAGATTATAAGAGGATATTTCGAGTTGTATGATTTCTATAGACAAATTGAGTTATCACAACAAGGACATTTTTATAACAATTGTATTTTGGTCAATGCCAACAAATTCATAGCTCTGTTTTCATGATTTCGAGTTTTCGACCCTACATATAATGCAATAAGCTATGTTTGGTACGTAAACATGAATTTTGATACGAATCTCGATAATATGAATTTAAAAGTTTTTTTATTTGTGGTACGATCTTTCAACCATTATGCTATCTATTTATTATATTAAATTATTAATCATTCATTAGTGGAATGATTTAGAGCCTAAACATATATTTTGATAGATTGGATAATGAACGGAGAAAGTAATAATTTGTTGGATAATGGCAATCGGATAAATGACATGAGGCATAAGCATATCTCCCTTCGAGTACACTATCAAATGAGACAACTAAAGAACACACACGCCGCCGGCGTGATTGGTTTGCCGTCGTCAGCGAATCCGTACACATCGACAAGAGTCCAACTCCCCGATTCTCAGGATCGCATTTCTGGTTTTGGGTATGAATATAATACAGTATCCGGAGGAAGATGTACAATTAACTTTTCTCCGACGACTCTACTGACCAAATAGCAGTATCCTGCAACAGACGGCAGCCATGAGTACCGAAACCAACAACAACTACAAATACTCGCCCGTCTGCGTGACGGGAGCCAACGGGTTCATCGGGTCGTGGATAGTCCGAACCCTCCTCGAATCGGGCTACACCCGAATCCACGCCGCCATCTACCCTGGCTCCGACGCCACCCACCTCTTCCAACTCCCCGGCGCCGCCACCGACCACCGCCTCACGATCTTCGAGGCCGACCTCCTCGACCAGCCGGCGCTATCAAAGGCAATCGCCGGCTGCCGCGGCCTCTTCCACGTCGCTTCCCCTTGCTCCCTCGAAGACCCCGCCGATCCCGACCGCGATCTCCTCCTCCCCGCCGTCCAGGGCACCCTCAACGCCCTTCAAGCCGCCGTCGATTCGAATCTCACCCGCGTCGTCCTCACGTCGTCGATCTCCGCCTTCGTTCCGAACCCTAATTGGCCCTCCGGCAAAGTCTTCGACGAATCCTCGTGGACCGATTTCGACTACTGCAAGTCCCGAAAGGTCAATCAGTTCGAATTCATCCATATCTGAGCTCAATTATTCCAATTGGGGTTTTTTTTTTCTTCTTTTCGTTGCAGAAATGGTATCCGGTGTCGAAGACGCTGGCGGAGAGAGCTGCCTGGGAGTTTGCGGAGAAGAATGGGATCGATTTGGTTGCGATCCATCCGGCGACGTGCTTGGGGCCATTGTTGCAGCCGGGATTGAATGCAAGCACCGCTGTGTTGAAGCAGCTGCTGGAAGGAGCTAGAGACACACAGGAGTATCACTGGTTGGGAGCTGTTCATGTTAGAGATGTGGCCAAGGCACAGGTTTTGCTCTATGAGACTCCTGCGGCTTCTGGTAGATACCTCTGCACCAATGGCATCTACCAATTTCGAGACTTTGCTGACAGGGTTTCCAAGCTTTTCCCTGAATTCCCTGTTTACAGGTTTACTTTTCTTCTCCCTGCTTTCTTTTCTCCCCCCTCCATTTTCTTAGTTGTTCTTTGCTCAAAAGCTAAGGGAAGAATCATAATCATGATGGTATTGGTGTCCCGCCAGACATGATCGTTTTAGCTACTCGAATCTGGTTTGCTTTTTTCTGCAATGGGTGGATCCACTTTGCATAATCAGATTGCTGCCATTGATTCCGTATCTATCTACATTCTTCCCCTGTTTACTACTGTGGTGAAAGTAAGTGATCATTAAAAGGTCCCCTGCATAAAATCAATGGATATTTGTTCTTCAGTGATTGCATTCTCTCCTTCAAAGCCAAATCATTTTACAATTGCTATATTGTCGCAATGCCTGCTGCTTAACTCTTTGTTGTCTTTAAGTGATCCAATCCAATTCTTTCTATGTGAATTATTGTTTTTGTCTTTGGGATGCGTATTGCAAGTTGTGATCTTGATTATTTGTGACCTTGTGAGATGGCAATGGTGTTTGATCCTCCTGGGGCAGGACAAAACGTTGGTTAGTTAGTGAGAACTGAATCCAAATGGGGAACAGGACAGCCTGGAGTAAAGAAAGCCACAGTCTTTACTATTCGATGATAATGTAGATGCCAGAAACTAAGTACACTTAATGATCATCTGCAACAGCTTGTTTGACTGCTGTATTCATTGAAACAATCCTGAACTGGTCACCGTTTGGTCATCAAGTTTGACTGTGCTTACTTGGCGTGGATTTCATGTCCCAGGTTCACTGAAGAGACCCAGCCTGGTCTGGTTGAATGTGATGGTGCTGCTAAGAGACTGATTGATCTGGGGCTGGAGTTCACCCCGGTGGAAGATGCTGTTCGAGAAACGGTCGAAAGTCTGAGAGCTAGAGGCTTGATTGCTGTACCAACTCAGTCTTAGACTCTTAGTTTACTCCTGGGCTAGTTTCAGCTACTATACATCATCTACAGTCTGGAATAGATGATGAAATGTTAACTGTCTTTACCTCCTACGGAAGATGATCGATTATCTATTTGAGAAAGTAGAATGAAAACCTTTTTATTAATCTAAAGTCTAAACCTTATTATTGTATGCTCATAATTGCTCTGAATGTTGGCAAAGGTAGCTTAGGAGTTTGTTCTGCTTCCCACCTGATTTTATCATGACATAGAAAAAGATGGTATGAATGGTATCTGCACCTTAATCAAACTACCATTTAATTTTGGCACTCAAGGGGTGAAATGAAATGGATGAAGAAAGACTTTACTGACTTGTTCTCTCTGGTATTAACTCATGTTCAGAGGCGAAGGAGAGTGGGAGCTGTTCATTAACTCGATGGTGATGTCGATGGAGGAAAGAAAAGACCTCCCTAAAGATGGACCAGATGCAGGTTAGTCCAAAACGTTAGCTAGCTGAGCTGTGGGTTTGTTATTTGTTAGTAGAACTCTCACGTGATGATGGGAACTGGACTGGAGAGATTTTAGGTAAATGAGTGGGGTCATTGTCACCCTTAGAACCAAACAATGTAACCTGCAAAGCTAAAGGTGAGCTCAATTAGAGCCACTTCCCTCTACTGCTTGCCTTTTGTTTAATCTGGATCAGCACTTATGAAACTTTCCTTTCTCTTCTAAATCCCTGCTTATATAAAAAAGGGGTTAAAGGAAGTAATGAATCGATGAGAAGAAGGCCAAAAAACACTCCATGTGGGTCTGCTTCTTCTCTTCGATGCTATCCTTTTATCTTCACTTACACACACAGCGTGCAGTTTAATCATGGAGAGTGCCTGGCAGGTCCATGTGGCTTCCAATGACCTCGCCCCACTTCCCATCATTATTCTAAACCTTTGATGATCCTCTTCTTCTCTCCCTCTCTCTCCTGCTGGGTATAAAGTATTACAGACTGATACTACTCTACCATGAGCACTTGTCCATCTTTTGTTTTGAGGTAAATTTCCAAGCTGCAGGGGAAGTAGCGATGGTACTGATGCATAGTCCGACGACACCGCCAGCATGTAGAAGGTCTTGGTCCATCAGTGAAGAGTCACTGAGGAGGTACGTGCATTTCGCAAGCGAGAGCTGCATACAAGAATTGTTATCAGCCTCCACCTCCGGCTCCGACCTTCCCACCAACAGCGGCGAGGAAGAGTGGAAGGTTATCAGCAGCCTGCAGAACATCCATGGTGGAGTGGAGATCTCCAAACGCAGGGGTTCTGGTGGGTCATCGTTTCCTGCCTTCCGCAGCCGGTGTCTCCTGAAATCGGTCTCGCCTCAACAGTTCACCTCTGTTGCCAATGCTATTGATGCTGCTAGGGTAACCTACTTTACCTTTTGCAAAAGTCTGTTCATTCTGGTTCTAGAAAAAGTTGAATTTGATATGCGAGATATTCATATTTAGTAATGAAAAATTAGTGATGGTAGATTGTCTAACAATGAAGAAGTTGAAGGTTTTGGGAAATGACTATTACAGATTCAACTTTAAGCATAGATTTTTCTTTCCAATGGTAGAAGTTGAAAATGAAATGTAGCTTTTAACTCAGTTGCTTGTTGGAGGATGAACTTATGGAAGATGAATTTGTGTCTGTTTATACAGCAATGGGACACGGATCTAGTGGAAGCAAGGTACATAAAAGAAATGGACGACAACCTGAGCATAGTCCAATTGAGGTACGGGGACAAGTCGAGGCAGCCACTGTTCAGGAACAGGGAGTTCGTGGTCTACGAGAGGAGGGAGACTATGGAAGACGGGACGCTGGTTGTAGCAGTCGCGTCGCTCCCCAAGGAGATGGCGGAAGGATTGCCCCGTCACGACTACAACAACAGCAGCAGGGCGAAGAAGGCGAGGAGCAACGCGATCAGAGGACTAGTGCTGCACTCGGGCTGGGTGGTGGAGAAGCTCCAGCACGACTCATCTTGCTGCATGGTCACGTACGTCGTCCAGCTCGATCCAGGAGGTGCCGGATGGCTACCCAAGTGCTTCGTCAACCGGCTCAACACCAAGCTGGTCATGGTCGTCGACAGGCTCCGTTTCATCGCCCAGTCGCTCCCGCAAATTCCTCACTCGCTGTTGCCAGACCATCATCACGAACAGGAGTGAAGAAGTAGAATCGTGTTGTGGGTCGGTCGATCGACCAATCGAATTGATCTGCCTTGTCTGTGTATGGTTCTTTTTAGCAGTATACATAAAGCTTTAAGGTTGCAGTTGGTTACAGGGCGATAATCAAGTACACTTCTTTTTAGTAACATGGTGGAGATACGTTGTTGCGGCCGTCGTTATCAGGACAGCACAGGCCACTGGAGCATTGATTAAGATCATCATGAGTAAACCAGCTCATCAAATGGCCAGGCACCAACCAATTTGCAGAGCATGGAATGGAAGGGACTATGAACTTGTGTGGCCCAGTTTCCCACTGTTACTTGGTTTTGACGGCACCCACTCAACCGAATCCTTTTTACTGTTCCGGGTAATCTTGTTCCCCAATCAACATCGAATTGAATGTTCCTTGACACAACAATATCTTCTGGCCAGTTGATAAATTGCCCGAACTAAGGGGTCGTTTGGAAGTTGCGATTGTTAGTGTTGTATTTGTTAAATATATGCATTGTCCACAATACAACGTTTGGAAGTGTCAAGTTGCAAAACAATGCATGTATTGTTTTGTGTGGGACCCACCAACAATCAACAAAAATGAGGGATTATACAATCTCAACTAAAAAGTTGAGATTGTTGTGATTGTTAGTTTAATAATTGAGCACCTTTACTTTTTCCAATTATGTCCATAGTTCTTTTTGTTTTATATTAAAAGTGGAGGAGAAATATGACATTTCCTTATAAAGTAACTTTATAACAATCAATTCATAAATTATAATCTCAACAACCAAACAATGTAATTTCAAAATGTATCTATTGTTTCAATGCATGCATTTATATCATAGTGATTCATAACAATACAACGATTTAACATACGCAACTTCCAAACGACCCCTAAGAAAGTCTACAAAACAGAGTACTCTGCATATAAACAGAGTAACAGAGCACCCTGCATATAAACAGAGTAAATAGTATGACATTCATAATTCAAACAATTCGAGTTATCGACACTTATAGACACCAGCTAATTCTGATCAGAATGGTAATCCAAGTGATAAATCATTAAATTATTAATATGTCATATTCCAATCCATTCATCATTTCAACAAGCAACCACACCACCACCACCACGACGAATTTCGACAGGCTGTTCGTCAACTTCTCTTAGCTTTCTAGGTGCCTCGTCATAATTTCGAGTCGTGTTGTTATGACTCGAATCGTTAGCCTTCTTGTGAGAGAGCTCATTATCAACGTTACGAGTACCGGATCGAGACATTCTCTCGACCGCTGGAGATGTACGTTTCGTCGTCTCGAGATGGGAATTCGAACTCTTGATGGCCTCCACTTTGACATAGCGACGACGGTGACCAGTACTACTCGGTCGATGGACCGTCCTTTTCCCGGGTTTTGAAAATCCCGCGATCGGTCCTTCGAATTTCTCGAGATCGCCGAAACGGTACCCAAATTTTCTTCTTCTTTCTTTTTCCTCCTCCTCTGTTCATGATCATGGCGTTCACCACCTCCAACGAGGCAGAAGGAACCGATTCTCTGTTCACAAACTTTGCCCCCGCGGAAACCTCATCCAGAAGCTCCGAATTACTGTAATAATGATCGGGCTTCGCCGCCGTTCTGGTTGTTAACTTCTCCACTGCACAAGCAAGATCAAAGAGGAGATTATAAGCCCACGACGAACCAATCGGGCTCTGCAGCTCCTCTGTTTTCGTGGCTCGGGATTGGAATCCTGGGGAGGGAAAGGAAATGATGGGAATTCCAGATTTTTTGCCGAACTCTGCCAAGATTTCTGATTCTAGCTCTGTTCGTGCTATGAGGATGATTGCTTTGAGCTTGGAGGAGTTCTTCAGGAGATCAGTAACTGTAAAAAATGGCGTTGCCAAAACTTTTAGAGACCATTACATAAATGGCTTTTTTAGATGGTTAGGGTCAATGTACAAAATTATCTAGTTACTTCATCCCTCTCTATAAAAATTTTCGTTTAAATTGATGAGATTGGAGTGTAAACTGAATCCAATTTAATCTATTCTCGATTCAAGTGTAGCATAATATTGATTATTGACTTACTCTACCTCGATTCGAGACGATTATCCAAGAGGAACAACAGTTTAATATTTTGTGTGATTGCTACTATAAATGTCTATATCAATAAATTTATGATAACGATTGATGTACCTTTCACTATCTGTCATATTTATCAATATAAAATGTTGATAAATCTTTTAAAAAAATTATGTTGTGAATCATAAATTTCGTGCATAATTTAACATTGAGCAAATAGAGAAGAACGATGACGTACCCGATGAAAGAATGTGAAAAGAACCTCTACTAGAATCTTTAAAATGAAGAAGCAATCTAGTTTTGAAGTGAGAGTGGAAGGCATAGAAATCAGAAACAACCATGGAAATGGTGGTTTGGACTTTGGAGCATCTTTCCTTCTGAAGTTCCCATTTCCATGATCACTCCCACTTCTACATCTACAATAGGAACCCAACAGTTGGCTGGCTGAAGAAGAAATGGTGTGACATTGAAGAAGAAGAAGAAGAAGAATAGGAAGAGTTGTTGGAGGTATAAGGATGTGGGTTGCCTAACCTCCTTCATCATGATGATCAACTTCTCTCTTGCTTTGTGGCCTAACTATATCGGTTGGTTGGACGATGACGATATTTATATGAAGAAAATGATATGTCTTCTTGAATATGTTCGTGATTCTTATTCTTTGATTTATTTATAATTAAGGTACTAAAAGCATACAGAACCACGAGATATTAACATGGATTCCTTTCTTGCTTTGTTCATTCATTCCACCACACCAAAAATCAAGTAATCAGGGGTGGAGCTACGTTGGCCCTAAGCCCCCCAGAATCTCGAACTTACGTGTAAATGGTTTAGGATAATACGTATAAACAAGAAAGTATTTAATAAAAATTAAAATCGTGCAGATTATAACATAAATTTTTAGTTGGCCTAGCGGAATTGGCAATGTAGAAAGATTCAATGGTCATGCGTTCGATTCTTGAGATGAGCATGTATTTTTGTTTGTCTTTTTGGTAAGCAGTAGCCTTCTCCTTTATTTTTTGGAAGCTAGTTATTAGCTAATTTGACTATCGTTATTACATTTTTTATGATTTGTAGTGAACTTAATGTGAAAAAGTTTTGAGTTTAATAATTATAATACGTTATTTAAAATAATTTTTATTACTAATTTTTCCTCTTTTGCTGTAACGTATTAAGAAAATTTCGGCCTCCCCGATGATTAAATCCTGGCTCCGCCCCTGCATGCAATGTACTCTAGATGCTTGATTAGAATCTAGAGGCCATTGGAGTTGTTCGTGAAGTTTAATTAGCATGAATCATCGGACTAAGGTTGTTTTTGAAGAAATCAATCTATTTAAGTCCTCAACCGAAGTTGTTAGACTACATAAGACTTATAATACATGTTTTTCAAACGAAAATATACCTCCATTTTCTATTAAAAATTATGCTCAGTAGCCGTAGTTGTTTATCCTAAAAAAATAGCTAGAATTGTTAGGATGACATGCTTCCGAACTGATACATATGCTTTATAGTTCAATTCTCACAACCTATCATCTAAAAAAATCTCTTGAAAGCCCACAATATGTCGTTAACTCAAATCGCCCCCTCTCATCAAACTTCTTTATTTACCTTTTGTACTTGAGTTCACTTTTTTTTCTTCTTCATGTGATGTGCAATGAATTTAAAGGTTGCTTCTTTTACTTTAATACAGCGCAGATGAAAATATGTTTACAGGGACAATACCTGAAAAAAGTGTATATAAGTAACAATACTGATCTGACTAGAATCCAAATCTCTGTTTATTAACTCGAAATCCCATTAATCAAATCACGAAACCCACACTCCTCCTCACTATGATATCTACAAAAGTTAACAAAAAAAGGAGCAACAATCTTCTAGTTGCTCAAAGGCTCCTCAATTACAGTTTTGGGACTTTGGTGCTACTCAAGAACAGCACAGCTAGAGCACAAAGAAAAGAACGTTATAGCTTACTACACATTAAATGAATCATCCACTCTACCCATTTCCATGTCAAACAAAGCATAACAGTAGAACAGTTCATTCTTATTGGGGCTCTAACTTGGAAGGCGGGAAACCCCCGCTGTATTCAAACGACTCTTTGCTATAAGGATGGCGAGGGCTTCCTTTCTCTGCCTCCTCGTATGTCGCCGAGGTACTGACAGAGTCTGCATTCGGGTTCAATCCGGCCTGCTGCAGTATGAGCTCGATCTCCTTCACCACGTCGCCCATCGAAGGCCGATCTGCTCCTGTTTCGTGCACGCACGACATGGCCAAATCGACGAACTTATCGAGGCCTTTCAACGACTCGTTGCAGATAGCCGGGTCGATCACTGTCTGCAAGTTGTACAGGCTCTTCGTCTTGTCCATCGCCATTTTCACCTCCCTCACAATGTACTTCCCCCTTTCGATGGGCCGCTTTGCAGTCGCTAGCTCGAGCAGCACGACTCCGAAGCTGTACACATCGCTCTTTTCTGTCAGTTGCTGCGTCATGTAGTACTCAGGATCGAGATAGCCCTGCAACAAAGATTTGGAGGGGGTGAAAAATTCAAGCTTTTGTTGTGATCGATATAAATAACCAAACAAACTGCAATGCGGTGATCACCATGGTTCCTTTGACTTGAGTGGTAACGTGACCCTTCTCACTGTCGCCCATGAGCTTGGAGAGGCCAAAGTCTGCAACTTTGGCAGTCAAGCGCTCGTCGAGTAAAATGTTGGCGGATTTGATGTCTCTGTGAATGATGGGTGGATCGGCGAGCTCGTGGAGATAGGCTAACCCTCGAGCAGCGCCGAGTGCCACTTTCAGCCGTCGAGTCCATTCCATTGAGATCCCTGATTTGCCTGCATTCATTTTTGTTGTTGATAAAGCTAAGGATTTGGGTATGAAACAGAGTAGAGGAGAGGAAAGGGTTTATCAATTGAATTGAAACCAACCTGAGAGAGCGTCACCGAGAGTGCCATTAGGGACATACTCGTAGATGAGCATTTGCTCACCTTGCTCGAAGCAAAACCCAACAAGGCTAACCACGTTCTTGTGATGAACTCTCGACAGCAGCTCGATCTCCGTCTTGAATTCATGCCCTCCCTGCATTGATTCCCTCTGCGCCCGCTTTATGGCCAGCAGATGACCAGTGGGCAGCACTCCTCTGTACACCTGTATTGGGAGATTCCCTATTATCAAACCGGCGGAAAGAAAGACAGACAGGCAGGAAAGGTGTTCGATGAAATGCCGCTGAGAATGAATGACTTTTACCTTGCCGTAACCTCCAGAGCCAATGGCGTTGGCGTCTGAGAAGTTGTTGGTGTATTTCTTGAGCTCGTCGAAGGAGAAGCATCTCGCTCCCTTCAGCTGCGGGAACCCGCCTGTGTTCTCAGTCGCGTCCCAGTGAGCTGCAAATTCCCAAAATCAAACAGCTAAGTAATCATCCTCAGAGAACCGTAAATCAGCTGTCTTGATTCTTGGGTTGGTTTCGAATCGGTTTATTACCAAAAGGGTGGCTCTGTTCGGTTGCTTTCTGTGCTCTCTTCTTCTGCCTAAATGCATAAACCGCAGCCAGGATCACCATAAGAACTAGCACAATCCCGCCAACTGCAGCTCCAATTATAATCCCAGTGCTCGCTGATTTCTTCGATCCAGACCCTCCTCCTGAATCAAACCAACCCCACAGTGTGAGAAAACAAAAAGAGAAAACCCCAGAAAGGACTCATCTTTCCATCTAATACGGGTACCTACCGTCGAAATGTGTATACTCATCGCCGAGGAAGAAAAAGGGTCCAAACATCGACGGCGGCTTGAACGTCTGGTTACTCAGGGAAAATGCAATTCGGGAAACCCCACTCCGATTGAAGAAATCCTGGCCGTAGGGGAACACCTTGAGGTCAATGTCGAGGTACTCGGACGAATCCTTTCTAGGGTTGCTGAGCTGAACGGCGTCGACGGGGAGCTGGGTGGACCTGAAACTGTCCATTAGGGACCTCTGGAGAGCGGTGAAGATGGTGGCGTTGCCCAAGTCGGAGAAGGAAGGCGCCCTGAATACAAGCAGTCCCGTGTATGCGAATGCACATGCGCAGTTGGGGCTGGCGGTCTTGTTAGATGAACAGCGGCCTGGCACGCAGCTGTTTGAAGGAGTCGTGTATTTGGAGTTTCGGTCCGGCGGGATGCAGTAGCTCTGCCTTGGTCCATTTGGAGTTTCATCGCAAACTGGGTTCCTCAGCAATCTGGATAAAGCACATAGTGACATAGATACACAACTTCAGTCATGGCCCATGGGTGACTTCAGCGTTTGATTAGGCCAATCATGATTTTATCATCACTCTTACATTATGTCAACGTCATTGGCGCCTGGTCTCTGTCTATAGTCGGAGATGAAGTTGGATTGCATGTCGATTAATTGAAGTTGGCTGCTGTGACTCGGTCCGATGTCCAGACTGCCATTCAAATCGTTCCTCGCCAAGTTTCTGCCAATTTGCAAGGTAAGGTTACATTATTAGGCCTAAAAAGGGGAGCAAGAACAAGCAGCTATATACTTACACGGTTTGTAGATTGGGAAGGCTGAAGAGACCAGCAGGAACTGGTCCTTGGAGTTGTGTGTTCTCCAGCATTCTGCAAACCATCAATATTCAATGAGTTGGGTGTTCATTCTCCTTATCTGGGTTGGTAATGGTTGCAAATTTTGTGCTTACAGTGTAGTCAAGGAGCCCATGGATGATATCCATGAAGGAAAACTCGAGGAATCGAAGCTGTTGTTGCTCATGTCCCTGCCAACAACATGCAAGAAGTAGTTGACTATATATATGACTGGCCATTATTACTCAAGGAAACAGGTTAACTGCTGTGGTGGATTTAACTTACATAGAGCTAAGGACTGTCATGCCAGTGATGTTTGGAAAAGGACCATTCAGATCATTGTTGGATAAACTCCTGTATAAGTAAATAAAGGCAAGATCTTGTCAGCAGGGTGATAAATACATTTTTTCTTTAAGTAGGGAAGCATTCAGTGTACTTACAGTTCAGTAAGACTTCCGAGATTGTTGAAGCTGCCTGGGACAGTTCCAGTTAACGAGTTTCTATCCAACCGTCTGCAATCAGAAGGTACATAAAAGAGAAGGTTACCAGTGATTTATATACAGATGGGAATGTGGAGTGGTTGTTTGATCATGAGTTGAATAAGAGTGAACGTTGCTAGTGATTTACTTACAAGACCTCCAATGAGTTCACTTGTCCAAGAGTTGGGGGAATGTTGCCAGTGAGCTTGTTACTGTCAAATAGGCTGTTCTCCGGGATGAAAAGCGAAAGTTAGGTAATCTGTTGATTGGGTAGAACCCTGAAACCATTTTGTGGCGAGCCTGATTAACTTACACGTGCAGGAGAGTCATGCTGGAGTTGAAAAGTTTAGTAGGGATGGAGCCTGTGAGCTGGTTCTTTCCGAAATGACTGATGCAAACAAGTTATTTCTCATTAGAACACAAAATCAAAGAATTGTGTAAAAGCTATGTGGAAACAAAATCTCAGGGGAGAAGAAGAAAGAAATGTACAAGTGCTTAGTGTTGACTAAGAGATCAAGGCCAGGTGTGTCCCCATCTGAGACTGGGACGCTGCCTTCGAGCTGGTTGTCAGCCAGATCAAGCCAGTACAGGTTAATAAGGTTGCCAATTGAAGGAGGAATTGTTCCGGTGAAACCATTCGAGTTCAAAGATCTACATTCAGGAAAAGTGACTGCATTACAGCACCAAATAAGGTGAAAGTTTGAGTCTTTAAGCCAAGAAAGATGTACGGGTCATGAATCCCTTACAAGTATGTGAGCCGGGTAAGTGATCCTACGGAGTCTGGGATAGGACCAGAGAAGCTACAACCAACCAAGATCCTGCAAACAAGATGTTTACATTTGTGAGGGATCCAAATTTAAGATGGATCATACAGTTGACCTTGGTGTATATCTACGCAAAAAGGACCAGTTGTGAAGCGTTTTCGGCAGAAAGAAAGATGGAAACCTACAAGTTGGTGAGCTTCTTCAGGTTCCCAATTGACTGTGGCAGATTCCCTCTCAACCCTTTGTTGTATGACAGATCTCTGTAGTTTTTTCACAAATTGATTATTTATTGGATTCAGGATTCTGTTTTAGAAGCAGAGGAAACAAAGACTCACAGGATCTGCAATTCAGACAAGGAAGCAATGTCTCCAGACAGTTGACCTGACAATCCAGTGCTTGACAATGTTCTGCAGTTTTCAGGTTCTTGGTCAAATTCAACAATTGAAGATAGCAAGAAGAAGACCAGTTATCTTCAGAAAGATAAGAGATCCAAATTTGACAACTTACATGGAGGTCACACGAATACCACTACAACTAATGCCGTCCCAGTTGTCTCCACAAGGGTCACCACCAACCCAATTGGGAGGAGTATTTGCCCAGACGTCCTTGAGCGAGTTCAGAACACTCACTGCACAGTGTTTGGATCCATTGCCATTAGTTAAGAAAACAGGATGATGAAATTCCAAGGGCCCCCAAAAAAGCTGAGGGGTGAGAAAAGGCGGTAATAGGTAGATCGTCATCATTTGATAGACAAAAAGAGCATAGCTTCCCAGCTGATCCAGTTAAAGATTCCAACTTTTCCTCATCGACAGGAAAAAAGAAGAACACACAAGCAAGCAAGTAGCTTACAGTCGCCGCCGTTGGTGGCCGCCTGAGTGATGGAAATCCGGGCGGTGAAGAAAGCAAGCAGCAGAAGCACCGAAATTCTGAGGCCGGCTGTCGTTGTAGCAGAAGTGCCCATATGGTGAAACTTGCAGGTGGGAAAGATTGTTGCAGATTATAGCTTGAAATGGTTTGAGAAAGATTGAGGCTTGATCAAAGAGGGCCTATCATCGTCTTCTTCTCGGAAGGACTGAGAAAATTAGCGAGGAACTTTGGTTGACACGCCCCTCCGGAGAGAAAGTCTGAAGAAGAAAGCTGAGATGATCAGCAATGGCGCCTTGGCAGGGCTTGTATTACCATGTCAAAGGAAAGGTTAGTTTGAACAAGCCAACCTCAAATATCATTTCTTTTTTCAAAATTCTACTCTCTTTGTGTTGAACTGGAATAAAATATGAAATAAAAAAAAATGATAAACAAGAGCAATAATCCACCCAACCAATATAGTAAATGAAAAGGGCACGAGACTCACCAAATCTCTCATTTTCTCATTTATTGAGCAATGATGACATGGAAGGGGAAAGCTGTAGCAGTCTCCTCCGCCAACTTGGCTGAGAATTGGGTTTTGCTAGCTTGCCATTGGCAGATTTATCTGACTCGCAGTCAACTATTTAGTTCGTCGAATCGCACAATGTAATAACGTCTGTTCGTATTTTCGTCTAAGTCGTTATGAATCGGTGTATTCTCGAGCAGGTGAAATTCCAGAGACGGAGCGTTGCGTGGGGCCGGATGTATACCATTTGGAACAATGCTACTGTACTATTACCAGGTAAGGAAAGACTAGTCTTCTGCTGCTGCTGTGCTGGTCAAATGTCAAATCCTACGATGATTAAACTAATCTTCATCTTCTTGTTGTTCGTCATATGCTGATCAGCGTAGAAAAACTGCATCTCCACATTATTTAAACCTAAACGTGTATGGTTGGATCCTTCCAATCCAATGCCAACTTGTTTTCACAGTAACGTTGAATTGAATAGTTCAACCAGCTACCGCCAGTTCTATTTCCCTTATCCCTACCATATTCCTGGATTCACAAAAAAATATAAGGTTAAGTGCATATCAGTACCTGATCCCAATCTTTGTTGGCATTTCAGTACTCAACTATCTTTTTTCTTTATGTTTGGGTTACAATGGTTAATGTGTTTCTTCAGTCTCTTGGTATGAAGAAGATGATTTTGGGTGGGAGATTGAGATTTCACAGCCACTGGCACATCTTTGTAATCATATTAGGTAGTGTTTGTGGCGAGTTGTTTCTGGTTAGTCTATGGTTTTGAGATCTGGCCATGAGATAGGTCTATACAACTGTTGTTGTTACTACTTAGACTTATTGTAGACATAACATCCATATTTTTCGCAAATTATACTCCTTTTACCGTGCTAAGTGGTCTAATGTTATTTTTTAATCGAGAAATCTCAAAAAAGAAATAACAAAGAAACATCTCACCTTTACAAGAACCCAAACATCCCAACTACAATAGTAGTCAGGCGTAAAAATCAACCGTTTCCAACTCTAACATAGACAAAGAAAGGGGTTTATGTGTGTCACTCTATGGGCAGCTTGATTGACAACTCTAGAAACCGCACAAGACTCTACACCATGGGACAATGGCTGATATCGGATGAAGACAATTGCGCAGTACAAGACCACTTAAAATATCTGACGAGATACAGTTATGGAGCTGGCGAATGGCATCCTTTGAGTCACCTTCAACCACCACTCTTGCAATCTAACAAGTTCGAGCTACGAGAATTAATGTTACAAAAATTTATAGTTTTCCCTTTTTTTTTTCCCCCTTCTCTCTAAACGTATAGTAATATTACACCGCCAGCTTGGCGGATATGGTTGACTCCTGGTGTCCTTGGTTTTCAATGAACCCTAATTGGCGTCCTTAAATTTCGGGTGGACGTGGAACGGTGGAAGGGACAACCAGCTGGTCAGATTATTTAAATGAACGTTGTCGGACGGGACGGAGGAACTCTTTATTTACACCGCCATTTATGATCTAGCTAGTTGTACCTAGCTCTCTCTCTCTCTTTTGCCACTTCTTGGCCACTCCAGCAAGAATATCACGAAACAAGGAGGATTCCTGATGACAACAACATTGTTCTTCCTTTTGCTCACTTGTCTGGTTAGCTGCCATTGAATTTGAAAGCACCTTCCTTACCTTGGTACTCTTTCATAGTGGTAACTAAAATTCGTCTGCCGACGATCAAGTTATCTATGGGAAATCGTTTAAAAGAACAAGTACGATAAATATGTTGGAGGGTGTGTTTGTTAGTTGCAATAACTGGAGAGTCTGAGTGAGGGAAGGACTGAAGGTAGGAAATCAAAATTTGTGTCATGTGTGATTAAGGAGATGATCAGATCGGTCTCGGAGCAGCATTAGTTCAAATGTTATCATAAGTTCATAACCAATTAATCTAACTAGTCATGGTTAGTTAGTTACTATTGTACGCTGCTGGTGCATTTTAACCCGATTTGATTAAGTCATCTGCCGTGTGTAATTATGTGCTTTCAAGGATATCACAAAATCAAATGGTCTAGATAACTCGAGTTATTGGTAGAGGTATGTGTATGAATATTAACCACTTTCTTACAATGTCCCTGTCAAAACGAGTGTCGACGACTCATGTGCTTGAATTTTGCACAGACTCGTCATGCCATGTGCTTTAAGACAAAAGTTATTATTGACGGTCGTGAGTATTTGAACACATGACCTCACAATAAAACCAACTCTAATACCATACTATAAACCAACTGATTCATATAATTCGAGTTGTATTTTTATCAATCTTAACTACCGCTAGCGCTTCGATATAATTGTTCGCAACAGAAAAGATTAGTCACATTGGAAACCCACTAATCAGTAATCAACCAAACAAGAAGATTAAAAAAAAATTATTTCAGTACTTAATATTTTATTAATTACGACAAAGAAAAGCTAGCAAAACTCCAAACCAAGCCCAATGGAATAACACGTTATTGGAAAGATCCAAATATACCAATTCTCCGAGATCGATGGATATAGGCATATAGCATTGGAGAATGTAGTCAGGAGAATCCAAGCACAGCGGCCCAAGTCAGGGCCCACGCGCTGCATGGCTTAGTTTGCCGGCGGGGAAACAAAAGGCCGAAAAGCCAGTAAGTATATCCATCGGTGGCGAGCCAGCTATCCGGCCGGCCGCCCTCTTTCTTCCTTTCCCCACATCTCCGTCCAAACTTTTCGTCCGTTGCTTGTCTAATCCATTTGTTGTTAGTGATTGGTTAATTTGCTCGCAGAAAAATAAATGATGCAACTCTCAATGAAAACGTGCCACGTGGCAAGTGGCATTGTGTATTTGGGGCATTAGTGCCGTAAATCGTTGTCCCTCTAGTAAAGTAGTTAATTAGCTTCCTCTCTTCTGTCTTGTTGGCCCAAATTGTCCCTGAGCCCAAGTAAGTGTCCATCAAAGCAAAGGGTTTTGCTGGGCTAGTGTGACAGATCGGCCCAAGTAAACCCATATACAACTTGCAGGCCTGGAGGGCTTTCACTCTCGGACCCCTACCCTACCAAAAGAAAAGGAAAGGAAACAAAAGGACGCTAATGAATGCTAAGACAGTGATGAACCGAGGGAGCTAGGACCAGAGGAACTTCGTGTGGCTGTGGTGTTGCTTGAAAGCTACGTGAGTGACTAAATCTGAAGAATAACATGTGGATAACAGAAATGCTTTAATTTTTGGGTTTGTCTTATAGTCCATTATACACGCAGAAGCCAAACCGGGCCGGACCCATCAGGCCCAATGGGACTTCAGGTGGCTACACTATCTATAACCTCATCTCTGTGATGTGGCTCGAGGGAGGGCCTTGGCCACTCGTGAGGGAATTTTTTTATTTAAGGTACTGTTAATTATTATTATTATTATTATATTATTTTTCGTTTCTTCCATTGGTCCATATATGAGACACTCAAATTTGGATTAAAATTTTCTTCGCAGTGATTTGATTTTGAAGGGATGGGTTATGTAAGAAACGAGCTTTCAAATGATTTCTAGCCTCAAAAAGAATAACCTTTACAACTGATATATCGTTCGATTTAGGAGGTACTACAACGATCTCGTAAATTTTCCACACAGTTGTGCTCTTTAATTCTGTGTCTGCATTGCGATGTATTACCCAGAGAAGTGAAGAAATTTTAACAAACGAACAACCATCTGTAGTGTCTACGGTAGTACTACCGTGTCCCTGATCATGCAGATAAACACGCGCGCGCCCTACTGCATGGTTGTATCGTAATCCATGTCGAATATGCTAAATCATTTTCATATCAGACCTTGATCGTGTTTAGGTTAGAACTTTGATTCCAATACCAACTAAAAAATATATATGTTTATCAGATAGTATCAATTTATTTTTGTGGTATAATCAATTTTGTTTTTATTGGTTATTTTTTTTGGTCAATTTGAAAACTATTTTCAGAAAGGAAATTTCCGTTTCATATCTCCACATCATGATTTCAACCACCTTAGTAATTATAAAGAAATGGACAAAAACTTGGATATGGACGTATGCTCTAAGGTTTGTGTGTACGTAGCTTTTCTTAAATTCTCTTAAGCACAAAATTTGTGTGGTTCATGACTTGACGTATCATACGGAATCATTTGGCCGTATTTAACAAGCTCGCAACGAAAAAAAAATATTATGCGAAATTTTTTCAACCAAAGGCTTTTTTCTTTATTATCACACTCAACCGTGAACCGAACATAGGTTTATGGTTCACTATTAAACTGTTGTAAAATTATTGGTTAATCGTTTTTACAAGAACTGTTCATACTCTATAAAATCAAAGAATATATATGGCTAGCTAACTTAGACCTCAAACTTTCACTAATAAAATTTTTTCAAATTCATATCATCCATCATAAAAAATTATAATCGAGCATTTAGATTGTCTCACAAAAGACATCATACATAAATTTTTGAAAAAATCCCTTATTTGAATGAATTGCAACTAAACTCGGCCCAATCTTTTACTAAAAGAATTGAGTCGAATACAAAGATTCTAGTTCTATTCTATATTTTTTATAGATACATACTTAACTAGATATACAAGATCTTAAGTACAAAATAGAAAACGAATCAATTTCTTTTAACCCTTTATGCGATTGTCTTGGATTCACAGTTAATTCCAAGTATCTCTAGGTGTATTCTTTTATATCCTACATATGAGGGCAACCAAGTATCACAACATTTTGCTCGATCCATCCTGTACATTGTCCCTTTGGTGCCGTGTTTGAATAGAAACTTATTAATAGACAAGATTTACGAAAAAGTGTTTTTCACATTCCTAAGATAAAAGTAATATTTATTTTCTCAATTTGAATTTGATTATTTTTTGAATGCAGAATAAAATAGAATAGAGAATAGAAATGTCCATAAATAAACTATATAATAAAGAATAAGAATTTGTCATTTTAGTAATTAGGTTGGTTGTTGGTAGTGAATTGCACAAATCCAACAAGAGGTGAGGAAACGAAAAAGAGGAAGTATAAAAATAAAAGGATAAAAGTCTATTTTTTATCCAAATCTTTTTCAGATTCTTTTGTATTAACCAAACCTATTAAAATTTTATTAATTAGCCAAATCTTTCATAATGCATCAAAATATTAGCCATTTTTACGTTATCGTTAGTAATTTAGTAACTATTTTCTTAGTTAAAATACTAAAACTTTGAAATGTTGACCTTCACGTGTCTCTTCCAAGTCACTATCATGTTGCCAAGTCAATATTACTAACAAAATTGCTAACTGAAAGTTAACATTTGGCTAATTCCTTAGTATTTCGATAGGTTTGGATAATATAAAAGAATCTGGAAAAAAAATGTTTGAATAAAAAATAGACATTACCTATAATAAAATTAGTTAGCCGTGCCACCAGATGGTCTCAATTCGTGTTATAACATATTTTGTCATTAACAATACTCTTTTGTTGCTACAATAGTGAACCAACGGACCGGTGAATCGAGGTGGTCCATTTGGTTTGATACCCGACCATGATAAACCATTTTATTCATCCTGGACCGCTCGACCAAATAGACCAAACCGGTATTGTAATCGTATTGATAGTTCTACTGGTTCGGCCAATTATTCGGTCTCATTCTTATAATAAGGGCCTTTGTTATGATTTTGTAAGTTTGAGAACTATTCTACCACTGATTTTCAACTTGGAGAATGTCATATTCATCAATTTATCACCTATACAATTGTTTTCCCATCTTTTATGAATACTGGTTTAGGCATTAGCCTTCATAGCTTTTACCATTGGGAACCAAAACTTTCCTTTTCCTTGAACGCGACTCACGAGGGTTGGGAGCGTGCGTCTATTTAACCACTGCAGAGGAAATGGTGTTGGGGGACTTGGGTTGTCAGAGAAGGAAGGAAAGGAATTGTGTCCATTACATTTACACCAACCTGATCCCTTTTTTTCATCTCTCTTTGCCTTCTCTCTAGCTCTCCCCTGTTCTTCTTCTTTTCTGGTTCAAGCATGGACCAGAATCTCCAGTCAGCAGGGAAAGAGCCGCTCCTGCTGCAGCCCACTGATGGAGAAAACCAGAAGACGAACTATGGGTTCCTGCGGATTTTCGCCAAATGGGCTCTGAGGACGACGATGTGGGCCATCTTCGTCGCCTGGGTGGGGTTCATTTACCTCTACCCAACTCAATTGGGCGATTCCCTCTTCCAGAAGTGGAATCGCCTCACCGAGAAGTCCCTCTTCGGAATCACAGGTCTGCAAATAATACCATTGATTCTTCCAATTCCTTCCAGTCCTAGTTAAAACGCCCATCGGAATTCTGCGTAATTAACTGACTTATTGGCGGTGGCGGTGGCAGGGAGCATCTTGTTGCTGGTGAGCGGGCCGATAATGGCGATTGCAGTTCTGGCCGTTGCCCATCTGATTCTGGTTTCTGGGGAAGATGAATTTTACCCAAGGTAACGCTTACTACCTCCAGGCTCCATGCATGTCCCTTCTCTCTGCCTTTTTTTTTTCTTTTTTTCTAGTGATGTCTGTAATTTGCAGGAGCTTCGTTAATTAATTAATTAATTAGTCGTTTAGGAGGTAATTAGTTTAACAGCTGTTGGAATATTATTTAAAATCAGGAAAAAGTTGAGGTAATAAAATATAATTATTTAAATATTGGACAATTATTAGATTATTAGTAGCATACGTATGCTTGGTTGTACTGTACACGTATTGTATACTATAGAGTGGAGTGAAATCCCTATGGAAAAACAAACCAGTTTCAATTTTCAACATTTGCTACACTCAATTAAAACATTTGCTACACTCAACCTCTTAATCCTTCCTAACTGGCTAATTAGTTAACTGATTAATTCCCTTTGAGAATGATCAGGAAAAAGAAGTACCCCAGAGCACAGTTGTGGACATTCCCGCTCATCGTCGGCGGACCGCTCGGCGTCGTCTCAGCCGCCGAGCTGATCGGAGTCGTGCTCTTCGTCGGCTACATCCTATGGGCTCTCTACTTCTACACCCTGCGGAACCTCGCCCTTCTATCCACCTTCAAGCTCACTTCCGCGCAGTTCAGGTACTACATGGTGCAGCTAGCTCCATTATGATTGCTTGTTACATTACCATGATTCTGATCATTGTTGTGAGCTTACTTGGTGAACACACAATCATGGTGTGGCAGCATCTATCTGATGGAGCTGACCGGGCTTCGGTTGGGGATGATCGGGTTGTTCTGCTTGGCATTTCTGTTCCTCCCAATCGCCAGAGGCTCCGTGCTGCTTCGCCTCATCGACATCCCGGTTGAACACGCGACGAGGTACCATGTGTGGTTGGGACATGTCACCATGCTCCTGTTCACTCTCCATGGCCTCTTCTATGTTGTCGGATGGGCTCTCCAGGGCAAGCTCCTGCAGGAGGCCAGTACCGATCTCTCTCATTCTTCCTGTGTTTATGTTTCTTTTTCAATAATCATGAATGTTTACTTATTTATTTATTTATATGTAGATCTTGGAGTGGAAGAATATTGGGATATCGAACCTGGCAGGAGTGATTAGCCTTTTGGCTGGTCTGATCATGTGGGTGACATCCCTCCAGCCGGTCAGGAGATGGAACTTTGAGCTGTTCCTCTACACCCATCAGCTGTACATTGTGTTTGTGGTGTTTCTTGCATTCCACGTTGGCGATTTCATCTTCAGCATAGCTGCTGGTGGCATATTTCTGTTCATGCTCGATCGATTCTTGAGGTTCTGCCAGTCTCGGAACACTGTTGATGTCGTCTCGGCTAAATGCTTCCCTTGCGGCACTGTTGAATTGACCCTCTCCAAGCCTCAAAGTAATTAAAAGTTCTGCTTACATTTGTTTCCTGTCAATGAATAAGATGTTGATCTTTGTACGGTTGCATATGCATTGTTATAACCATTTGTTTCCCTTCTTTGGATGTAGGTCTGAGGTATAATGCACTGAGTTTCATCTTCATTCAAATCCGGGAACTGTCTTGGCTACAATGGCATCCGTTCAGTGTGTCATCTAGTCCATTGGATGGCAAGTATCACATCTCAGTTCTCATCAAAGTTCTAGGGGGTTGGACTGATAAGCTTAAAGAGAGGATTGTGACGACGAGCTCAGCTGATGAAGATGCAGAGGGAGCAATAATTATGGAACGAAATTCCAAGATATGCAGGAAGTTAACAGCTTCAGTCGAAGGACCATATGGCCATGAGTCACCATACCACTTGATGTATGTCATCTTCAGAAGTTTCAATTTTCACTGTTGAACCATATGGAAATGCATGCTCATCATTTGTCCCAATGCGATTTCCAGGTATGAGTACCTTGTTTTAGTAGCAGGAGGCATAGGGATTTCTCCTTTCATGGCAATTCTGAGGGATGTCTTCCATCGTCTTGATGAAGGAACACCCTGCCTACCAAGAGAGATTTTGCTAGTGTGGGCTGTGAAAAAGTCGGAAGAAATCGGGCTTCTTTCGACGATCAGTTTGGACTACTTGCGTTCAGACATCTTTGAGAAGCTTAACTTACATATTCAGATTTATGTAACCCGAGAATCGGATCCTCCTTTGGTAAGCTGCAGCTATACCCTAACATGTCGTGTGATTAAGCCCTGCAGTCTCTAATGATTCTCTTCACTTCACTGCTCATTTTCAGGAAGAAGGCAAAGTAACTCATGAGGCTTCCTCAGTAGTCTCTGCTGGGTGCTCTGGCCCAAAAGGAAACCGCATGTCAGTTCTGGTTGGCACCGGTGACAATATCTGGTCCGGACTATACGTTATCTCATCGACACTAGGTTTCATCGTTTTGCTAGCCTTAATCGATGCCTACTACATCAATCCCTACGGCATCTCATCATGGTGGTACAAGGGACTGCTCCTCATGTCATGTATGGTCGGAGGTGTTGTTGTGTTTGGTGGCGTGGTCATTGCACTATGGCATCTTTGGTCCAGAAAAGTTTCATCCACAGAGCAATTCAAGGCAGAACCTAAGACGAACGGCGCCAATGGTCTGCACCATAACGAATCGAGTACTGCAGATGAAGATTTCCCTCCAAGTACAGATGGGGCAAAGGCGAAAGACTTGCTTACTGCAAGTTCAACCTTCATCAACTATGGTTCCAGACCAGACTTCCAAGGTACACACATATTGAAATGACCTTATCCATTGTTTCTATGTGCTGTTTTGACAGCTGACACTAATGTACGTTCTTTTCCCCATTGTTTCTGTATCTCACTACTGAACCTGAAGAGATATTCCAAAGCACGTCGAAGAACTGGGGCCATGTCGACGCTGGTGTGATGGTATGTGGACCTCCAACTCTGCAGACCACCGTTGCCAAAGAGATCAGGTCTCACAATTTGAGAAGATACTCTCATGACACTGTGCTTCATTTCAACAGCCATAGTTTTGATCTTTAAGCCCTGCTGCCTTGCCCCTACCCCAGTAATTAAACTAGCTCCACCTATAGATTACAGTAATCGCTCTCTACTTGCGCATCGTCATCAATCTACGATTCTACGTTTTGAGAAGCACATCCAGTCCAATGTGCATGGCAGTATATAGGTATTCAGAAGTCGGGTATAGATCGACTTACGTATGTGTATCGATATAGTAAACAAGTGTATAGAAGAAAGAGATGTCATTAATCTGGTATGTACATAGCAGTACGATTAATGTATATCAATCATTAAATATGGGTAACAGAAATGCTGTAAATATGAGTTATGCAACCTTATCCTAGCACTTGTTTGTGTTATGATCTACCCTATTTTTTGCGAATATGATTATGTGTGAGTATTGTATGTCGGCATTTCATCAGCGAAACTGTCAGTACATTCTCCGTGTCAAATATGTGAATTTAGATAGATATGGTTTCGAACCAACGTAGAAGGAAGAGCAAGGTTTTGAATCACAAGTACGCGTCCACCTTATTCATACGATCATGCTTTTTAATCGTTGCGCCCGCCACGGTGTATTACCCAAAATGAAGAAGTACTTAATCTAAAAACAACCATCTATATTGCCTACAATACAAGCATGTCGCTAATCGTACAGACAGACATGCCCTATTGCATAACTGTTTAGTGTAATGTAATCTCTGCCGCGGGCATCCTGAATCGCAGCCTATCAAACCATAGATTGTGTTTTTTTGCCATTGGTGACAATTTATAAGCTTGATTTCAAATAAAGGGAAGGTTTTAGAGTACCCCTAGTGGTGCTTAAGTAGACTATATTTACCCCGAGCATGCTTCTACTATGCTCTAAAAATTCCTCTGTTTACCACACACATGGTTAGAACCTTCCAAACGATCAACAATCGTCTAAAAAAACATTTAGCTATCGAATGATATCAATTCAATTTTACTGATTGTTATTTGCATCTAGCCGATGAATTATTTTCTGCAAGGACAAATTTCCTTGTCATATTTCCACATCAAGATTTCAACCACCTTAGTAATTATGATATGGACATATATGCTATTATTGTTAAAGGTTTGTGTGGTTCATGACTTGACGTACATATTTGTGTCCATTACAGATTTACACTACACCAACCTGCCTTGGACAATTTATTAATTCTCACCCAAAAAGCGACGGTTTCCATCTTTGACCCTCCATTTTGGAAAAAAACGTGGTCTCTTGACGTTCCACCTAAGCTTAAAATCTTTATTTGGCAATGCCTGAGAGTTATCTTGCCAACTATGACGGCTCTTAAATCTCGAGGAGTAAGATGTCGAGCTAGGTGCCCAGTGTGTTGGGTTGGCAAGGAAAGTATTGAGCACCTCTTTCTCCATTGTCCCCTTGCTCTCGAGCTCTGGCATATGGTGGGTCTAAGCTGTTTAATTATTTCCGCCCCAACTGAGAACTTCGGTATTTGGTGGCGACATGTTATGAACTCGGCGAACTTCCAAATCCACTATCTCCCCTGCATTTGCCTTCTTTGGAGAATTTGGAAATCTAGAAATAAAGTGGTCTTTGAATTCACTCAACCACTTGCCTCTTCGCTTGCCCGTCAATTCTTCTTCCAAGTCCAAGAATTCTCCTCAATCTCCTCCCAGCCCCTAGCCTCTCTGCCCCGCCCTCAACCGTCGCCTCGCCTTGTCAGTTGGATTGGCCCCCCAGATGGTTTTATCAAGGTTAATTTCGATGCCGCTGTTCGTGCCCCGGATTGCTCGTCAGGACTCGTTGCTCGAGGATCAGATGGGCAAGTCTTTTTGGCCTTGGGGTTCCATCACCCTGGAGTTTCCAACCCTTATCTGGCTGAACTTTTGGCTGCAAGGGACGCCATCTCTCTTGCCATCTCTCATAGGCTCCCCCGCGTCATCATTGAAGGAGATTGCGAAGTAGTCATTCGACAACTTGATGGGAGATGCTGTGAAGATTCTGTGGGTGGGCCCTTGCTTCGTGATTGTGTTCAGTTAGTGAGGTCCTGTTCCTCGTGTTTTGTTTTTAGTGCGGTTCCGAGGACTGCCAACTGGGCTGCCCATAGAGTGGCAAAGCAAGCCCTGTTGCTGTCCCCTGTAGAGATAGCGTCCTTTGATTTTGTAGGGTGGTTGCTTTTATAGTTTGTTTTGGGGTTCGGGTAGAGGTTGAACTATTGTTTCTCGCTCTTACTTGGAAAAAAAAAAAACCTGATCCTTTTCATCTCTGTTTTCCTTCTCTGTAGCAGCTCCCCTGTTCTTCTTCTTCTTTTCTGGTTGAAGTAGTACTGGTACCAACACATCCAGCCAGTTTGAAGGAGGAATAATGGACCAGAATTATCCGCATTCAGCAGCAGGGAAAGAGCCGCTCTTGCTGCAGCAACCCACTACCGAAGATGATAATCAGAAGAAAACGAACTGTGGATTCTTGTTGCGCATCGTCGCCAAATGGGTTCTGAGGACGACGATGTGGGCCATCTTCGTCGCCTGGGTGGCGATCTTGTACATCTTCCCTACCCAATTGGGCGATTCCCTCTACGACAAGTGGAATCTCCTCACCGAGAAGTCTTTCTTCGGCATCACAGGTCTGCAATTTTACGAATTGATTCTTTCACTTCTCCCCAGTTAAAAACGCCGCTCGATCGGGAAGTCTGCATAATGTTGGCGTAATTAACTAACTGGGTGGCGGTGGCGGTGGCGGTGGCAGGCGGCATCTTGTTGCTGGCGAGCGGGCCGATAATGGCGATTGCAGTTCTGGCCGTTGCCCATCTGATTCTGGTTTCTGGGGAAGATGAATTTTACCCAAGGTAACGCTTAATTACTAGCTAGTCTCTTTCTCTCTGCCGTTTTTTGGATCTTTCTAGTGATATCAGAAATCTGCAGGAGTTTTCTTTATTTATTAATTAGTTGTTTAGGAGGGTAATTAGTTTAACAGCTTGGGATCGAAGGTGTGATTTATTTGGAAAAAGACAGGGGATGACACGTGTCAAGTGTTAATCAAAGCATGAGATTATGGAACCAGACGGCTGCTACTTTGCCTTAATCAAAGCATTAACCTTTTGATTCTTCCCAGCTGGCTAATTAATTACTTAGCTAATTAATGACTTTGGCTTTGAGAATGATCAGGAAACAGAACAGTACTAGGAAGTACCCAAGAGCACAGTTGTGGACATTCCCGCTCATCGTCGGCGGACCACTCGGCGTCGTTTCAGCCGCCGAGCTCATCGGGGTCGTGCTCTTCGTCGGCTACATCCTATGGGCTCTCTACTTCTTCACCGTCCGAAACCTCGCCGATCTATCCACCTTCAAGCTCACTTCCGCGCAGTTCTGGTACACGGTCTCCACCTCCATCAAATTTCTTGGACTTCATTGGAGTGATTATGTATATATGATCATTGAGAGCTTAATTACTTGGGGCACAAACAATTATGGCGTACGTGGCAGCATCCATCTGATGGAGCTCACCGGGCTCCGGTTGGCGGTGATCGGGTTGTTCTGCTTGGCATTTCTGTTCCTACCCATCGCCAGAGGCTCCGTGCTGCTTCGCCTGATCGACATCCCGGTCGAGCACGCGACGAGGTACCATGTGTGGTTAGGACATGTCACCATGCTCCTGTTCACTCTCCATGGCATCTTCTACGTCGTTGGATGGGCTCTCCAGGGCGAGCTCCTGCAGGAGGTCGGTAGTACCGATCTCTCTCGTTCATCCTATGTTTATGTTTCTTTTTCAATACTGATGAATGTTTACTTTAAAAAAATAAATATATACATATGTAGATCTTGGGGTGGAAGGATGATGGGATATCAAACCTGGCAGGAGTGATTAGCCTCTCGGCCGGTCTAATCATGTGGGTCACATCCCTTCAGCCAGTCAGGAGATGGAACTTTGAGCTGTTTCTCTACACACATCAGCTGTACATTGTGTTTGTGATCTTCCTCGCGTTGCACGTCGGCGATTTCATCTTCAGCAGAGCTGCTGGTGGGATATTTCTGTTCATGCTCGATCGATTCTTGAGGTTCTGTCAGTCTAGGAACACTGTTGATGTCGTCTCGGCTAAATGCTTCCCCTGTGGCACTGTTGAATTGACCCTCTCCAAACCTCAAAGTAACTAAAATTCTGCTTAACATTTCCCATCAATGAATAAGTTACCTTTTTGGTCTTGGTACTGTTGCATATGTACTGTTATCACCATTTGTGTTCCTTCTTTGGTTAAACTTGATGTAGGTCTGAGGTACAATGCACTGAGTTTCATCTTCATTCAAATCCGGGAGCTTTCCTGGCTACAATGGCATCCGTTTAGTGTGTCATCCAGTCCATTGGATGGCAAGTATCACATCTCAGTTCTCATCAAAGTTCTTGGCGGGTGGACTGATAAGCTTAAAGAGAGGATTGTGACAACGAGCTCAGCTGATGAAGATGATCCAGAGGGAGCAATACGTATGGACCGAAATTCCAAGCTATGCAGGAAGCTAACAGCTTCTGTCGAAGGTCCATACGGTCACGAGTCACCATACCACTTGATGTATGTGATCTTGAAAAGTTTTAACTTTCACTTTTGAATCATAACATGGTGAAATGCATGCTCATCCTCTGTCTCCCCCTTGTGATTTCCAGGTATGAATACCTTGTTTTAGTAGCAGGAGGCATAGGGATTTCGCCTTTCATGGCGATTCTGAGGGATGTCTTCCATCGTCTTGATGAAGGAAGACCCTGCCTACCAAGAGAGATTTTGCTAGTCTGGGCTGTGAAAAAGTCTGAAGAAATCGGGCTTCTTTCGACCATCAATTTGGACTACTTGCGTTCTGACATCTTTGACAGGCTTAATTTACACATTCAGATTTATGTCACCCGAGAATCGGATCCTCCTTTGGTAAAGCTGCAGCCATACCTCAACATGTCGTGTGATGAAGCACTGCAGCCGCTAATGATTCTCTTCACTTCACTGCTCATTTTCAGGAAGAAGGCAAAGTAACTCATGAGGCTTCCTCAGTAGTCTCTGCAGGGGGAATAGGTTAGGGTGGTTACTCAATTTTGAGTAATCACGGTGGCTACCAACATCTATACCATTCATTATCTTTATTTTATTATATTTTTAAATTAACGATTAAGATTAGATAAGGGTAATTTAGGAAATAAAAAACATACCACACCTAATTACTCTATATATTATATTCAAACCCTAATACAACCCCACAACCGCCGCCGTCTCTCCCTTCTCCCTTCTCCCACAACTGCCGGCTGCCGCTGTCTTCTCCCTTCTCCCTCCTCCCTCCGACCACCCCAAAATCCGGCGGCGACATTGGTAAAGATTTTTCCGGTGATTTGGGTTTCTTATTTTTTTTTTATTGGATTGAAGCTTCCGAGGTACAGAGTAATAACAATAGTGCTCTGTCTGCTCCGTGTGGAGTCGCTGTCAGCGCATCTGAAAAAAGATTTGTGGGATTCTCTATCTCCTCCGGTGATTTGAAAGCTCCATGAAATTGGATCGGCTCAAATCCATCTTTCGAACCGGATCGGAAGATGACGATCTTTCTGGGTTTTGTGGGAAGAGGAGAATCCCGGTAGTTTGATGAGGAGAATCCCGGTAGTTTCCTCGTCGCGCTCACCATCGTCTCTGCAATTGGAAGGAGGAATTCCATTGGAATGGTATGTTTTTTTTTTAAATGGTAGTCTTTTTTTTTTTCAGTAGTCATTTTTTTTAAATGGTAGTCATTTTTTCGTAGTGGTAGTGTTATTGTCGTATTGGTATAGTTTTTGTCGCATTGGTATTATTTTTGTCGCATTGGTATTGATTTTGTCGCATTGGTATTGATTTTGTTACATTGGTATCGATTTTGTCGCATTGGTAGTGATTAAATCTGCAATGGTATTGATGTTTTGTGAAATGGTAGTGTTTTTATTTCTTGAATGGTATTGATGTTTTGTGAAATGGTAGTGTTTTTATTTCTTGAATGGTAGTTTTCGTGTAATGCTATAAATTTATTTCTGCAATGGTAGTTTTCGTGTAATGGTATAGATTTATTTCTGCAATGGTATTGATATTTTTCAAAGTGGTAGTGTTTGTCTAATGGATTGGTACTGATTTCGTTTTTTTTTTTTTTTTTGCAGAAAGATTGAGAAAAATATGGAAAGGAAATCTGGCTGGAGATTATGGAAGTGAGAGAAAGAGAGATTTTTAATTAATAGATTTTTGTAACTACCTTAAATGTAATTTATTAAAAAATTAATTAATATAATTTATTTTTCCATACCCAATTTACCCTTAGTAACCACGGTGATTACTATAAAAAAGTACTCACCGTAACCGCTCCCCTCTGCAGGGTGCTCTGGCCCAAAAGGAAACAACATGTCAGTTCTGGTTGGCACCGGTGACAGCATTTGGTCCGGACTATACGTTATCTCGTCGACACTAGGTTTCATCCTTCTGCTAACCTTAATCGATGCCTACTACATCAATCCCTACGGCATTTCATCGTGGTGGTACAAAGGAATGCTCCTAATGTCATGTATGGTCGGAGGTGTTGTTGTGTTTGGTGGCGTGGTCATTGCATTATGGCATCTTTGGTACAGAAAAGTGTCGTTCGAGCAGGAACCTAAGACGAACGGTGCCAATTTTCTGCACCAGAACGAATCGAGTACTGCAGACGAAGATTTCCCTCGAAGTACCCAAGGGGGAAAGGCTAAAGACTTGCTTAGTGCAAGTTCAACCTTCATCAACTATGGTTCCAGACCTGACTTCAAAGGTACACATTGTTGCAATGACCTTGTCCATTGTTTCTGTGTGCTGTTTTGACAGCTGACACACTAATGTATGTTCTTTTTCCATTGTTCCTGTCTCTCACTACTGAAACTGAAGAGATATTCCAAAGCACGTCGAAGAACTGGGGCCATGTCGACGCTGGTGTGTTGGTATGTGGACCTCCAACTCTGCAGACCACTGTTGCCAAAGAGATCAGGTCTCACAATTTGAGAAGATACTCCCATGACACTGTACTGCATTTCAACAGCCACAGTTTTGATCTTTAAGCCTTGCCCTCCACCTATGGATTGCAGTCATTTCTCTCTACCAATTATGCTATGCATCTTCGTTGATCTGCCATTCTACCTAGTGAGAAGTAAATCCAGTCCAATGTGGCAGTATATATGTATAGGTATTCAGAAGTCGGGTATAGATCGACTTATCACTTGCGTACATGTATCGATATAGTAAGCAAGTGTATACAAAGAGATGTTAAGCCTTAATCTGGTGTGTACATAGCAGTATGATTAATGTGTATCAATGCATAGTAGTTATTATTAGTATGAGAAACCTGCAAATAAACAGTCATGGCCATGGCCTTGCTGCAGCACTATCTATGTCAGTTGTCATTCATGTTCTTTTCTGAGCTATAAGAGTGAGATCATATTACTTGACAGCAGATAATGAGAGTTCTGAGACCCTCTCTCTGTGGGCTGGACTAACTAATTTGGTTGACCGGACTGGATCCATTCAAATAGCTCAAACAAGCCCATTGATGCGAACGGATTAGCCCAATCCCTTTCACTCCTAAGCCCTCTTGCTTCTTCTTGCTACAGGAGTAGCATGGTCACATAGGTTTGTACTAGTAACAAAATAGTCTTTTTTTTTTTTACAAGATAACAAACGTTTAAAAACGTAATAAAATAGTCACAAACGTTTAAAACGTAACAAAAAGGTCATATACGTATCATGATATAACAAAACAATCATTTCATCTCTTTTTAGTCATGTTTTCATCCGCAAGAATCGATTATTTTGATGACACCATGGAAAATTTATGACAAATTATCAACCACCTAACCAACCTGTGAAATTGCCGCTTTTTTTTTTGACTCAGGTAGATAGTTAATAGATAGGGAAATACAAAGAGTTGAAAAGTAAATAGCAGTAATCAGCCAAGTGCTGATTCACCGATGCAAGAGCTGTTTTCGCCACGCAATGGGCAGCCCTGTTAGTATGCCTAGAAACATAAATAAACGAATAAACGCAAAGGAAGTCTTCTTTTGACAAACTTCTTGAAATACCACTCCGCCAAGTACAAACTTCACATCGTTGATAAGCCGGGTTCCAATAGGCTAGGAGTAGATCTGATATGCAAGCTACCTGCAAAAACACAATCGACCCTCAAAGGGGCAAAATAACACTCAAGTACCACAAAGTTGCCACCAATTGCTCCACAAGCTATGCGAACTCCGCCGTCTACAGCCCAAAAAAATACCAAAACCGAATAGTAGAGAAATTACACTCCATGCCTAACGAAAAGCAATTCCTTAATATAAGCAAGAGGCATAAAATAAGCGAATACAAAACCAATGCAACACCAAAGCAAAAATATCAAACACAAATGTAAACATTATAATAATGAAATACATGATTAGTAAGTAAGAGGTAGAAGACTTAGCTAAACGTGGTTAGTAGGATCAACGGTTAGGATTGGAACCGCCTATTCGGCAAATTTGTAACTGCCCTGGTATTGTAACCGACCAAATCATTTTGCACCAAAGTTTGTAGGCTTCGAATTTGTAACTGCCACTGAATGTTGGATGCCGGAGTTGGAAATGGGAAGAGGGAATGGCCGGGAATCGCCGTTGCTGCATACTGGCCAAACTGCCAACCATGGCACCGCTGTAGCAGCATTCCTGTCGTTGGTGAGTCCTACAAAACGAACAAACAAAATAGAGTCGCTCTATGGCACTCTGTATCTCCATGAAAATGGAGTCAAACAGGCCCATAAGCCATAGGCGGTAATCTGAATACCGAAACATAGAAAGTAGCTCAACGCGTCAGGGAGATCCAATCCAGTGTCCTTGATTTTGCCCGCAACTAGGCGAGTCTGGTACTCAAAAGAAGAATGTGATTGATAATCAATAGTAGGAGGCGGCGGGATCCCAAGGCAACAAAAGAAGAAGCCAGGAGACCACGAAGAGGGGATCTTCTTCTTCGACGTCTCAACCAAGAAACCACCAGTAGTGGCGAACAGAGCCGCCACCATGATCAATCTAGTCATTCTATAGCATTCTTCCACTTCCGTTTCGGAGATGGCCGGCTTTTTTAAAAATAATTCATAGTTAAAGAAAATAAAACGGATAAGCTTTGAAAAGAATAATAAAAAAATTAAATGAGAGAGCACTTATCTGGCATAACCGCCACTGTCCCGGAATCGTAACCGCCAATGCCAACGGCAACTTCGTCGTCTCCCGTCGTCATGAAGCCCTCCTCCTAGCATCGTCGTCGTCATCACTGTCCTCGTTCATGGTCGGCGTATGATCTCCCTTTGGTGGTCGCCAGAGCAAAGGACGGGAGAGGAGAGAGAGGAGTCGCCACCATCATCGGCCCTATTCTCTCTTATTCGGTGCTCGGTAAACCGTAACCGGTGGCGGCAATATCTGGGTAGAAGATTCGTCGTCGGTGGAGTCGAGAGGGTCGACGGAAACGACGACTTTGGCGATGGGGCGTGAAGGGTCGTCGGGGAAGGGCGAGCGGAAGGAGCGCATGGAAGTTCCCCAATTTCCCATGAAATGTTGTTTGATATTGGGGTTTCTTGTGAAATTGCCGCTTATTTAGAGCAAGCAAAACTGTCATTTTAGATGGAAATATCAAATATGGATGGAAATGCATGGAATAGTTGTTTTGTTATAACATGATACTTTGCGTGACCTTTTTGTTACGTTTCAAACGTTTGTGCCCATTTTGTTACTTGATCAAACTCGTGTGACCATTTTGATCAATTACCCAAGTAGCATGTCTGTTGGGTTGCTGCTGTTGAAGCGACCCCCCCAACCAACCAAAATTGTGTTCGGAAGCAACCCAAATGTTGACACTAGTTTGGTGATTGAAAATGCAATCCGACTGGGAGTCGTCAGATCAGGTAATGGACGCCTCGTGTTCGTTAGATTAATCATTAATGTGTTGACATTTTATTTATAAAACTATTATCGCATTCATCCAACGATCACGATGTGCCCTAAATCTGATTTGACGACTCCCAGCATCTATGAACACGTTTTTTCTACTTGTATTGTGATCGCAATAACCGGATTGGGTGAAATGAAAATGGGTTTACAAATAACTGTCGGTGGCCTACAGGCCCGTGAAGGAGGATGAATTAGGTGTCGGTTCCCCAGTTTTAGGCTACACTACAAAAATGTGACAAAATATAATTTTCTTTCCTTGATTAGGTGGGTAATTATCATAAATGGTCATAAACCTATTCACTTTGTACAAAACGGTCACAATCCTTTAATTTTGCACGTTTTGGTAAAATAAGTTTGAGTGAATAACGAATTGGTCAATCCGTCCACTTCCGTCCAAAACTCCGTTATCTTTTGCCCAGTCAGCATGACATGTCATTAAAAATATTAATAAAAAAATAAATTAATCATCCTAATTAACACCACACAACCCAACCGGCCGGACCCAAAGTCTTCCCTTTTCCTTCATCTTCTACTTCGATATTCTCCACCGCCCTGTAAATCGCCATTGCTGATGACGAATCCAGCGATAGCGACCGCCTCAACCCCTGCAAATCCCCTGCCCCTTCTCTCCCTCGTTCGAACACATCGCTTGGAACCTTACCCACGAAAGACTGCTCCTTAATAATACCATCAATCTCTTTGAATGATCTGAAAGGTCCGGTTCATTGCTACTATTGTCACCACTCACCACTACCAAGACTCACTTCACCCTCTCGCTCCTCCTCCGGTGCGGTCATTAGAGTTGTAGGTTCCAAATTCTCTACTGTAGAATTTTCCCCGGAATTGAGATTCATCGATGACCCTACAACAACAGCTTGAACAACAACAGCTCTGGAATTCGCATCGGCGGCAACGATCGGGGCGCTGCAGAGTGGGCAATTTTTGTGATCGCCTTCTTCAAACTCGCTTAGGCAAACAGAGCAGTCTGTATTGGAACACCGGGATTGATTCCATTTTCGAGTGTTCCAATCCAACCCCACGGTGTGGATGTACCAAATCGGCTGATCAATCACAGGGCCATGATATTTCGCGATGAAATCGTCCTGTGTAGCAAAATAGTCGACGGATCCCGCCGCCGCCAACTGAAGCTCAGATTCCTGCGCTGCCGCCTCGGTCTCCAGATTCGAAGAACTAAACAGAAGATTCCTATGGCTATAAGCAGAACGAAGCCGATCATCGCCCCCGCGACAGTCATGCTCGTGACCAGCAGATTCTTCCGGTTGAAGTGCCCTCCGGTCGGAATCAGGGAGGGATTGACGGGGAACTTGGTGGGCGGCGCGAAAGAGGCGGCAGAAAGATTAAGGTAGAAGTTGTCATCGTTATCTTCTAGTCCGATCGCCCCTCTCTCCCGCAAGTCGCTGACTTTCTCCAATTCGAGAAGGGTGGGTATTATGATACGGCCGGTTGGGTTGTGTGGGTCAATTGGGTGATGAACTAATTTTTTATTAAAATTTTCAATGACATGTCATAGTGACTGGACAAAGGATAACGGAGTTTTGGACGGAAGTAGACGGATTGACCAATTCGTTATTCACTCAAACTTTTTTTACCAAAACGTGCAAAATTAAAGAATTGTTACCGTTTTGTACAAAGTGAATAGATTTATTACCATTTATGATAATTACCCTTGATTAGGTTTCATAATTGCCAATAACTTGTTTGTCAGATTTTCCTTTTCAACGTTAAGGTTGAGTTTTTTAATTTTATTTTGGTGTAAAGTGGATAACACACTGGATGGTTTGGTTAGACAGGCTGTCTTTGTCTGTTAGCCCGCCGGTCGCCGTCGTCAACCAATCGGACCAAACCGTGTCCGATCAACCTTCATTTTCTCACTAGTCACTACATTACTTTTCCTTTACTAATAAGTTCCTGTTTACAACCTTTCTTACCATTTCACTCCTTAATATCACTTATTTGATTTTTTTTCTATATTAATCAATAATCTCTCACTTTGTTATCTCAAATTTTAGTGCTTAAATTACCACCTATTCACATCAATGTTCATATGGCTATTAGGCGTTCTACCCACCCTTCAAAGCGAGAACATAGTACTTTTGCACTCTACTCGTAAAAATCATGCTTAACGAAGTACCATTATATGCGCTGTACACTAAACCATAATGCAAGTAACTCAGTTCTTTCTCATCAAATCTGAATCGCCAAGATCGAAAGTAAGGTTCTTTTACCATTATTAATTTCGCTTGTCGATTCTTATCAATAATCTCAGTTGACTTTCACATTTCCCGGTTCCTACCATGAATTCAGCATCATTGTCATCTTAATCCTAAAAATTTATCTTATTGTAACTTTAGCTAATGTAGGTTACCAACAAAATTATTGGACAAAATTAGTTTGTGGGCCAAATTGTAATTCTTTGGATATGAAATATGATTCCCTTGTCTTAAATTAGGATTTTATTACTATTTTCCGGAGCGAATATAGTATTTACCATTTTCTGCATCTTTAGTTCTTTACTAATAAACAATGAATGGAAATTAACAGAGCACCAGCAAATCTCGAGCTCACATGGATTGCGACGGTGGTGACTGGTGAGTGAGTCGAGTATTCAGCAAGCACTACTCCTTACCATTATTGCTGCTCTGCTGATTATTGACTCACTACCTTCCTTCTCCACTCTCCACCGCCTCTCTCTCTCTTCCTTTCTCCAACCTTCCACTTCTTCTACCCAATTCCCATTTCACATTAGATCTGCTCATCCCTCTACCGTCGGTGGGTTTCTCCTTTTCTCCTTCCAATTCAGCATTTACAGTGAAGTGATCGATCCAAATTCCGGCAGAGCTGAGTGGAAGGGGAGGTGGGCAAAGATGAGTATGTACGGGAGAGATCCGTGGGGCGGCCCATTGGAGATAAACACGGCGGATTCCGCCACCGACGACGACCGGAGCAGGAATCTCAACGATTTGGACCGGGCAGCTCTCTCCCGGCCGCTGGACGAGACCCAGCAGAGCTGGCTGCTGGGACCCACCGAGCAGAAGAAGAAGAAGAAGTACGTGGATCTGGGCTGCATCATCGTCAGCAGCAAGATCTTCTGGTGGACGGTCATCGTGGTAGCCGGCGCCGGAGTTCTCGCCGGCTTGATCGCCGTCCTCGTGAAGTTCGTGCCTCATCACCACGACCATAAACCCACGCCGGACAATTACACCGCCGCACTCACCACTGCCCTCAAGTTCTTCAATGCCCAGCGATGTAATGCAATCTTTTATCCCTTTTCCCTGTCCTCCCCGTTTTGATTTGCTTCTTCTGAACTCTTGATTTGGGGCTACTGATCTGGGTTTTGGTTTAAGTTCGGTTTCCAGCTTTTATTTTGTTGCCATGGAGTAATTGGACCTGAAATTCAGTTCTTTTGCTTGCAATTTTGCAGCAGGAAAGCTTCCCAAGCATAACAATATATCATGGAGAGGTAACTCCTGTACGAAGGATGGGGATCCTTCGGGCCAGTTCAAAGATCTGGCCGGTGGCTATTACGATGCCGGAGATGCAATTAAGTTCAATTTCCCTCAATCGTATGCCATGACCATGTTGAGCTGGAGTGTGATCGAGTACAGTGCAAAGTATGAAGCTTCCGGCGAGCTCAATCATGTTAAAGAGATCATCAAGTGGGGAACTGATTATTTCCTCAAGACCTTCAACCACACGGCTGATACGATCAACGTACTTGTTTCCCAGGTACATACAATTTGTGCGACCCCCAGGCCCCAGCTATCTGTAGAAGTATGTTGTCAGTTTTAAGTAGGAGATTCGTGTTATTGTTGTGGCTCTTATGTGCTCCAGGATTTCGAAATTCTGTCAGCTTTATCTTATAGTAAAGAATCCTGCTTTGTCAAGCATAACCTTGAATAAGGCTCACTTCTAGGTGCAGCTTCTGTGGAGTATATTATTAATGTAATTGAAACTTCTTCAGGTTGGATCGGGGGATACTTCCGGCGGCATGTCAACTCCAAATGATCACTACTGCTGGACGCGCCCTGAGGATATTGATTACGAGAGGCCGGTGGCCACTTGCAGCAGTTGCTCTGATCTTGCTGCAGAAATGGCTGCTGCTCTAGCATCTGCGTCCATTGTGTTCAAAGACAACAAGGCTTATTCTCAGAAACTTGTCCATGGTGCCAGAACGCTCTTTAAATTCTCGAGGGACCAACGTGGGAGATACAGCGCGAGTAGTACGGAAGCTTCTCAGTTCTACAATTCTACTAGCTACTGGGATGAATTTCTTTGGGCTGGAACTTGGTTGTATTATGCGACTGGTAATAATACCTATCTTCAACTTGCTACTACTAATGGTATCGCAAGGCATGCTGGTGCTTTCTGGGGTGGACCTGACTACGGTGTTTTTAGCTGGGACAACAAGCTTATTGGTGCTCAGGTTAGTTGATTGAGCCACATATATCTTGCTTATCCAGTCAACATCTTTTAGCCTAAGTATGTTGAGCTTATATGGATTTTATTTTTGTGCTGAAAAAAAGGTGCTTCTTAGCCGTTTGAGACTCTTCCTGAGCCCGGGGTACCCTTATGAAGAAATATTGAGGACGTTCCACAACCAGACTAGCATAGTCATGTGTTCCTACCTTCCATATTTCACAAGCTTCAACAGAACCAAAGGTAAACAGCATCTCCTTTCACTGCCTTAGCTCCATTTTGAGATGACAATGCATTCAATTGGGATTCTGATTGAGAATGATTTGTTGTGACGTGATCCTGCAGGTGGTTTGATTCAGTTAAACCATGGAAGGCCACAGCCTCTTCAGTATGTAGTGAATTCAGCTTTCCTGGCTGCTGTATATAGCGACTATCTTGATGCTGCAGATACACCTGGATGGTACTGTGGACCAAACTTCTACTCTACAAAGATCCTGCGAGAATTTGCAAAGACCCAGGTATCTAATACAGTTTCCTCGCCGTTAATGAATCATAGTTTGGATGAAATCCTCTTCGAAGCATGATGGAGATTGTTGATTTCATTTTGCAGATCGATTATATCCTGGGGAAAAATCCAAGAAAAATGAGCTATGTTGTTGGTTTTGGTAACCATTACCCGAGGCACGTCCATCACAGAGGCGCTTCTATCCCCAAGAACAAAGTTAAGTACAGCTGCAAAGGTGGATGGAAGTGGAGGGACACAAAGAAGCCAAACCCGAACAAACTAGTGGGAGCTATGGTTGCGGGGCCTGATAGGCACGATGGTTTCCACGATGTTCGAACTAACTACAACTATACTGAGCCAACACTCGCAGGAAATGCAGGATTAGTCGCTGCTCTTGTGGCGTTGTCTGGCGAGGGGGACTCTAATATTGACAAGAACACCATTTTCTCGGCGGTGCCCCCCATGTTCCCAACTCCTCCTCCACCTCCAGCACCATGGAAGCCATGAGAAAGACATGTCTCTAGTACATCTGATCCTACGCAGCAAAATATGTAAATTAGGACTTTTGAGCATGTCAGGAATGGTTGATGGCACTTTACAAAGGCAAGCTGAAACGCGGGAAGAAGACAGTGGATGAAGCTTTCTGAAAGAAGGGGAAGCAAGAAGAAGATGGGATGGATGAATTCTTCCTGGAAAAGCGTTGGTCTTTGTTTGAATTTTTGTGTGTTATACGATAGCATAATATGTATGTATGGATCTTGTATTCTTTTGTAACCCTTGTGGATTCGTCTGTGGAAACAATGGACACTTCCCCATTTGATGTCTGACAGTGAGAGATACATTTGTTGGTTTACTACAGTCCACTTTCCAGGTTTCTCTGTTCCAGAAAAAGGAAAGTCTTGGATCTTGTGTTCTCTGAACATAGGTTGTATTCGATCCATACATTGTTAAATCCATACAATCGATCCACGTGGTTTTGTGGTGAAAAAACTAAGAGCTAACAATAAAATGCAGTTGTAACTATGATACATCCTTTTGCAGCTCAAACACTTTCACCAACTTCAGTGTGACGTTTTTCTTACGATTGCTGTTCATAGTAATCATATTGATGGAATATACAAACCATAACCTGCTTCTTTGGACTTGTACACAAACAGGTGGCATAGATTAGAATCTACAATGCTTTCTTCTCAATCTTTATTCACCAGAGAATTACAGCACTGTAGACATCTGTTTCTGGAGTAAATCACAAGTAGTGGATTTTGTCTTTCTAGATTGTAAGTACAAACAGGGAGACCGAATCATTGATTATAGCTAAACAAGAGGCAAAATTAGGGTTTAGTAGTTTGCAGGGGGGTACTTTTTACAGGGGGCAATGATAATTTCATTTAAATCAAGTTGGGGGCGTCATGATACAAAAGATGACAGAACCATATGGTTGGATCTCTCATGTGGCAGCTTACCCATCTCGTAACTAACGTGTGCTGCTGAGATCGGGATGCCAGTAGACTCTCCATTTTCAAGCGTGTCCAACGCTTTCTTTGTGTACAAGGTAAAAGCTATGACAATTATGATAGCAATGATGAACGAGATCACATTATACACGATCTGCACTGGCGTTAGATGATGATTCCCATAGTTCACTTCAGCTAGCGTCCTGATGAGTCGACCACTGCCCCAAAAGAACATCAAAACTAACAAGTTAAAGCAGGAGAGGCACAAAAATTGGTCCACTGCAATTTTGAGCTGAGAGAACAGACCTGTAGATGTAAAGAAAAGCTTCCGGGATCATTCCAGCAACTGAACCGCATATGTAGGGCCAAAATCTTAAGCTTGTGACGACTATTGCATAGTTGAAAATTGTGTATGGAAATGGGGATACCCTGAAAAGGGCAACCACTCGAAATTGATGGAACCAGTTCCCTTCTGCTGCTAGTCTCAGTATGGCAGCTTTCTTGGGCCACCTCTCTAACCATTGCTGGAACAATCAACAGGAAATATTCATGCCCTCATTAGATTGGATGGTATTGGATAAAGAAGAATTGGATGATGGAACTCGTAATAACGAGGATATAATAAAGTTATTCTTACATGGATACGATCACGAAAAAACAGGCCAATGAAGAAAGGCAGGATCATCCCAATCGTTGTTCCAGCAATGATTATGACAAACCCAATGCCATATCCAAAGATCATACCAGCTAACCACATAGAAGGGCCTGAAGGAATTAAGAATACAGGGAACAATGCCAGAGAACCGACAAGCACAAGAGCAAGTACAGGACGTCCAAAGGCAGTTGCTTCCCATTTCATCATTGGGTACAGAACCTACACATGCAGAGAAATTCGAACCTAAGACCCTGGAAACAGGACTAGCCTCAAAGCTGGTTAAATATCAGGAACTATAAGCAATTGGTGCTGAGAGAGAGAGAGAAAAATACCTTTTTGAAAAGAAATGGTAAGACCCATTTGATTGAAATGAAGACAACTAAGCCAATCACTATGCACAACGTTAGAATTTTGGTCCAACGCTGGGAAGACTTGGACTTTGATGGTGTTGGAGGTTCCGATACATGTGGTAGAATCGGATTTGGTTCATCAGACATGCCAAGCCTAATATATTCACCGTCTTCTCTTGTGTGGTGACCAGTATGGTCACTGTCTTTTACTAACTCCTGAGATGTGTCTGTCATCTGTATCACAGGGAAATCATGCCATAATCAGAACTCTGAACTTCCCAGTCTAGAATAAATGGATCTATATTCATAAACATGCCATAATGAAGGAAAAGTATCCAAATCCATTTAAAACCCCTACCATCAGAATGTTGTTGGGCTGCAGGACAGACAACAAGATGACTTTGTCCTGCATCAAATCACATTATACGACTGCTCAATCAAAAGACGGTTACTCATAACAAAGATAGAGAGGGATGCCGGAAGGTCATCAAGAAAACACCATAAGGGATAAGACCAAAAGAAGGGCAACGACAAAACTGGACAACATGTTTCTACTATGGATGATAACATTGCTTAGGAATGAAGCTGCCCATGACAATCGATCAGAAGTGCGGTCATCTAACTACCAGAGTGAAAAAGAATCACAGTGAAGGAAAGCTAAAAGTGATGCAGCTAGACAAATTCTGTTTCAGGGTAAGACAGCTAAATGAGCTCGACCAAAGTCGTTAATCACAGATTTTGCAACAAGCCTGAATGGACTCAAACCACAACAAAATGATCTGACTTTGGCTACTTTCTGGTAGTCCACCAATAAAGGCAAGACCTTTGGGGGGGTGTTGCTAACCAGCTGGGGCCCTGAATTGACATTCTGAAGTCACTCTCAAGCTTAAGATATCAATTCGAGAGATACACGTATTGGGTCCCTCGAATTAAGATCAGAATCGAGGGTTCTAACTAGAAAACAAGAGAGTCATCACAAATTACAGAAAGGGATTGGCTTTGCGGTAGGGTTTATGCAAAATGTTGGAAATTTTCGGAAATTGGGTTTTACCGTTAGGGAACCGCCGGACGGAAGTGAAGCACAGGAAGGCAAAAACGGCCGCCGATCAACCTCCTGCGCCTAACGGTAATCGAGTTTGCCTTCACGTCGTCACGCGATCACAAACCAGAAGTTTTTTTCTTCAGGCGGTGGGGAAGATGGAGAGTTTTCCAGCTTTCCCCTTCGCGTTTTCTTTTTTTGGGCTGTCTGTCAAGAATTTCAGCTATCTCCTTCTTTGCCTAATCCTAGTGCCTTGTACCTTCTTCGCCTTTTGCTTTATGGTTAGAATATGCCTTTCCATATTCAAAATGGTTGCTCAATTTCCCACGGCCCAACTAAGCAACATTAAAATAAAATTAGACAGAAAAATCAAAGTTTAGAACAGAAGAGGTTGCAGATTCATGCTTACCCGACCTCTACCAAATTCTCAGCGCGTCTGTGACGATTACTAATTGATTTTTATATATTTTATTTTTTTAATTTCCACGTCACAAGTTTAACGGTTAAACATCATAGTTGAGTGCCACATAGGATGTATTTAACGGAAGTGGACGATCAGTGATCAACAATGAAATAAAATGTTAATCTCAGTGACCATTAAAAAAGAAAAAAAAAATCTGAGTGGCAAACATGAAAGGAATTGATAAATGGAGTGACAAAAATACAATTAACCCAATCAATATGTGATGGCTAGGTTAAATCTAACAATTTAACTGTCGGAAAAAACAAACCACCTTTGTATATAAAGTTCCTCTCGGCATTTGAGTTCATCCATATACTTTTTTTTTCTAAAAAAAATTCATCCACATACTTGATGTAATCGTCACTACTTGTTTGGCACGGAGATATGTATTACGATTCTTCGTTTAAGTAAATAAGTGTAGAGATCGTTTTGCATTTTGCCATATCTCTCATTACTTGTTGTGGGAGAATGACTCGTGTATATCTAGAGTTCTAGGTGTTAGAGAGTGGTATAAGATCCAGCAAAACCTTCTCCCAACAACTCGAGTTATTGGGACCAACTGGTTCTTGACATGGTATCAGAGCCTAGAACCGAAAGGTCATGTGTTCGAATCTCCACGACCCCCAATATTAACTGTTGTCTTTCAAGCACATGGTATGGTGGGCCTGTGCAATCTTCAAGCTCGTGGGTTGGCTTTCGTTTGAGGGGGCGTGTTAGAGAGTGGTATAAGATCCAGCATAACCTTCTCCCAACAACTCGAGTTATTGGGATCAACTGGTTTTTGATTGGGTTTCTGTTTATACCGTGTTGATTGGGGTTTCTGGCAGCATGTCTCTGTTTATACCGTATTGATTGGGGTTTCTGGGAGCATGTCTCTGTTTATACCGTTGGATCTGGAACAGTCATGAATGACACGGTTCTAGCTTGCTAACCGGTTCAATGCTAACCAGCTAACATGTGAACCGGTTAGCAAAGAGTCGATTGAGGGGCGTGTTAGAGAGTGGTATAAGATCCAGCATAACCTTCTCCCAATATTAACTGTTGTCTTTCAAGCACATGGTATGGTGGGCCTGTGCAATCTTCAAGCCCGTGGGTTGGCTTTCGTTTGAGGGGGCGTGTTAGAGAGTGGTATAAGATCCAGCATAACCTTCTCCCAACAACTCGAGTTATTGGGATCAACTGGTTTTTGATTGGGTTTCCTTCGAGTTCATCAAAATAACATATAGAAGGCTACACCAGATCTTGTGATCAAGAAGAGATTTCCCACTTTCTAGAAGTTGAAATCCCAAAGTCAAATCACCTCTTTCTAATAATCTCTGCCAGAAACTTGTTTCCCAGTCTTCGGAGCTCCATTACTGTCATTTCTTCTTCCAAATAACCTTCTTTCTTCTTTGACAAGCAATTCCATTACCGTGTTGATTGGGGTTTCTGGGAGCATGTCTCTGTTTATACCGTTGGATCTGGAACAGTCATGAATGACACGGTTCTAGCTTGCTAACCGGTTCAATGCTAACCAGCTAACATGTGAACCGGTTAGCAAAGAGTCGATTGAGGGGCGTGTTAGAGAGTGGTATAAGATCCAGCATAACCTTCTCCCAATATTAACTGTTGTCTTTCAAGCACATGGTATGGTGGGCCTGTGCAATCTTCAAGCCCGTGGGTTGGCTTTCGTTTGAGGGGGCGTGTTAGAGAGTGGTATAAGATCCAGCATAACCTTCTCCCAACAACTCGAGTTATTGGGATCAACTGGTTTTTGATTGGGTTTCCTTCGAGTTCATCAAAATAACATATAGAAGGCTACACCAGATCTTGTGATCAAGAAGAGATTTCCCACTTTCTAGAAGTTGAAATCCCAAAGTCAAATCACCTCTTTCTAATAATCTCTGCCAGAAACTTGTTTCCCAGTCTTCGGAGCTCCATTACTGTCATTTCTTCTTCCAAATAACCTTCTTTCTTCTTTGACAAGCAATTCCATTACCGTGTTGATTGGGGTTTCTGGCAGCATGTCTCTGTTTATACCGTTGGATCTGGAACAGTCATGAATGACACGGTTCTAGCTTGCTAACCGGTTCAATGCTAACCAGCTAACATGTGAACCGGTTAGCAAAGAGTCGATTGCACCCCCTTTGACCAAAAACAAGTGCAGATTTCAAACCCGGGGATATTAACATTCTGTAAGTTGAGATTTCCTGTAAGTTGCACATTTGATTGTTTATCACGTCAAACATTACATAACTCAATCTACATTTAAAGATATAAACGGTTTCAGGCTGGCAGGGTGGACAGATCAGCAATGGAGACCTACTGATCACCCAAAAACAAACAGCCAATCTATACTCAAACTCAAGATTACTTGATATAACACAGAGTTAAGCTACTGCAAATCGTTCAATTGCATGATACAGAAACCTCATACCAAGCATTTCAGGCGTAGGCAAAGTATACCATTTCTATGGTGTTCCTTATCAAGATGTTACACTTGAGCACGATCTGATTACCGTGGTAATTAGGAATAGTTAGCACCTGACCAGCATGCACTCACAATATGTCATCCGCCAGGGATTTCGAATGAAACTTCTCCACCAAGGACCAAGTTGAAGAAACAGCTTCGCTTAACTTGGAAGATTCAGCCTCTAATTCCAATAACCGGGCCCTCGTTTGCTCGACTTTCGATCTGGCCTCTGCAACCGCCTGCTCTTTTAGAGCCATATCCTCCATCATGGATTCGAGTTCTCTATTTACCGACTCCACAGCGTGATCACACTCAGCTTTGGCTAATTCAGCAGCTTGATGCTGACTGTTGAGATCGACTACTTCGGTGAGGTCGTTGAGGATATCACGAAGCCAATGCACATCAATCCCTGCTGATTCCACATCCTTGAGAACTGCTAACATTTCTTTGACTTTGGATTTAGTTAGCTGCCTAATGGAAAGGGACTGCAGTTCCAGAACCACGGAGCACAGGCACTCCAGATAATATGCACGCATTGAAACCGATTCCAGCTTACAGTTCCCAGCTATGTCTCCGTACTTGGCAAAGATAGCGGATAGGATTGAAGCGATGGTTGCCCTGACATGGTATTTTCCAACTGATACACATGAATCAGAGATAACAGACTGCACCTCGTCGTCATCACTGTCATGAGACACGTGCGAGATGCCTGAGAAGCTGAACTCCATGGTTTTCATAATGGGTTCATCATTGTTGGCATCACCAGGTTTAGGAGATGAAGCTCCCTTGGGTGAAGAAGTGGTGAGATTCTTCTCTTCATGTTGTTGTTTGGTGGGTTTTGGATCCACAAAGGATGTAAAACTTCCCTTGTTAGGGCTCAAGGGACCATCAGGCTGTTCAAGATAAACAGGACAGGATAAGTGTGGAACTTATAAGTCAACAAATTGTGGGACAACCTAATCATTTCCTTAACAAGTCAACGAGGGAAGAGAGAGGCACTACCGGGATGATCCCAGAGGCAGGAACTGATTCATAAGTTGGAGCTTGGGTCTCATGGAAAGACTGCTCTCGGGAATCAATTTCCTCTTCAGATGAGGAGGTTGACTGGCTGTTATCTGACTCCACCACCTTCTTGTTAGAGTTAGCATTGGAGTCGGTTTTAGAGACAGGCGATCTTGGTGAAGCGATGGCAGCAACATTAGCTGCTTTTGCAGCAGACACATTATTGTTGACACCATGAGGTGAATTTGGCTGAGACAAAGCTTCCTTCGTTTTCCTTATCATGCTCACAGGGGCACCAAGAAGGAAGGGCCCTGCATTGACAAAAGCAAAGTCAAGAAGATATAGGGAGCACAAGACACCTTGAATCTTTTTTCAAGGGCACAGTATTTTTCTCCCACGGACCTCTTCAAGGAATAGAGAAAGGATAGGAGAGGTTTTTCTCCAGTGTCACTTCTGTTTTCAGAAGGATCCATTTCTAAGCCATGGCAGGATTAAAGCAGGAACAAGAATCAACATTCCGAGAAAGGGGGAGAAACAAAAACCTTCATCTTTATCAGTGTCGTGAAAGTTCGCATCAGCAGGTTTGTTAGTACAATATTTGCCACATTCATGGTAAGGATTGGCAGCTTTTGGACAATTTGGATTTGCAACTCTTCTTTCTCCATCAATCTTTCTGATAAGCTGAACTTGTTTGACACTTCTTGGACTATCTAGAATGAATGGAAGCGATTGAATAAGAAGGGAATCAGAAACAGTCAGGAACTCCCCCTCGAAATCTAAACATCTTGAAAATAATGAGATAAACCAATATGGTTGCTTGATGAAGGGTGGTATGAATATTCTAAGAAGTCCTAGAAGCCATATGCTGAACATATCTGAACCCTAAAATCAAAGAGCTCTTCTGTCCCTTCATAAAGATAAAAGTTCAGGAATTCACAGATGTCTATACAATCTGCTGTTGACCATCAGGAACTTCAGCCACAAGATAGATATCAAATGGCTTTAGAAAGAATTTGCCAAAAGGAAAAAAAAGGCTTTAGAAAGAACCCTGAAAAAATCTACCTGACTTCTTCTTGCTCATAGACTTTCGAGTTATGCCCTGAGCAATCTTCTCCAGGCAAGCTACTCCACATTGATGATAGGGATTGCCAGCATTAACACACTCAGGATGGACTCTTCCATTATCAGCCATCTCTTTATCACCTTCTCTCAGGACTCTGCAACAAAAAGAAGAAGAAAAAATTGAGCTTACAGCTTAGACCCTGATTTGGATCCATAGAAAAAATTCCTTCATCAACAGATATTCGATAATGATAAACCAACTTCTCAGCGAGACCTTAAGCTTCCAAACCACACCATCCAAATCAAGAGTAAAGCTTAACCCTTTTGGACAGCCACCTAAAACATGAAATTGGAGGTAGGAGATTCAGCTGCCACAGTGACGGTCCATTCAGTTAGGCAATTAAAAAAAAAAATGATGAAGGTCAAATATGAAATACCACTACTAAACCACCCGGCCCAAACAAATACTTTTCACATATAAAACAATTCTCTGCATCACCAAATCAGGAATGGAGATTTGATTCTCTACCAACTGAACATGCAGAAAGAACGTCTCGACATCACTCATCACCAACTATTACCAGAAAAAGGGGGAAAAAAATGAACAGCCTTTCCTAATCTAACAACTCATCTTTCCTCAACCCTTTTCCACGGCAATCAAACAGAACAAAACCCAGAAACAGGATTCGCTTTACCTCCAAAAATCCTGGTGATCACAAGCTGGGAAAAACAAACAGAAAAGATCAAGAACATAGAACACAGAACAAAGAAACAGTCTTACCCAGGAGGCAGAGAGGGAGGCAGAGAGATCTGTAACGAAAAAGAAACAGCTGCTAACTCCCAACAGCACAGAAATAAACCCAGAAAGAGGGGACCCTAAAAATGGCCTGGAAAGTCAGCCTCCAAAATAATTCAATACTTTGTTAGCTTCTTCTGGTCCTCCTCGTCGGCGTATAAATTTGACTTGTAACCACCACCACACTTTTCTTTCTGTGTGGGTATCCCTTCTTTACTCTCCTTTTCTCCCCCCCTTCGCTGTCTGTCGTCCCAAGACGTCACCTTCCTTGAAGGTTGGCGGAAGAACCCATTTACCCGGGGAAGAGAAAACCCAAAAAAGAAAAAGACTTTAATTAATGGATAGCAACAAGAAATGTGGAATTAATTATTGCCTGGGCTATTTCGTCCTCTGGTAGAAAGTGGAAAGACGACAGACTCCTGAAGAATCAGCTTCAGCCGGATGCTGCATCAATGGCGCCCTGAAGTAGTGTATATAATAAGCACTTGCTTCCAAATTTTGACCATTATTTTATTGAAACCCTTGTCGCCATTTGTGTTTATACTCTACTGTGACGATCCACCCGACCCGAATTCGGTTGCCTACCCCTGGCCCGGATACGCAATTAGGGTCCCGCCCAACCACCTAGGTGAGTGGCGAATGGTGGTAACGTATGTCACTTCAGTAACCAGTAAAATGGACGTTTTAGAGCTTTTAATCTGCGTGGAGAACTGTTTTGTTCATCGTCATGCTGTCTGGATTTTCACAGGAGTTAAACAGATGCGTGTTCATCACTAAATTACAGTCTCGCCTCGATCTGATCTTCGGCGAAGGCATATGGGGTAATTGTGCATTTTTTGGTCCTATTCGATTTGTTTCGATACCGTGAAAACGATGTTCGATTAGTCCTTGGGATTATGCACTCATTTTATCAATACCATAGATTTCAATGATATTTTGTGGGTCACAACTTCTCATCTAAGAAATTATCAAAGGCGATCAATTATTTGGGTACAACAATATAGATGGACCCCTAAGAAATGATGAATTGTGACATAGATGATGGACCAGGAAATTTGGAGGAGTTTCAGCTTCAATTTGATAATGACTAACCATTAGATTGTCAAATTTTTCAGGCAGAAGAATACATTTCATTAATTTCTCCAAAAAGCATCTAGGGGAGCACTGTGTATAGTGTCTGCAAGTTTGCGGCAAATTGGATGTTTGAATGAGAAATTGCAACAGATCAATTTAAGTCCACTGAGATAATTAGACCAAATTGACTCGTTTGCCAGCAGAAAATTTGAATAGATCAATTTTTAACTCGAACCGACAAATTTCGAATTGATATGGTTTGAATCAATTTTCAATTGTGTAACGACGAGCATGTAATTCGAGTGGACAAACAGGTAATACGAATTGGCTCGTTGTAAATCATTCGAGACAATAGGTCAAATTATTTCTTTTTCTGAATTCATCCCGCATCATCAAGTTTGTCAAGTCAAGCGTTGTCTTGCAGGCTGGTTTATTTCTCCAAATTTCATACACGAGCCAAGCCCACGCCCATCAATCATATCAGTTCGCGCGCTCTATGAGGAGCCAAACTCCATTCGCCGGTTGCACAACCAACGCAAAACCTGGGGAGTGGACGTACGAAGGCGAAATCGAGAACCTGAAATTGAGCAGAATTAGAGACAGTATGACTTTGAGCTCCATCATGGCGAAGTGCTGGCCGACGCAGACACGGGGACCGACTCCAAACGGAATGTACGCCGCCTGTGCGCCGCCGCTGGTAGTTGTAGTAGCACCAAGTATTCCACCAGCAAACCTTTCAGGGTTGAAGAGGTGTGCATCCGGCCCCCATAGCTCGGGATCCTGCTGTACAATCGATATGGGAACTTGAACGTTCATTCCCTTCGGAATCGTTATGTGCTTGAACTTGATGTCCTCCAAAGCTTCCCTGACCACAAACACAGCTGGCGGGTAGAGCCGCAGTGTCTCTTGGATCACCATTGTCAGCTGCCATAACCAGAAATTTTCAGCACACCCAAGTTGTAAGAAGAAAAGGGCTTAGGCAGCACATGTTTTACTTACTGTTTTCATGTTTTGGAGAGCATGAAGGTCAGGAACCTTGTGTGTGCAAAGCTGTAGGGCCTCTTCTCGAGCTCGAGATTGCCACTCGGGATGAGCTGCCAGCAACATTAACGTCCAGGATGCACTTATTGCGGTGGTGTCCTGGCCGGCAAAGTAGATGGCTTTGCAGTTATCGACGATGAACTTGTCGAGAGAAGTGGCAACATTTGAACTAGTACTGTTGTTACTGCTGGCATCTTTAGCACCTTCGAGTATCATTTGGAGAAGGTCTCTCTCGGAATCGAGAGCAGCTGCCCTCTGCTTGACTACATCCAAGATCACGGTGTTGATCTCCCTCTCCAATTTCCATATTTTTCTGTTCTTGCTGGTTGGCAAGTGTCTGCATATTTACTATCGAAAATCAAACATTGCAAGAAAGAACCACTCTGCAAGTTAACTGTCGATATGTACACTGATCTTACCTTAAGATGGGGATTCCAGCGTGGCCTTTGGCCAGGACTATCTGAAGCTCTCTAACCTTAGAGAAGATATGCTCCCCTTCCTTGTAATTGCTCCCGAAGCAGGCTCTCGAGATTACATCCGCGGACAAGCTTCTCATGTCCTTATCTATATTCACATCTGCAACCCCTCCCTCGCAACGATCAATCGCAGCTCCCCAAGATGCCATCACCAAGTTGGTGGACTCCACCATAAGGCTCACCATGCTCTGAGGCCAAAGACATTGTTTGAAATCCGTGGATTGTTAAGAAATGTGAGAATTCACGAGCTCACCATCCCGGCTTTTTCGATGGTGATTTACCTTAACCTTGTCAGTGTAGAACTGGGGAGCAATGATCTTGCGCTGATGGGACCAAGTAGGACCGCTGGAGGCGATGATTCCTTGGCCGAACAGAGGTCCGAAATCCCTCGAGAGGTAAGAAGGCCTCCCTAAGCTTAAAGACGTGAAATGGCTGATTTCCTTCACCATCTCTACATCTGTTGTGCAGAGTAGCTGTATTGTCCCAGTGGAGTAGACGAAGGTAGGACCTGCGCTGACCCAAATCAACAATCAGTTGCAATTTTAACTCTGATCAATCAGAAAGAACAAGAAAGTGGAGATTCAAGTCTACCGTATTTCTTTCGCCATTGCCGGAGGTGGGGCAGGAGGACGGACGGCCAATCGTGGTCGATTTCCGGTCGACCGGCGGCGGTTCCGTCAAGACAAAAAGTGGGTTTAGATTTAGCTGTCTGGAGACGAATCCGGTTGATTTCAGGGATGTTGCCCAGCAGAGGATTCGAAGAAGCTAAAGGTCCCTTCACTCCTTGATTCCCCAGTTTCCGTCTCAGCTGCCGCGGCTTCCACATGTAGAAGCTGTAAATGTATGCTAAGAACCCTAAAATCCCCGCCAAAATTGTGCCGACGACCATCTCCATCGTCATCTTTCTCTCTTTCACACTCTTTTGTTTGACTTGTTTTTGACTAACGGAAGTGTTTCACAACTAGGGTTCTCTGCGTAACTAAATCAGGAATGGAGATTCGATTCTCCCCCAACTGAACCTGCAGATAGAAAGTTAGCATCAACAAGACAACGACGATCATAAACAAAAAGAGGAAGGCTTTCCTAATCTAACACCTCATCTTTCCCCTACCCTTTTACAGAACAATCAAACAGAATAAAACCCAGAAAGAGGAACTGATTTACCTGCAGATTCTAATGATCGGAAGCTGGAAAGGCAAGCAGAAACGAGAGAGATCTGTAACGAAAAGGAGATGAACCCAGAAAAAAGACGCACTTGCTGCTTCTGCTCCTCGTCGGTCTGTAGTCTCCAGACGTCACCTTCTTTGAAGGTGGGCGGAAGAACCCATCGCCCTGGTAATGAAAAGGAAAGAAAGACGGAAAGACGAGACTACTGTAGAATCAGCTGCCGGATGCTGCACTGCTTCTTCCATCAGTTCAGTGGCGCCTAAAAAGTGTAATGTGTAACTCAGTTCCAAAATAGTTAGCCATTTTTTTTATTGAAACCCATTGTCTGTCGCCATCTGTTCGTCTACAGTGACGAGTTCGGCTATACCTACTCCTGACCCCGATCCGCCATGGAGATGGAGGTGAGTGGCGAATGTTGGTAGCGTACGTCACTTCACTAAAAACCATAGTTGTTGGGTGAAGTTGGTTTGCTGTGCTGACCACTTCAGTTGGGATATCCCAGGCTAGCTGCCTTGTCTTTGTATAAACCATTTTTTTAGGGGGTCTTTGTATAAAATATAAACTTGTGCCTGTGTTTTTGGATGTTTAAGATCCTCCAAATCTACGTACCTTATATAAGGCTTAATTTAGGCATAGCAATCGAATCGGGTTGGGGACTTCGGTTACGGGTCGGGTCATGTTTGGTTGGCTGATTTCGGGTTAAATATTAACTCAACTCATTGGGTTTCGGGTCGGGTTACAGGTCATTTCGGGTTATGAGTTTTCTCATAAACAATATCAAACATGCTTCATATTTTCGTAAAGAACACAAATTTTCACATATGCATAACAATAGTTTACCTAACACATGTCAATTAACATATTCTCAAATCCTTCCACGATAATGAAATGAAATACAAATTGCGCAAATCGTCAAAAAAAAAAAAAAACAATCACAAGAGTAACACTACTAGTCTACTACAAAAAAACACATGATATTTGATTATCCTTAAACTCCAAACATGACATTCAAATCTTTGTGATTTTTTTTAAACATCTCACCAATTTATGAGTGATTTATCATTTTGGAAGTTATATATAAAATGGAACGGGTCGACCCGCTAACCCGCCCAACCCGACCCCAAAAATCACGGGTTATCGAGTTCGGGTCATTCGAATTTCGAGTTACAAAAATCTCTAATTTTTGAGCTGTTTCGAGTCGGATCAACAGATCTGGTTATAATTTGCCAGATCTAGCTTAATTTGTCCATTACCAATTTCCACGAGAGTTAACAAACATGTGCACCATTGAATTACGCATACTTTACTGGATTTTAGCGCAGAAGACTCATGGGTTGTCTTATCTAACTGTTCCAACTCGATGAAATTGTTGTCGAATGCAATTTCATTTTAAAAATGTCATTATCGAATGCATTACTCCCAATCATTTATTTTAAGATAAAATTCATCCAGCTGAATTCAGATTCTTGACATCATCTTTCCTTTTATATTTTAGTTGTCCTCCCTTTTTTTTTTTATGAAGATTGTCCTCCCTTTCAGTGTACTACAAATTGAATTATTATATTTTTTGAAAATAATTAAATTGTATTTTCCAAAAAAAAAAAAACGAGTTTAATTAGGCCGAAGCACTCAACTCCCTCTTCTAGGATTGGGCCTCCAAACATTAGGCCGGAACCCTTACGCCTGAGATGGGCTTCACTCCGGCCCAGAGCCCCCATCGCCCATTTTAATTCGGCCTTGCCGCTATTTTGTTTCTTGGCGGGAACAGAGGAAGCAAGCAAAGCAAAGCAGAGCAGTTAGATGAAGAATTTGATAATGGGGATTGCGGATGGAATAAAAACCAGTGCTGTCAAAGCCGAACCGAGCCGGCCGGCCGGACGCCAAAGCCGCCACCTGGCCGTAAAACCGGCTCGGATCAGCTATTTAACCGCCACGGTTTTATACAGCGGCCGGCGAGCGGCCAAAGCGGTTAACCGCTCGAGCCGCTCAAGCCGGTCGCGCGGTTCGGCCGTTTGGTTTACCCTAAAAAAAATAGAGAAGGCCAATCGTGGAATGGGGCAGCCAAACAAAACCCTAACTTTCATTTTATTTCTTCATTTTCGACCTAGAAGTAGAATAGACGACAAAGGGAGAGCGGTTTCCATGTTTACGACTCTTGTTTAATGTTCAGACTCGTGTGATATTGCTTTTATTTTGGAACAATGTGGTGGTTAGGAATTGAATTTTAGATCTTTCAGTACTGATGTTCTATAATGGTTTAAGAGAGTAATTTACTTGTGGTTTACCATGATCAAGAAGTGTCTACTATTTATACAGATGACTGTTTATTAGGTACCGGTTTTTAAACGGTCTAATGCCGGCTGGACCACTAATGACCGAACCTTTCTCGTTACCGGGTCATACTCCGGCTCGGCTTTGACAGCATTGATAAAAACACAAAAAAACGAGTTTTACGTGGTATTTTTGTTCGACTGTGAACATGTTTAATTTAAGCTGAGCTTGAAAGAACTCACGATTGTCCTCTTATTATATAACTAAATTTATAACAACTTGTTTGTGTCAATTTTGTAGCTAAATTTATATAGAGATAGATATAGAGTTAAAACCCTAATAACAATAAAGTTTCCTTCTTCTACAATGACAAGGAAAAAAAAAATTGAGAACAAGGAATTATTACTTAAACTAAATAATTAATATCCCCATTGAGTAATGAAAGAAGGATTTTTTTTTTAAAGAAAAAGAAGGAATATTTTAGCCCGTTATTTTTATCAAAGTTTTCCTTTGGCGCTTCGACTGCTCTCTCTCTTACTTCTTTCTCCCTCGAGATTAGGGTTCTTGATTCTCCCTCTATTGTTGAATCAATCTGCCAATTACTTGGCAGAGGACTCTCTGCTGTGATTGACCCTCTCGCCATCTTCAGCTGTGGCGTTTCATTCATTGCGGAACCTCGGTGGTTCTTATCCGGCTCCTCAGCGCCATCTCGTTTTCATTACAAGCTTTGAATTCAGCTTCTCTTCTCCGATTGATTGATTGGTTGGCTGGATAAACCCTAGACGTATTTTTTTCCCGAAGCTTCTTCGTCTGATTCTGTGGTGACCGATGGCTACGCTAACAGATACTTTCCTTGCAGACCTTGAAGAGTTATCCGACAATGAGCTTGAAACTATCGAAGAAGAAGAAGAAGAAGATGGCGATGTGGCCAACATGGAAGAAGATACTGACGGGGATTCGGCAGGCATCGAAGCTCTCAATTACGACGATCTGGATTCCGTGTCGAAACTCCAGAAGACACAGAGGTACAATGATATCATGCATAAAGTAGAAGAATCAATGGTGAAAGAACCTTGTTCTTTCACCACAGTTGAGGGGATGGTCTTGGAGGATGATCCTGAATACCAGCTGATTGTGGATTGTAATGCGTTGTCCGCGGACATCGAGAATGAGATCGCTATTATCCGCGATTTTATTCGCGACAAGTATAGGTTGAGGTTCCCTGAGCTGGAGTCACTTGTGCACCATCCGATTGACTATGCTCGTGTGGTGAAGCGAATTGCCAATGAGTTGGATTCGACACGCGTTGATTTAGAAGGCATTCTGCCCTCGGCTGTCATTATGGTTGTTTCAGTGACTGCATCAACCACAAGTGGTAAACCTCTCCCCGAGGATGTGCTCCAAGAGACTATCGAGGCCTGCGATCGAGCTCTCGCTCTGGATTCTGCAAAGAAGGAGGTTCTCGATTTTGTGGAGAGGAGAATGGGGTACATTGCACCAAATCTTTCTGCTATTGTTGGGAGTGCTGTGGCAGCAAAGCTAATGGGCACCGCTGGTGGTCTCTCTTCGCTAGCCAATATGCCTGCTTGTAGTGTTCAACTTCTTGGAGCTACAAAGAAAAACCTCGTCGCAGGCTTTTCTACTGCTGCGACATCTCAATTTCGTGTGGGCTATATTGAGCAAGCCGAGATATTTCAGAGCACGCCGCCTTCGCTGAGAATGCGTGCTTGCCGATTGTTGGCTTCTAAATCTACGCTTGCAGCCCGTGTAGATTCCACCAGAGGTGACCCTTGTGGAAATGTTGGAAGAAAACTGCGTGAAGAAGTTGGCAAGAAAATTGAGAAGTGGCAAGAGCCTCCTCCTGCCAAGCAACCTAAGCCACTTCCAATTCCTGATTCCGGGCCTAAGAAAAAGAGAGGAGGGCGCCGTCTTAGGAAGATGAAGGAGAGATATGCAGTGACAGACATGCGCAAGCTTGCTGGCAGGATGCCGTTTGGAGTTCCTGAAGAGAGTTCTCTAGGCGATGGGTTAGGTGAAGGTAATGGAATGCTTGGTCAGGCTGGAAGTGGAAAGCTTCGAGTAGCAGCTGGGCAGAGCAAACTCGCCGCAAAAGTTGCTAAGAAATTCAAGGTAAGGCAGTTTGGTAGAGGTGGTGCGACTTCAGGGCTGACGTCGAGCCTGGCATTCACTCCAGTGCAGGGGATCGAGCTGAGCAATCCACAAGCTCGTGCACATCAACTGGGCAGTGGAATCCAAAGTACATACTTCTCCGAGACTGGCACGTTTTCGAGGATCCAGAGGACATGACATGCACAGAGGCGCTGGGTATCAACGTTCAGAATGTGTAAGATGGATAGGAGGCTGAGCTAGAGAGACTTAACAGGAAATCTTTGTTGAGGAATTTAATGACTACCATAGCTATTTCTTCCTAAGGCTTATGTACTGGCCCAGCATGACGAATTTTATGTCACCACCATAGCTTATCCACATAATTTCTTGTTATGAACATCATCAGCATCATTTGACATTGTCCTTTCCTTCAAGCTTCTTACCATATAGATACCATGTCAGCCTCGTCAAGATCTTCGATTAACATTGTCAAGCTAAATGTGTCATATTCGCCATCTAAGTAGGTGTTCGTATAATGTTTGTCATTGAATACGTAATCGATGACCGGTTTATGTCACTAGTTAGTTGTGTTATAATTCTTATGAGATTCCATTCAGCAGTCAGCTGACATTCTATATCCATGAAAACAGACCATCTCCATGACTCCTTCCTCATCAAGAACAAAAGTAAACAGCAGTATGTTCAAAAGTAAAAGAATTGTGTCAGATTTCTTTCTCATCATGCCATCCCAAAATTCATTTTTGATCTACTTAGAGTAACAGGAGAAATAATGCAATTAAGTGAAGATGTTTGCATGTGTTTTTGTAGGTATGTATACATATATATATATCTCACTCATGCAAGCTCTGCAGTTCACCTACCAAGTAAACTGACAAACAACATAAAAAAGAAAAGAATAAAACTCACTAAACTTATAAGGTGAGAACTACATCAAGAAGGAGTCCCATTTCTGCAATTTTTACTTGCAGCTTGCCTTATATTCTGTGTCTGTTCTTCCCGTCTACAACTGTATTCAAAGGACACAACAGAACATCTTTGTTGAACCATTTTTTATTCATTTCCTTTGGTGGTTGGTTGGCCTTTTCTTCTTCACTTTTGCTGAGGTGGGTTGTTTCATTTGGTGCAGTTAGCTATTACTATCACCCTCTTGAGTTCATGTGGGATTGTTTGCTTTTTGTCCCCTTTTAGCTTATTCCCTTCTCACCATTGTTTTGGGATAATTGGTCTTTGGTTTTGCTGACTTGAATGAGGCAGACACAGACTTTGTACTTTTTGTGATGTGAAATATTGTCCCCTTTTGGCTCAAAAACTAACTTGCAGACTGAATCCTTCAGTTTTTTGTTTGTTTATGAAGGAGAGGGAGGGAGAAAAGAAGCAAGCAAGAAGAAGAATCATGAACATGGTCCAAAACCTTATGGATAGACTGAGACCTCTTGTGGGGTTTAAAGGCTGGGATTTCTGTGTTCTCTGGAAGTTGAGTGATGACCAAAGGTTGATGCTTTTAATGCCTCTCACCATCTATCTCCCAAATTCCTCAGTACTTTTCTTGATTCTGATCAGAAAGGAACTGAGCTTTAATTATCTTTTTGTTACTGAAGGTATCTAGAATGGATGGACTGCTGTTGTGGTGGGACAGATCATGAGGCAATTCAAAATGGTGGGGAAGAGCTTCAATTCTCTGCTCTTTCTCCAACCCTTCCTTGTAGGGATGGTATCTTCCACCATCCAAGAACCACTCCTTGTGAACTCCTTTCCCAACTTCCTACTACATTGTCCCTCGACGAATTCGGGTACAATCACTGATCAATAGTAAGACTTTGCATTCATCTTGACTAGGGCTTCTACTTATCTAAGTTCATGAACCAAAACAGGATTCATGCAGAGGCTTTGATCTCTAACGTTCCAAGGTGGTTGAACTTCTCCAACACTTCAGGCCCAACCCTTCTTGAGGTCAGCTTAATTTGTTAGTTTCCCTTCTCCATCTGCATTCTCCTGGGAGCTGAGATGGCTAGTTTCTGATTCTGACTGAACTTTTCTGCAGCATTTGAATCATTATGCGCAGGAAACTGTTGGAACTAGAGCTTTGATTCCTGTACCAGGTGCCCTCATAGAGCTATTTGTTGCTAAACAAGTTAGTAAATATGCTTTCTTTCTTGCTCCTGTAAAATAATATAGCCCCCCAATTTTTCCCACCAAGTACACAGTTAATATAGCTATTTCTTGGCTCTCAAGGAAAGGAAGTAAATAGTTTGATGTTGCATTTCCAGGTTCCTCAAGACCAGGAAGTGATAGACATTGTAACTTCACAATACAGCATTCTGATGAGTCATCAGGAAGCAATGGCATCAGCAAACTTCATGATGAACACTAAACAAAATCACGAGCACCAGAAAGATCATGATCATGATCATCACCAAATCATCGACATGAACCACTTCCATCCACCGCCAATCTCTCCAGCAACAGCATTGGAGACCTTAAACCTGTCATCATCAGTTGATAGAATCCGCGGGCTGTGTAGTAGTAGCTCTCCCATGAACTTGCTCCAGCACTTCAGCTACACCAATGACGATGACAACAGAACAACAAAGAGCAATGGTGGCATGTTCTTTGAAGGTGAATATCAGAATTGTGGCGGTATTAACAGTAATGACTGCAACGACAGCAATAAGGTTCATCAATATCACCAGGAAGAAGCCGAGTTTGGTGAGTCATTACTAGCAGGAAAGGAGCAAAAAGGGAACAACAATAACAATGACAAGGACTCAATCAAGCAAGATATGAATGGGAGATCAGATTCAGTCTCGGATTGCAGTGATCAGAATGGTGAAGATGATCAGCACCAGCAGCAGTTTGGTGGTAGCAAGTTTAGGAGGAAGAATGGGAAGCCTGAAGCCAAGAACCTTCAAGCTGAGAGAAGGAGAAGGAAGAGGCTTAATGGGAGGCTCTATGATCTTAGAGCCTTGGTTCCCATGATCTCCGACGTAAATTAACAATGTCCACTCCTCCATCATCTTCTAAATCCTCTGCTCTGAACCCACTAATGCGGTTCTTTACAATGCAGCTGAAGAAGGCATCTATAATTGGAGACGCAATCGAGTTTGTAAAGGAGTTGAAGAGGCAATCCAAGGAGCTTGAAGAAGAACTTGAAGCTAACTCAGATGATGATGAGATGTCAAGAAGAAACAACAGCTGCCACAACAACAACATCAGCAGCAGTTTGGGTGCTCAAGTTGGAACGAGCGAGGCGGGAGATGTTGGGATTCCAAGCTTGGTGAAAGTAGTAGGGAATCAGGATTGGGAAACAAGCAACTGCAATGAGAAAGGGCAGCAGCATCAGCAGCAAATGGAGGTGCAAGTGGAAGTGGCACAAATTGATGGGAATGGTTTCTTTGTGAAGGTGTTCTGTGAGCACAGGCCAGGTGGGATTGTGAGGTTGCTAGAGGCACTGGATTCCCTTGGTCTAGAAGTCACCAATGCCAATGTGACCAGCTGCAAATCCCTTGTCTCCAATGTTTTCCGGGTTCAGGTAAAACTGCGATAAGCTACATAAACATACATAATTCGCACACGCGACATCTGCAGATTGAGAAAAAAAAGACCAAATCTTTTGTGTTCCCTTTTTGTCCTGGACAGAAGAAGGACAGTGAGATGGTTCAAGCAGACTATGTGAGGGATTCTTTACTGGAGCTCACAAGAGAACCACCACCAAGAACATGGAGTGAAGTTCACCATCATCATCGGGTAAATGGTGGCAATTCTTCTGAGAATGGCAATGGGATGATAATGGACCATGATCACTTCCTTCATGATCATCATCACAACCAAGTACTTGTACTGCAGAATGGCGCCGGCCATCTGATGGACTCCAACCAGCATTACCTCCACCTCCTCCACGGTTGATCCATGGTTCGATGGTTAAGTTAGTTGACAGTTAATTGTGACAAAAGTCCTTAAAGTTTTGGATAAATCATAGATAGATCTAAATGTGGCTAGTAGTACTCATGACTTGTTCAATTTTGGAACTAACAACTTTAGTTGCAGGATTGATCATTAGAAACGAGTTTCTTTTTCACTTATGACACAAAGTAAGCAAATTTCTTGACAAAAACCACGATGAAGGTTCAATCTTTATGATCTTTTAACGTTTATGTAATACAATGAATCAATATCCAATGGAAGAAGAAGAGAAAAAAAAAACGAAATCTAAATCGTAATGAAGATTCAAAACCCATCTCAGAAAAATTATGCCCCATCCAATCAAAACATTCTCAACAAGTAGAAATCAGCATTTTTCCAGAATCAATCAAGCATCACTTCCAAATGCATGCAGAGACAAGTACCATGTAGATGAACAAGCTACAATATCTCCCCAAGGAGTATTTAATAATGTTGGAAGCACCAGAGCTAGCGCTGCTGCTGCTGCCGCCGGTGGATGAATCGCCGGTGCCTGCAGCTGACTGTTGTTGTTGTTGTTGTGCCACTTGAATTGCCAGTCTCATTCCTCCAAAGCAATGGCCATCAATTTCGCAAATGAACCAGTACTTCCTGGCTTCCTTGAGCTCTATCTGGTCGTCCCCAGTTTGGTACTTGGCTAGCACTCCATCGCTCGCAGTCGCATTGCACGACTGATACACTTCCTTTGTCACCTCGTACACATTGTGCTCCGATCTCGAGTACTTGAACTCTGCGTTAAATCGGTTTCAACAGTAGCTAAATCATAATCTTGACATGTTAATTAGATATATGATCGAGTTAAATTAAGAGTTTGGAAGCCAATAGCAATCGGATCAGATCACCTATATAAGCTTCAATGAAGAAGTGGGTCATCAATTGCAAAGTTAATGATCATATATGGTAAGAGAAACGAGTGATTATGAGTGTTGATTGAGGTTTCTTGGCTAGCAAGCTAGCTAGGTTGGTAAATTTTGTGGGGTGGCGTGCGTACCAAGAATGTCGCCGACGGTGAAGTTGTGGTTATCTGTCCAAGAGCCATAGTTGACCTGTGTATCCCACCTACTCTCGTCTCCAACCGTGAAGACCTCAGATTCTGTCAGAACGAAAGCGTTGAAGACGACGACGACGAAGAAGAAGCAGCAAAGCGTGCAGCTCCGTGATCCGATCGTCGTCATCCTCTGCGGCCAAATGGATTGGGAGCAGAAGAAACAGAGGAGGAGGAGGAGAAGAAGAAGACTGTCTAAAGTTGTGTGTAAGGGAAATTTATATATACAACCACTGGGTCTGTGAGCCGAATTCGTCACTAAAAGTTAATTGGTAAGTGACAATGACGGTCGATTATATTATGGCGACGTTAAAGTTGAATGTTTCTCTTTTCTCTCTGTTTTGTTTGCACAGTTTAATTGCCTCTCTCTGTGTTTCATTTATTTATTGCCTAGCTGATTACCTTGTTGTCAACTGTTTATAAGGACGGCATGCCTCGAAGCCAGCCATCTGCGTCATTATCAGACCTGGATTAAAGTTAAGGAACTAGAAAACAGAAAAGAGGAGGAACAAGCAAGGTTGATCATAGTTAATTAATAATGCTCTTCTGCCTGCATCATCGTAATTAGACACGGTTTATCATGAATTGATGCCATACCTTTAGTGACGACGAGGCACACAGCGTGAGGGAATTTAAGGACCAAGTCCATAACAAAGTTGTTTTTATGGCTTTTTCGACAAAGCAAGTGGCAAAGAGGACGACTTTGCTTGATTAACCGGCCAGTTAATTAGTTCTAATGTAGAGTCAATAAACCAATTCAGACATCAAAACTCAATAGAAGAACAGAGTAACAATGTTCAGTATCAATTCCTTCCAAGCAAAGGGAGAAAAAACAAAACAAACGAGAGGTCTCTCTATGAGAGTACCAGGATAAGAGTATATAACAGAAACTCATACATTAAGTTATGAAACAAAGCACAGGGTCTGCTAATAAATAATAGTGTTCTCTCTCTCTACTAATCTCTCTGTTTTCTCTCAAGAATCATATCAATCCATCGGCAAAACTTCAGTGGTCTCGGTTTAGTTTTCCTCGGCGGTGCCATTTTCGTCCTGCTTCCCATTCTCATGCTCAGTAGAATCTGAATGTCCATTCTCGACTACGTTCTCTAATGTCTCAGCACTGCAGAGATACAAAACCACAAGTCAGAATTATGAAGCAACAAAGGAATAATGTCATACATTAGCTAATGCTATCTGATGTTGGTATGCAAACATATGGTTTGTTTGAAGGGTGGGCTGTCTTGGTGGATAAGAGAGAACATAGTATCAAAAACCCTCCAAATAAAAGCTCATTGAGCAATGGACAAACAGATCAATAAGATTCTGAGTACCCTAGATATAGAAAAAGTGCAGACTTTATGAACCAAACTCGTACAGTGCAATTCCATTGATTGGACATGTAATCAAGTAAAACTCAACAGCTATCCAAACCCAACAACACTTCACTAGAGTGTGCACCAATAACTTCCAAAACCATATGCAATGAACATTCTTAGCTTGTCAATCCACAGTCATACCGTTATGCATTAGCTTTCATAGACACCATGTCAAGACTCAGAAACCAGGTACAAGGAAGTTCCATGGTTGAAAGTTGAAACAGAGGCTGGAAAATAGCCAATACCGCAAGCACAACTAAAAAGACATCGATAAATGTCGAGAAGGCATAATCATCATATGCCTCCTGAAGTGTCCTAACTACCGAGCCAACTTTCAAACGCAAAAATGACACCATTTTGTTCGAAATATCCAAAAAAATTACATCAAATTACATGAGATTAAGACAAGAAGTTTCAGAAGCTTATAGCACATCAATCCACAAAATTTTCAGATGACAAACAACTATACAAAGTCCATCTCATGAAGTGTACAAAAAAGAATCGAGCTTTCTGAAGAAAAAAACAGATCAATGCAAGAATGCTCATGAAGCAAACCTCTGAGGCCGAGAACCGGAATTGACTGAATCGGGCTTCCTCCAGCTCCTCTCCACAGTTTCACCAGAGCCTACACGACCAAAGCTCCACCTTGAAGTCTTATCCAATCTTTCCACCTTATCCTCTTCATTCTTACTGTTGAGCTTCGTGCTCTCCAACTTCTCATCAATCTCCTTCCAATCCTGCCCCTTCTCCGCCAAAACCTCCTCTCTCGGCCTAGCACTCCCAAACGGATTCGAACTCCTTGGCTTCACAACCAATTCATTCTCATCACTCACAGGGGCAGCCCGTGGCGGCTGCAAAACCTCATCTCTCGGCTTAGCATCCCCAAATGGACTCGACCCCTTGGGCTTAGCCACCGATTCATTGTCATTACTCACAGGCACAGTCCTTGGCTGCAACACCAGCTTCGGCCGAGCAGTCATGGCCCCTATTCCATCCCCCTCCTCCCTCCTCCTCCCCCAGGTTTCAGAATCTGCAGACCCACCACCGTTAACGGAGCCCTGTCTATCTCGTGAGATAGAATCGAAGCTACCTCTTCGCTCAAATCCTCCGCCGCCGAATTTCCTCGGCTCAACTGCCGGCCTATTGGACACCCAGCTACTAGCCTCGTCGGCTTTCGATTGAGAATCGAAGAACGACGAGCCCCTATCCCTGTCCCTATCCCTCCTGTCGAACCCGTTCCCATTCATCGCCGCCGGCGATTTCTTCGCCTTCGACCAGTCATCGTCCTCATCCGCTCGCGACGGACCTAGGGGTTCCCTTTCCCTGCTCGAATCCCTATCCCTAGGGCCAGAAGACCTAGAATTACTATCCCTCCCCCAGCGCGAATTAGACGAATCCTCGCCGCTCCGGTAACTGTTCATACCGTAGGATCTGAACCCGCCGCCGCGAATCTGGTCGAGCTCCTCCGCCGAGCGCTCGCGTGGGCCCTTGGGGAGGGCCGCGGTCGTCAATTCGGGGTCGGCGTATTTACCTGCTTGGTACAAGGCCAGGGGAATGGCCGTCGTCTTCTTCTTCTTCTTCTTGGCCTGCTTCAGATCGGCGGCGGCGGCGGCCAGGGAAGGGAAATCGGCCGTGGCCTCTTTAATCGTCGCCTGTTGTTGTTGTTGTTGTTGTAGCACCTCCTGCTGCTCGAGCTCGGCCTCGTGTTCCTCGGCGTCCAGAGCCCACGCGCCGGGCTTGGCCCAGGGAGATGAAACGGTCGCCGCCATGGTTGGTTGTGGAGCTCCTTTCCTCTTCTTCTTCTTCTTCGCTGTTTGGTTGCGTCTGTCTGTGTGTTTGTGAACTGTCTCCTCGCGTTTGCGTTGCTTCTCAGCCGGGGGAAACTGAAACGGGTGGGTTATATAAACGGGTAGGGCTGTTGATTCCATCCGACGGTGGAGAATGGACTTCCAAGATTCTTGTAGGAAGCGACGGTGGAGATCGCTCGGTTGGATTTATTCCTTTCCCAACAGCAACAGGAATACATCATACAGCTTAGCTGAAAAGGAAAAAGGTTAGCCACTGCGATATGATTCCCCACTTTCTGCTTTGATTACACTGATTTTTTAAAACAAAAATTAAATCGACTATTTTAATTTTGCTTTTACAGATATCATTCCTAATAATTACGCGTTTATTTTATAATTAGGAAAAAAATTATGAGAGTTAATTTTGGGTGATTAAAAATGTTAGTGTAGGAGAACAAAAGTTCAGTCCGGAAAGAAACTCAATTAGAAAATGAATTAGTGGTACCATCAATATCAAGTGGAAGGAACGCTTTTTTACTAAACCCTTCAGGTCAAATTCGAAAGATGAACAATTATTGGAGCTGAAAGAAATAAGAATTAGAATTCACGAAGATGGTTTTGCACAAGAGTTCGACCATTACGCTCTGCCACATCCAACTACCTTATAATCACTATCCTTGTCATCTAACATATGTTTGCCTTCCATTAGGAAATGTGCCTTATTCATGTTTAGTTGTTTACCGTGAAAACAACTTTGTTGCGAAATATCAAATATCTAATTCGAGGCCATTGCTATGTTTGATTTGCACCAGGGTTTTCTACCTTAACAAGTCAAGTCAACCAAACCAAACCAAAGACACAAGTTACTGAACTTTCAAAGAAAAAGCATTTCTCAAGTCGCATCAAGTGCAGATAAGCAACCAGTATCTGCTACGTTATGTTTTACAACATCCTGGAAAGGTACAAGAATAAATAATGCAATTGGGGATATATCCTTTGACCTTTGTTGCTTGCGTTCCACGCAAATGAAGGCGGTTACCCAAGTAATTTCATTCCTTTCAAATATGCTTCAGGAAACATACAACTAAGACTAACTAATGAGCTCTAGAACTACAGATTGGAACGGCTTTCGTTGTTGTCGACATACAAATGATACACACCAACAACAACAGAGGCAACCAATAAAAAAGGAATCAAAACAACTCTCAATGGTAAATAGAAGCCAGCCAGCCCAAAACTACTGCACAAGAATGATCACTGTACCTACAATATGGTCCGAGATGAGAAGCTGATGTAGGTCGACCTTTGTTTCCTGGAACCAACATGCGCTATTGCACGAGTCACGGAGTCAGGCTGATCATTCCTAGTTGATCAGAGTCAGCTCCTCATCAAAAGGGGATGAAACATCATCCACAGCTTTGCATATCCAAGGTATTCCACATGAGAAAAATCTAGCGGCAGAAGAATGAAGATCTCCTCTGGCACTCAATTGTGGTTTGAATGTTGCATCCAATAATTTCATAGTGCTCGAATCGGGGATTGGTGGTTAGAAGTAGTATTATCGTTCTTCGGATTCGTGAATGTTGAGTAAATGCTCCCCATCCAGGTTCTTGAAAGAATCCCCTCTGACATACCATGTTACTGTCCCTGCAACGACGAGGTGTAATTGCCAGATTAGGTAGAAGATAGCCTGAAAGGGAATTAAAATTTATGGAAACAGTAACCCGATAAGACATCTACCTCGAGAAGGAGGAGGTTCTTGATCTCTCGTTGAGTGAAGTATAATAGTACCAGTAAGAACAGTGATAAACCCGCATATCTCAGATGCTATGCTGCTGGCATCTTGACCTTTCCAGTCCTGCTCAAATATAAATGAATAGAAATATTAGTTAATTCCTGGTAGTATTAATGCAAATCATTTTAGCTGAAAAAATCATCACCAGCAAAATGGAGGTTGAGAAGTTTACCTTGAACATTATAGCACTAGCAACAATGGTCAGAGTTGTGAACATGACATAGTATACTGGAGAAACAACTGCTGCATTATACGTATCTAGTGCCTGCAACATTGACAAGATAATAGAAAATGGCCAGTAACTAACTTGCTCCATTCAGTACAAAATAAGTTACAAATCAACTTTACAAAGCAATGATTCTGCCACACCAAATGGGAAAGGAAAACCAGGGGTAGATTGCTCCGCAGCTGGAAACAAAGCTACACATTGAAACCCTGAACTTGAAATTGCAAATTTACTACTAAGATTGAAATTTTTCAACATTCTTGGAGATTGCAACATCATATTACTCTGCTATAAATTTTATCTGCCTACTCGCATTCATCCGATACAAATATTACCCAAAACTGCCCTTCACACTATGTAGAATGGGTCTTCAGGTTTCCAACATTTTCAACTCCCTTTGTTATAGTCTTATAGATAAGAGTAGGTGGGTGAAACCATCTATTGACTTCATGAAAACGGAATACATGCTGCTGTAAAAAATCAAAGTACCCTCCTTAGTACCTCAAGTAAACTTATGGCCCAGTATAAATCTGAAACTAATTGTTTGTAACTCTGTATCACATTATAGGTATGGTCAATGCTGTAAAAGAGTCTGCACAACACTAATAGGGGCTGGTTCAAAACTTATGATGCAGGAATCAGATCATCTTGAAAGTCCCCAGTTGGAAAAACAAAATTGAATCTTTAATTATTATTGCAAAAGAAAATGTCCCAGAGATCATAGAAGACGACCACATGACAGGAGACTGTTCCAATTGTAGCAAAATAAACAAATTTAGCAGTCGTTTATCACACAACTCAAACAGAGGTAATAAAGATCGACTCGAAGGCCTTATGCAACAACAAAAGGAGAGGTACGGGACAAACGCAAACTCACCTTGTTCAAATAATTTAACTGTGTGACGACACATATCGCTGCTACTGTGAGGAACAACCAAGTCTGAGGATAAGCAATCTGATTTATCCCATCTAGTGTTAGTTTAATAGCTATTCCAATTGCCTTGATGCTGACAACCTGGGGAAATGAAATAAAAAAAAAAAAAAAAAAACAAGAGAGGTCATGCAATAAATAGAATGTGAAGATGCCATTACAGTTCAGGAATTGAACTAGAGTGCAAGTAATTACAGTGATCGAGCCCATCAAGGAGCATATTCCTAAGTAGACCAACATGTTTGTTTGACCAAATCGGGGTTCGAAGTGTAAAACCAAAGCTAACACTGTTGAGATTGTAGCAGCTACATATATCAAAAAAGCTGCAAAAAGGAGTGAAGAGCTCAAGTAACAGGTAATCATGGAAAGCAAATAAGAGAGTACAAAGTGAGTGAGCGCTCACCTGGCTGAGTTGCCAGGTTCCATACTTCTTCTACAGAATTTAAAGGTTGCTCTTGAGGTGCATGAAGAACGATTACTACTGATCCAACAATGCATGAAACGCAGCCAAGAACACCCATTCTAGGCAGTCTTTCATTCAGCATAAAATGAGCTAAAATTGCACTATCGAATTTGTAAGAGCTGGTCAGTAACAAGATAATGATTACAACACTATTAGAGACGAGCAACAATATTAGGAGATATCTCATTCACCTGATTATTATACTTAGTGCCCCAAGGGGAGTCACTAGAACAGCAGGAGCATAAACGTAAGCCACAAAATTTGCAACCTCCCCAAGAATCACTGTTGAATGAAAGTCGAAATTAATTGTCAATTATCCATTTCACGCCGAGTCAGTGACATGAGTGTGAGAGTGAATATGAGCATGTGACTGTGTGAATATCTGAGTAAGGGAAAAAGAGGGGTCGAGTGAGAGATAACTACACTTACTGGTAACCATGCCAACCCACCATAGTGGCTCTAGTAAATAAGTATAACCTCCAACTCCTGCATTATTCAGGAGGAACAACGCATTAGAAATTATCTTGAAATTCAATGATGTTGTCCTGAGCTGTAAAACGGCAACTTTCTAGCACTGAGCACCTAATTTGAAGGCGGGTTGACAACTCCATAGACTTGGAATAACCCATTAAAGGAAAGTGGCCAAGTGAAAAATCCCATTAGACTTTGTAAAAGCAATATCAACCAAGCTGGTGTCTGACGTTCTCCAATATAAAGTGGAAAATCAAGACGAGCGATCTTAGCCACTAGTTCGAGAAACAAACAAGATCAGGGCGAGCTGATACTCCAAACCCATGGAAAGACGAAATCAAATTGCCAAAGAGAAAGGGAAGCAAACAGACCTGCACGAGTGCCGGAAGCACCAGCTCGCTTGAGGCCTTTCTTTTTCAGGATGAAGCTAGAACCGATAAACGCGTTGGACGCCACTGCCAATATCAGCCCCGTCGTATTCTCCGAAACTCCCATCTTTCGTCCGCCTCCCGTTTTACATAAACACAGACAGTGGCAGCAGCAGAGAAGCGGTGCGGCGGAGGCGGCGGCGGCGTACTATCTAGCCCTAGAATTCAATTCGATCGCAGGAACTTTGACAGCCTTCCGTGGAGATCAAAGAGAAAAAAAAATAGAGAGAAGAAACTCGGCCGATTTCCCGCCAAAATGCAAAACGACAAACCACAGAAGGTGATGCCAATCAAAACGGCGCAGATGTGCTCTCTCCCTCCGACGCGGCGGAGACAACCGGGAAGCTCCGAGACAGATTTGGAAGTCAGCTGATTTGAGTTCCCGTCGCTCGCTGAGTCGTCGGATATCTGGATCAGGGGAATGAGAATGAATGACAGAAGAGAACGGAGGTTAAGCAATGATCCAGTGTTTCGCGGAAACTAGAAGTGACTCTACACCCGGTGATGGCAGCCGCTTAACGACTTGTTGATCTTAAGTTCAACCATTTATGTCCGTCCGATTTCGATAAGTCCAAAAAAAATATTTTCGTATGGCCTGAACTTTGACCAAAATAAACATCATGGGCAATCTTTTCGATCTATAACATCCTGGCTCGAACTATACACCAAAATAAACAATTTGGCCAAACCCGATGTTTGACCGTTAACTTGGACGGTCAAACGCGTTGACTAACGGTCAACGCGCCACGTCACTGCCAAGTCAGAAGATTTGATAAATATTTAATTTTTTCGTTTTTTATTTTTGGTTTAACTAAGGTATTAGATGATTTTTTTAATTTATAATAATTTAAAATTAGGGAATGTGTGGAAATTGTGAATTATTTTAAATATTTTATGCTGACTTGGCAGTGACATGGCACGTTGACTAACGGTCAACGCGTTTGACCGTCCAAGTTAACGGTCAAAAGTCGGATCTGGCCAAATTGTTTATTTTGGTGTATAGTTCGGGCCAGGATGTTATAGATCGAAAAGATTGGCCAGAATGTTTATTTTAGTCAAAGTTCAGGCTATACGAAAATATTAACTCATTTTTTTTGTAATGGAAAGGTCACAATAAAATATAATTTAATTTTTTTTTAATAATAATTTCGTGGCGGGCGAGCGGTAAGATGACAATTGGCGGGTTGGTTCAGGGTTCACGTTACCGTAATGCCCTTCACGCATGAATATTCTCCGGTGACCGTAATTATTTCAATAATGCATAATTTTTGGGCCAGAAAGACACGTCAGCAATTTAAGCGGGTTTAGAACTTTAGTTCGCTTCTCGCTCCTTCCTGCAAAACAGTAGATCACTGCTAACCTACGCCTCTCTCGTCGTCTTGTCTTCTCTCGAATTTCCTGGAAACCGGAAATTTCCGACGACTCCGCGACGGAGACTGAAATCCGCTTACTATAACACCGTTCAGGCTTTCCCCTCAGGCTCTCGCGCCACCGCGCCGGGGAAATTAAACTTCTGCCTCGTTCTGATTGGCTTGCCCTTGGGATTTGTCGTTTTGCCTTCCGGCGGGAAATTGATCGCGCTTCTTTTTTTTACTTTACTTCAACCACCACGGATGGGCGAATCCATTCCGTTGGGAAATTGTGGCGATCGAATTGGATTTTAGGTCAAGATACGCGACTGCCGCCGCTGCTGCTGCTGCTGCTGCCGGTGTGTGTATGTGAGACGGGGCGGAGAAAGAAGATGGGAGTTTCGGACAATGCGAAGGGGCTGATACTGGCTGTGGCGTCCAGCGCGTTTATCGGTTCGAGCTTCATCCTGAAGAAGAAAGGGCTCAGCCGAGCTGGTATTGCCGGTACGCGTGCAGGTGTGTCACTTTCGTTTCTTTCTGGCATTTGGATTTTTTCGGCTGTCTGGGAATCTTGGAATTCCTGAGTAATCGTGAAGATCGCTTGATTGATATGTCGGTTGTCTATCCGGAGCTGAGAGAGGAGCTTGCTTAGAATTCAAATTACAATGCTCTTCTGCCAGTAGTGGATATCTGGGACGGGGTGGGGGAATTGCAAAGACAGAACTATGTGTCTATGCCCTCATTTTGTCATCTCATGTTGTCCATTTTGCTCTGCTCTGCATCCATGATTAATTCCCTGTGGTGGAAGTGCTTGTTTGTTCTCTTTATCTCGCTTTGTGGCGCTGCCAAAGTAGCTGAGTTGGGCTGATATATGGTGCCTTTGACTCTGGAGTTCCTGCAAAACTCTGATATGACGAGAGCTTATTGAAGGAAGACATATTGGTCCTGCAGTGGCATCTGCCACTGACCCACTTAACTTTAATGGGTTATCCAAGTCTATGGAAATGTTAATAGTTCCTGAGAGTAAGAGATTGAGCATTAGGAGTGTCGCAGGTGTCAGTAAAAGTGAATGCCAGTAATTCTCATGTAATATTTCTCCTGCACAAGGACTTGGGGGCTATACTTATTTACTAGAGCCTCTAGATCGAGCATTAGGAGTGTCCCAGCTGTCAGCAAAAGCAAACACCATTGATTTTCAAGATTATTTTTCTCATGTGTTATTTCTACTGAATAATGCAGGAGCTGGAGGTTTTACCTATCTGCTAGAGCCGCTATGGTGGGCTGGCATGATTACCAGTAAGTGCAGGAATCTCTTACTTGCTCCCTCTCCCTCTCTCGCACTCGCCCTAGAACACACACGCAAATGGTTGATGATTCATTTGAACTTTCATGTGAGCAGTGATTGTTGGTGAGATTGCAAATTGTGTGGCTTACGTCTATGCTCCTGCTGTTCTAGTAACTCCCCTTGGGGCATTAAGTATAATTATCAGGTGAATAACATCTCTGAATTTTCTTGCTAGTGTATGATATTGACACAGTCGCTATCTTGCAACTGATATTTTTATTCAAATTCAATAGTGCAATTTTAGCACACTTCATGCTGAACGAGCGGCTACAAAGGATGGGAGTTGTTGGCTGTGTTTCATGCATTGTTGGGTCAGTAGTAATTGTTCTCCATGCACCTCAAGAGCGAACTCCAAGTTCTGTAGAAGAAGTATGGAATTTAGCAACTCAGCCAGGTGGATATTCAATCACTTTTTTGTTACTATCATACTTTTTTCTACTGTTACTCATTACTTTAGCTTTCTCTTCTTTTGCAGCGTTTCTGATGTATGTGGTTGTTACAGTCGCAGCAGTGTTAACTTTAGTTTTACACTTTGAACCACGATCTGGTCAGACAAACATGTTGGTCTACTTAGGAATATGCTCCTTGATGGGGTCAATCACTGTAATTGCTCACTCTCGGTTTAGGTCTTCATTTGGAATTATTTACTGGGCTATTGTGGCATCTTGACGGTGTATTTACTGCATACCTGGGCCTTTTTCTTTCCCCAGGTTGTCAGCATCAAGGCCATCGGAATAGCTATAAAACTTACAATAGATGGAATAAATCAGATTACTTATCCTCAAACATGGTTTTTCCTCATGGTAGCGGGAATATGTGTCATTACACAGTTAATTTATTTGAACAAGGTGAAGTTACTTCTGTACTATTCCACTTCTTTTATGTTCTGCTCCTCTTCAGATATGGCTTTTGGTTTATATTTATTCCCTCTGTTTGATTTGCTGGATCAATGACTGCTAACTTGCTTGGCTTTTGTTAGTATTGGATAGGTCTCCTGGCATGTAGTGGTCAGGTCCTTGGGCCATTTTCTTTGGCAATAGGATTTTAACTTTCAGTTTTGTCTCTCCAAGTGGAGTTTGCAATAGGATCAAAAGCTGTATAATTCATACACTAGAAGTTCTTAGTTGCTATGTACTCTGTAGAACGACATAGACTCTTTGGTATGATCAACAATCTGTTGTGTCTTGTGTGACGTAAACATTTAATCTGAGATTTATGTTGATAAGCGACGATTTAGGTTTTGGATGGTTGCCAGAAATTGTTAATTTTCGCCCAACTTGACAGTCAAGTCTTGACTAGTTACTAAGTAGGGTACTTACTGCAGTAGCATGTATTCTGTTCCCACGAGTTCGTGAAAATATTTAGCCCACCAACTGGTACCCGGTCCTATTGGCAGTTCGTTCAAAATCACAGTAAGCTAAAAGGTGATAGGTGCAATTTTGAAGAAATATTTATATGTTTGATGAATACAGGTAGATAATCACGGTGCAATCTTTGTAGTTAATCTACTTAATCAAATTCGGGAATACCATACGAAATTTGGTTTTCAGCTGCAGAAGACACTTGCTAATATAGTGTTGCATCATGATCTTTGTTTTCCTAGTTATTATCTTTTAAGGAAATATACTATGGTAGCTGCTCTTCTTTTGCCTCACTCAGATAGATTCCCACGATCAATTGCTTTATGATGTTGATTATTAGCTTATTTTCACCTGAATTATTGCAGGCGCTGGATACGTTTAATGCAACACTTATTTCTCCGGTGTACTATGTAATGTTCACAACTCTCACTATTGTTGCTAGCTCTATAATGTATAAGGTAACCTGCTCGACGCACATGTTGTCCCTGCTGGTTCTAGCATCTGAATTAACATATCATGAACTAATAGGTTCTCTTACATTTTATCTTACCAGGATTGGGCGGGCCAAGATGCCGCCAGCATAGCATCCGAGATATGTGGGTTTATCACTGTCCTTTCAGGAACTATCATACTTCACTCAACAAGAGATCAGGAACCTCATCCTTCATCTCGAGGTAAGATGTCTTGGCCTGTTGCTGTTCTGGTATTTCCAATTGTCTGAGCATACGAATAGGTACTACTTGAATGGGTTCATTTGGCCGTGCTTGATCGTTGTGTTGATCTCCTTACAGTCACCGAGCGATCATGCCATCGACTCCCTCCCTCGAGAGGCAGTCTGCACTTGCTTATTGTATTACCTTTGTCGTTGCAGGAACCGTGACATGGTATGTCAGAAGCGACTCATTGAAGAACCTAGACGAGGAACATCTACTCAACATTCTCGAAAACGGACCACAATAAGCACTACGATCACGACTCTTGGAGCATCGTGTATGATAGTTCGCTCTCTTTGACGAGTCGTGTAAAGAGCCTGATCTCGGGCCAACCCGAAGAGCAGGCGTACTGAACTCAGTACTCGTTGGAGATCGCCCGTCGCCGAATACCAGACCATCTCAGATGTATTTGTACGAGTGATAGTGCGATACACTGATAATGGTGGGCGAGGTTGGCATTGGCAGGGCTTCTAGTTCTACCGTTGGCCTTTCAAGGGTGTTATTTGATTCCTTTTTTTGATTCTTTATACCTGTATTAGGTTGTATCATTTGTTAGTTGTAGTTACCAGTAGTAGATAATAGCTAGCTTATTATCTTAATGGCTCATTTCTTTTGATTTCAACCAATCGTGACTAAATTAGTGCCGTCTTTATTTGGATCCACTAGACCGTTACTAATAGTTTTCTCTCTCACCTTTACACTAATGCTTGAGATCCGGCGCATCATGTTTCAGGCAAACAATTTGAAATGTCGCGATGGGCCATCACATCGTGGGCCTGAAAAGGCCCACTATCCAGACCCACTATCTTCGAATACAATTCTTCCTTAATTTCCCAATCCTCTTTCTTCTCGAATTTTGAATTTCTCAGTGCGATCAGAGATTTATCCTCTATCCAGATTCAGAGTCGTACAATCCCAAAAAAAAAACAGTACGAACAAAACGATAGATAAAAGGGGAAGAAATCGAGATAAAGCAAACCCTAATCTTATTCATGGAAATTGGTAGATCAGATTCTGAAAACACATAAAAAAAGAGTTAAACAGACCAAATCCAATTCCCGACTCTGATAGTTGTACGACAGAAGCAAACTCCCGCACCCAAATCCCTAGAGAGACGACCGAAACCCTAATTGACTAACAGAAACGAAAACAGGACACAGACAGATAATCGAAAGACACCAACACATCCACCATCACGTCACCGGCAATCGAACACTTAGAGCTGGCCGCAGTCGGCGATGCAGACGGGCTTGGAGGTCTTCCCAGATCCAGATCCGACCTTCTCAATCGCCCTGACGACATCCATGCCCTCGACGACCTGCCCGAAGACGACGTGCTTGCCGTCCAGCCACTCGGTCTTGGCGGTGCAGATGAAGAACTGAGATCCGTTGGTCCCGGGCCCGGCATTGGCCATGGAGAGGATCCCGGGGCCGGTGTGCTTCCTGACGAAGTTCTCGTCGGCGAACTTGGCCCCGTAGATCGACTCGCCTCCGGTGCCGTTCCCGGCGGTGAAGTCGCCTCCCTGGCACATGAACCCCGGGATCACGCGGTGGAAGCTGGATCCCTTGTAGTGGAGCGGCTTCCCCATCTTCCCGGCTCCCTTCTCGCCGGTGCAGAGAGCGCGGAAGTTCTCAGCGGTCTTGGGGACGACGTCGGCGTACAGCTCCATCACGATCCTGCCGGCCGGCTGGCCGCCGACGGTCATGTCGAAGAAAACCTTGGGGTTCGCCATTGGATCGGAAGATCGGGGGAATTAGGGATTTTTTTTTTTTTTTTGCTGGAGTGAAATTGGCTGAGGTTAGGGTTTTTTTTTAATCTTTCGCTGGTGGGGGTTGTGGTTTATATATAGGATGGGAGGCGGTGAAAGGTGAAAGAGAGTGAGATACGACCGTCAGATAGGAACACGTGTCATGATCGCAACGGGATATTGCGTAACCGTGGTTCGGTTAGGAGTTTGACTAGGGTTAAATGTGGAGATCCGCGCGGTGGAAATATCGACGTCGTAGATGCCATTTGTCATGGTCCGGAGTGAGGACAGGGACGCGCTGAAACGACGCCGTTTCTTGCAGTGTCGAAAGGTGTGGGGTCGGCCAATTTTGTCGTGACGTTGGGGGGCAAGTGTTGGCGCGTGAGGCATAGAGTGGACTGGGTCAGCTATCCGTTGGGCTTTTCAGTTATTATCCTGCGTGGCCCTCTTTTCTTTCATATTTAACAGAATGATACTAATTATTTTTGGGAATTCGCTTTGGACTCCTTTACTTTTGCTCTTTTACTGCGAAAGGACTAAAGATTTAGTAATCCCATCATTAATTTCGTTTTCATTTTGTACAATAAGGTGAACTTTGCATTGTGCTTTTTTTCTTTCTTTTTTTGGTAGAAATGCTTCGCTTTTCTACTAGAAGAGCTATTAAAGTAGGATGAAACTTCAATGGGACTTTGAAGTTATAGCCATTTTCATTTATGTATTCTAAATTGTGGGTCATATATGTAAATGTGAAAAATATGGGTCATTTTGGCCAAAATAGTCAAAGACATGTAAACGTTTTAGTTCATATAATAGGTTTCTACTTGTCATACATAGTTATATAATCATTGATTTAGTGTATTATTATGTATACTCTACTTATAATATTCCTATTTGTGATACATCGATTTTGTTAACAAAAATTTTAACGATATAATACTGATTAAACTAGTAAAATATGAATTGCTTGCTAAATTGATTCATACTCTTTTGCTTTGTTTTGATAACATTGCTTCAACCTCTAATACTAAAACGTTTGAAAAAGTATATATAGCATGGTGGCTAAAAAAATTAAGTATAAATCATAATTATGTCGTCAATAGAGATGTAAAGCCAGAGATCCAAACCAAAAGCCAAGTAGACCACTCTTTTATACGACCATTGGTAGAGACTTCTGATTCTGAACCCAACACGATAATATATTAAAGTACAACAACAAAAAGAGGAGACGGGAAATTCAAAAAAATTATTTTTATAATGGATTTCCCTCGTTTTTTAATGAATTCCATTTTGTCTTTTTAATTGCTTACATTACAACACATCATATAATGATATTTAAAAAACAAGTTCAAGAACAAATTTTTAAACAAAAGAAGTTCTAGAGCAAAATTTTCAACCTCGTGCTTACACTATACATTTGAAGAGGTCAAAATCAAACTCAATATAATGTTGTCTAGTCTTCGATTCCATTAAATTTTGACATATTATTAGAAAAAATAACTAAACAGATATTTGGACTTGTACAAATGCATTGATGGTTTGATTGTGGTCCTTAAATCCTCTTTACTGTTGAATGGAAGCTATCATGGTTTGATTCGATTTCGGACCAAATCATTACATATCTCTTTTACTAGATCGAAGCTATCATGGTGTGGTGCCGATGTCCATGTTTTTGTACACACTCTCTCTTCATTTTTACCACTTAACTTTCGCCTAAATCACGCCCCAAATGTGTATTGAATTGATAATCTCCATATCAAGGGTCCTCCATCTCTCAATACTTATTTGTCTACACTACAAAAAAGGGGCTAAATCACGAGACACTTACCTATACATATCGTCTATTCTTCTCAACTCAATATTACTCAATCGAAAAAACAGACATTAAGTATCTGTCAAACGAACGACTAATTCACCATCTCGATCAATTGAATTGAGAATTCAATTTCTTTTTGAAATGGATTTCTGTTTAAAATTCATTGTCGAATGAATTCTTATGTTTGGAATGTCATATTCCAATGTTTAGGAATAAATTGAAATGAATTCCACAATCATATTTAAAATACGTTCAAATTTTAATTATATTAAAAGTTTTCAACTACTTCTATATTAATTTACTACTATTGCTTATTGAAAATCACCAAAGGTTAGAGTTTTCCTTTGGCATATAGGGGAAGTAATATTCTTCCTACAGGTGGGAACCTTACCAAAAGGCTAAAGGAAGCAATTGACGAGTGGTCGTTCTGTGGACTTTGTGAAACACATGAGCATATTCTTAGAGATTGCGATTGAGGAGGAAGAATTTGGCAGCCTACCTCACTCAGAACCCTATTCTCACACCGAGAGGATAAATCTAGCAAAGAATGGCTTTATGGACTAATGGAGAAAGTGTTAGATGAGGAGCTATGTTCGGTGGTGATGGCTTTGTGGTTTATGTGGTAAGAACGCAACAATAACTTGTTTAACAACCTTAAACTAGAGGAAAGAGAAGTACTTGCTATATCGTAGACTTAACTAGTCGAGTACCGTAGTTGTATGCAAGGAGAAACCCATGTGAGAGGACCCCGTCAAAGGCGAGATGGGAGAAACCAGAAAAGGGGAGTGCTGGAAGTCGATGTTGATGCAGCAAAAGTGAAAGAGGGAGGAACTGGATTGGGGATGGTGATAACAGGTAAGAGATGAAGAAGGTAGATTTGTACGGGTGGCGGTAAAGAGAATGAGGGTGGATTGAGAGTTGGAGCTCGCGAAAGCTCAGGCAATGTTGTGGGATCTCCGATTGATCAACGTGCATGGGAGGAAGCCGATCCTTTTGGAATCGGATTGTCAATCTCTGATTCATAAATTGGATAGGGAAAAAGTGATAGAAACAAAATAGGGGGGTGGTTTTGGCTGTGATTTGAGAGCTGAGGTCAGAGAATGGTGAGACTTGCTGGAGATTATAGGGAAGGGGGGACAATGAGGTTGCTCATCAAAAGGCTAGGGTGATTTGTAGGTGAGAAGAAACATAAATTTGGATAGATAGACCTTCTGTTTTCATCCTTGTCGTCTCCTTCCTCTATCGTTACCTGACCGTTCAGATTTTCTGAATTTCAACTAGTAGTCAAGCGTCGATCATGTTTTATGAGGACAGAGAAAGACGAGACTCACGGGAGAGAGAGGCAGGTGAAGGGCTGCATTTTTATAATTTTATTCATTTCAAATAAATGGGACAATTCTGTCATTTGCCTCTCATAAGTGCAATAGTAAACCTTGACTTAACGGTAGACTAACAGAATTTTGAATGGAGGGTTACATTTGATAACATCCTTACCATACAAGAGAAAAATAAAGAGGCATGTTTGAAAACTTCGCAAAATAGAGAAACAAAATATACCTACAACCCTAAACAAAAAGAAATTCAATCTTCTAAAAATCGCTAAGTATTAAATTTATCAATTATTATCCAACCAAGAAAAAATAGCGAATTTTATTCACCTCCTAACTTGCTCCGCAATATTCAACGAAAAAAAAAAAATAACTTGCTCCGCAATCCGAAACCAGCATGGAAAAGAAAAACCGCCTTAGACTCAGACACCGCCTCTTTTCCGGAGTACAAAAGCTGCTCAAAGAACGACGATTACTTGCATCTGAGATTAGAGCAATCAGTTCCCGTCAATCCGTTTCTATAATTGGGTTCATCACTGAATCCCCTTTCAATTCGATTGCCCGATTCACGCTCTCGAACCAGAAGCAAAGCAAGCAAGCAAGCATGTGCGTCATAGCAAACCATCCCTTTCAAGATCCACCGTCGCCGTCGTCGTCGGCGATTCGGTGGAGTCGAGGGAAATTGCTGGGCAAAGGAACCTACGGCAAGGTCTACATCGGAATTCCAAGAACCCCAAATTCGCCTCTCATGGCAGTGAAATCTGCGCCGGAATACAACGCCAAGTTTCTGAAATTGGAGCACCGGATTCTTGCCGAGTTCCGCCTCAACCCAGCAATCATACAGTGCCTCGGCGCTCAAATAACCCAAGAGGACGGCGGACCCAGAATCTACAACTTGTTGTTGGAATACGCCCCTTGCGGCTCCCTCTCCGATTTAATCGCTAGGTACCGCCGCCTCCGCGGCCGTCGCGGGATTCCGGAGAGCGAAATTAGGGTTTACACTCGAACGATACTGGAGGCGCTGTCGTGCATCCACTCCAGGGGATACGCGCACTGCGACATCAAGCCGGACAACATTCTGGTGTTTCCCCCATCGGAAGAAGCAGAATCGGTGGGTCGGCTCAAGGTGGCGGACTTCGGGGCGGCGGTGGACTTGTCGGAGCAGAGCGGAGGAGCGGAGAATTCGGGGATTAGGGGGGCGGTACGGTACATGGCGCCGGAGGTGGCGGTGGCGGGGAGGGTAACGACGGCGATGGATGTTTGGGCCCTGGGGTGCACGGTGGTGGAGATGGTGACGGGGAAGCGGCCGTGGAAGGGTTTGGAGGAGGAGGACGTCATGGCGCGAGTCGCCGATGGGCGGCATCCGAAGATTCCGGCGGCGTTGTCGGCGGAAGGTAGGGATTTCTTGAATGAATGTTTTGTTGTGAATCGTTTGAAGCGAGCGACTGCTGACTCGCTCCTGAGTCACCGTTTTGTAGCCCGGTGTTACAGCAGCACGGATCAGTAAGCAAATATTGTATCACGGGGGCGCTTTGTCTAAATCGTCATAGTATGAGCAGAGGAGCTGTTGCTTGGAGAACAGGGGAAGAAAACCCGCCATTGAAGTTGCTGCAAAAAGGTGCGATTTTGATTGAACTAGCTAATTACTCAACTCAGCTGTTCAATGTTTTGTTTGAAGTTGACTAATTACTGTATCGATTATGGCTGAAAAGACAGTATAGCATAATCTGGCATCTAGATGATTCTTAGATCTTAAGTTCTGAGTTCAAGTCTGGGAATTATGGTGTCTGTAAAATCAGAGGTTGTACAATGGTTTAGAAAGATTGTAATTTGTAAGATATGTGTTAGTGGGTGATAGTTCTCTAATTTTCATTGCTGTGTTTCTTTCTTGAAATTCTGATTAATGTCAATAAGTTTTGCTGTGTTCAACATGTTGTTCGAGTGATGCGGTCTCATTAAAGAACGCGACTGGTGGTCGATTCTGGAGTTCAAGCTTGTGAAATGAAGCTGGAACGACCATCTTAGAGGCGATAATCGTCTGCACCACGACTGTGAACCAGCCAGTGTAACTTACCACGACCACAATCACCATTATGGGCATGACCAGGTACTCCATATCTGTTGTTAAGCGTTGTTTTCAGAGCATACAACCATTAAACCATGATTTAAGGTTAATTAGAGCAATCAAAGCACGTAAAATCAAGTGGAAACGAATGTCAAAGACAATGTTGGAACAACGAAGCATGAAACGATCTCACAAATCAGAACATAAAATAAAAATCTGGACCTCAAGGTAGGAAAATGATTTATTAGAACATTCAACACAATGATCCAAAAGCAGGAACTCCACCAACATGCAGTAATCAAGTAAACAAAATAAACAGTAATAACTAATTTACAACTCTAAAACCGTTCCCAGAAACAAATAATGGAATCCAAACAAACCCTTTAAGAAAATAGTAATCCAAATCTCAATCCTTTTGCGTCTTCCCATCTTCTCCACGGTAGCCTAGTTCAGTTTTCTTATTTCTTGCAGTGCTTCAACTTCAGAACCTCCACTTAGTAATAAAATAACAACAACAATAATTATAGAGAATCGATCAAAGTAGAACTCTAATGAATTGGGGAGTAAGGTGGGAGAGGAGGCCAGCTTCCAAACTTATGCTTGGGTGGCAGCTTGGGGAACGGAGGTAGCTTGGGGAGTGGTGGGCATGGCTTCTTCTTGTGGAAAGGCGGCAACTTTGGGAATGGCGGGAGAGCTACCGGCGGCTTGGGGATCGGCTTATAGATCGGGACTTTTGGGAACGGCGGCAGCGGCTTGTGGTAGATTGGCGGGTGCGGGGTCGGCTTATAGATCGGAACCTTGGGGAACGGCGGCAGCGGCTTGTGGTAAATTGGTGGATGCGGGGTCGGCTTATAGATCGGAACCTTAGGGAACGGCGGCAGCGGCTTGTGGTAGATTGGCGGATGCGGGGTCGGCTTATAGATCGGGACCTTGGGGATCGGCGGCAGCGGCTTGTGGTAAATCGGGGGATGGGGAGTCGGCTTGTAGATCGGCACCGGCGGCGGTAACTCCTTCGGGACCGATGGCGGCTTGACGATTGGGGCCTTTGGAGGGCACGGCTTAACCATTGGTGGCGGCTTCGGCTTGACAATGGGGGCCTTTGGTGGGCACGGCTTGACCACGACCGGAGGCTTGGGCTCCGGCTTCGGAACTGAGGGAGGCTTGACCACGACCGGCGGCTTGGGAGCCGGCTTGGGGATGGAAGGAGGCTTGACAATGACCGGCGGCTTGGGAGCCGGCTTGGGGATGGAAGGAGGCTTGACAACGACCGGCGGCTCTGGCACCGGCGTGACCACAGCCGGTGGTGGGAGAACCGCTGGTGGATGAGTATACTTGGGCGGGAAGGGAGGGAAGACTTTCGGAGGGAGAGGAGGGAAATGGAAAGAGTGGTGGAAGGATTTCAATGGAGGGAGGTGGAATTTAGGCAAGGGCGGGTGCTTGAAGTAAGGCCAAAAGAAAGCCGACGAGCAGACCTCCGGCGAGAATTTGAGCTTCCCGCCGGAGAGCTCGAACGCGTTCTTTTGTGAGTTGAACACGACCTTGGTCGAGTCCAGCCCGCCGTGGGCTGCACAGGGCACTGCGGCGGCAGGGTTGTGGAGCTGCGCGTAGCATTCTTGTTTAAGCTTCTTCCCATCTTGTGTCACAAGGTCACTAGGGAGAGACACTGTGAACTTGCCTTCCACGTCAAGTTTACCAACCCCCTTAGTTTTGAACTCACCATTTGGTGGCTTGCAGTCAATTGTCACTTCAAGCCCTGCACAACAACAAACATGGTATTTTTAGACACACTGCCATTTCTGGATGCAGAAAGGGACGCTCTAACCTGTATTATTAATTTACCTGAGAAGGCCTGACTGGGCTTGAGTGCAGACTTGGCGCAATCGACACATTCTCCAGCACCAACGACGAGGACCTGGGCTGTCTTCTGAGCATGGCAGAGAGTGGCAGAGAAGAGCAGAAGCAGGCACAAAGGTGCTGCCCCTCCTCGAGAAAGGGGAATCATTGTCTGTATTCTGGATTTGTTGCAGAGATGTGAGAGTTAGTTGAGATGGAGAAGCAGAAGGGTGTGGTGGTTATATAATGGCTGTGGCTGTGGCATGGCCGACACTGAATTAAGGGCCTCACATGAATGTTCAAAGTTTAACCTCTTATGTCCTTTGGGATTCATCTTCTAGTGTGGTGGTTTTCAGTTTTCACTTTGAGAGGGAAATGTCTCCACCACCACCGGCTTCGCTCCATAAATGCCCACCTCTTTATCTCAACTGTACCTCAGTAGAAGAAGAAGAAATCAGGATTTCACAGCATGAGAAAGATCTTGGTTATGGGCTGTGGATACCCTTTTGCAGGGGGCATACTTCTTTCTTCTGTGCTGTGCACATTAAAGCTCCTTCCTACCTTCAACCATATTCCTTCCCTTCGCATTTAATATCTATGGAGGTGGATGAAGACAGAAGCTTATGGTGGCCACAGACCTATTTTTGAATTTTCAAACAAGGGACTGGGCCTGAAAGTCGATAGTAAAAAACTTGCAGCTAGGCAAGAGAGTTGGTTTTGAAGTTGCAGTTCACAAATTTAGTTGTACAGATGGATTTTCGTCGAGCCGGTACGCTCAGAACAGAAGGGTACCATCAGGACCAATCACGTGCCTCCAGCGCGAACCACCCTGATCGCTTCTGTTTCAAGCGAACAATGGTTTGTTCGCTTCAAGAGTTCAGCGATCTACCTTATTGACTACTCTTTTCAGCGAACCGCTACCGAGTACACTTATCCAGTGTAAATAAACAGCTTCACGTGATGCAACAAAAAGAAAGTCCACGGGGTGGGGGGAGATATTTATTGCCATTGCCACTCTCCTAACTATCTATCTACCTGTCTATCTAATGAACCAGTATTCCAACTTTTCCCTTCTGCAGGGTAATGCTGCGATGTTGTGCACAATGATTCCTTCTGACAGAAAGTACTATGCTGGTTCGGCGCACAATGGTAAGCAGTTTCTCCACATTACCTTCTTCTGAAGCTTGCTTTTATTGGTCATTTTTAGCATCCTCGAAGTCAGCCTATCCACACCAGGGCAATGCTGATTTCTGCGTGAGAGTTTATAGTTCCAGTTCGGAAGAGCAGTGAACCCAGAAGAGGAGGATTAAAACCAGAACAGTCGTCGTTTTTTTCGTTGTGCAGTTAGCAAGGTAATTAAGTAAGAATGGAGTTTGGAAAGGTGAAGTGGGATATTATTGGCGTATTAAGGGGTTGTCGACCTTGAAAAACCACCACATGGGAAAGTAGTCTAAGAGATTTGATTACTTGCATGCTGTATGTTTCGTTGTCAGCAAAACAAAGGGGCGATGTAGATGTGGGTGTTGGTTAGGGATCAGCAGAGCAGAGCAGAGGCAGAGGATCATTTATGGTCAGTCCACAAAAACTGGTGGGATAATTTGGTATGCCATCGTTATCCATGTCATTACTCGTTCTCTTCATCATGAATTTTGGAGAAGATAGATCCCAAAGAATGCTTTTTCATAAACAAGATCTGTAACGTGGTTCGAGTGCCGCTCATGACGTCTGTTTTAGTGTTTTGTTACATGATTCGAGTTGATCAGAGCCTCTTTTAGATGTGCAAATAGTAGTGTATTTTAACGTTTGTTTCGTTTCGTTTCTCTAATGATGTATGAACTCGACTCAATTAGCACCTCCTTTTGATGTCGTTATTTTGTATATGGTAGCATGAAAACTATTAGGTGCAACATGATTGAACTGACAGTGAGGCGACTATTATCACGATTAGACGAAAGAAGACTCTTGTGCGTTAGAAGCAATGAATAGACCTTCCTCGAGAAAGGGAAAGCGTTGACCGAATTCTAGGCTTTCGGAATCCACAGATAGATCCATATAAGCAAACATCGAAAACCTAGACAAGCTGCTACATTCTGATATTGGCATTGGGCAACAACGAAGAAGATGAAGCAATTTCGAAACAAGAAAATTCTTTTCAAACTTTCAGTAAAATTTATAACCAGCCTACCTCAAAAGCACAGTTAGTTCTCTTCAAGGACTCACTCTGCTATCAAAATTGTCCAGAAAAAACAGTAAAGTAGGAAAAAGAAAAAAAAAAGAGTTCATCCTTAAACTCCATTTTCCCCGCACCCTCCACATGCTACAACAGCTAGGCAAGTTCTATACTGGCCTAAGTTTCACAACTAGTTCGTGCAACTCGTGGGTTCTCTTCTCTCCAGAGGCATCTTCAAATGCTAAACTTTAAGTTACGAGAGTCGGCATGTTACTACACTCCCTAGTCCCTCCTGTGTTTCAACTGAACCCGACGCCTATTTCTTCTTCTTTTGTTTGTTGGACTGGGTGTAGGCAGTGCCCTGAGCGTGAACAGATTGGGAAAGAAAGCAAAATTGTCAACAACAGGCAAGTCATGGCCACATCTAAACTTTAAATAGCTACTATATATCAAGATCAAGATGGTCAAGAAAACCAGTTACCTGAAGCCACTCGTCCATTGAAGCATCTCTAGTCCCAGTACCAACTTCCACCTTTGGGGCCCTCTTAGTTTTCTAGAAGGGAAAAGCAGCATCGAAGCAAAATTCAAAATCAGTTCTCCCAAATGTATAGAAGTATAAAAACACCAACAGAGTCACAACGATAAGAAAATGACTTGCATCTAAATTCTCAGAACAGTTAACTTTCTACACCTTCACAAATTCGAAATCAATTAATTGGATCCATTGACCATCTAAGGCATCTACTTGGTTAGGTATAATATATTATCAATGATCCCCAAGCAAGGATTTAGATCAGCCTTATTAACATTCATGTTTGATCATCATATCAAAGTGCACCAGTTAGCAAGTCAGCACATCAGCCTTACTGAGAAGGTAAATTAGATTACTAATAGGATAAGCTTTCAAATGATTAGACATAACTTGGAGAGGAAATGCAAATGACAACATGAGAAATTTGTACCTTAGAGAGGTTCTGTATTTGACCATGAACCCATAGACCAAAGAGGACGAGGAGTGCACTTCCAAGAGAGATGAGGAACACCGACTCCATGCTGAGGAAACCACCAGATTCAACAACTTCGACGGTGCCATTGTAAAAGGTGCTCTGGTAAGGCTGCTGATCTATTTCATAAATGATAGTGCCAACAAGATCAAAGGTACCAGCCTGCATACATAGATTAACGATGTAAAAATCAAATCCCAAACAATGATTTCACACAGCCATTAGGATCGTAGATAAAAATGAAATACTGGTCACTTCGGAACGTGGAATCGGCGACCAAAGCACTAGCAAGATAATGCATTCACCTGGAGAAACTTGCTCACTGCGAAAATATATGGGAAGGTAGCCTGTCCTGCAGCCGGAACAGTTGCATTGGTGAAGGCCTAAATATAGCACCAGACAAAGTGTTCAGATTAGTCAAGCCTAATCAATGCTGCATAAGAAAATGCGTACCATTCAAGAAAGCACATGATAAATATCCAACATCGTTGCCCTAAAACAACCATATATACTAAACGCTATTCCATAAACAGAAACCAAAAGGTCAGATGTGTACGAAACAGGACTACTATGGGAAACAATCTAGTTATGCTCCCTCCAGTACAACATGGAGCCATCTAGTTTCCAAATTCAAGGAGATGCGCCTATTCCCCCCAACAAGCATTTAATCTACCCTATAGCTATAACTAGCCATCATCTTCATTTTGATTTACCAAAATTCCTTTGACACCCAGACAATAACTTAGAGAGATCGTAAGGTAAACCAATGCAACTATATATCTTAGATGAAATCAAGCATAACTGAGTGATAATATTGCATCCAATACAAGACAGCCACCAAAAACTAATAATAAATAGAAGACACCAAATAATGCTTCCTACACTTCTTTGGATAGGATCCACTTAAAACATGATAGCTAGATGACAAAACTTGACCAGACCAATTCCCAATTAAACCAAAACTTCTATAATTACCTGGGCAGTGAGATTCTGAACAAGAAGATTGTGATCAAATGGAAGGTGAACACTGGCCTTGATTGCAATGACGTTAATGTCAGATTCTCCTGCATTTCAATGTCGAGAAACAATGAGAAGAAGGGCTAAAACCTTGAATATGTACGTGCATGCAGTTATCCAGATCCACAACCCTGCAAATGGGCGTATACTAAGCAATGCAACCCCAAGGCTCAACAGAAAGTAAGGCAGCAAACTCTATACCATCATTTTTCACTCCAACGAGAAGCTCAGACTCCAGTCCAGCAGGTATAACTGTTGAAACAAAGAAATCCAAAACACAGGAAAGTTCAAAAGAACACCTCAAAAATGCGGGAAATGGAATAAAAACTCTAAATAACATAAATGCACAGGAAGCGTCACGCAAAAAGGAGACAATGTGAATTCTCCTTACTTTTAGCACTGTTTTTGGGGAAAACACAAACAGTCTCAACCCCGGGTGCTGGATTAAAACTCTCATCACCAAAATCTTGGGCATCAGCTTCAGAACCAACGATCCCGAGATCAGTAGTTTCCTCAGTAGACTGAACTGATTCAGCTGCGTCCACTCCTTCAGCCTCCGTATCAGACCTAGCCACTACAATACACGAGAGGAAAAGAAATCAATAGCGAAAACCAGACCATCAGATGTTGCAAAATCAGGCAACGACCATGATCAAGGGGCGCCTGTATACATTCATTCAACTCCGAAAATGAAAAAAAGCGCAAGCCACGCAAGCTGGAAATCCAGAAAAAATTGCTGCTAAAACCAGCTTGCTCACTGGAGCAATCAGAATTCGACAAGTACCCAATACTCAAAGTTCGCAATACAATAACTCGAAGCAAGAACTGATACGAAAAAACCACACAGTACAGATGAATCCGATCACCCAAACAAAAGTCCAATAGATTCCAAAACAAATCCAAAACCCTCGAGCTAAGCAAATAAGGAAAGCAATCGGAAATCAGATCTCAATTACACAGATCAAACGCGATTCGATTGACCAGAAATAGAGAGTCTCTAGTTCGATACATTCAAGGAGTTCACAAGCAGGGGAGGGGATCCAGATCTAGAACTGTCGAGTGAGCGAGAGAGGGGAAGGCGCAAACCTTTGAGGAGGGGAGAGGCGAGGAGTAGGATAGCCAGGAAGAAAACCCTAAAACTCTTCATGGTGGAATTAGCAGATTCAGAATTCTGATTGAGGAAGACGAAGATTAGTGAGAAAGAGAGAGAGGTTGGGGGTTTTGTTTTGGTCGTCGGACTCTCTCTTCTCTCCGAATTTCTGCTTGCGGCTAACCCAAATAAGACAACCAAGAAGAAGTGACGTAGCTGGGAGCTAGCTGACCAATCAAACTTCCTCAATCTAATCCCACGCTCCAGCACGGCGAGGAGTGATTTTCTATTTCAGTTTACTCTTTTTTTGTTCTCATTTCCCACTTTCAGCCACCTTACGTCGTCGTTTAGATGGTATCATTTGGGTGCGACTTTGACCTCATCCAATATACCACCATAATCACTAGAATTAGAATAACAAGTAGTCGTGACTCGTGAGGTATACTGTTTAGACGATGTGCATCACCTATTGTCATGGCTCCATTATCATCCCATTCCACCTTGACCTTATCGTTGGTTCGGATTTCTTTCGAAACGGATTTCTTTCGAATCAACTTCAGTCGTAAGCCCCGAGTTCGACAAATCTCTCATTCATCTCAGCTTCACGCTTCAATGTCCCCTTCATCTCAACTTCAAACTTCGCTATCATCTCCTCCTAGTCCGTCATGACCACAATACTAACAAAACTCGACCTAATCGTCACCTATAACATTTTAGGAATTCGTTATATAAGCACCCAACCAGCAACAACCAACTTCTCTAAGAACCATACATCCTAGGGCACGCACCACTACCTAATGGCGTGCCATCTTCCATCAAAGCGTCATCTCGTGCGAACACGCATCGATCAATACCTAGTTGCACCGTGCTTGCAAAGAGTTAATAGCACAAATAGTTGGCAACCATAATTAAAACAGTAATACTCTGCCAAAGGGATTCTCAGAGCATGCAAAAGAAATTCACAGTCCAACACCAACCAGGAAAATTACACTCTCTAGTTTCACATTCCAATCTCACAGGACACAAGTGCTTGTGCTGCTAAGACATAAGTTACTCGGTAATATGAAAAAAAAACATAGTTCTGTTTGCAACTAAGGTGCAGCCCAAATAGTAGATATAGCTCTGCTTCCCATTTTAATAGTTGCAACCTCCCATCCTACTGATACCCAGCAAGTCTACATCAGTTTCAGTCACCATGGATTGTGTAACGCTCCCACTTCCTTGCAGGATCGTATATCTGCCACAGAAAAACAAACTCAACGCTGAGAAACAATCCGGCTGTTTTATTTGTGCGGTAAACGATTACTTCAATCATTACTTCCACACAGCACAAAATTAAGAAAGGGATAGAAGATGCACACCTCCCATCTTGATGCAGGGAATATGTGCTTGTTCTTCTCATACCAATGCCTCTCGACGACTTTACCAGCATGGGACTGTTAGAAAACACAAAAATGGTGTCGCTTGTTTGAGTGGGAATTGTATCGGGATACAGAAATCACAAAGCCAATATCCATGTAGGACAGTAAAGAGCATACCTCATCCTTCTCTATGGTTGCATCAGCAATTGTACGCACATCCTCGTGCACATCAAAGTGGAAAAGCTGCAAGAAGAAATTACAAGTGAGAAGTTGGCATCTGGTGTATCAAACAGAGATAGCAATGAGGAAAGTAGATGACAATATTATGTCAAGCCATGCAATCAGAATGCAGAGTTGTAGTCAAGAGTCAAGACGAAGAACGACTAGATTCAAAGAGTGATACCATAAAAAGGTATCCAGTAAGCAATAAAGGATCTCATTTTGAACCAAAATCATATACTTTGGCATTAACGTCAATATTACCAGTACACCGTTACCAACTTCAACTAGCATCGATATTTTGTCTTATAAGGTTGAATAGGCACCAAATATTATCCCTTCAAAGGGGGGAAATTAAAGAGAGCTAGTTTTCCTACAGGACAAAGGAAGTCCTTAACTTCACTTGAAGCGACTCTACTTAAACACACCTAAGAATTACCAGTAAAACATGAGATAACTTAGAAAAGCATTCCGGCACCAAAAGTAATATTCCGCTACATTATGCCAATTAAGGGAACTTGACAAGATAAACATGGCTAAAACATGCACCAAGTTCAAGGACCCATCTAGGTAACTTAACAAAATAAACAATACAGAAGAACATGCACCAAGTTTAAGGATCTAGAATGTTACCGGTCCACTTTTTCCTCTAGCTTTGTTGACTATGAGCTCATAGAAGCTGTGTTGCTGTAATGTTACAAGTATGCAAAGACAAAACATCAGATAATCTGTATTACGACAAGAAAGAATGAAGCATAAATCAGAATATCTTTAGCAACTTACATGAGGAATGATAAGATCCTCTTTCACATAGAGCAAGTTCTCAACAGAAGTTGTTCTGATTTCTCTAAACTCGGGTGCTAGTTGCTGTTGAACGGACCGCAGAAACTCCCCGATGCTGTCACCCTTTCGACACTGCAGGGTGGAAAAAAGTAAGTAAAATCAAGAACTACTAAGGTACACTAAAGATTAAAACATGTTATCTAAAATACTGTTGAATTTAGGCTGTCTAGTAATTAACCTGGATTGCCCTGCGATGGCCTGTTCCATCCCAGTAACTGTAAGTAATTTGAAGGGCCTCATCTGAAACATCAGAATTCATAAATTCATCACCAGAATTCATAAGATCTCACAGTTTATCAGAAAAAGAATGAGGAGAGACCACAATGTGTTCCAACATAAATATGATAGAATTATTGATCATACTTTTAATCTGCTCCTGCTCGCGAACCCATTGTTTCCGCAACACTTCACGTTCAGCTTGCTCCTCAGCCTCCCTCTCACTGTATCAGCATCCTCAACCCCCCTAAGTGTATGGTTAGTCCCAAGTCCATCCACAACTAAGCATGGTTCCAAAAACCAGAAGGAAAGACACCATACCTGTCAGGCAAAAAGCTTGTTTCTACAGTGGGATCTTTGCCAAATTTCCCACGAGCCAACTTATTTGGAACAGGTTCTTCTGCTGACAAGACAATAGGCAAGCCAACGTTCAAATGGCAATAGAACAAATTCACTCTTTCTATCACATCCATCAATTTTGAAAACTCAGTTCTGATGTAATGCATCTCAAACATACCATCAAATAGAACTACAAATCGGCACACAGGATTTTATACTCAAAGCTTAAAAATTCCTCAAATAAATCCCAGCATCAAGGGGAATAACAAGTCACAGTCACATTGCCACAAGGAAATGAAAGAATTCAAAGCAACCACAGTACATAATTCAAAATCAAACCTTAAAACAGTTTTTAATCAAGGAGTCAAAGTTAAAGCATGATCATTTACCGATTCCACCATCTTCATCTTCCGCCCCATCCTCAAAATCATCAGAAAATGAAAGCTTTGAATTCCCTTTAATCTTCCTCTTTTTGCGCTTGGCTAGCTGTGCTTCCTCCTCCCTGGAAACACAACACATAAAGGAATCAACTTTGAATCCAACGATAAACAGCCCACATGAGGCAGAGAAAACTGCATAACGCAAGAAACAAACTCACTCTTGCCGCAGCTTCTGAAGCTTCTCCTTCTCTTCTTCTTCAATCTTATTCTGTATAGTAACTCTCTGAAATCCACCCCACAATGTCAATTGATTCCCATTCGAAAATATAAAAGAGCGGCAACCAAAACAACAAAGCACAAAAATTCATTACCTTCTCGACATACTGCTCCCTTGTAACTAACCCCACAGTTTCTTTCTTAAACGCAGTCTCGAGAATCTAGACGAAAGCAAAACAATTAAGCACGATGTAAGAAACCCTAGGCGAGAATCATCAGGAATTGGATGGAGCTGAAACGTGGAGGAATGAAGAGATAGACCTCCGATGTACTTGACCCGAACTGGAGAAGTCCAGGCCCGCCTTTGTCCGACTTCGTCTTCATCTCTTCGATTTTCTTGCGCTCAGCTTCTCGCTGCTTCTCCAGCCGACGGATTCTCACGGCGTCTTGCGCCGTGCCCACGTACCCGTCTCCCATACCCGCCATTTTCCGTTCACCGCTTTTCGATCCCGCTCCCTATAGGTCTTGTCTCTCACCTTCGGTAGGAACCCAAATCCCTAGTTACCGGCGGCGAAGAAAGAGCCTCGCTTTCTTTCTGTAGGAAGACACAAACAAAGAAAGAACCTCGGCTTTCTCTCAACGTCGGTTCGCGGTTTGACGGATGGAGCTTCTGTAAATGGGCTCCGATCGACTGAAGCCCACATTTTCCGGCCTTCTTCACACCCCTTCCCTATTTGGGCCGAATCCGCTTCCAATGCAAGCTCTGGCCCTGAATTTTTTTTTATTTTTTTATTATTATTTCAATTATTTTCAATGGATGGAATTGGTTGCAAAATTCAGAGATTTCAGATAGGAATGTAATCTGGGAAGAACAGATTTCTACCATGACATCATCTTCTCTAACGATCTCGTGAATTTGTTGAGAAAAGCACAGCAAGCAACCTAAAAAGATCGGAAATTTATTTCTAACCAGAAACCCGTGGAAGGTTTTATCATTATTATGTGTTGCACTGTGCAAAACAAGGAAAAGGAATATAAGGACGGAAACTACGATAACCTTTGAAGTTATTTTCTGAGGTCTTACACTGTCACAGTGAGTGAATATTAATCATTCGACAATAAGCCGAGAAGTTGTACTTGTGGGGAGCCCATTAGCCAAACTTGAACCAGATACAAAAAATCTCCAAGCTTTCTTTTCTCATCACCCATGGCGATGCTCTCGACTTCACTCTCAGCCGCCGGCTCCAAATCCGCCGCCACCCTTTACTCCCCACCTAACTTCTCTGGTCTCCGCCGATCATCCTGCCCCAAGCTCGAAAACCCTTCTTCCAACTCTCTCCACCTATTCGATTCTCAGCTCCGATTACCTTCGCTCTCAGCTCGTAGGCCTTGCAGAGCCGTCGTTGCCATGGCAGGAACCGGAAAGGTTGTTCCTTTTTGGCCTTTCTAGATCTTGTTTCACTGCCGTTGTTCTTACTCTCATGAATTTTTTTGTGTATTGTGCGCTTTAACATCTGGGCCATTCATTAATTTGTTTTGTTTTCCTTCTTTCTGTGTTTGCAGTTCTTTGTTGGTGGAAACTGGAAGTGTGTAAGTTGTTCAATTCTGTTTTAGGCTTCTGGGTTTTCGTTGCTGCAGCTATTGATTATATTGGCATGATACTTGTGCTGTAATTTTGAAGGAAGAAGATTGATTGAGGATTTGATGTATGATAACAGAATGTGGCTCTTAAGTAATTTGAAGAGAGTAGAAGGAGAACTATTTGGTTCCTTATTTCCCCTGCTTGTTCTTGTATCCTACTTATTCTCATATACCAGAAAGGGCATAGGGACTGGATGAGAAACTTAAAAGGTTAGGCTTGCCGATAGTAATGGTACAAACTCGATGGTAGTTGTTAAATTGTTGGGCAATGCTGGCTGTCTAACTTTTGGTAGTATTGCTATGCGTTCTTCACTTTAGCCTATGAGTAGGTCCGTCCTACAAGGTTCGTTCTTTTGGAAGTTGGATGGTGGGATTTGTTGTTTTACCTGGTTAGGGGATTTTCGTTTTGGTTAGGTGTTATCTGCTGCCATTTTCCCTCCATTTTTTTTCTTGATTCACCTTTCTTAATCTTTTTTCTGTTTACATAGAATGGAACAAAAGAGTCCATCACTAAGCTGGTCTCGGACTTGAATGATGCAAAATTGGAGTCTGATGTTGGTAAGAGAATTTCTATATCTTTAAAGTTTGATGATCGTTATTAATATTGAAATATTAGGTGTGGCTGCAGTTACTGGCTGTAGGCTTTGCCTGCTAAATTGACTTCTCTTCTTGATGACTGCAACATGCCTGCCAAGTTATTCATATTTCATGTCTTCCCCTTGTTCTTTGTGCAGATGTTGTTGTGGCACCTCCATTCGTTTACATCGACCAAGTGAAGTCTTCACTGACAGATAGAATTGAAATATCTGCTCAGAACTCTTGGGTCAGTAAAGGTGGAGCTTTCACTGGAGAAATCAGGTGAGTGACGTCTATTATTCCAAGTTAGTACTATCTAGTCTTTACAATTCATATTTCCACACTCATATGTGCTCTGTTTTTTCTAATGTGTCTTCAAGTTTTGTTGGGCATTCCGGAAAAGGAATTGAGATATCTTGGCTAAATGGTGGTACATGGTATAGTTGATTATGTTAAGTAGAACAAGCATCTGTCCGCCAACGATCTCTATTTAACAGGGTTTTGGGTTCCGACTTTAAGATGAAGAATCTTCAATCAATTTTCAAAGTAGAAAGTATTTGCTTTGGTTCTCCCACTGGACCCTGGACCTACTATGTTCACAAAATATACATAAGCCACTTTCACTTCAATTTACAGATCAATTTAACACAGGCCAGATACTTAAGTATCTTACTGAATTATTTTGCTCATGATGTTATCATTGACGGCATACTTTGATGTTGTAAGGCTACCAGAAAACTGCTAAATGGTAATATTTCACAACCTCTTTTACAGTGTGGAGCAATTGAAAGACATCGGGGCGAAGTGGGTTATTCTTGGGCATTCTGAGAGGAGACATGTCATTGGTGAAGACGATCAGGTGAGAGCTTAAACAACTTTCACTCCTATTGTTATTAACTAGATGGATGCCACTTGGGACTCGAGTATCATGTTTTGTTAAAATTTCAGTTTATAGGGAAGAAAGCTGCTTATGCATTGAATGAGGGCCTAGGGGTGATTGCTTGTATCGGCGAACTATTGGAAGATAGAGAAGCTGGGAAAACTTTTGATGTTTGTTTCACTCAGTTGAAAGCATATGCAGGTTATTATTATGGTTGATGATGTCTATTGCTGTTATCTTCCTACATGATGATGCACAGCTAATAACACATGTTCATGTTTTTGCTCTACAGATGCTGTACCTAGCTGGGACAATATAGTTATAGCATATGAGCCAGTCTGGGCTATTGGAACTGGCAAAGTGGCTTCACCACAACAGGCTCAAGAAGTGCATGCTGCTCTCCGAGATTGGCTTAAAAAGAACGTCTCGGATGAAGTAGCTTCCAAAACCCGTATTATTTATGGAGGTGAAAGCATTTTACATATCCCACTTGCAATGCCTCACTTATGGATTTTCGAGAACATCACTTCGGGTCTGGATGTCTGATCTTCTTATGGGCGATCTCTGTTGTTCAGGATCTGTAAATGGGGGTAATTGTGCCGAGCTTGCAAAAGAAGAAGATATTGATGGTTTCCTTGTTGGTGGGGCATCCTTGAAGGTATGCCTACTTCTTCCAACCCGAAACACTCTTCATCAAATAAACCTAAGTATGCTTTCTTCATTCAGTTAGATTTTGATTGTTTTGAATGCAAATGGTCTTTCAGGGACCCGAGTTTGCCACAATCGTGAACGCCGTGACATCCAAGAAAGTTGCAGCATGATGTTTCACCTTATTTTTTGTTCAACCAATAAGGGAAGGGACAAGAGAGGCTATTACCTTCACCTAGGAGCTTACTGTAATCACATGGAGTTCTGCCATGCCATCCCCTTTTCGTTTTTCTTCGTTATTCTCGTTTCTCAGGCACATTCATTTCGCCTCGCCCTTCACTTAACTTCATTTGATTACAAGGTCAGCTGGTTTTGCATAAAATATACTAGAGAAGGAAAGGCCACTCCTACATTTACCCCGAGTCTTGTTGTAACTTCAATCTTTGAGCTGTAACATTATTATTAGTGCGAGCTATGGTTAGGCAACGTGCATGTTGTCTCAAGAGGAGCCGCTTGAGGTTTGATGCATAAGCTTTCTTCTCTCTTGGTGCTCAAGTATATCCCTACTGAATGCTGTTTGGTTAAGTTTTCATCTACTGGCTTGCTGCATCGTTTGCACTAGTCAGTAATTCCCCGCTTTCTCTCATTGGCGGAGTTCGTGAAAGGTGTTGCTTAACAACGTTGCGTTGTGGATGCCTGCTCCATCACTTTCGTCGTTGCTGACGAATGTCGGAGAGCATCTCATTTAGATCGGGATGTTAAGCATCGATGAATTTTATCTGTTGTTCGATTCTTGATGTGCAGTTTAGCTACTTACAAGTACCGGTCGGGGTAAACGTGCTTACCGTCACATTTACCGAGTAGTTTTGCTACTTGTTGTTGGAAAATTAAGAAGGTAAAAAACATGAGAAGGACAACAAGAGTGGAGGCTGGACTTGCCTGCTTGAGCACTCAACTCAATTTGGTATTTTCTTTGGCAAGGGGTGAAGATGATAAGTCATAAGAGTTGAATACTTGACATTTTTAGTGGGTGCAAATAGGGATGGCAATTTTGCCCATACCCATGGGTATTTTACTATCCAACCCAATTGGGTTGGGTATGAAATCCAAATATATGGATATGGGTAAAGTTTGATGGGTTTGTACCCATACCCATTTACTTTGGGTTGGATTTGGGTTTGTACCCATGCCCAAACACAAATTACAGTTTGGTACCTAAACTTAATAGATATGCATATTTAGTACCTAAATTTAATTTTTTTTACATATAAGTCCTCAAAATATCGATGGAAAATTACGTTTTGGTACCTAAAATTTTTTGGTCTTACATTTTGGTACCTAAACTTTTCAATTTTTACAAATAGGTCCAATTTTTGCATGTGTAGTTAAAACACTCTCAAGTAAATGGATATCCATATCCAACCCATACCCATTTAGATAATATCCATATCTAACCCAAACCCATACACACATCACCCAAACCCTACCCATAATAAATGGGTCTACTTGGGTTTGGGCAAAATTACCCATGGGTGGGTAAATTGCCATCCCTAGGTGCAAATGCAACTACGTAACTAGTAGCTCTATTTGGTTAATGCAATGTCACTTTCTTCATTGAGTGTGCTTCGTTGGATATTGTATAATCGTATTATGATTTTGGAATCTTGGTTGGTTTTGAATGAAAAAATGGTGTACAAGTTAAAAACTGAAATTAGCATTGTATTTTTATTTTGTTTTGGTAAAAAAAAAACTGAATTCTGTTTGGTTCTGGATGAAATTTTGAAGGTTTGCTTGCACAAGTGGATAACTTACCACCAATGGAAATTTGACAAAGAGATCTTACCAATCAGTACACAAAATGAATTCATAATGATTATAAAATTTGACAATGCAGATACTGAAGCACATAATGAAGCAAATTTGACTAAGAGATCTTACCAAGTTTGTAAAGCAAGAATCGTAAAACCGTACCAAAGGTTGTACGGGAAAAGTCAGTTGTAGGTGTGTCCAGAGATCCATCACGAGAAAAACTGATAAATTAGGTATAATAGTTCATTGAGAGTGAAAATGTTACAAGACACAGAATTGAAGAATTCTTGTCTCGTAACTTTCTTGCGAGCAAACTACTAAACTACGATAAAACCAAAAACAATAAACTATATTTGGATTACAATCTTCTTCGTATCATTAAATGAATGAGACATTACATACTTATAGGCACAGAATCCTCTTCTTCTTCCTTATGGTTTCGGCCCACTCTTCCCTATTCCTACCCATGAAATGTAACATTCTCCTACAAGGACACCACAATCAAATCCTAAACATATACCAAAAGACAATACCAATCCTACTAAGATTAGAAAATAATAACAGTAATATCCCTAAACACTTAATAATTAATAAACTACTAAAATAGACGAGCTCAGAATATGCCCGGATTATTATGATAGCTCGTCTCGTAACAGAAAATTAGGGCGTCTAATTGATATTGGTTGACCAAGATTTTTTTTTCGAATCTTGGCGACCCCATTTGTCTAAGCACATGATATTCGAATTTGTTCAACATTGATGGCTATATAAGTTGGTTTTCGTTTGAGTTGGCTTGCTAGTAAATGATATAAGATAATTATTGAACCTGGCCCAAAAATTTGCGTTTTTTATACTAAACAATTTTTTAAAAAGCCCACAATTTAAAAGTGAACGGCTAACTGAATCATGAATAATTATTTGGTACACATACAATTATTCGACGTTCGCTTAATCACTTCCTTCTTTTTCAAATTCAGATCATCAATCTTTCGAAAGGTAACAACTCATTATTCGACGTGTACAAAAATTCGGTTTGATTGACATCGACTATATATATATACACACACGTATCAAACGAAGTAAAGGAAGAAAATATTTTACTTTCAATTTATGTTTGAACTCTTGGTGTGAGAGGGTTGAATCATAATTCATACAAGCAAGAATGCTAAATAAACTGTTGTTAGATTTGCTCATGAATTCATCCGCATTAATTTTCAACTAACATTAACGATGATAAATAAAGTACATTCACAAAGGTAAAAATCATACACTTAATATTAATATCCACATATTACGCCAGAAAGCCAGGGGACAAAAAACCCTCTATCCATTACTAATTTACAACGAAGAAAACCATAGATCTATCCTATAACCCCACATATAAATAAGACCCAGATTCCTATCCTTAATCACTCTAATCACCTCTATAATAATAATAATAATTAACTAATTAAGCAAACCAGTAATTTAAAATATAATTAGAACCAGCTGTCAAGGAAAGCAGACTGGAACTGCAACAACACCAGCAGCAACACAATCAGCGCCGCGACCCCCCACGGCGAGCTCCCTTCCGCCGGAGCCTGGTAGTGGGTCCGCCGCCGGCGATCCCACGGCGACGACATCCCGAAAAAAACCATGTCGCAGGACTCCATCGACGACAGCCACCGGACGAGGAAGATCAGGAGCACCGGCAGGACGAAGAGGCCCAGGCCCATCGACGATTCCGTCGACTCCACGAGCTCCTCGTAGCTGAAGTACCAGGAGCCGCCGAGGAAAATGGCGATTACGGCGAGGATTAGGAGGACCGGGTAAGGCAGCGGGTTGAGGGTGAAGTTGTCGAAGATCGAGTCGCCTCTTCTTCTGTAGTACTGCATGATGTTGATTTCGATTTGGGCTGGGTCAGAGAGAGAGAGAGAGGAGTGTGAGGATTTTTTTCTTCTTTCTTTCTTCCCCTTTCTGGGATTTCTGGTTTGGTGTTTGGTTGCTGAGAAAATTTTCCGGAGAGAGTGGGAGTGGTTATAAAGGGGGAAAGCAAAAGGTGTGTAATTTACTAAAAAAATTTCTTCTTTCTTTAACTAGTGGGTACTCGACTTTATCGTTTTCTTTTGTTTTGGTTCCTGAACTTTTTTTTTTAACGTGTTTTGGTTGATTCATTGGATTTGGATGTATTCGAGATCCGGGTTTCGTTAAGTTGGTCGAGTGATTGACCTTCGGAGATTGACACTGCGAATGGCGAACTTAAATTATTGGACGAGATATAGACGAGTTTATTGTGTGTCTTAACTAACATTGATATGACTGTCAAGATGGAAGCATCTGTCGTTGATATCTGTATCTGTAGGCGGTTGTTTATCTCTCCATGGCAGTTTTTAGGTGACAGGAGTAAGAGACATAATCATTCGCTGATGGTGTCAAATCATATGCTTGAGAGATGTTAAATGTCCAAGTTAAACCGGAAAAAAAAAACTATGTCATAAGCATATATGTGTATTTGAGAATGTGAGTGTGCGTATTCAAAGAGAGAATCATCAGGAAAAAAAAATGATTTCTTCATTGAAATCTTTCACCCCCTTATTTTCTTTCGACTATATAAAGTATATTCTTCTACGTAGAATCCAAGCCTGTTGTTAACCGTTCAAATATTTTAGCTTACAATATAACTATAACGAGATCGATAATGTTGCTCCGACTCCAAAGCAATATGTAGTTAGCCAAGTGTTGATTTCGTTAAGTGAGACCCCAAGGAAATCAACGTGGTCAAGTTATTGAGAAACAAAAGTAGAGTAGAAACGACTGAATTGACCCCTAAAAAGAAATATCCCATGGCCAAAAATGAGAACGACGTGAAATTCAGTGACCTTGCCAAAAATTTCACTCTACAGCTGGGTGATTGGGAGAGCCATTAACTTTCTTTTATTTTTAATTTTTCATGTTTTCTTCATTCGATAAAACTCCTAATTGGCCAAATGTCAAGCGTTGATTGGTTTAGGTTCAATGCGAAGACAAAGAAATAGGCATTCATGTCTTAATCAGTCACACTGCTCCCCACACCAGATTTATGGTATGTTCACCCATAAAGCAGATACACACCTGTCCAGAGAGCCGACACGATTTAATTTTTTTTTTGTCAAACTGTAATTATTATAATAACATTTTTAAGCATTAATTAGGTCAAGGATTCAATAATTGGATCTGTGCGAGGATTAAAATAATAAAAAGACGGTTGAAATTAACTATAAAAAAAAAGTGAAGCTTTATTTTCTTTTTCTTTATTAACATGGGTTAGTGGTGCTACTGGGCCTGGACGGTGGGTTGGGGGCCCCACCGGAAGCCCATTTCCCAAGTTTTTTAAGGTGGAAATTGAATACCGAAGAAAGTTCAGTTTCCCCGTTTACATGAGTGAATCCACTTCGAACAACTGGTGCCTGTTTGAATTTTGCCCCCAAGCAAACCTTCTTTGTCGACTAAAAGGACAAAGAAAATGTTCAGAGATCAGATCAGATCAGATCCCCCCCACTTTTTGACTTTGGAGAGCCACATTTCAATCACGATATGGTGGTGCTGATGAGTAAAGCGTGTCCGTTCATCTCGCTGGATCGATTCGCCGCGTGATCACATCTATCGTATACGCATACAAAATAACTCGTGAAAATGTTACGTAATGCGCAATATTGCAATAGAGTTCGTGCATCTGCGTTTGATCAAACCGTGCGAGCATAGAATAACGCGTGCCCCCCAGTAGGTACATGCTCACGCATTCATAATCATATGATCAAGAATTGGACGGTTAAGGATGCGTATATATTGGCATTTTCTAAGAAGATTGCTAAAAGAAATAACAAATTTACATCTACACAAACGAAACGACTAAAGTAATGTGAATTATATCTTTGGGGATGAGATTGTTGGCTAAGATGGTTAGAGTTCACTTCTAGGTAAAAATGATGATGCCTGTTGGGACTTCGATAGCATGTTTGGATGGTTCTCAATGGTTTTGTTTGTTTATTGATTATCTTGCTTTGTCGAAGATTAATGATTTATGAGTCATTGCTTTCACTATTTTGTGTAATTTATATCTTACGTGGCAATCAAGTTTGCATCTCGGCATAACATGGAGCCTCTCAATGAATTTGATTGTGGAAACAAGCGATAAAATTATACTCTAGTAATGAAGGGTGAAAAAACAATGAGAAGTAATGTTTAAGTAGTGCTTTTCTAGATAATGAAGCATGCTAACTCATCGATGAGATGCATCTATGCATAATCTATTATGTTGCCATATCCCTTCCTCCAAGGTCACTCTCTACTCGTGCATGTGCCTCTTGCGATATAGATTTGACTAGCTAATGCATGCTTTCATTTCATGTCATCACCTAATCAATGAAGAACAAGGAAGTTAGGATAGCACATTATTAAGTGTGGGCCTCTACGAGCCATAACAATGGCCTATGATATTGGGATCTTTAAGAATCTAGCATTATCATCATTCGAACACTAGAAGGTTGTACTTCCCCTCTAATGCATGCCTAATGATGATGCCTACTACAGGAGCAATTCTCCTCTCTACAAATTGCTACTCGTGCCTCTAGAGCAGAGTGTTGGAAAAAATGTGTTGTGTTCATAAGCTCTAGAATAACCTCATGTTTATTCTAGTTACATAGGGGGGTTTCTAGTCTTTTTCCTCCTAAAGTTGGTCAAATCCTTCCTTGCACGACTCAAACTCGAATTTCTTCGACTTAGAGACAAAGTAGCTTCTGATTTTCCACTTGGGATGGGTTGGATCCAGGAATGGAGTGTTGGGGGGGGGGGGGGGGATTTAGTGTATGACAAAAAAAAATCAAATACAATCACTAAAAAAGTGCATAATTTTGATCTGTCACATACAAAATTGAATTTTCAACTTCGAAAATATTGTTTTTAAATTTTAATTGAAAACCTAAATTCCAATATACGTGAATAATTTGAATACTCTTAATCTAAGTAAATAACAAAGGCACATAATGATAGCAACCCAACTTCCACTATAATGTTATAATGTGATTATTTCTACTCTCTGACTGATTATACGTTGTAAATGAAGGAGAAGATGAGATTTGATAAATTAGAGTTGAGATCTAGATCTCGTTAAAGAATTGAAACAGTGGTCGAATGGACTGCTAACACGACTTAAAAAGTTGATTGAATCCCCGATCTGATCCCCATGAACCACAATTTGAACCAAATAAAGACATCAAAACATCAGTTGACGGAGAGCGGGCTTGCTGAACTTTGCCTTCCAAAGTTCCAAACACTACTGCGATTGGACACTAATCTTGGTTTAAACCAGGAATCGGTTCAACCGAACTGAATGTCCACCCCAACCAATAAGGCAAAAACTGAAAAAACGTGACGTTCCTATCAGGGTTAAATGCATTGGATGCCACTTAACTATTGTTTTTGTTGCACGTTCACCACTTAAACAAATTTTGTTGCAACTAAAGCATCTAAGTTGTATTTGGGTTGCACCGTCACCATTTCCGTCCAAACATCTAACGGTAAGGACTGAAATGATAATTTTTCGTGACAAGCTGGCATTCCATGTCAGCACAACTGATGAGTCAGCATCTGTTGTCGTTGGGAGCTGTTCATCCTCTCTTCTTTTTCCTTCCCCCTCTCTTTCTTCGGGTAGCTTTTTTTTTTTAATAGCACCCAAATTTGCAAACTACCAAAACAAACAAAATATTCCTTTCCATTTCTGCAAAAACGAGACGAAAGAGATACAGGAAGGGGAGAACAGGAGGAAAAGGGTAAGTAGTGAAGAGGGTTTGAAGCTAAATGAACTGATAGAGCAGATAACAGAGGGACTTGTAGCAGATCAGAGTAGACTAAAACCATATATTTTCTAATGTATATGGAAAGCTTTTTTCTAGTCTAAAAATCTGATTACCCCATCTATCTAAAAAGGACAAGCACAGCAGCATAGAATAGAATATAGACAATTGGAAGCAAGCAAGCAAAGTGAGAAAGAAAGCTAAAAAGCAAGTGGTCGGTTGGTCTTCGATTCCATCTCTCCCTTCTTTCCTGCCACTATAGCTCCTGGTAATCTACTCAATTACACCTCTTAGCTTGAAGGGTTGTCTCTCCCTTATTTTCTTCTTTTAACCATAATCATATCTTCTTTGTGTATTACTCTCTCCTCCTCCTCTCCTCTGGCTTCTCTCTTTTCCTTCCTTCCTCTCTTCACTTACAGCGGCTGGGGAAAATGGATTCAGCTGGGAATACCAGCTGCAGCTTGCAATCCTGCGCCAGGGCGGAGACGAAGAAGAGTATGATTCAAGGGCAAGACCTCCGCCTCCGCCAGAGTCGCTGCAGCTAGGCCCAGGGTTTGATGTGGTGTGACTCAGCAGTAGTGTTGACATGTAATGCCAGCATGTACCGGAAAATTATCATTTCAGTACTTTCCGTTAAGTGTCTGGACGAAAATGGTGACGTTGCAACTGGAATATTGGTTACATGCTTTAGTTGCAACAAAATTGATTTAAGTGGTGAACGTGCAACATTAACAATAGTTAAGTGGCACCTGGTACATTTAACCCTTCCTATCACTTTGATTTTTTAATAAATAAAAAGAATTAAGGCGCCCTTTCTTCTTCTAATAGTTCCACTCTCCACTTCCCCCTCCTTCCTTTCCACTCTCCCTCCGTTGTTGACCACAGGGAGACCATTCGGTTAGCCTCTCCCGTTTCTCTGTTTGGTTGTTCAGAAAATTCCAGAAAATGGAAGTAATCCTAAAAGAAAATTAAAGAAAGTGATTCTTGTTCTTCCCATGGAGGAAGTTTGATTACTCACGACTCCCGCATTTCATACTAAGTTAGGTTCCCGCTGATTTCCTTTCACGCAGTAGAGCGGCCTAAAATTTTCGACGCGATTTGCAGGTACTCCGCTCGCCGAAGGAACAATGACGGTGGTTCCGGACGGCCTCTGCTCTGTCGCCGAAGTGGATAACCTCGATAAGTTGCTAGACAAGCCGCCGAAGCTGCGGGTGAACATTGACCGGCAGCGATCTTGCGACGAGAGGTCACTGAGCAGCGAGCTTGTCACCAACGGCCACGCGGATGCAGTGCACTCGCCGCCGGGAACGGCGCGAATGTCCGGCCTCGATGCTCCAGGGGCGCCGTTCGCCGCCGGAATCGATTCGCATCCTTACGTGGTGGAAGCGTGGGCCGCGCTGCGGCATTCTATGGTCTACTTCAGGGGACAGCCGGTTGGGACGATTGCTGCTTCGGATAACACCGAGGAGAATCTCAACTACGATCAGGTAACGTGCATTTTTTTCCTCCGCCATTGTTGCTGTTGAATTGAGTAGAAATCGCGTTTTTAGGGCTCCATGGATGAATCTGTGTAGCGAGAAATTAGTCCATAAGCCAGATTCATGTGGAACAATTGGAACTGTGTTTCAACCTAGTGCTGAATCTAGGTTTCTTTGTTTAGGTGTTTGTGCGAGATTTCATACCTAGCGGACTGGCATTTCTTATGCATAAAGAGCCGGAGGTAGTCAAGAACTTCATTCTGAAGACCCTACGCCTTCAGTCCTGGGAGAAAAAGATCGATAGGTTCCATCTTGGAGAAGGAGTTATGCCTGCCAGTTTCAAGGTGCTACATGATCCAGTAAGGAACTACGAGACTCTGATGGCTGATTTTGGTGAGAGTGCAATCGGTAGGGTTGCTCCTGTTGATTCTGGGTTCTGGTGGATCATACTGCTGAGGGCATACACCAAATCTACTGGGGATACTTCATTGGCTGAACTACCAGAATGCCAAAAGGGGATGCGGCTTATTCTGAGTCTATGCCTTTCAGAGGGTTTTGATACATTCCCTACTCTTCTTTGTGCTGATGGGTGCTGCATGATTGATCGGAGAATGGTGAGTTCTTGTAAATCATGCTGTTTCATTTGAATGGGTAGCTACTTCTAGTCCTAATAGGTTCTGCTTTTCTTCTTCACAGGGTGTTTATGGGTATCCAATTGAGATTCAAGCGCTTTTCTTCATGGCATTAAGATGTGCTTTGGTGTTGCTGAAACAAGATGAGGAAGGGAAGGAGTTCATGGAAAGAATTGTCAAACGCCTTCATGCATTGAGCTACCACATGAGGAGTTATTTTTGGCTTGATCTTAAGCAACTCAATGACATATATCGGTACAAAACCGAGGAGTACTCCCATACTGCAGTCAATAAGTTCAATGTGATGCCCGACTCGCTACCAGAATGGATATTCGATTTTATGCCCAGTCGTGGTGGTTACTTCATTGGAAATGTCAGCCCTGCAAGGATGGACTTCCGTTGGTTTTGCTTGGGAAATTGTGTGGCCATTCTGTCATCCCTCGCCACCCCTGAACAGTCCACGGCAATCATGGATCTAATAGAAGCGCGATGGGAGGAGTTGGTTGGCGAAATGCCCCTCAAAGTATGCTATCCTGCCATAGAAAGCCATGAATGGAAGATTATAACAGGCTGTGATCCAAAAAACACAAGATGGAGCTACCACAATGGAGGATCCTGGCCAGGTAATAATTTATTTCTTGTTTTTCACCTCAGGAATAAGGTATAGTGATTGTATTGAGTTCTGAAAGTATAATAACGACATTCAGCATTCATTGCCACTGAGTTTGCTTTAACTGAGTGCTGACAATGGGTTTCTTGGTTTCCAAGTAATGTAATGTACTTTGAATTCACACTGTTGTATACGGTAATCTACTACACTGAGGATTTTGTGTCCGTAATAGTTAGCTTCAGATAGTACATGTAGGCTTAAGAAGGGGTTTCCACAATTCCCTTGTTGATTTACACTGACCAATCTGTCAATTGGCCACAGTAAAAACTAGTCATCAGCATTCATCTGTAACTATTTTGGTGCTTATTATGACTTTTGCTCTGGGGCACTCCCTATCCTGCAGTACTTCTGTGGCTGCTCACGGCTGCATGCATCAAGACAGGGCGTCCACATATTGCAAGGCGCGCAGTGGAGCTTGCAGAATCTAGACTGATAAAGGACAGCTGGCCGGAGTACTACGATGGGAAGCTTGGGAGATACGTCGGGAAGCAGGCTCGGAAGCACCAAACATGGTCCGTGGCGGGGTACCTGGTGGCAAAGTTGATGTTGGAAGACCCTTCTTACCTGGGTATGGTGGCACTTGAGGAGGACAGACATGTGAAGCCTGTGTTGAAGAGATCAAACTCTTGGACTTGCTGAAGCCTGAAGCCATCCATTGGTTATGATCCATCCTTAGGGTAAGCAAGTGCATGTTTAGCGTCGACCGAAGATGATCTTGTAGTGATGCAAATCCATACTGTATAGAGATCAGCCATTCTGTTGAGGCATTTTCACATTTGTAAGTAGCAATAACTTTCCAACAGTCTGATTCCATTGAGCAAATCTATAGTGTGTTACTGTACGTTCCTTCCTGCCAGGGCTATATTTTGTTGTTCAAAATGCCTAGTTGTGCGTACTACGGTGGAACTGTTAATCTTTCCCAAAAGCCCACACGAGTTGGGCCTTTCGGGCCCAAAACTTGGCATGGGCTGTACAAAAGAAGCCCGTCTCAGACCGGAAAGAATGGGAACCAAACAAGCGTGTCCCACCTTGCTAAAAAGATTTTTTCGATGACGGGGAAAAACCATTTCCGCCATCGGGATCCAGTTTTCCTGTGCTAATTCGAAGACCGTACAACGGAGCTACTTCGAGTGAGCGAGTCGGAAATTGACTGAGTCGTGTTGTCGGAGAGATGGGCGGAGGAGGCGAGCACGGACACGGAGCTGAAGGCGCTCATGGCGATTTCAGGGGGAAGGTGTGGAGCATGACCGGCGGCCCTTATTGCCGCCCAAAGCACTGGCGCCGCAACACTGCCATCGCCATGGTCGGCGTCTTCCTCGTCTGCATTCCCATCGCCATGAAATCTGCGGAGCTCGAGGTCTGTCCCTCGTTCTTTCATCGGAGTAGCCGATATTGTTGTTGGTGAATTTGTAGGAAACGGGACGGAGGTATGAGTTTAGCAGTGTTGAATGTCCTTTTGAATCTCTTAGTCTAGGATCATGGACGGAACCCTAATTTCGAGCAAGATTTTTGCCTTTAGTGTTGGTTTGATCAGTCGTCGGATGAAATCGACGTTGCGGATTGGAGAAATTGCCTTTGTCCTTCACATTTGCTGATTTTAGGTTTCACATGGCTGAGAGTATAGGATGCTTCTGTCTCCTAAATCACTCCTTTTTAAGAGCATTTCGCAATTTGATATTGTCAAAACTCTCTGGGTGAAAGAGCTACGTCACATTGCTAAGCTTGGGGGTTAGATTTTATTTGTCCTTCCTGTCTATCTGGTTCTCCATGGCATTACTGATGAGATGGTGTTACCTTACCCTTTTGCTGCGCAGCACTCTATTCTAGCTACCTGGTAAAGTTGCTGTTTTGGCATCTAAAACTGGTTTGATATAGCGTCGTTGGGATTTGGGAACTAAGGGTGGGCGCTTCAATGCAACCCTCCAAAGCAGCTGTTGTAGGGAAATTATTAGGGAGATAGGAGCTTCATTTAGGGATTGTTTGGAATGAATGATGCCACACATGGAGATTTTGAAAAAAGGTCGAGCAACAGGAAGCTAGTCCTTTTACAAAAAGGAATACTCCATTGAACTTACAGTGGCTATGCGATAGCTGCTTTTCTTTAGTTTGAATTAGGCTTGGAAATCAAACATCTTTCTTTTGTTTGGTGCGGTAGACCGGTGGTGGAATGCTTCTCCTTTTCTTGGTCTGTTATCTTCCTTACAGAAATTTGTATTATTGGAACTTCTCCTTGTTTTCTTCTCATGTTGCCTTTCCTAGATGCTTGGCAAATTATGCTATAAGTCAATGCTATAAGTCAATGCTGATAGACCAATCTCATAATGTTATATCTACTATCTCCTCTAATCTAGTTTAAGTTGGGAAGTTGGGCGTAGGGCAACTAACTCCTGCCTCAAAATTTATGACAGAAGTCTGTTTAATAATGACTGTAAAGAGTGGCTGTCTACTATCTCATCTAATCTAGTTTTAGTTAGGAAGTTAGGTGTACATAAACGAGGGCAACTAACTCCCACCCACAAAACTTGTGGCAGAAGTCTCTTTAATAATGACAAGAACGAGAGCTGGGTGTCGTATTATGACGGTTACTAACTAGGGATCAATCGGCCATGGGAAACCGCATCTGCAGATTTCATGACCGTGGTTTTGATGATTGAGAATATGGTGATACTCTGATTAACAATTTCGCTTTCTTGTTGCAGCAACGGCCTCATCTTCCTGTTCGTCCGATCCCCTCGCAACTTTGGTGCAAGAACTTCGGGACTAAAGATTATAACAAAGTTGAATGAAGCGGGGAGTCTCCCACTAGGTCTGATCTGGCAGCATTGGGAAACAAAAACCTATTTCTTGTATCTGAAGTTTGCAGCCATTACTGAGTGTTATCTTGGATGGTTAAATGTTGCAATAAATGAAGGTTTAAGGACTGGGGTTGTGTATCTTTATATGAACTATTGAGGATGAGTTGCATGTTTAATGTGATAAAGAAATTTTATTGTGAAATGAACACAAGTTAATTCTCATTGCCGTTTGCAGTACACAACTGTATATATATTGGATAAATCTGCAGTCATGCAGATTTTTTTTTTTCCTTCTCTTTCTTAGAAGAAATGAGATTTCTTATATGTTTCATTTTTAGTTATAAGTAGATCGTGGAGACTAATGATTCCTGATTGAGGCTTCATTTCTACGATTTTGTCTCGAGTGAGTTTGTACAATATGGCGAGATATATGAATTATCTGGTTGATGGATTTTGATGGTAAATTATTTCTCCAATTGTGTCGACAAATTAATCTCATACAATGTTGGTTGTTGCTTGACTAGAGATTAGTAATCAATAAGATGGATCTTACGAATGAGATGAATTATCATAATTATTGCATAGTTCTTTTCCTCAATTTTAGAGATTCATCCTCTCGGACGAATTATCTAGATCTTAATAATTCCTATGTAGCTTAAATTATATTTAAATAAAATACAGAGTCTATTTTCATATCAAATCATAAATAGATATGCAATACTTCTGAAACCCCATTTTAATTCATGGCTTTGAGAGATGGGCATATCTTATCCTCAAACTTTATAGAGGCACAAAATTACAATTCAAGAAAAGAAAACACCAAAATTTATAAGTGATAAATTGCACATTCTACTCGGAAGAGAAGAACAACAAAGAAAAGAAAGCCCCAAAAAAAAATCTTCTACAGGGAGCAAAGGAAATAGAAGAGTAATTTGCTCCCCTAAAAACCATAAAAAGAGTAAAGACCATATTTTTTCTCTCCTCCTCTCTCGATTATATCTCGCCGAACCCTTTCAATTCGCAGTCGCCCTCCCTCCCTCCTCCATTCCCGTCGCTTCCGCCGGAAAATCGAGAGGAAAACCCAGGAAAGGCGAAGGAAAAGGGGAAGAAAAGAAGAAGAAAACCCACATCTGCTTTGATTTGATTTCTTACCATGAGGCCGCAGAAAAGGCCGATCCACATGCTCACGACATGGGTCCGGCGGCAGCCACCCAAAGTCAAGGCCTTTCTCGCCGTCGTAGCTGGGATGGCGGCACTAGTCCTCCTCCGCTTCATCGTCCACGACCACGACAACCTCTTCGTCGCGGCGGAGGCCGTCCATTCCATTGGCATCTCTGTTCTTATTTACAAGCTCATGAAGGAGAAGACTTGTGCAGGTAAAGATTGGGGTCCTTTCTCGAGGTTCTTGCTTGATTCGTTTATCGGGAATCGAATGGTGCTGACCAGGGATTTGTTTCCTTTTGTCAGGCATGTTCTTTGTTTATCGATATCTGTAGCTCCTGGTCTCTGAGAGCAATTGTTCATCTTTTTACATATTATGGAGACTAGTTGTCCTTGTTTGCTTATCCTTTTTAAGCAAGGGCGTTGAAACATTAGTTTTCTACGAATCGAAGCTAGATTTCATTTTGTTGGCGATCTTATAGAATTTGGGAATTAGGGCACGAAGTCTCCTTATCGCTACTCGGTAGTCTCCACCATATAGGTTGATGGTGATATGCTCTTTCTTATTTGAGCTATTTGGATTAAGAATTGGCGCTCAGCTCTTGATGTAGGTATTGCTTTGTCAAGGATGTAGATTGGAGGCTTTAGATGGGATGAAGAACAAAAATTATAAACTGATAGTTATCTCTGTCCATCAGATAATTGTTGTTGTGCATAACAAGCAATGGTTATGAGGATTTTTCATGCGGTGGTTGCCTGAAATTGTGAAGAAATCTACCCGTTTTCATCGTCTATTGCTCATTTTAGCATGGTTTGTTGATATAATTTTTTGTTAACTATTCTTTGAATGGTTTTGCAGGGCTGTCGCTGAAGTCACAAGAACTGACGGCTATATTCTTAGCATTTAGGCTGTACTGTAGCTTTGTCATGGAGTATGACATACATACCTTACTAGACTTGGCTACACTGGCGACCACTCTGTGGGTTATCTATATGATCCGCTTCAAGCTGAAGTCTAGCTATATGGAGGACAAGGACAACTTTGCGCTCTATTATGTGGTAAGTCCGCCTATTGATCATAGATACCCTTTCCTTCCAAGTCATATGTCCTGTTTCTTTCCAGTTAATATGGTGCTTAATTGCATGAAAAGTCAATTACTTTGGTAGGTTAGGCAGAATTCTACTTGTTAGCTATAAATTCAATTGTAGAAGTCAGAATTATTGGTGAAAGCTAGATTCCTTGTCCCTAGATGGTAATATAGGAACATAATTGAAAAAATTCTTGCTATAACACTACTATCGTTTGACCAGTATATCTTGTTACTAAATTTGAATGACGAATCATCTAGTTGTTCTTTCTGGTTGCTCACTCGACAAAATGTGCACTCACTTTCATCTTGTTTTGTGCCTTGGAACAGCTGGTGCCTTGTCTTGCGTTAGCTGTGTTCATTCACCCAACAACCTCGCATAATCTGTTCAACAGGATTTTCTGGGCTTTCTGTGTATACCTGGAGTCTGTTTCTGTGCTTCCTCAGCTGCGAGTGATGCAGAACACCAAGGTTCAGTTTGATGGATTGCAGATTTTCCTTTCAGGTGTGTGGGGGTGGAAAACTTATTCGCTCTTTTTGTTTCTTCTTGCAGATTGTTGAACCATTCACTGCTCATTATGTCTTTGCACTTGGAATTGCAAGGTTTCTGAGCTGTGCTCACTGGGTTCTCCAGGTATGTTTAAGACTTCAAGCCCGTCCTTTTTACTCTGATTTTATCTTTTTTCGACCTTAAATAGTGCCACCCACTTATGTCAGTCAATTACCAGAAATGTTCTTGTTTCACCTTTACTTTTGAACTTGAATATGCCTGCATCTAGTGGACCTGGACATCTCGAATTATTGATGCATTATCACCACTTACTTTCAACAGGTTTTGGATAGTCGTGGACACTTGCTGGTAGCCTTGGGATATGGATTGTGGCCATCTATGGTTCTTATCTCAGAAATCGTGCAGACTTTCATTCTTGCTGATTTCTGTTACTACTACGTGAAAAGGTTTGTTTGGCATAAATCTGAGTGTGCTTGTGCTTGTTTGTTCAAAACAGTTATACATATGAACGTTCGTTTGTTCTTAGTATATGATTTCTGTGTTTCCTCCCTTTTCAGTGTGTTCGGTGGCCAGCTGGTTCTACGCCTTCCCTCCGGTGTTGTATAAGCAGAGAATGTTCGTCGTTGCGGTTGATGCTTGCCTTCACAATTAACTTATGCAATGCCATCGCTGCAAGTCTGCAACCTCTCTTCTGTTTCCCACACGGGTTTTTCGTTATTACGACGTCTCGAACTTGAAGTAGAGTGGGGGATTTTTGTAAATTAACACTGCCAAAAACTTAGTTGGCTAACTGTATTGAACATAATTTTCATAGCTGAAATTAACTTTATTGCGTCAAAGACCGTGTCTTTTGTAGTTGAATGCATATTGACAGTAAACCAGTTACTTATCATGAACACGAATTGCAGGTCTTCTATGTTATTGCTTTTGATTGAACAGCAGAACAAAGACGGTAAGAAAAGCGGCATGGAAGTTTTCAGATTGATACAGAGGCTTCTATGCCAAAGAAATACACATTCATTAGATTGTGAGGTTCCTTGCTAGGATCCCTTCAAAGGTGATCCCTGGGCCGAAAGCAAGAATCAAACCCCATTCACAATCTCCGTTTTTCTTCTCCTTGATCTTCAACCCTTCCTCCACCATATACTCCAGCACATAAACAATGGTATTACTGCTAGCATTACCATAATCCATCAGTGCTCTTCTGCTCGCATTCAGTTTCTCAGGCATCAAATTGAGCCTCTTCTCCACCCGGTTCAGGATCGCCGGTCCACCTGGGTGAACAGCCCAGAACAGTTTGTTATAATCCTTCTCAGACATCCCCACAACTCCCATCAACTTATGACAGAACCCTTCAATGTTATCCTCTATAATCTGAGGAAGCTCCCTCGCAAGCTTGAAACTGATCCCCTCTTCAGTCAATCTACCATCAATGGTCTTCTCTGTATCAGGCAAGAAGTTCTGAATCGCAGTGTGAAGCTCATACAGAGGCGGACACTCGGCCCCAGGAATGGGATCCGTGCCAACGATCATCGCTCCAGCGCCATCACCAAACAATGCCACTCCAACCAAATCATACGGCCTGCTCGCGCTAGGCGGCTTGAACCCAATGATGGTGGTTTCAGAAGTAGCAAGAAGAACCCGACTCCCCGGGTTGTTCTCAGCGATATCCTTTGCGACTCTGAGCCCTGCTACGCCTCCTGAGCAGCCCATGAAGTAGAGCATTACTCTGTGCGTATCAGGGCTCAGCCCCAGACCTTTGGCCAGGTGGAGATCACCACCTGGCAGCCTGGCCTCGCTCGAGGAGACGTAGACCAGGTGTGTTATGTCAGAGACCGACTTCCCCCACTTCCTGATGCAGGATTCCGAAGCTTCGATTGCCATTCGAGTCACAGCGTCGTTGCAGATGTCCAGCCTTTGCTTGACTGTGGGCTGACCTTCGGTGGCGAGTTCAGGGTACTTGTTGAGTATCTCTTCCGACATTACTACGTACCTAGTTTTCACAGTCGTCGTCTTGCCTGCAATTTAGCCAACAAAACCATTTACATTCAATATGAGGATCAGGCTGCAGGTGAAAAAGATACTGGGAGCAGGAAGCGTAGTTGGTGGGTTACATAGTCGAGTTAGCTTCTCCTTGAGCTCCGGATCATCGCAGTTGGTGTTCCTGAAGTAGCCGTCGACGAGGAACTCTTGCATGACAAGCTGGTGAGGGAATGCCTTGCCGAGAGCCAGGATTGTAGCTTTGCCAGGGCTGGCTTTTCTCGTTGTGCTGCCATTTACCTTAGCATCCATAGCTACACCTTTCACTCGTCTCTGAAAGTTCTGTGCTTGAAATGAAGGATTTGGTTTATATAGGACTGGGCTTGCATATGCTTAAAGCATCATGGAGTTTGATTTACATGGAAGGGTATGGAAAGCTTGCAACTTGCTTGCTGTTATATAAAACAAGTGGAAGAGAAGTAGGGCATTCATGCGGGTTATGTTTGAAAGCTGTGGGTAGAGATTAGGTACTTCTTGTGTGAAAGGTCATATTTTTCTAAGTAAACTGTTCTCAACAACATGAGGTCTAAGTTATTGGCATCAGTAACAGACATGACCTAACAATGAGCATACATCAAAACCCAGTATAATTGCAAGCGTAGAAAACTTAATGACACTAGACCTTGAATGATCTTCTGTGAGACATCAGAGTTTCAAAGTTCACAAAGACACTTCCCATCGATGTAATCGACTACTTGGGTGACTGACTCATCAAGTGCAATAGTTACTGCTGCTAGATTCTTCAGGAATTCCTCGGTAGTCGGCTTGTCGCCATCGACAATGTCAGTCACTGCTTTGATGAATATCGTAGGGACTTGCAACATCTCGGCTACATAGGCAACAGCTGCACCCTGGAACGCCCAACGTATTGGTTGATAATACACATTTTGTCAGTGAATGAGGGACAAGTAGAGGAAAGATCAGCGGACAGACATTGTAGTTATTGCTCATTATTACCTCCATATCTTTCACTGCAGCATCGTTTGCAGTGATTGATGCCTCGTCCTGAGGCGACATGTCCAGAGAATCTCCGGTGGAAAGTTTACCAATCTGACAGATGCAATATAAGTAGTCTTAGGAACTCCAGTTTAGGTAAGCAAAGCACCTTGATTGACCAGATTTATAAAATAACTGAAATTTAGAAGGAATGAGACATAGTTTCTGGAAATTGGTCACCTTTAAGTTAAGGTCTTTTACTATATTGGGCGTCGAACAGGGCTTCCTTGAACCTACTCCATATAGATCAAAAACCTACAGTGCAAAGTACAGCACAAACAATGTCCACAATAAGTGTTCCAACTTAGTTGGTTACACCAGTCTTACTTACATATGCATAGAATTTAATCAGAAGGGTTGAGAACACTTACAGGAATGGGAATTCTCCGGTCATGAAAAGCAACACCAGATATCAGATATACATCCCCAACACCAGCACCTTTTGCCTAGAAACCGCTTACAATCAGCACGAGGCAAAATACAGAATTCACTATATTATTTAGCAAAATGAACTCTTTACGAAATGCAATAAGTGTTCTTATCGCGTTTTGCATTTAACTGTTCTTTCCCCATTAAGTGAGGATGCATGTTATCAACAGGCAGTTCCAGGAAAACTGGTACCTCTTCCAAATACGATCGACGGACTTTACTATTTAAATGAGAAATAAAGGGACAAGGAGACATGCATGCATACCTTGAAGCCGCCTGCTGTGCCCGCATTAATGATTAAGTCAGGCTTTAGAGCTTGAACTGCAGCATAAGCCACAAGAGCTGCAGAAACTGTGCCGACACAATCAACACCTGCAAAGAAAGAGCGACTCGTTTATTCAGTTCCGAAGTCCAACGCTTGGAAATCAACCCACATTACTATGAAGGGTGCTTGAATGATTATTAAATGCTGAATTTCTGTAACTTACCAAGGGTGGAATCTTTTCCAGGCCATACTAAATTGATTTGCAGATCCTTGTATGTACCGTAGTACCTGACCCAGGGAGCACCTTTTGGAAACCTGCATATTGTAAGCACACATCCTTCACAATTACTCTTTGTATACATTCATTTGGGAGAAGAATGCAGATGCAAAGCTGTTCAACCCACACATCAGGACAAAAAGTGCCATCTTGCTTGCAAGTCACATTAGGAAGGTGAACAGGCAAACACAGCCACCAGTAAACAATTTTTACCAGGGCTATCAATCACTCTCCATGAGATGGAACACCAATGGGTTCTCAACTGAACATCAAGCCCACTCCTCACAGGTCATAAGTTGGTTCAATGAACTCTTGGCATATGAAACCAACTTAAATTCAACCTCGAAACAAAACTCATTACATATTTACATCCAATCACAAAAAGATAATCACTTTAACAATCAGCAGAGTAAGAGTCACTTAAACAAGCTACAAAGATTGAAAGAACGAGAAAAGGAATCAAAAAAGACGTACACAGCATCAAGGTCCTCCTTGAGCTGGAACTTGTTGACTAAAGGCGTCGCTTCAGTTTGCATAGCTGCAGTACTCAATCAAAACCGACCACCAAAGTTCACAACGATCACAAACAGAGCCAATTGAAAAGGGAAGATAACTAGACAGACTGAAAACCCAAAAGGGTACCGATGATTATAAGGATGGAAGAAATGGGACGCTGTTGTTGCTGCTGGTCAACTGGAGCAGCGACGGCTTCACCTGCTGCAGCGTCTGGTCCGCCGCTGTGTGGAGGAGCCATGGTAAAGTCGGGAGGTCCGGCGAGTTGGGTTCCGGCGGAAGGTTTTGGGTGCAGGAACAAAGCAGTGGTCGAGTGTTTGATTTTCCAGGAAAATCAAGAGACTGTTGCCAAGAGGAAGAGAAGAATCGTGATTATAATTATTTGTGTTGTATTAGTTAATAAATTGATTATCCAACTCTCGTTGTAGCTTACACGCATGCTTCATGGCAGAGTGTGTTTGGTAAATTATCCCATTTGTCACTCTACTTTATAATTTGAGGCAAAATATCTAGCCATGACAATAGTCTTATGTTTTTGCAACCCGACTATTTTTGGACTCGGAGTGTGGTTGAGGTTCTGCGGTTTAACCAAAACTGTAAATGAATTATACGGTTAATGGTTAATCGATAACACCAAAATGAAAGGCTAGAATGGTTTTAGCTCTAGTTTTGAGTAATTTTTCAGTGTAGATGTAAATCAAACCTCAAAACAACAAATTGCATATATTAAAGAACCCGAAACCATAGTGCCCACATTCTTAGGTAACCCTAACCAAAAAGAATGATTAATGGGTTATTCGATTGAATGTGGTTAATTGTAACATTCAATTTCCAGGTAACCGCAAACCGCAAAGATTTTGGTATGGTTGCTGCCATGACACCAGTTGGAGGTCGTTGGATTGGTCACTGGTGCTTCCTAGTCGTTGTTGGATGGATGTGAAGGTAATTTTATAAAAGATTGTCACTGGGTCCATCCAACGACTGCAGAGTGCCAATGTCATATCCATTGATACCAAGTGTCTTTGAATTTCAACAAATGAAAGAAAACAAGCCAAAATACACCATTTTTTAATAAAATCTCACCATTATCACAATCATGATTAGGGCTGCAAATGAGCCGAGTCGAGTCGAGTTTTACCCCAGCTTGAGCTCGGCTCGTTAATAAACGAGTCGAGCTCGAGCTCAGCTCATTTATTAACGAGCCGAGTCGAATCGAGCTCGAGCTAGCTTGTTTATTAAAATCTTAACTTTTTTCGGTATCTCATTTTGTATATCATGATACATATGATTTATTTTGTTAGTTAATCTCATCTTATACTTTATACTTTGTTGGTATCATATATCGTCTAGTTAATAAATTTTAACTACTCCAAATCATGTTATTTCATTGTATCGAAGCAATCTATGATGCATAATTTATTTTTAAAGTAGAAAATAAGATATATTTGCTCACATACTCAATGTGCAAAACTTTATGTATGGTGATATATATAAATTAACAACCATATGAATTAAAATCATAAGATATAGATTGATTCGTCCATAAGTTGGTAATCGAGTTGGCTCTGTAGCCACATGTTAAGACATATCATGAGCTTTAAACGAGCCAGCTCACGAGTTTAGCTCAACAAGCCACCGAGTCGAGCTAGCTTGCGAGCTTCACGAGCTGAACAAAGGTGAGCTCGTGTTCGGCTCGTTTATTAACGAGCCGAGTTTCGAACGAGCATTTCTCGAGTCGAACGCCGAGCCGCTCGCGAGCAGCTCGGCTCATTTGCAGCCCTAATCATGATGTGCCGAACTTTCAAGAAAAATTTACTAAGAAGATTTGTCCTTCTTGGAGCAACTAATGTACAAAATTCAACCCAAACGAGATTCATCAGTGCACACGAGGCATGATCATCGAATGTAAGTCACTTGAAAAGGGGTGAAGATGCGTCGATACAAATTAACCGGTTAACACAAACTTATCGAGCACGAAACACAAACAATATCGAAATACAAATTAACCGGTTAACACAAACTTATCGAGCACGAAACACAAACAATATCGTGAAAACAAAAACTACCAGTTTGTTCAGTCCAAGTTCTGATCTATTGCTTTAGTCGATTTCCATTCCAGCATATCACAGTCTGGTGGGAAATTGACCAGACTCTACCTCTTCAGGACTTCTCATTTCTGTGAAGGGGACGATGTCAATGATCAAATGGCGCGTTTAATTATCAGATCAATCTCATTCCCACCACCACGATCTTCTCCTTCGGCAACCGGCTCTCCATTCCATAAGTAAGAAAGACAAATGTACATTCCATAAGCTCCAACGGCTAAACACCAAAACAAAAAACAGAGCAGCTGGCAGCTCTGAGGGAAAACAGAGTGTCCATCTTTGAACGTTTTATCAAAATTGCAGAGTTTTTTCTATCAGTGTTCGGCCGGGCCACGCCACCCTTCTTTGTTCCATATCCAATGATGCTCCATGAATTGTATAATGACTCTGCTTTCATGAGTTAAAACTCTTTGCTCTGTTCTATCAGCGTTTTGTCTCTGTTCTACTTCTGCCAACCAAACACCGAGTCACGATTTGTCTCCCATTAGTCGGCAACAGAAAACAAACTGACACCGATTCTTTTGTAGCCTTCTACATAGGGTTTTCGACCACCTAGATTTAAAGATTACGGCAATTTCTTTGGGACAATTCCAAGTGTTGGAGGAGGGAGCTAATAGCCGACAAGTTATAATTCTTCCCGTCAAATCGTGATTCCGGGTAGAAGCATTTTGGTGAGCTAATGCGTAAAAAAAGTAAGCTTTAAAGTATATATTTTGACTACAGTTGTAAGTTAAACGCTCGATTCTACGTAGAAGCATTCTGATCTTCTAGCAGTGTAAAAGTATGAACTTTTAAGTGTCAAAGCGTGATTTTGAATGCATTGCTCTTGAACAACATGTACCTCAACTTTCGAATGAAAAATTGGTAGCGAAACTAGATCTCTAAGTAAGCGGAGACCAGATTATATACTTCAAAAAAAATTAAATCGTAGTAGTTAGGCAGAAGAAGGTCGATACATTCTCAACTACTATATTAACCAAATCCATTACGGAAGAACCAATGGACAAATCATGACATTTCCAAAATTTCATTCATATTGTGTATACATCTAAATGCAAATTAAAATCAATGTACAGAATGTGGCACATCACTCCCTCCCTCAAATCTCTTATGAAACAAAAAAAATATATATATGGATGTCACACCGTTTAATCTAATTTTCTCTATCGTCACTAAAGAGAAACGAAAAGAAAGACACCGCCGGCGGTTTTATTTGATCAATCTTGGAGTCTCTGGCTATAGTCTTAGTTCTAACCAAATCACCACCAAGAAGATGAGAAAGAAGAGATAACGGCGTCGATGGCGGGGAGAGGATCGGATTCTGAATCCACCGTTTGGCAGCATTGGGAATGCATCAGGGAACGGCATTTGACATTCCTCGCCGCCGAAGTAAACCCTCCTCGGCAGCGCCCATCCATTCATCAACGTGAACTCATCCAAATCCTTCTCCAAGATGATGTCCGTCGTCACCGACCCAAATCCGCCGCCGCCGCCGCCGCCGCCGGCTGCAGCTTCCGTTAGCTCGCTGTTGTAGTACGGCAAACCCCAAAACAGAGCAACCTCATCTGCCCACTCCCACAAAATTAACTTTCAGAAATGTAAATTAGGGAATAAAGCAATTTGATTTGGAGCATTACTTTCGATTCCGACGGTCGGGAGGGTGGTGGCGTTGAAGCTGTAAGCGATCGACTTCTTCGAAAAACCGGGGTGCTGGACTACCAAATTCCAGTCGGAGTAATTCTTCCGGAGGTTGTAGTTAGAGATTGTGAGCTTCACTCTCCAGAACCGCATGTAATTGTTCTTCACGTGCCAGTGAATTCGAACAGGGCACATGTGATCCGTACACTGCAACTTGTTGTCGTCCACGCCATTACCGCCCAACGAAGAAGAAGAGCTCTGGCTGGTGAAAGTACAGAAGGGTGTTAGGCTGAGCTATCTCTCTTGATCATGGTTTCTGAAAACAGGGGAAGTTTACACTTACTGCATTTTTTTTTACCTTGAACAAGAAACTCCATCGGAGGCAGAGTCCCTGCATCCGCAGCTGCATTTCGGGCAATCCGTGATCTGCGGACTGTAGAATGTTGACAGCGAGACGCAGCATACGGGCGCTCTGTTCGCTAGGAAGCTCGAGTAAGTGCACACTGATTTCATCGTCCCTGAAAAAAGGAAAGAAACAGAGCATTTCAGGGTTTCTGTAAAACAGAGGTGAAAAGAAGAAATAAAAATTGAATCTTTGATTCGGAAATCTTACTGAAAGCTCTGATCTTTCTTCTCCCGCCGTAGTCGAGAAACACGGTGGATTCCGAATCCTGAACCGGGCCACAGGTGTAGCCAAGCCCTGGAGCAAACAGAGTGAGATTGGCAGGTGGATAACTAGTATTGGCTGGGAGATTCCCAACTGTCATCTCAAATGCTGAGAATGACAACGAAGGATCAATAGCCCAGGCCGACATCACGCCGCCGCGGCAGCACCCCTCAACGGTTCTTCCTCCGTCGTCTGAGGCTGCGGCCGGCCATAGGTCGGCCATGATTGGGTTCTGCTTGCAGCAGTGCGGCTTCAGAGAAGCGAAGTTCTTGCAGTCCCCTGAATCGGTAGCGTATGCGCCTGACATTTTCAGTATGATCTCTCCTTTCGCCCATCCCCAACCAATCTGCCACCCTGGCTTCTCCACGTGGCGGTACTGATAGAAGTTCCTGATCGTCACTCTCGCCACATAGCCTCCGTTTTCCGGGTAATCGAGGACGTCGAAGGTGACTGTGATGTTGCCGTTGGGATCCAGAGGGTCAAAGCAATCTGCAAGAAACAACAGAGATTTCGTCATAAAAGTGTGCATGGAGAGGGTGGGAGAGAGACAGGGGATAGAGATGGAAGCGGGTTTAATGCCTGATAGAGTGCAGAAAGCCATTAGTATCATTAGAGAAACCAGCAACGGTTTCATATTCCTCTGGAGAAAATGAGGAGGATTTTGGAAAACAGAGGAAAGAGGGGGGGAAAGAGAACACAATTCTCTCCTCTTTCTCTCTCTCTCCCTCTGTTTTCTCTAAGGTAGAGTAGAGTTCCCAATGGGATTGGAATCAGTAAGGATATTATTGATGTGGGTTTAGTTCTAAGCTTATAGTCATTGAAAGGATCAAAACGTGTAAGTTGCAGTTTGCAAAAGTCCAAACTCCTAGTCAGGGGCCAGAAACTCTGTTATTGGATGCAATTGTTTTGGTTATTGTGGTGGAAGAACAGCAAACACTTGTGAGGCGTTTCTCCTGTTTGTCTGTTTGGGATCAAAGACGGCGATCTTTCCTATTTGCTTTCTTACCCTTCTCTGTAATTGACGATTATCCAATACTAATATTTGGTTCTCACAAACAGATATATAGCATTTGAAGAATGTTCCAACCACATTAATGCTGACAAGTGATCTATTACGCGGCTAGATAATCCGCTACAAAGTTTTTAACTGTTGGTAGATGAGATTAATTCGTACCTGTCAAGCATAAGCTGAAAAGGTTTCACATTTCCATCCCTGTTTCAGTTAAATGCTTGCCGATGGCTGTAGATTCATTGGGTTCAACGGACAGCTCCAATGCATCTCGCGAACATTCACTAGTCTTGAGCATCTTGTTCACGATCGAACTGATCGTTAGGTAGGATGAATCATCAGCAGGGCTTGACTCAATCGGCGTTAATTCCAAATCGGCGCATCAAACTTGGGAGGACTTCAGCATAAATGGGAATGGCACCATGAGAAACTCCTTGTCAGCAGGAACAACAAGCTGCATTTTGCAGCTTCTGTTTACCCTCACGCGAAATACATAACGTAAACGATCTGGTTCGAGGCCAAACCTTCTTCACCAGCGTAACAATCCGCTAGAGTACCATACCAATCAAAGAACTCAGCAGCAGTTTTAGCTACTTCCTTCACTTGGCTAAACAAGGACATACTTTTATCCAACCCCATAAACGCCCAAATGTTGGTCGGATCATCTTCACTGGTCAGCTGCCATTTCAACATAACGACACTCAAGGAAGCTTTGAGCCAAGCATATTATGTTCAAACTATGATTGACATATACAATCCAGACATCCAGTACATCTGTGAATTAAATCCAACCAAATAGAACACCAACCGATGTGACGATCTCCAAAACTAAGACGCCAGCCCATGGGCTACACCGGAAAATTTCATCCCGGGGTACAATTGCAAACAACTCATACGGAATCAGGAAACTTAGAAGCTAACGTTGATGCTATCAAGGGTCGACTGATCTTTTCGAGCAGCTTGCTTTCCAGAGGATTGATGTTTGTATAAATGGGAAACCCTAGCAGAAAATCGGCAGAATCAAGATTACTCGGTAAGAACCTGTAGGAATCTGGCAGACTTTGATAAACAGCAACACCGGCGTGAAAGATGGCACTTAAGCCGGCAAGGCTAAGTTGGCAGACTCTTCAATGGCAGAAAGAAAATGAGCAGGTTCTCTGCTGTTTCTTTCTTCCCCGCCACCCCGCTCAGTTCTGGAAGTTGTGAAAAAAATACTGAATCGTTAAATGTCGCCCTAAGAATTGCTAAACGTCGCCCTAACTTAAATGTCATATTACCTATATACCCTTAATGAAAATTGAAAAAATAGGACAACCAAACAACCCTTTACCTTTCCCTCGGCAGCAGACGAATCCACAAACCTTCCACCCTCTTCGAGTCGCCGCCGGCGAACCCCTCCCCCTCTACTGTTCCTGTCGCCGGCCTCCTGCTCCCGTCGTTGCCGCCGTGTCGCTCCCGTCGTCGGCGACCTGCTCTGCCTCCTGGTCCACCGACGCGCAGACGACCCTTTACCTGTCGCGCGCTCGCCGCCGGAGAAGAAGAAGTCTCCTTGCCCGCCGGAGAAGAAGAAGTCGCGCGCTCGCCGCCGCCGGAGAAGAAGAAGGTAAGAACCTGTAGACCGACGGTCAACCGCGGTCAACGCGCGGTTGAACCGTCGGCTGACCGCGGTCAAACTGCGGTTGGACCATGGCTGGACCGCAAATGACCTGCGGTTGGACCATGGCTGAACCGCAGGTGATTTGCGGTCCAGCCATGGTCCAACCGCAGGTCATTTGCGGTCCAGCCATGGTCCAACCGCAGTTTGACCGCGGTTCCCTTTTTTTTTTCGTTTTTCAGTTAATGTATTTACCTCGTCGGAGTCGCTACTCATGATTCAGACGTCCTATCGACGATATCGGCTTCAAAATGACGATGATGGATTTTTCTCTCATTAGATAGTGTTTTTTTTGTCCAAGTGGTGTTTGTTTGATAAAGGGAAGGTAAAGAAGATAGGGGGTTATAATTGTAACTTTAAACTTATTTAGGGCGACCTTTAGCAACTCCCAAAAAATATGGCGAGGAAACATAAGGCTGTTTACCAATTAGTCACTGAACTTTAAAATGTTTAACATAATTGCCATAGAAGTTTGGAATACAGTCAAATTGGGCCCCAGATAGAATAACAACACTCTTAGTGTTGTTATAGTAACAACAAGGATAGAGAGGTAATTACACAAAATCGCTAATAAAATAAAATTCAATAAATATATCCGTTTCGCCTTCTCCGCTTTACCCTATCCTCCGATTCCGCCTCCCCTATTCTGGACCCTCCACCATTCTTTCTCCGTCGACGACTTCGCGACCACCTCCGCCATTCTTTCTCCGTCGACGGCTTCGCGACCACCAGCAACAACAGCAACGGCCACAATCCCTCGCCGACAATCGCTATCAATATGTGTCGGTGAAGTTGGAGAAGGGATCAGAATCGCCATGGCTAGCCTGTTGTAGCCGAGGCGAGCAAGGATCAGAGCTAGAAGAGCGATATCGACGAAGGTGTGGTTGCATGTGGAATCGCTGGATACCACATAAAATCGGCTCTGTCGTCGAGGAAATCGAGACTGGACTGCGACTCTTTTCTCTCCGGTTCTCCTCGTCCAGCGACTCCGCTGCTCTTCCCCAGATCTGCGAATTTGAAAAACAGAGCATCATCGTCAATCGTGACGATTTTCGCTTCCGATTTAATCTTTTCAGTGAAATTGGAATCGTGATCACGAGCTTAGCTTCCGAGGCGGCGAGCTGCTTGGCGATTTCAACCGGGGTGTAGAAAGGATTTGCGGTGGTGACGACGACGTCGAGGTGCGAGGCGGCGAGGAAGGCAGGCGGCGAGCGAGAGGGAGTAATCGATCTCCTCCTCCCCAACCAGATCCTGATCTATTCCCGTCGACAACTTCTCCTCCACGCCGGGATTGCTTCTCTCCACTCCGCCAGATTCCCAACGACCACAATCTCTCCAATAGCACCAATAATCGTCGACGATTGAGCCAACGATGAGAATAGAGATTGAATTGGCGAAAATGGTTGGAACAGACGACGAGAACAGAGACTGTGGAATCCACAATAAGAGTATAGGATACAAAGAAGGTGAAGTCGGCGCTAGTTGTGTGGTCTTTCTCCTGCAATGACGATGATCGGCGAGGCGTCGACAATGTTGCGGTGATGATGACGGAAAGGGCGAGTGCCACTAATTGCCACTTGGAGCAGCTGGAGGTTCATGAGATTGCAGAGCTGTGTCGGGATCTCGCCGGACAAGCCGTTGTTGCCGACTCGCAACATGGTGAGATTGGAGCAGGCGGAGAGGTTCGGCGGGATGGTGCCGGAGATTGAGTTTTGGACTAGCACGAGCTGCTGGAGGCTGGTGAGGCGGCCGATTTCCGGCGGGATTTCGCCGGAGATGGTGTTGTTGTTGAGGATGATGTGGGTTAGGAAGGACAAGTTGCCGATGTGTGGGGAGATGGAGCCGCTGAGCTGGTTTAGCTTGAGGTCGATTTGGGTCACCCTCTGTTCGGTTTCGTTGTTGCAGGTTACTCCCTGCCATTGGCAGAAATGGAGGGTTTGGTTCCATGAGCTCAGAGCTCCAAGTGGGTCTATGAGTGTGGATTTGAGTTGGAGGAGTGACAGTATATCGGTTTTGTTGCCGCCGTCGCTGGTCGCCGGTAGGATTTGGGTCTGTGAGAGTAGAAGAAGGAGAAGGGCTAGAAGAGGGGCAGAGGAAATGTCGACCATGTTTGTTAATCTTTTAGAGGTTTGTTGTGTGCAGAACATATATGGGAAGCTTATCTTAAATGGTTATGATCAGTGGATTGGGAGGAAGCATTGACAGAGTAAGTAAGCAATTAAAAAAAATGGTTGTTTGTAGACGCCGAAAATCTCCTAGTGCAAACCACAAATGCAATAAAAACAATCCACAAAAATATACTGGAAACCTCCTAATGCAAATCACAAATTCGCTAAAACATACCAGAAATACGGTAAAACAAACCAGAAATATTTCTAAAGCACACCAGAAACCCCCTAATACAAACCACAAACACGATAAAACAAACCAAAAACGTCATAATGTACACCACAAATATATCAAAACAAACCAGAAACCTCGCAAACCAAACCACAAAAGTTTCGAAAGCACACCAGAAACTTCGTAATGCAAACCAGAAACCTCCTAATGCATACCACAAATCTCCTAAAACAAACCACAAACCTCACAAAGCAAACCACAACATTTGCGAAAGCACACCAGAAATCTCATAATGCAAACCACAAACACAGTAAATCAAACCACAAAAAGCAAACCATAAACGTCCTAATGCAAACCACAAATATATTAAAACAAACCAGAAACCTCACAATGCAAACCACAATGTTTTTTAAAGCAAACCAGAAACTTCTCAATGCAAACCACAAACACAATAAAACAAACCATAAAAGGCATAAAAAAATATGAGAAACCAAACCATAAATCTCACAATGCAGACCATAACATCCGGTGGTCGTTGACCGTTGACCGGTCAACGAAGACCGTTGACCGAACTCCGGTGACCGTCAGTGAGCAGATTCCGACGCCGATAGGCATATTCCGGCCCCGGTAAGCATATTCCGACGCCGGTAAGCATATTCCGGCCACAAAATAGCATATTCCGGCGACAAAAAGCATATTCGGTGACCGGCGCCCATTTTCCGGCGACCGGTGGCAGAATTCCGACGACCAAATTTTTGGACAGAAAATAAAAAAATATTTTTTTTATTTTTTTATTTTTTTATTTAAATATATTTTTCATAATGACAATTATACCCCTGATTTGATTTTACACTAGGTCAACTCATTTAATAAAAAGTCATCACAATCCTAGCTTCCTATTGGTTGGGGACTAGTGTTGTTACAATAACAACACAATGGGTGTTGTTACAATAACCGGTCCCGTCAAATTGTTTCGTTTTTCAGGGGGGGAAGAATTGGCGGTTCGGACATTGTTCCGAACCATGTTTTGATTCCGAAGACCTTTTTTTGATCAACTTCGTTTAAAAAATTACTCGTTTCACATCTTACAACTCCAACAAAATGTGTTAGTTACAATATTCAGAACTAAAATCCCTATACCGATTTTACTATTCGAGTAAAAACTAAAATCTCTATACAGCGGCGGATCCAGGATTGGGTAGAGCACTAGGCCACATTAAAAAAAAAGCAGAGAAGACTGGGCCGTAACACGACAAACACTGGAACGAACACCTAAACGAACACCAAAAATCGAAAATTTACACGTGCTATACTAGCTCTGGATCGAGGGAGGGCTGGGCCGCGGCCCGGGGGCGGCCCCCTAGATCCGCCGCTGTCCCTATACCGATCCCACGATTAAAGACCTCCGCAAATGATCTTACATCGTCAACACGCGCATTAACGTAGTATCACAATCGGAAGTCTCCTAGACTCTAACAACCCACTATAACATTCCCGAACAAAATTACAAAAACAAAATCAAATCCCCCCCAAATCTCTTCTGATACCGTATCATCTCCACCATCCAATTCTAGCTATCAACCAGACAGTATCATTTGCCACCCTCACCATTTTCACCCCCACAGACGAAACGACGATGCAGCCGAATATGCATTGTGAAGAACTAACTGATGTGTGAAGTTAACATCTAGAAAACAGAGACATGCAGTAAAGGGGAAAAGGATAAAAGAGTGGTCACGAAGAACAACAAGCCAGAGTGCTAATAAATGGCGGTGTGCGGCCGGAAGGTAAAGCTAGCCGATAATGTGGGTTCCAAGACACTGATAAATTGGGTAGTTGGAAGGAGATACTGCCGAAAGTTATGACATGGGCTAGCCCTGTTTTCTGCTCTGAAGCAAGATTTCCATTCATCATCTTCTCAACAGCCAGAATTGACTCTCCTCTATATAATCAGTCACTTAATGGGAAAGAGGAGAAGTAAAGTAAGGAAACAGGGGAAAGGCAGAATGGCAGGAAATGGGATTGTTTGTGATGATGATGAAGAGAATGGCTATGGCGGGAACAGAGTCCAGCCCATTACCTCTACCCCAAAGCAAGGCTCTTAATTAATCCTCTCTCACTTCATTTTCATGGTGTTAATTATATACAGTGTTCTTGCTGTTGGTTGATCAGTAATTTACCAGAGTTTGTCTTGTTGCAGGCAGGAGGAAGGTGGACTCCATGGCAGGACAAAACCCAAATCGTCTGGGTTGGCGGGAGTGTTGTCCTTTGACGAACTTGTTTCTCTAAAGGTTAGAAATCGGCGGGGTTTGGGAAACGGTGCGATTGCGGTTAATCACACCTGAATTTACAGTTAATCACAACTGAAACAAAACATAACCATTAATCGTAACTGTACCGAAAATATTTAGTGGTTAATAGTTAGCAGTTAACTGCAACGACTTGCTTATATATTGTGTTAGTCACGTCGAATTTGCTTCTTGTGCGCATTATGGTAGGTTTAGATACTCAAATACTCATCGATATTGGATTTTATGTTATTGACTCACAACCTTAAATAATTTTACTTAAAAACTATAAAGAGAGTATTGCATGTTCTGAAGTCCTATCTAAATTATTAATTGTGGTTAGGTAATCGATTATCCCTTATTCGTCCGATTTCGATATAATTAGCGATTTAACCGCGAAATCGCAACCATATTCCCACTCCTAGAAATCAGTGGGTATGTCTATAATATTGTTCAACTTTTGTTTACTCCTGCCTGCAATGTACAGGTATGGCGAGCCTCGGTGGCGGAGCTCGTCGGCACGGCGGTGCTGGTCTTCGCGATGGACACGATCGTCATTTCCTCCTACGAGACCAAGACCGAAACGCCCAACCTGGTAATGTCGGTCGTCATCGGCGGCATCGTCACGATCCTCCTCCTCGCCACGTTCCCGATCTCCGGCGGCCACCTCAACCCGGTGATCACCGTCGCCGCCATGTTCACGGGCCTGGTGTCCGTCTCGCGGGCCGCCATCTACATCGCGGCCCAATGCGCCGGCGCGGTGCTGGGGGCCCTGGCCCTGAAGGCCGTGGTGAGCGGCGCAATCGAGGACACGTTTTCGCTCGGCGGATGCACGCTCAACGTGGTCGCTCCGGGCCCAAACGGGCCCGTTGTGGTTGGGCTTGAGACGAGTCAGGCCCTGTGGCTGGAGATTATATGTACGTTTATATTTCTGTACGCGTCGATATGGATGGCGTTCGACGGGCGGCAGGCCAGGGCGTTGGGCCGGGTCGTGGTGTTTTCGATAATTGGGCTTGTGGTGGGCTTGATTGTTTTCATTTCGACGACGGTGACGGGGGCGAAAGGGTACGCTGGGGTTGGGATGAACCCGGCGAGGTGTTTGGGCCCGGCTGTTGTGAGGGGAGGCCATTTGTGGCATGGGCACTGGATATTTTGGGCTGGGCCGGGTATTGCGTGTGTGGGCTTTTCTATTTACACGAGGATCATTCCCAGGGAAAATCTTTATGGGTAGAGAGAAGCTTGAAGACGATCAACAACAACAATGACTTGTCATTAGAGGGCACAATCTACTATGATTATGAATAAGGTTTTAGCATAATCTCATTGTTCTTGGTGTCATACAAGTGTTTAAATTTGAAGATGATGATGACAAGGCTTGTAGAAGTGATGGAGTGCCTCACTATAAAAATTAATATGTTACTTTTACTATTAACAATTGAAATTATACATTGACTAAGCGACAACGTTAAATTTTGATCGATTTTAGCTGTTACGTGTAAATTGTAATTGAAGAGAATTCGTGGGAGATAATATTGGACTCAATAAACCTAGAAGACGCACCTGAATTTAAAGAAACAAAATAATGTTTGATGAATGTCAATGAATGTGTCCCTACCATTCTGGATATTTGTAAGAATTGTTTGCTTAAAACATGGGATAATTTAAAAAAAAACAGATGGAAGAATCACATATCTTAAATTCTTGTACCAGCAGAGTTGACTGGAACTGATACTTTTCAATTAGTATATCACATTCACATGGGGAGAAACTCATAAATTAAGCCTAAAACAACAACCTTAAATTATGCGCATTTGTAGACGTGCATGTCTCTATACATGTAGAAAAATATCCACCATACGGCTCGAAATTGTTCGAAGGTTAAGGAAATAAAAATATTAAGCTTCAACATGATTGAGATTATCCAACAAGTAGTTCACAATCGCATACCAGAATTTTTGAACTAATTTTACGTTTCAATTGTATTCTTGTAATTCATCAAAACTTATCAACTCTACATTCATTGAAAGAAGTGAAAAGAAAATTCGGGTTGAAGACGGAATTTTTGAAATGGTATATTTGTTTAATACTTAATACTAATTCGGATTCGGAGATTCCAAATACATCGTACATACAAAAAAATCAATAAGATAAGATAGACTCTGCAGAATGAATAACTTGTATATACGATTCTCCATGAGACAAAGAATCACAATCAAAAGATTACTTAGATGTAAGCTGGTGTGGAATGTGGTGCCTAGGTAGTTCACACAATGGAATCAAATCAATGACATGGGGATCATGTGGCTGCAAAAGATCTTTTAAACTAACCTACAAAACAAATCCATTGTTAGCTAATCATATCTCACATTTAATTCCACAATACATAATTAAAAAAAACACCCATTTCCCATTTCCCTCCTCGTTTCCAGGAGCTCGTCGCCATTAATAATGTCTTGTCTATATAAGCTAAAGCACCAACAGTAAATGGAAGCTCATCTCCTAAAAGACCAAACCCAGACGAGTGCAGAAAGCCAAAAAATAGTTGCAGAAACATGGCTGGTAGTATCGATGAAGAAAGCCAGTGCTGCTGCAACAACAACAATGGAGTCCTGCCATTTTCCTCCACACCAATGCAAGTCTCCTTTTACTTCACTTTAACTTGCCTTTTTTCCCATTTTTGCCTTCTTCTCTCTCTGGAATCAATCTAAAACGAGTTCTCTCCGCCGTGTAATTTGCAGGCCGCTGCTGAAATCAGAGAAAGAGGAGATGAAGCAGCTTGATCAAGCCATGTCACTCCATTCCTTTCTTGGGCTGCAAGATCTCTTCTCGCAAAATGTACGAAATTATGGTTTCGATAGACGGTATAACAGAATGCACGTATTCGTTAAAAATAACTATATGAGCTACGTGCTATAATCTCTTTTTTAGTGATCACATAACACGTTGTTCCTTCCGTCTATAACCAAACATTTTTTTTTTTAAACTGATTTAGATTTGGAGGGCGGCGGTGGCAGAGCTCATCGGAACGGCGGCGTTTGTCTTCTGCATCGACGTCATCGTGATCTCATCACTTGAATCACAAGCCACCATGCCGAACCTCGTCCTCGCCTGCCTCATCGCCGTCATCGTCCCGATCCTAGTCATCGCCACGTTCCCGATCTCCGGCGGCCACGTCAACCCGCTCGTCACCTTCTGCGCCTTCCTATTGGGCCTGGTCTCGCTCTCCAAGGCCCTGATCTACATTCTGGCCCAATGCCTGGGGGCCATTCTGGGCGCTCTGGCCCTCAAGGCCGTGGTCAGCAGCGCGATCGAGAGCAAATTCTCGCTGGGTGGGTGCACAGTCACTGTCGTCGCGCCTGGGCCCAATGGGCCGATTATCACTGGGCTTGGGACGGGCCAGGCCCTATGGCTGGAGATCATTTGTGGGTTTGTTTTCTTGTTTGCTTCGGTTTGGATGGCTTTTGACGGGCGGCAGGTTAGGGCTTTGGGCCGGGTGACGGTGTGTGTGATTATTGGGATTGTTTTGGGGGTGCTGGTTTTTGCTTCGACGACGGTGACGGCGGCGAGAGGGTACGGCGGGGCTGGGTTTAATCCGGCGAGGTGTTTGGGCCCGGCGGTTGTGAGAGGTGGGCATTTATGGGATGGGCATTGGGTGTTTTGGGTTGGGCCGGGGGTTGCTTCGGTGGCGTTTGTTTTGTACGTCAAGGTTATTCCACGGGAGCATTTCCATGAAATAGAGCGAGTGAGCAAGTGAGGGAAAGACAAAGAGGCAAGCAAATCGAGGTTGAAAAATTTGTTTACTTTAAAACTAGCTTTTTACCCGCTCGTTGGGCGGTGCATTCGTATTGTTATTTTATTTTTTGTTCTATTGTTTTTTATGATTTATGTATGTTAAACTATTATACATTGAATTGTTAATTCACTTACTTGATTCTAGGTATTGTTACACACTTTTATATCTTTTGTTTATTTATGAAAATTTGATTTTATTAAATGAGCTCTCAGTAGACTTTTATTATTTATTTATAAGTTGGTGTCGAACCCACAATTTAGGATATAAACATAAGAGATTATCAATATTTTAGCACACAATAGTGACAAAGAAGTTTTAAAAATGAAGTAAGCAAATATGTTTCAATTAATAAAAAAAATAAGCAAAGAGCTTTTCATTTCTTCTCCCTTCTCGTATGTTGGTATGATAATACATAATATCGCGCTCTAAATCTCACGAACATCGTGCACTATCAATTAATTGTGCAATTTTAGAAGAATGAGAAAACGCATTAGCATCCACATCATCAATCTTCTGCTTATTCATTTAATTTATCTTTAAAATGTTCTAGCAAAACCAACCAAATATAGAACTATTAGTTGTCACTAATTTATTAAAACAATATTTTTCAGCAAACTAAATTGCATATAAACACAGTTTATATTTGTAGAGAGCTACATACCCCCTTCAAAAAAAACAATGGTGTATTTTTTTTACCTAATAACAACATAGACGAATTGTAAAAACTGCATACTTCAATAAACCTCAACTCATTGTATCTTGTAAAATCTTCAGTCATGAACACGGTTGATGCATCAATCCGAATAGCTGTTGTCAAGAAAACAATCAGGCCAAAATCAAGTTTTAGTTAGGGATTCAATTAGGCAAAAATTCACGCTAAGGAAACAAACAAATGTCATTGCAAACGTGTAGAAATTGAAAGAACGTTGACATAGACAACTTAGAGACTACCACCACCATTTTCTTTCTTCTTCGCACCTTTATAAAACCTCACACGTGTTCCCTTCTACTTATAACCCCCTCTGCTATGTTTTACTTACTGACCAGATCATAATCATATAGCTAGTAGCATGTCACTCATGAACATAATAAACAACTCTAATAACTCTGCTTTCCATTTTATCATCCACAAAATTGGGATGCAATAGGCAAGTAAAATTATCAATTATTCAACCAAAGGAGAGATACTCTAAGTCCAAGCAATAAACCATTACAATGGTCTATTACATGTGTTACATAAATGTATACAACATAGAGAACCATAAACAACTACCTGAAAAACAAAGAGAAATACATTCATTGATTTGAGCAGGAAAATTTACGATCCAACCATTGTAATCTGGAAGAAATTAAGAAACAAATGGAAATAAGAGTTTAATATGGCTAGTCAACCACAATTAACTACATATTTCTAGGAAAAAGATCAATGGTAAAGAGGGAGCAATGAGCAATCAACGACTTCATTCAATTCGTCTTTGCAATGATAGGATGAACTTTTGTAGTCAATAGTCAAATATATGTTACAGTTGCTCAATTGTTTCCCATCTAATCATTGTCTTATGTAACTCCACCCTCGTATTCTCTTACAAAGAATAAAAACTCAATATCCCTTACTATTCCTTTCCTGTATCTCTTTGAAAAAAGTAGAGAAAAGAAATGCTAGAAATCTCATTTTGAGCAAATAAGAAGAGACGTTTGTCTGTTTTTATGGGGCTTGATCCAATTTTTTCATTTTATTATTCTCAATATTGCGCTTTATTTTTATAGAGAGAATTTGTATGATGATAACTTAATTTTTCATTCCATGTTATTAACTTAATTTATGTTTTATTTATAATGATGATAATTTAAAGAGTAAACAAAAAAAGTATATAAGCAAGAATTAGAACTTGTCCACTGTGCAAGGGTGAGAGCTAGCCATTCGTTGATGTGACACTAATTTAGTTTTAAATTCCTATAATATAAAGTAATGATGGTTTATAATTTTTTGAATTTTTTTTATAAACTTTAAGAATTAATACAATGACATTTCACATACATTTGAATACTCAGATTTATTGTAGACAAATTTATTGTAAATATAAATTCCTTACTGTTACAAAAGAAAAATAGATAAAAATTTCTATTTGATACTTTTATATTGAAAAGTTTTTATTATTGCTAAAAGTTGGCATGGAGTCATAGACTCGCACCATATAACCAAATGACTTATTACAATTGCCTTATTAAGCTCATTCTTATTAGAGATTCTTTATTTTAACCCAATACCTTGATTTAGATTCTTGTAACTATATTTTTCATTTAGATATCTCAACTAACACACTGATATTTATTTATTGTCTCAATACTCAAATTTTGATTTGTCTAAAAGACATTCAACTATTAATAAAAATTTTCCAATCCTTATTTGATCAATGCCTAGGTTAGTGATTGATGAAATGTGACATTTATCGTATATTCTCAACAAAGATTCAGTTAACATTCACACGTGTCATGTTTTAAGGTATATTGTGTCTCGTCTTAAGTTATGAAGTCAAAGTTCGTCAACTCTTATACTTAAATCATTTTGAAAACTTTGATGTATAATCCTAGGCAATAACTCTAAATCTGAAAAGAAAATTTATTAGCATACTATTTATGACCTCAATTGAGCTTGCGCAACCAAAATCATCTAAATCAAATATTTTAATGTGAACTTAAACCAAATTCTAAAATATTGCACATGTGATTACTTTTTTCATTTGAGAAATTTCAGGTAGAACATAAATATATGTTTTCATTTCATCAGGATGAATAAAAATGTTTTTAAAGAAATTATTATTATTATTGCTCGATCAAGTTATATTATGACAATTATTTTATTATATGAAATAATTATTTATATAACAATTATTTAAATTGGTAGACATATGTATTATAAAGAAGAGAAGGTTTAATATATAAATTCATATATTTCATTTCTCAAATTTGATTGATTGTTAAATGCTTAATTTGTTTCTTTGTATCATTACAATTTATTTTATAGACAAATATATTATTATTTATGTGTGTACTTATTTAAATTTTCATCAAAATGTAACTTATTATTAAGTTTTGATTAAAATGAGTAGATAATTTACTTGATAAGAGTTAATCATATATTTTTTGTTTAAACAAACCCGATATATGTCATTCTTTGTTTTCATCTTTATATTTTGTTTAATTGACAAAAATTATTATTATTTATGCTTGTTTTTTATTTACAATTCAATGTAACTTATTATTAATGTTGAGTAAAAGTGAGCATAAAAGAAGAGAGAGATAGCTTAATAAATAGATCAATAATAAATTTTTTGTTAGTAAAAAAAATGTCCACCTAGGCAACTTGTTATTTCTCCAAGTGCTTATGTGGCAAGATGTTACTTTTGAATTGCCATAATATTTAGTATAGATAGATAGATAGATAAATATAGATTAATGTATTTTTTTTTCTTATGGTAAGTCACAAATGGAAAGTGAGAGAATCTTGTTTATATTTTATTGTGTAAGATGTATTTGGGAAATTATTGTTGGATTGTAATCATTTCTACAGGTGAAAAATACACACGTGATTAGGAGTGGCCAACATATCGGTTTGCACTTGACACACAGAATTGTGCCGAATTGATATTTGGGATGAATCGAATTAGATTATTTCGATTCGATTTTTGATCTTATGAATTATTTTAAGTATGAAAAAAAAATATCGAAATTGAATTAGGACAAGACCAAATCGAACTAAATAAACCAACCGTGCGTTTTGATTCGGTTATGGTCCTCGCTTTTTCTTTGTTCTTTGTCTTGTCCTATCTCAATTTGATATAGTTTTGGAGCAAGGTTGTCAACCCACGGGTTGACCCATGGGTCAACCCAATTTGACCCTGACCCGGTGAGAAAAACGGGCCGCACGCACCCGCCGGGCCGACCGCTATAAGGTACCAGGTTGGAGGTCAAATTGTATCATTTTTTTCTTTAGTTTGCGAAATGCGCCTATTTTCCAATTTTTCTTTTCGCCTAACTCAATCTTTGGAATACTAAGTTGAACATTTGAATATTTATGTTATATAAGTGTGTATGAATTTTCACTATATGTTGGATCTAAGTACGATATGTTATTTTGGTGTAATATTATATGTTATAACTCATATGTTGGATAGGATTTGATATAATTTATGAGGATAAGTACAATATAATGACTCTTTCTATATTTTCGGGCTAAACGGTTGACCCATTAACCCTTGACCCACTAGCTCGACCGGGTCCGGGTCAACCAGCGGGTTGACAAGATCAGGAGTGAACCGATCGATACCCACCTTTGGACGTGATACATTAGAGAGATTTTCAAAATATTTCCTACTTTCTAAAATATTTGAAGTGAATGAACTATTTTCATTGCACTCGCATCGAAATGTCGTGATAAAATTCGATTGCATTTATTCAAATTTCATGTGTCGAAGTTTTGCTTTTCAATCAATTTTCAGATAAGAAATTTGTTGGTTGTCGCATTTATTGTCAAACTCATCACGACCATAAATTCCAACCACCTTCTCCAATAATCACGATGATGGATCGCTCAAGGTTGTGGTTTTCGCTCATTCGCCCCATAACTTTGGCCTTCATAAATGTTGAATGGGAGAAGTCATTGTGAGAGTAGTACCATTAATTGTGTATTATATAAGGTCCGTATTGAAATTGTTTGATATCAAATCTAATAATGTTAACTAAAATTATGTCTCCTCTACTCAATTATGTCTGCTAATGATACTTGGTGAATGGGACGTGTCACTTCATTCGTAGGAATAGCCATAGGTGAAGAAATTTGACTTATTGCCAGAATAGAGTGGGCCTGCTCTCAACTTGGGCCCAATGAAGCAATCATCATTTACTTTATCTGTCGGGCCGACAATCAGCCCCTCTCTGGCCCGCGCTATAAAGTTGTGCGCTCCTCCCCACTTGTTTTTTTATACAATTAAAAGTCCAGCACTACAATTTTCATCACCATCAAAGTTCAACCTCTTGAAGTTCTTCAAAGTTCCAACATCGAGTAAAGCTAACCTGGTTATTATGAAGAAGAAGAAGAAGAAGAAGAAGAAGAAGAAGAAGAAGAAAAGAAAAAAAAAAGAGTGTAAAGCTAACCTATCATTGAGCAAGCGAAGAAAGAAAGTTTAAGTTAAAGTTAAACCTTAACTTAAACTTTAAAATGATTTATAACATAAGTGTCGAAGATGAAGAAGCAGTAAAAGGGTTTCGAACAATCCATTTCGATAACATTCGACTCAGTCTAAATGGTTGAAACCTTAACTTAAACTTTAAAATGATTTATAACTTGACTATCGTAATATTTGCATGTCATATATGATACATGTAATCAATAAAAAAAAATAGTCTGATTTCATCACTAATTGATCTCATGTTTAGATACTATGTTGGTATAATATAATTTAGTTTATAGTTTTTAACTAATTCATATTATGTTATTTAATAATATTTAGTAACTAAACATTCTATAATACTATAATTTTCCTATCACATCATAAATGTGACATATTCAAAGTCTTAACCCATAATATATTATAGATTATATAATCTAACAAACATATGAATTATTAAGAAGTCATGTCATTAGTTATAGGTATTGATTCGCTCATAAGTCACTAGTTGAATTGGCTCGCTAATTATATTATTGAGTCAGCTCATTAGTTGAACTCAACGAGCCACTGAATCGAGCTACCTCGCGAACCTCATAACCCGAACAAGGATGGGCTCGTGCTTAACTTTTTTATTAACGAGACGAATTACAAATGTGCTTTTTTCCGAGTCGAGCGTCGAACTCCTCATTAGCAGGTTGACTAGTAATTGCACTCAACATCAAAATGTAAACGGAAAAACCGATTACATTTATATTCAAACTTCATGTAGCTAAATTTTTGCTTTTCCGTCAGTTGGGCCCTTGCCCCATTTATTGTCAAGCTCACCACGTTTTCAATGACCATAAACTCCAATGACTTTCTCTAGTGATGACGACGACGATGCATCGTCCAACTAGTTTGTGGTATTCACTCATTTACCACTATAAATTTGGCATGCATAAATGTTGAATGTGAGTCAATGGAGGATGGTAGGGGTGGTTATTTGGTCACGGCTTTTTGTTCTAACGCAAAATCGGACTGAATAGTAAACAATTCAATCTCATATTCGGATTTAGATTTGAAGTAAAAAATAATTTGGGGCTGGACCGAAAACTGGAAAAAGACCGGATAAGAGAGTCCAACACCCAAAAACTTAACCAACTCCTCACCCTTTAAGGCCTCACGCCACTCAAATCCCCACAAACTCAATATAAAATCAGGACCGAATTGAGACCGGACCGCATCAAGACCGGACTACATCCAATCCAATCTTTGGTCCTTAAATTCCCGAAAAGACAGGACTGAGACCAGATTAACTTGGGTCAATTTAACCGGACCGGACCGTATAGCCACCCCTAGAGGATGACACCATTAATCGTATTTTTTACAAGTTCTATATTAATATTGTGTGATGTACGATATCATCTCATACTACTCAATATGGTTGGTAAACAAATGTCGATTTTTTTTTAGCAATGTACATAATACATCATCAAATATTTAATATGATTTCTCAAGATCTAGTTTCCTTCAATGAATGGATGTTAACGAATTGAGTGGATGTTCTAATCACAACTTGCAATAGACAGAGAAGTATATAGTGCCAGTCTGCCACAACAGGCTACAGTACAATAAATCAATAATACAATCATTCATATTCAGAACCAATCTTCAACCAAGTCTTGCGATTCTAGCCCAAAAGTCAAACATACAAGAAAACCCACACATTTCCAATCGGATAAATCAGTACATAACTTTTATGTCAATGATTGGCATTGAAGCACTCTATTAAGAGTTGTTTGTGGTTTCATTTACAAAAAGACTATCATCTTTCTTGATCATATTAGTGGGTCAGCTCAAATCAATCTAACGTATTTATTTTTTGAAAATTACATTTTGATATGTTTTTTCAACAATTTAGTAAATTTTACAAACAGGTAAAAAATACTTGATGTTAAAATTAGTTTTAGTACATTTATATTTTTTTTATCTTGCTTTATAGTGTCTAAACTTTACAAACATATATGATGTGTTGGTATGGAAAATTTTCATATCACTAATTAAAATAGCTCGCAGGGGCAAAACGTGGCTCGACACTAAGTTGATCCGATCCTAAACAGATCTGTAGAAAAACTTACCCAACCCAACCTTTAGGATTCGGTCAAACCGGACAGAGTCATTATCCAGTGTCATGCTTACATCCCTCCCACCAAACCTTTCTATTCACACCCATTAATTTCATGTCGGAATAAACAGTTTTTTTTTTTTTTTTTAACTTTTAAGTCAACATTTTATTTTGTCTAATTTCTCCCCCTCTTTTCTAGTTGTGGTTTTGGTCAATGATTGGCATTGGTTGTGTTGACAAATGGGTAGTCTCCTAAGTGCCGCCATTTGTGTCTTCTCAATTGTTTAATTCGGGTGCGATCACGGATTAGGCCTATAATAAAAATATTAATGAGTGTGATGCATTTGTATCTTCTCACACCATCATAATTCCATTATTACAATCAATTGAAGAGAAAAGCAGAACTTATGACTATCTGTTCATCGGCCAAACCAAATAGATTCAAAGTAAGACAAACTTTAAAATGGCACTTGGTCAGTCAATTCATGGGGTAATTTAATCTAAATGCTATTGCTCGTAAGGGTATTAGGTTGACCAAAAATGAACATATATGCACTCTTGCTGTTGGATTTGGTTGGTTTCAGATTGAGTTCAATTTGGATCGACTTATTTAGCCAGGATTCAAATGGGTTTATTATGAACTAGATGATTGTACATGCAAAAAGACAATACCGACTATCTCACTAACTGACATAAACCCAATCCACACAATTAATGCAGGTATTTCACCATTTCTCCAATACTGCTTGTTCCAGGATAAAGAAAAATTAAAAAATCGGATCATAATCGAGTATCCATTTTGTTTTGGGTACCCATCACAATGGATATAATTTAGACCCAAACTAAAATATTGAATGTGAGTATACTCAAAAGTGATGTTTACCCAAATATGATTTGACGTATAGTAAACTGAATTTGGCGAATATAAAGTTTTAGGTCTTTTTTTTGCCATTCTCTACACGATTGTATTTCCTTCTACTTGTTACCCCCACTCATCGATCTCTCTAATATAAACACGAGCTTATATCTTTGTCGTCGGTAATCTCCTTTGTTCTTCACTAAAGCCTTCTTAATTATTCAAGTTGCGTGGGTGGGAAGTGGGATGAGGCGTATGAAAACACAAATGAAGTGAGTGTGACATATTCGTCACATCATCATAATTGTACAATTTCAACCAACTGATCAAAAAGGCATAAACACGAACTTACGTCTACGTCGTCGTAGGGCCAAACTACAAATAAATTGGAAGCGGGACGTTCCATCTACTCATTTCCCCACACTACTCGTCTCAAATTTATATATATTCACCAAATCTCATCATCGTCAACTACAACCAACTCCCAGCTCCTCTCCATCTCAATAATCAACCAAGGTTTTTGCCGGTGCTTCACCCAATCCAATCCCCGCCGGCCGGTCATCATGGCCACCGTCAACGATCATCACCTTACAGCTTCACCAAGCTCCAAATCCACCGCGAAGAAAACCTTTCTCGGTCTCGACATTGGCGCTCACGAGTTCTACTCGGCTGAGGTAAGAAACACCGACTCAACAAATTCCATTTCCCCACTGAATTAGTGACGAAATCAGAAATTTAAATGAGTAGATGGCTTGAACAATAATAATTGAAAAAAAGGATTAAATCTTGGCGACTGTTATATTTCTTAAATTTGTCACGAATTTTACTATGTAATTTTAACTATATTTTCATTTTTTGTAACGACAGATGTGGAAGGCTTTAGCGACGGAGCTCGTGGGCTCCACGCTCATCCTCCTGTCCCTCGCCACCGCCGCCGTCGGCTGCTCGGAAGCCCAACACTCCGATCCGAAGCTCACCATCCCGCTCTTCGTCTTCGTCATAGCCTTCCTCTTCCTCTACGTCACAATCCCGATCTCCGGCGGCTTCCTCAACCCGACTTTCGCCACCATCGCCGCGCTCAAGGGCGTCGTGACGATCACGCGCGGCCTCTGCTGCGTGGTCGCCGAGTGTCTGGGCGCTCTGTTGACTTCCGTCCTCCTCCGTTTGACCATGGCCCACCCGCTGGCCCAGAAGTACTCGCTGGCCGGGTGCGTGATAAACGACGCCGTTTCGAACTCTGGCGTTGGGCAAGGAACGGCGTTAGTTGTTGAGTTCACGTCCGCGTTTCTTGTTCTTTTCACGGCCGTGACGGTGGCGTTCGACCGGGTTCGGGCCAAGGAGATCGGGTTGGCGGGCGTGGCGGCTCTGATCGCGACGGCGTATGCGCTGGCGTCTTTCGTGGGTATTACCGTGACCGGGCGGGCTGGGTACGGCGGAGCGGGCCTGAATCCGGCCCGGTGTATGGCTGCTGCTGTTGTGTACGGAGGCCCGTTGTGGGATGGGCTCTGGGTTTTCTGGGTCGGGCCGATGTTGGCTTGTTTTGTTTATTGGGCTTTCAGTCTGACCTTCGCCCAAGAAAGAATGGTTGTCACGAAGGAAGTTGAAGAGCCATGTGTGTAACGATTTCGATTTGGTATTTGGGTCAATGAATAGGTGTAATGATTTAGTATGTACTGGATTATATAGGATCAAATCGAATTAAATATAATTAGCTTTCAACCAGGCTATTGGTTAGGATACTTTATTGATTATATCAATAATAATCACAGTATTTATCAAAAAATAATAATAATCACAGTTATATTAAAAAAAAAATTGTGTTTCCAAATTTTTATACTTTTGTATACGTTATTCATGAATATTGTGTTACTAGACCCAACCCGATTTCGCTGGACATTTCCCATCTCATCTATTGCTTATTGTTAAATCTCTTCATACATGATACATCCCTCCCGTCTCTAGCTAAATTTCTGCTTCTCGATTCAATTTCTGCATCAGAGAGACAGTTTGTCTTCAAATCCATTGATGTGAATCCATTTAGCCTCAACCAACCTCACACCCAATGCAAAAGCTTTTGCTAAGGTTTACCTGACTCAGATTTACTTCAAATTCAATTACAAGCAAAATGGTTGATGATTTTGCACAAATTCATATATTTCGATATATATCGTATTATAACTAACGATGAAAAATCTTCTTTTAGTATCGTATTATAATGAACGAGCGACAGGAATACAACGACCCTAGAGTTTTCCATCCATTAAAGAGTGAGGAAACTACACCAAAATTTTATTGAATACTCCATTAATCAAAACTTTCACACATGCATCGAATCAACAAGAACTGGAAAGGCTGTTGGGAATGAGAATGGTGGGACTGTGCCAGGCGTAGGAGAACTTGACAGAGGCCCTGGGAGCAATCGGGTTTCCGCCATTGACAAGGCACTTGTCGCCGTTCTGCTTGAACAGGGCCGGGTTCACTGGCAGAGTGCTGGCGAATCCTTTGCAGGAAACGACCAGGTTGCTGATGGGGCAGGCGCAGTTGTTGATCACTTCCACGTTCCACTGCGCCTCGCCTTCTCGTGTACTCCCGCTCCTCGTCGTCCCAATCGTCACGCCGTTCAGATCACAGACGCACAGCCCTGCAACGACGAAGGAACAGAACCCAATTTTCATGTGTGTGGTAAACACTAAAGACTCTGTTTATGGAGGCAGGGGACGAATCTGGAACAGAGTACTCTGCTCCCCAAAACCCACTTTCAAAGTTTTATTCAAAACATAACATGGAATTCATGTACCTTTGGTGGCAAGGACGAGAGCGGCGATCAGATTAGCCAAAAGATAATTGGTGATTGCAGCCATGTTGATCAATCGGTTGCTCTTTCGAGAGTGGAAAATGTGTTTTTGAAAGTTGAACTTGAAAGCTCTGATGGTAAGGTGTTTTGGCACTTTCATCTTCCTCCCAATTTATAGATGTGAATAGTAATGGTAAGTTTTTTTGGAAAAGGGGTTGATTGTATCCTCGTTCAGGTTTTGGTGATCCTGTTTAAGAACATTGAATTCTGATTTGGGAATGTCGGTTTAGTACATTGTAGATACATGAAAGCAGAGAAGGAAATTTGGATATACCTTATGCATAAATGGTTCTTGTTAGAGTATGCATATAGGAGGACGATGCTATTCATGGAACCACAAAATGGTACACGGGTAGATAAGTCTGTACTTCGATTCTGATAAGATCATTTTCCATGAAAAACTATCTTCTATATTCATCCAAAGGAGAGCAGACTTGGAACATCGCGTTGCTACGAGAGCAGAACACGAAGCCATCTTCCAAAAAAGGGTTCATCTTTACAGGGGAAAACCATTCCATACATAGAATGATTAGTACAAGGTATTAGAGTTTAGTACACTTAACCAAAAGAACACATTACAGCAGCAAGTAGTGAAGAACTGTCCGTTTGGATCATTGATCTAGTTGAGAGTAACACATCAGACACAGTTCTTCTACCTTTTCCTTTGGCTTCTTTGCATTCCTCGTGTTTTATTATCAGTATCAGTCTATCATGCTCTTGTGACACAGTAAAAAGTGTTGAAGAGAGGTAGTAGAACTAGGAAGATGGCTGCAGAAGTGTGGAGGCAGAGGCAATTGGTTCGTGGACAACAGAGTTTGAAGCGACTGAGATTGGATTCCCTTCCAATTGCAACATTATGCTGCCCAACATTTCAGCCACTGTCTTCCTGAACTCATCCTCCTTCAGCTGCTTCCCGTCGTCAGCATTCACCATCTTGAGTGCTTCATTCAACACCTGATCCATCTGCGGGCACCGAAACTACGTGAGTATGTTACACCAGCTTCTGCAGCGGAAGCGAGCTTGAAAGAAGAAGTTACCTCTTCAATTGCACCAATTGGTGGTAGACCAGCAGATGGAGAAACTGAATCAAGTGCCATCCGCAAGTACTCTTTGGATATCTTCCCAGTCCGATCCCTTGGCACATTTTCTAGTGTTGAGTTCAGCATCTGCAACAAGTAATTAAAGGCGAAGATGGGTATGCTGCAGAACTACGTTAAGAGTAAGGTGATGTATGGAAAAAGAAATTGGTAAGCTAAAGAGTACTTTGTCTAGTTCAAACTTGTTGGACAGAAGTCTCCTAATCCCACTTCCATCAAAAGTGTTCTCGGTATGTGCGACGATGACAGGCTGCTCTTTCAGACGTTGAGCCACACATTCAGCTGCTTTCTTGAATGCAGCTAAGAATGCCTCTTGAGTGGCAGCAGGCTTGTTCAGTTCTTGGTCAGCAAGTAATTGCAGTGATGGCTCCAGTATGTTGCTTACCACCTGTCATGTTGACATGTCATGCCATTCTCTTATACAGATGATGATCATGATAACGAGTAGAACGACGGGATTAATGGTTCTACCAGACTTACCCAAGAATCAGAGCAGGGAGGTATCCCATGATCGACTGTAAGTTTCTCAAAGGCTTTGACTATGCAATCATGGAGTGGAAAAGCATCAGGTGATTCCAACTCTGAGAAGATAGAAAGCATCTCTGGTTCATAGCCTGGTCCATTGATGAACTCCAACAGGTCTTCTCCATCGATACGGAGTATGACCACAGGGTCTCTCTTCAAACCTGCAGCCATGCCTATCAGAATATCTGAAAGCACCTCTTTAAACTTGGTCTTGCTCACTTTCTCTTGCTTGCCATGAGTGAACTCATTTAGAACCTACAGGGAAGAAATACAGACAGAACCTTGTCAAATAAACATATGCAGAACTGCAAATATAATGGAAAAGCTTACATCTTTGCAACGATCATGGATCCTAATCGCCCCAGAAACTTCACACATGCAAAAAGGGGTACTATTCTAGACTTGTACTCGCATAAACATTGTATCTATCTCTTAAAGAAAGTTTAGCAGCCCAGGATCTCAAAGTATTATCAGCTTGAAATTCTGGCACGAATAGCAGTGGGATATTGAGTATCGACAAAGGAACAAACAGACAATTATCTTTATCTTCAAAAAATCAAATGGCACATCCAAATTCGTAAGACATTCAAACGAGAGAGACCTGCCACGAAGTTTAGGGACTCCTAAAATTCCAAAACCACGTTAGCACTTCGGTGGTCCTTGTTCTATCTTAACCTTGTAACTTATAGTGTCCATGGAAAAAGGCACGATCTTTTACATGTTAGGTACCGAAACCTTATCACTTTGCCACCATTCCAAGCAACTTCTTCGAAAACAAGGTATATTTGTAGTGTCAGGTCTCCCTACTGAGCCTTCATGAAAACAGGTAGGCCAGTGGATCCCTTCGTCGCCATCACCAGAAATGATGGCAATTGACTTTATAGGTACATATTGAAGGGGAAAGAGCAACAATTTATCTACAACTTTCGGCCTTAGATTCCACCTTACAGGTAAAGATGGAAAGCCACAAGGAAAAGGTCGTATAGGTGGGGGGAAAAGATGAACCAAAGTCCAGATTTTTTTAAACAAACACACCGACCATGTTTGAATAAATGGAGTTGGGCAGCTTGGGAATTTCTGGAGGTAGCCGGAAGAGGGAAAAGATCCAGCATGAAACTGTGCCAACCCACAAGGCCACAAGAACTTTAAACAAGGGAAGCTAAGGTAATGACGATTGTATGGAAAATCAACACAAAACATCTAACTTCATTGGATGGATTTGTAGTTGATTAATACTGCATACAGCTGGGAATAAGATAATCAGACGTAATCAAAAGCGGTAGAAGTCAAAATCACACGTAATTATCTCCTAACTTATCTCAAGCAGCACAGTGGGTTGAAGCCAATTACGGTGGAATTCTTTATTCCCCAACTGCCACCCACTCCCCAAACTTCTGGGTATACGACGGGGTGGTACCACTCCGCCACTACTCAAAGCAAAGCACGCACTCATATTCCAAGCAATCCAAGCATTGGTGTTTGATAGCTCCAAAAAATCAACCCGGCCTTCTCACACGCATATCATCAGACAGTTGGTCGACAAAACAATAACACTACTACTCGGCTCAAAACACGACAACCCAGAAAGGGAAGAGCCGAGAACAAGCAGACCCAGAAGGGGGGAAATGGAATGTGGACTGACCTCGGAGTAGATGAGATCGGAGTCAGGGGAAGAGCCTTGAGCAGGCAAGCCAAGCGCAGCGCCGATATCAGCGACGGCAGGGTGGAGCTCTTTGACGGAGAGATGGCCGTCTCTGTCTCTATCCAGTTCAGAGAACTTATGATCGACGAAGCTGCTAAACACTTTCTCGTTCCCAACCAACTCCATTATATCCGAACCGTCCAGCACCTGCCCATGGTTATGATTAAGACTGTGATGAGATTGAGCGGCCCCTGCAGTAGCAGTGCTGAAACCTGTGTCCATAATAAATTGTTTCTTCTTTCCCCCTTTTCGGAGCTTTTTATCTGAAACCCACTCCGCTTCTTGTTTTCCCTTGTGATGGGTTTCTTTGCCTTTCTTGGAATATGGATGGGTACGCTTGCTTTTTGCGGCAATGGCGAGCTCGTGAGTCACACGGGGGGAAAAGCAGAGGAAGAAGAAAAAGGGACCTGGCTATTGGTGGCTATTTCGGCTGGTTGGGGTTGCTGGGTGGAGGATGAGGAAGGAAGGAGACAATCTTAAATATGCGGGCGAGGGAGTGGAGACAGAGGAACGAGTTTGTGAGAGAGGTGAGAGAGGAAAGGAGAGGTGGAGATTGGGAGAGTGAGACACGTCTGCTGTCATTTTCAAAGCACGTTTACCTGCCTCCTCTCTTTGTTCTTTTTTCTAATCAATCTACTGGAAAGATCGATCCAAAAATGATATCCATGGCGTGGCGTCGGCTCGTGAAAATTGTCACCGGCCGGTCACATTGGTCGGCTCACTCTGCAAAAGGATAATTTAGAACGGTTGAAGAAGTTGAGATACAAAGCTGTTCGTTCAAGTGACCATGTCTTACTCATTTGCACAAATTTGGATGGCTAAGATCCGATCTAGAGCCGAGGTTCGGGTCCGTACAAAATGTTACTATGTTTATAAGCGTATACTAAATGCGGTATATGATTGATCTATGATGGAATTTAAGGGGGTGCGAAATCCATGATGAGCAGGTGATTCGTTGGGAGCGTCCGCCCATCAATGTCGAGAAGACCGAGAATATGGTGTTAACTTTCAATATCGACAACTCAATTGCTAGGTTGATAAGAGTTTTTATGAAGTGAGTTAACATTATTTGACCGACCCATTATTGAGTTTTCCACCACAGTCTCATTCGTCCATTGAATGGATTAATGCGAGTAACTCTAGCAGAAATTGAATCATGTCAGCGCTGCGCTTGAGATATGTTGATCTCAAGCAGATGATGTCGATATTGTCATCCTATAGAATACTAACCAACTTGAATACAACTTTTTTTTTGTGTGTGGCTAAATTCTCTTGTTTCATGTGATGGTGTTAAATAAAACACAGGATAAGGATACTAACTACTAAGAGTATTTGAGTAAAGAAACATAAGACCACTAATCAAACTCCAACTCCAACTCTTAAGAAATCAACCAATCAAGTAACTAACATTCTGAATCTTCCATTTAAAAAGCTCTCAACATCCTTAATCACCAAATTAGACGATTCCACTTATCAAGAACCCAGAAGGTGGTTCGTTTCATGATTAAGTAATTAACAAGTGTAATTAGCACCGACCAATTTGGTACCAATATCATATTGCATAGGTCTGCGCTCCGACCAATCAATGCCTTGGTTTCTACACAAACGATTAAATCATTTGACCACCGCCTCCATCTCCCCGCGGTTCGTCTCTCACAATGACGTCAGCCATTGCCTCACCCCGCCTGTATATTTATGAGTATCCGAACCAAAATTATGATATTTTGTGAGGACACGTTTCAGCATCTGGTTGGACGGAAGTAATCCCTAAAATGGGCCCCGAATGAGCTAATAGCGAATATAAAGGTCCAATACAGTTCTTATGATAAAGTGATTCATAATCCAAAGGGCCAACTCGCTTATCGCTATGAGAAGCCCACATGGCTCATCAGAGGCCCAACCCAACGGATCGCCATTGCTAAAAGGAGCGGAATGGCAATGACCACTGGATTTATAGTTAGTCGATGGAAACAATATTTTGGTAAGGGTGACATAGCCCATATGTATGTTTTTTCAATTAGTTGATGAAATAATGAGACGAAGATATGAAAAAATAAGATTCTTGAATGAAAATTAAGGAATTTTATCGGCCGAGTGAATGATTTTCAAGAAACAAACAAATTGATTTATTTTCCTTCAAAATTAGTTGACACAAAATAAAAGGATGATGTGATAGTGAATGATTTTCGAGAAACAAAAAATTGCTTTATTATCCTTCAAAATTAGTTGGGACAAAATAAAAGGATGATGTGATAGTGATATGCAGCCACGTAGGCTGATCCTAAAAGAGTAATTGATTAAAGAAAAAGTTGGTCATTAAAATTAAATTATTGAAGTCGAAAGTTGAACAACAATTGTCTTTTAATTTGATTTTTTAAATTGGGTGCAGCGCATGTTAACTTTCATTCACGAATCAGTCGGGTCTCAGAGAACTTGACACAGGTTGACTGTCGTACAAAAGAAAATGCTACAATGCCGGAAGTGATGTAGAAACATGGTGAAGCCCTTTGAATAGTCGATGTCCAAAACCTGCTAAGAAGTCTGCGCTTTTGTTAACTTCACGGTATAAGGACACCTTTCCTGAGGATCCCCTTAATTGCCATGGGTGTCATTGGTCATGAGTTCCAAATCCTAGCACAATCAGGATTCACGATTTATTAGTTCAATTTATTTTGTGCTTTGATCTTGGTATAATAGTCAGGGACCAGCGGGTTGGGTTTGAGTTTTCAAACTCAGCAGGTTTTACCCCGGGTTTTTTTGGCGGATAAACCCATGGATTTGGATTTGGGTTTGACAAAATCCGCCCCAACCCGACCCATTGCCATCCCTAGTTGCAGGTGAGCTTTTAGTCTACTTGTAATGCGTGTTGGCCCTCCCGACGACGAAATAGGTGCAAAATAAATTTCGATGTGCTAAAAAACGTTAAAGCATGAAATCCATGTGCCATGATCGTCGTTTTAGTGTGAAATGTTTCATTTTGCGTCTCAAAAGTGTATAGTGATTGTCTGCTCCGTACAAAAGAAAATCCTCGTATCATTGGCCGTACACTTATGGACTAAATTTTTTTATTTTTCATTTTGTTACCTGTCCTGCAAAGATACCTCTCACAAAAAGAATGCAAGTGGTGAAGCGTCTATGCTTTCATAAAATATATGCCTTTATTGCAGATCGTTTAGAAGCTCCACAAGAGCTAGATGACCATGAACCATTTTTTGGTTATAAAAGACCAACAGAAGAAAAAAAGAAAAAAAACGTAAATAACAAATAACTTAACATATAGAGCTGCTGAATTATGTAAAATGGGATTTCTAACTTCTATTTGTTCATCCCAAGCTTCTCCTTGGCGACATCAGCAGCTCCCTGTGCCTTGGCTTGCATTTGAGAACCAGCCTACCAATGCATTAAAAAATAAATAAAAAAGGATTAAGCAAAATTCATTTTTGATATCTTACAAATGCGTTTTATTCAAGTTGACAAAGTATGCAAAATGATTTGAATGAATAACATTATATTTTACCTCCTGAACGGATTCTTTGGCGGACTGTGCAGCATTGCTGGCCTTGTCCATCATGCCGCTGGCTTTCTCCTAACGAATCGGAATACAAGAAAATGCAGAGTTTTTGTTTACGATTTGGCTATTAACATATCTAGCAAGTCATTTTTATTGCCGTAAGATTTGTTGCCTTTACAAATTACACAACACATAGTACACAGACGAGAAATCAAAACGGCTAACCTGAGCTTGGGCCTTGGCCTGGCCGGCTTGGTAGCTAGCGCTCTGGGAATTGTCCATATTGAAGGTTTGAGGGGATGACTTTAGGCAACTAAGACTGAAAAGAAAATTGTTAACGAGGAGAAATTGATCTAGAGTGATTTTGCTCGATGATGGAAGAAGTTGCGTCTCAATGTCAAATTTATATATGTGTTACGCGTTGCTAGTGAGATACTAGTTTGTGGCAAATCAATTGGGTTTGAAGGTTTCAACTTTCAAGGGGTCTAAATTGAGGAAGTTGCTATTGTTATACGGAATGTATATGGATGATTTTCATTGTGTATTGACTATCGAACGATTAAAAGGCGTCTCTTTCCAATTCAGTCTATATTAAGCTATATTCCTCCCAAGTAAAAAAAATCAAACGTCAATTTTACAATCAAAGATTTCAACAAGTAGTAGTTTTGAAGATAAAAAAAGATTGAAAGACAAATAACCATCACATTGCGGTTCAAAATAAGTATTTTTACGATGACCCAAAACCGATCAATACTAGCCAAATTCTAGGGTCGCCTACATTGCTTCAATTTGTTTTAAGCATGTGAACATTATTTTGTCCAAAGCAAATGTTGAGCCTCCCTAACACATAATGTTCAATAGTAGCAAAGCTCAATAAGTGAAGCCTTGCACCATATATGCTTGTTAAACTTCATTTTGTATAAGGGTGCAATTAGTTAGAATCGAAAGTTTAAAGACTTTTCTGTTATTTGAGGTACATATAAGACCTAAACGGTAATAAACCATTTTTTTATTAGCAGCCTTTATTATATTTTTCTCCGATAGGATGAACGGTTGAGATTCGTGCCAAATTCGACGCTGGCGATTCGTGGTGCCGAAACAACGCCACGTCAGCAAAACGATATCCAGTTTGTGGGGAGTTAGTTAAAACCGGAAGCAAGCGCCTCGTTCCACTCGCTTCCGGCTTCACTGTGTCACCATTCTTCTTCTTCTTCTTCTTCTTCTTCGGTCCTTCTCCCGCCCTCTCTTTCGAATTGCCGCCATGGAGTTCGGAGTCTCTGCCGCTTCGCAATCCCTAACTCTGCTCTCCGGCACGCAATTGCCGTCCGCGCTCTTGTCGACGAACTCAATCCGGAGAGAGTTCCTCGGCTGCGGCCACAACCTCCGTCCTCCCGGCGGACTGCTCCGCTCCAGGGAGGCAAAATGTCGGAAGGTAAGGATTCGGAAAGGCCGGCCTCCTCGGCGATTTGTGGTGGCGGCGAACTCGGTGATGCTCGTGGTGGCCGTCACCACGGTGTCCGCCGTTTCCGTTTTCTACTTGAATCGGTACTTGAAGACGAAGAAGGCGCAGGGGAAAGAGAGCTCCGATGAGGTAAAATGCTCAATTTTCTTAACTTCGAAACTTCCGATTCCGTTCTGTTTCTCCGTATTCGAGATTTTGAAGTCGAATTTGGAAAGTAGAATGCTAGTAGTTTTTTAGACTGTCTAATTCGCGAATCAACGCTCTGCAGCTTTGAGCAGCGCTAAACGAATTTGATGGATTAAGGAGAGGGGAAATGCTAGATGATACTTAGGCTAAGCGAGACTGGGGGAATTAGCTATTCGTTGCAGGAATTTAAGTTCAGTCTAATGTGAAACTGAATCTTCGATCATTTTCAAAATGCAGGCGTTGGCTTCCTTGAATTCAGTAGTGACTCATCTGAGCTCGAGCATCATGAGCCACATTCATGGTAATCGGTCTTTACGACTCGGTGATGCTCAGAATGGGGTTACTCAAGCTCAAAGTAAGGAAGTCACGATGAAGGAAGATGAGAAAGTCTCTATTTCGGTAACCACAGATAGGCATGTACAGCTTCAGGAGATGCATATTGGTTCTGGATTGGCTGAAACTGTGGAGTCTCCTGCTGTGGTTTTCGCTTCCTCTAATGCTTTAGATTATGCGGATTCCAAAGAATCCGAAACTGCTGTTCTGTCTCCTTCAGCTTCTGTGACGGCTGCTTTGCCTCTTGTATTTGATGGAGAAACGTCTGAATTCATGCCAGAGAGGGCAAGAGAGGAAGGCGAGTCATCTGCGCACGCAAGTGCCAATGGACAAGTTCAGTGGGTGCATAACGGTTCTGTGATAACTGAAATGAATGAATCTTGCTCTGCTGATTTTCTGGCCTCTACTGTTGTTAACAATGTGGCTTACAAAGATTCGGTGGTGAGCCTGCCTGAAGCTGGTGATATTCGGTCAATTATCTTTGTGAAAGAAACTGTGGATTTCCCATTGGAAAAGAATGGTCACATTCCACAACTGAGGACTGAGTCAGCTGATGAAGTGGCGAGTGCAGAGTCTAGCTCTACTTCGGTAACTAGGGATGATGAATCAGGCCAAATGTTTGACATTAATAGATTTTCTGGCTCCATGCAAGAATCTATGAGGGAAGGTCTTCACACATTTTTTCAGTCAAAGGAATCAGTGGTCAAATCTGCTGAAAAGAAAGTTGGTTTTAAATCAATGTGTTCTAGTTCCTCACTACAGAGTAGAACCCTTTTTTCTTCTTTGAAAGTGAATTCTGCACGGAAAGGGGCAGAATTATCAACACAGACGTCCCTTCAGACCCCAGGTTTCCATATAATGCATGTAGTTTCTTCTTGGTTTGAGCTGATTTAACTTCCTCTGTACACCAAGAATTCAGAAGTTTAACTTGTATTTGTATTCTACAGAAAACTTGAACGGAAAAGTACATCAGGCAAATGATGAAGGGGGTCCTGTTGAAAAAAGTACGAGAACAGGAAGCATCAAAGCAAACAAGAAGGGAAGTGGACGTCTAAAACATGAAAACAATGGGAAGCCATCAAAGCTCCCAAGTCCTAACGGGTTTCATGCGAATGAGAGCAACAAGCCACCAGAACAGTTCAATGCGTACAATTACTTGCTGAAGGATGGGAGGTGAATGTTACTGAGCGATCCACACAACTCTATATTGAGATTGGCTTTGGTGATACATGTTATCATTCTTGGTATCATGTTCATTCAACATTTTTCTCCTAACAAATATAGGTTATTTCGCGGGCTCTTTCAGGTTAGTAGAGTGTGTAGAGTTTCTGGAAGACATGGAAAGTAAGGGTTTCCTAGACATGAACAAGGTTGCTTCTTACCTGGGTCATTGTTCACTAACATTGTTTTACAATTCGAGTTCTGGTCTCCATAACCTATTAAAATCTCTGGTTTTAGGTCTATCATGCTAGGTTTTTTGACACGTGCAAACGTCAAAAGGCTGTGAAGGAAGCTTTCCGTTTCTGCAAGCTAATTCCAAATCCAACATTAAGTACGTTTAACATGCTTATGTCTGTGTGTACAAGCTCACAAGACTCTGATGGTGAGTCAATTATACTGTCTCATCTTAGTTTCATGTCGTCTGCCATAGCCTATTCTAAACATGCTGTAATTTGTGGAAATTGTTTCTTCCATTAGCGGCATTTCAAGTTTTAAGACTCGCGGAGGGTGCTCGATTGAAACCTGATTGCAAACTTTATACTACTTTGATATCAACCTGTGCGAAATGTGGAAAAGTTGATGCAATGTTTGAGGTACTTTAACTTCTCCACTTTTTGTACATAGCCAATAGAAACAATGTTACTATCTCTTGGGTTTCTGTATATCTGATTCATCATGGCACCCGCCTCGTGTTTTGTTTGTACACTACCCTCTCATTCCTTAATTTTGGGCGGAATTTCTTTGGTAGCTTTCTACTTCTCTGAGTTTAAGTATTTGATATTCACTTTTTCAATTTTCATAGAAGTCAAGGTTGAAGACCTCTCCATGCTATCCCCTTAAGTTTTATGCTAGTGGCTACCTGCCCTTCTCTATTTACTATGGAAATATTGCTCTCTTGAAACCCTCAACTGTGATGACTTCACTAAAGATTGCAGACATCTTCTGGATAACTGCAAACTCATTTTCTCGCCTCAAACTTTCGTTTTATGGAGAGTTGTGTCAATCTGAATTCATTTGTTCAGCTAACTTAGATATTTTGTTGGTGGAACCAGAGTTCAGGAATCTGTAGGCTTGAGCTTTCTGTAAGACAAAGGACATGCCATGTTTTCTTTTGCAATGTGAACTCTTTAAAGTGCATTATTTCCAAGAAATAAATATTTCCATTCAGGCTTGTATCTAACCTGTTGGCATCTTGTTGTGGATTACGATTGAAATTGTCCAGGTCTTTCATGAAATGGTGAATGCTGGAGTTGAACCTAACCTCCATACATATGGGGCGCTAATTGATGGGTGTGCCAGAGCTGGACAAGTGGCTAAGGCATTTGGTGCTTATGGCATAATGAGGTCAAAGGTATTACTAGAAACATTCTCTTTCGTTTTTCAAATTTCAATTAGTTATGAATCAAAGGTATTACTAGTTCATGTTGGTCTCTTTATTTCTTTCAATTGGATCTCGTTTTTTTATTTTTTTACTTACCCTCCTTTACTGAGGTTGTGGTTATGGATGTGCTTGTTACCATCTCAAATGTATCTTTACGCTGATAAGATGTTTTATGCAGTAGAATTTGAAGCCAGATCGAGTTGTCTTCAATGCACTTATCACTGCATGCGGTCAATCAGGAGCGGTGGATCGTGCCTTTGATGTATTATCAGAAATGAAGGCTGAGATACAGCCAATTGATGCTGACCATGTAACTGTTGGTGCATTAATAAAGGCATGTGCAAATGCTGGTCAGGTGTGTATACTTGCTCATTGTTGAAAGAACACATATATATATATCTTGTTTTCCTAAAAATAATGACATGCAGATGTGACAATGATTTTGGTTTAGGTTGATCGGGCAAAGGAAGTATACAACATGCTTGATGAGTATAAAATCAAGGGCACTCCAGAAGTTTATACAATCGCAATTAACTGCTGTAGTGAGAATGGTGATTGGGACTTTGCTCATCGTGTGTGTGAAGACATGTTAAGAAAAGGAATCCTCCCTGATGAGGTACTACTTAAGTTCACATGTTGGTTGAGCCTGAAGAATCAGGGAGATGTTATTAATAATGGTTTAGTATAAATAAGGATGGAAAGTCAATGATGCCTTCTGGAGCTTGTTGAAATCCACCTGGTTAATAGATGAAAAAGCTATGTAGATTTCCACATGCAAGCCGAATGTTATAGGGTTTCTTTCTCATGGTTCTCTCTATTCTTGCAGATGTTTCTAAGTGCATTGGTTGATGTCGCTGGGCATGCGGGAAAAGTCGATTTAGCATTTGAAATCCTGCAGGAGGCAAGAAAGCAAGGATCGAAACTTGGAGTTTTGCCCTATAGCTCTTTGATGGGAGCTTGTAGCAATGTATGTAACTTGTTACAATGCCTTGCTTTATGGTTGGCGAGTATGCTTCTAATGATCCATTTTTGAATTTAGTGGGTCTTTGAATATAAATTCCCCCAGGATGTTATAGAAACTTAAAGATATATATTTCATGCCTATTTCTCGCATACAAGTAGTTTTGCATGCAGAGAAAGAAGCTACCGAAATGGGGATTACAGAAAAGCAATCAATTTGCATTAAGTTCTGCTGCTGCCATCCTATATAACACAAATTCCAAATATTAATTGGAACTTGCTAATGCAGTTGGTTCTGTTCTACTCTCTGTTTCAGGCCAAAAACTGGCGCAGAGCACTGCGCCTATATGATGATATGAAGGCATTCAAACTGAAGCCAACAGTTCCAACCATGAACGCTTTGATCACTGCCTTATGTAAGTCTGAGTAAAATGCTTCTCAATGATAATTTTGTGGCCTCGTTCTATAAGTTATGACTTGTGGGTTTGATAAACAAAAATTATTTAAGTTCATATGTACCCTTCTTGTTAATAATATCTTTATTATTTTGTACAAGAATTTGACACCTCGAGTCTTACGGATGTCCGTAGACTACATGGCAAGTATACTAACAAAAAATATAACATTCAATACTAATAATTCTCAAGTATATTTGCTCTTGGATACTCAGTTTAAAAGTACAAATCATACCAAATTTTAAGAGAAAAATGGCGGTCGGAGTAAGAAAGAATGTTAATCATTCATGATGGAAAGCGTTGTTCGAGGAGAATGACTTAGATAGGAAACTGGAAGTCCGACCAAAACCTGATCAATTTGTCATATGTGACGTGGATAGCAGGACTGTGCAGCATTGGGAATCACATATTTGACGTCAAGTTCTACTTGATATTATTGCCCATCCATTTGAACCAAATTCAGGATCAAAAGCCATAGACAAACTCATAGCATTGATAGTTGGGTGGGATCATGATTTTAACTGCTTTGCTTTTCTGCAGGTGATGGAGGCGAACTGCAAAAGGCTATAGAGGTGCTGACAGAAATGAAGAGCTTTGGCCTGAAGCCAAACAGCATTACATACTGTGTTCTCTTGGTGGCGAGTGAGAGGTAGTATGCTAGCTGCAGCGTAAAGTTCTATGTACATATCTTATATTTGCCTAATTTGTATGGTCGAGGTATTTTGTTTCGTAAAAATATGGCTCGGAGTTTATCAAAACTTATTATTAGTGTTTATTTTATTGACAGAAACGATGATCTTGAGGCTGGCTTGATGCTTCTTTCTGCGGCAAAAAGAGATCATGTTACACCCACCCTGCTCATGTACAAATGCATAATTGGTAAGCTTGAGGGAGCTACTATCTTCGTTTTCCATGTGTCGGCAGCAGTACATCATTGAACCTGAACATTTGCTCTCTTGATCATTATCTATACTTTGTTCAAGGCCTGTGTGTGCGTAGATACGAGAAGTCTTGCATTCTTGGTGAGCCAATCCTGTCCAACACAAGACAACCACAAATAGTAAATCAATGGTATTTCATCCTCTTCTCCTTCAGCCAATCAGTTGAATATACGCTTCTCCTACTCTGTCTTGTAGTTTGGTTTTATAGTTTCTACGGACACATTATATTTGGTTACAATATCACTCTTGAATATTATCCTCTATGAAGAATTTCCCCTATTATTTCCAAACACCTGCTATTTCTTGTTCAGGACGACACATGCCTTAAGGGTATACCGTGAAATGATTATTGCTGGTGAGCAACCAACCATGGACGTTGTTTCACAAATTCTCGGATGCTTGCGCTTCCCTAGTAATCCTTCGGTGAAGGACAGACTTGTAGAAAATCTGGACATAACTGCCGACGACTCAACAAAACATTCTTCTAACCTATGTTCATTGGTCGATGGATATGGAGAGTACGATCCCCGTGCCTTTTCAATTATAGAGGTCAGAAAGCAGCTGATTGGAAGTTTTCTGAGTGCATACTTTCTTATAAATTACAGTAGTCGGATCTATGCGTCTTGACTTGATTGCCATCTACAGGAAGGTGCTTCTTTTGGAATTGTTCCGTGTTTATCTTTCAAAGAAAGTCCAGTTATGGTCGACGCCAAAAAGATGGATACTCGTATTGCTGAGGTGAGCTATTTCGTGCATTTCGCCATATTCAAAAGATAGGACGCTAGCTGGGCTTGCATATTGATTCTGAACAGTGAATCTGAAGGTAGCCTGGGCAAGTGTTTATAGAACCAATACACTGCTTTGGAGTCGTCATACAGTCTTGAGACTTGAGATATATATCATCTTGTATAACATCGCTTTGGGTGTACTATTATACGGTCACTTTTCACAACTTAGTGCAACATATGTGGTTACAGGTATACATATTGGCTGTTTTCAGAGGTCTGAAGCACCGGCTTGCCGCTGGTAAGTGACTATTTGCTTGTTTTGTTTTTTTTCAAGTATTGGAGTATAGCATTCCATCAGCTCTGGAAGTCTCAAGAACAAAACTGATGTAAACTAAACGATAGTTTCTGTGAAGAATGAAGGTTAATTACTTGTGTGCTATTTGAGCTTCTCCTCCCTGGAAAGCACCATCTTTATTTTCCATCTACTATTCTGACATAATTTTCGATTTCCAAACCTTTAGTAACCACTTTGTGCTGACTGGTGGCAATGAAATCTAGTTTATTTACCTTTCCTTCATAATGTTCGTTCTCCAGGTGCCAAGTTGCCCAATGTTACCATTTTACTGCCTACGGAACAGGCAAAAATCTTGATTCCTGAACAGGAGAAGACAATAAAACTTGCTGGAAGGTATGGTCTATGTTTCGCCGCCATTGCCAGACTGCAAGCTAGATTATGAATTTCTGAGGTTTTTGGTTGCTGTCAACGCAGGGTTGCTCAATCAGTTGCGTCGTTGCTGAGAAGGCTTGGAGTGCATTATCAAGGGAATGAATCTTACGGGAAGATCAGAATAAATGGGATCACTTTGAGACGATGGTTTCAACCAAAGCTTGCTTCTCCTGCTTTCACCGAGAAACCTAACGAGTTCCAGCCCAATCTCACTGGACTTTCGTTCCAATCACGAATAGGAAAGGGAATCAGCCATCAGCAGCGCGATATTCGAACCGGCAATCTGTCATTGGACTGAAAACACAGTCCGGACGACCCACTAGAACAGCTCGAATTTCTCATTTGGCAGCATCATTTTGACACCAGAGCTTAGCTACTCCACCTTCTTCAAGAACCATCCCGGATTGGTCTTGTCGCCCATTTTCAGGCCAAATGGTTTTCATCCGTCTTCCTGCAAGAATGCTGGAGTTGTTCAAGTTCCCGCGGCATCAGGCATTGCAATATCATCAGGCTAGTTTCAGTTGTCTTCATTTCCTGCATCTTATAGCTTCGAGAGCCTAGTTTAAAGCGTGGGGAAAAAGAAAGAGAATCCGGAGCATATATAGCGCGATTTGTATAATATATAGTTCTTACATACGCCTGTAGAACACCGGCAACTGAAATAGGTTGTCGATTTTGAAGAGATCTGTTCAGTGTCTGAGCAGGAAACAAAAAAAAAAAAAAAGAAAAAAAAAAAGGAAGAAGAAGAAGCTCTGATAGCATTGTTGGACGAAAAATAAATCCGCTATCAGTTTGTTACAATCGAGACCACCTCCTGGTCATCTTACGATCCCCAGGAAGGCTCAAAAGAATGTAGTGTGTATTGCATTCTAAGTATACTTGTGTACTGTGTGTTTTTCTGTGAGATTGATGATCTTTCAGGATGAAGTGACGACGGCGATGAAGTCGTGCTCGTGACAGGGGATCGTCAGGGCACCTCGCGGCGGATTGTAGCCGAACTCTTCCTCGGCTAGTTGAAGCAGCTCCAGGAACAGAGGGTTGCTGAGAAACGAGATTGGAACTATGAATCTCTTCCTCTCCTCTTGTCCAACGTACACCGCAATGTGTCCTTTGGGAACGCTCCTTGTCTCGCTCTGCCTCACCTTGGCAGAAGACCAAGATCGCGATGATGATGATGACGACGACGAAGATGATGCTGAAGAAGAAGAAGAATTCGAGGACTGTCTCTTCAGAATGTCGAGAATCCCCATTTTTTTCGCGCTGTTGATCTCGTTGTGTCGGCGGAGAACAGGAGGATGAAGCTCTTCCCTTCTGGTGTTAGGAAAGGAGTAGACTTTTTGAGTTGGGATGGAGAGATGGTGATGTGGGAAAAGCTAAAGGAGAAGGAGGAGAGTATTTATATGAAGACAGGGACAGGAGTCGAAGCTTAAGGAAGAAGGGCGCAGTGGTTCATGGGAAGAAGACTTGTAATATAATTCACTATCTGCAGAGACTTCTTCAAACCGCGCAGGAAGGAAGGGATTCAACGGGTGCATGCATGATAATTGATATGGGCATGGCCCCATCTAGGGTCTCCATTCGGGTTCGGTTTTTCGGGTTTACCCAAAACCGACGCGATTAGATACATTTTTGGTTTTCGGGTTCGGGTTTTTCGGTTTCGGGTTCCGTCTGAAAACCTCCAAGGAATAGAACTCAACCCGTATTTCTAGGCATTCGAGTTTCGGTTTTGCTTTAACCGAACCCGAACCCTATAAAGAATTTTTCGGGTTTCGGGTAATCAGAAATCGAAAATCCGTATCGGGTTTAGATTCGGTTTCCAGTTATTTAAATTTTGGGTTTTCGAGTTTTTTTTTCGGGTTTCGGTTTGAGTAACCGAACCCGACCCGAACTGACACCCCTAGCCCCATCCACGATGAAAAAGGAATAACTATAATTTAATCATTATTACCATTGTTAGTTTCCCCAAAGAATGGTTTTAAAAAGGTGCAATTTGGTTCCAAGAAAGCAGGGGAGTGTGGGCCTGGGTTCCTGTGCTTAAGCCCAAATGCTTAAGCATATTGCTTAAGTCATTCTATTGGTTGATAGTGGATTAGGTAATTAATAAGTGGTTAGTAGTTAATAGGTAGTTGAGGATAAATAAGGTTATTATGCAAATATAATTGATATTAATAATTGATTATTCTCTTTCTCTCTCTTCACATAACTTTCTCCATAATCCTCTCTCTACTACAATTATGAGAAAATATGAAATTAATTTAATTATATTTTATTATTTAATAAAATTCAAAATTAATAATTGTTTGTCATTTAAAAATGGAAATTGAAAATTAAAATCTGCTTTCTCACTTCGTGACTACATTTTGCAATGACATTATCAACGCTTATGAAATAGATCATTATTACTATACCTTATAATTATTAACAATTTCAATATACGTATCAATTCTTTACTATTATATTATTAAGAATTTGGGATCAATTGTTATCAACGTTTATGAGCTCCCAAAATGTTTTTATTAATTATTTATTTGACGTGTTTGGAGATTATATTTAACATTGTCAATTTTTCATTAATTAGTAACGTCATGTCATGTGTGCACATATAGTTTTCATTATCAAATGTTTAATAATCGTTATTATCAAATTTTACATGACTTGTTAATAAAACACTTTATGACATTATTAGTTTTGAACTTTAGTAACCTTTAATAAGAACACACTAAATCATTGATAACGACTATATTTAGTTGAAAATAAATATTTGTGTATTCAATAAAAACATAATGTTTTGGTTATTGATGTTTTCGTTATCAATAAATTTTTGTTACATTATTAACGGTTTGTTTCATCTCTATCAACCTAGGAGCTTATGTTTTCCAATTTGGACATCGGGTTTATAAACTTCTTGATAAAGTGTACTATTTGTTTTTATTGTAGTTATCAACGTTTATGAAAAAATGTCAAACAATTACACCATCAACTTTTATTGGTTCATTATAATCAATCCAAGGTACTGTTATCAACTTTTTTGCAATTAATTTTCAATGATATACAAAAACATTATCATCGTCTCAGAAATCATTTTTTGTTGTTTGTTAATGGGTTTAGGCTCATTGTTAACAATCTAATGTAATGTTATCATTGTTGATGTAATGTAAATTGTTATTAACGTAATAAAATATTTAAGGTTATAATCATTATCTATGTTTAATATTTAAGGTTATTAATAAAATATAGTTACATTATCTATGTTTAATATATCATGATATCATATGTTGTTTGTTAATGTATCGTGATATCACGTAGTTGTTACAACTTACAATTTCACTTTCACGTTAAAAACGTTAAGCAACTCCCACCAAAATGTTGTTAAAGTATATCATAACTAATAGTATTAAAATCATTAAAAATCGACCTAAACCATTTATAATTTTCAGTTTCAATGAAATTTTTGGGATGAGAACGTCACGTTTACGTTAAAAACGTTAACAACGTGAAAGTATATCATTACTAATAGTTTCAAAACGTTTAACAGTTAACCTAAAATATTTGCAATTTTGTCATGTACTGTTAATAGTGAACACTGTCGATGTTTGATGTATCATGATATAAGTTGTTGTTTGTTTGTCGAAACGAGTGAGGCGTCTTTGAGAGCCCATTACTAATAGTATCAATAATGATAATGTTGTGAATCAATGATATTGTGAATCATTAGTAAAGATGTTGTAATCAATGATTCATTCATAAACGTTGACGATGAAAATTTATAACGGTAGCGATTGATTCAAAATTGTTAATAATATAATTGTAAAGAGTTGATACTTATATCGTTAATAATGATAAGGTATAATAATAATGATTTATTTCATAAACGTTGATAATGTCATTGTGAATCATTAGTAAAGATGTTGTAATCAATGATTCATTCATAAACGTTGATGATGGAAATTTACAACGGTAACGATTGATTCAAAATTGTTAATAATATAATTGTAAAGAGTTGATACTTATATTGAAATCGTTAATAATGATAAGGTATAATAAAAATGATTTATTTCATAAACGTTGATAATGTCATTGCAAAACGTTAATACTACATTGCAAGTTGTCACGAAATGAGAGAGAATATTTTTAATTTCTAAGAGAAAAAATTATTAAGTTTGAATTTTATTAAATATTAAATATTAAAATTTAATTAAATTAATTTCGAATTTCCTTTTAATTGCATTGGAGAGAGAGGATTATGGAGAAAGTTATGGGAGGAGAGAGAAAGAGAATAATTAATTATTAATATTAATTATATTTGCATAATATCCTTATTTATCTTCAACTACCTATTAACTACTTATCCCTTTATTAACTACCTAATCCACTATCAACCAATAAAATGACTTAAACAAAATGCTTAAATGTATAGGCTTAAGCACCGGATCCTACCCGGGGAGTGTGTCGTACTGCTGCTCAAGTCTGGAAAGTTGAAAAAAGGGGCAGAGCAACCGCCACCGTACACACGGCGGAGAGCAGAATTATTGGCGTCGGCGGGGGGAAACACGTTTTCTCAGTTGCGGGGAAGTTTTCTTTCAAGTTGGTAGTGATGATCATAATAACTGAAATGGGGGCCTGGCTGGCAGAATGGTCAAGGGAAGCTTCGTTTACCTTAGGAAGGGAATGTGTTATATGGTACAGAGAGCCAGCGCCATATCTCTGTGTTCGGTGACTTGTTAATTACTCCAGAGAGGAGAGAAAAAGAAATGAGAGAAAGAAAGAAAGAAGGTTCTTCTGACTTTTGATGGGTTAGTAGAATTCTTCTGTTCAATTCTCTCTCTCAAGTCTCAAGCCAGCCACTGGCAAATGGCAATCAATCCACTTGGCTTTTTTTCCCTTATCCCTGTTTTTGGGTTAGTTCACTACACTCTTTCTCGTCCAGAAATTGATGAACTGTGTTTGCTTACTTTGTTTGTACCGCAGAACTTTTTCAAACAAGTTCGTTGCAACAAGTTGTTTGTTTATTGATTTTTAGTCCTTGGACTAAAAATATTTGTTACGATTATGTTTACCTAATATTTTTGGGTTGATTGACATTAACGTGCGTTTTCCATGGACTTGCTTGCATGCCTCGTGCCATGTACCCAATAGAAATCTAATGTCAGATAACTCGTTTAACTTTGGACATGTAAGCACCATTATTTCCCCCCTTAACGAGAAACATTGAGGAAGAAATAATCAACAAATGAAACACCTCAACTCTAAAACCCCTACACCATAGTTACTACAACAACAACCAAGCCTTAAAAGTCAAAAAGATGCCAACTCTAACAAGGATAAAGTAAGGATTTTTATCTGTCACTTTATGGACAACTCAATTGACAACTCTGGAGATCGCTCTGAACTCTACACCACATGAACCGTAAACGAGATCGGCTAGAGACAATCGCGCATCACACGTATGCCCATGACATCTGATTGTATACCCTTATGGAGCTGACAGATGACAGGTACGAGCCATTCACCTCCCTCTTCTTCATCTTGGCATCAGAACATCGCTAAAAGATACTAGGACGAGATACAACTTTGCAAGTGAATTAAGGTCCTTCTACAACCATATGTTCTAAATGTAAGAATTTAGAAGTCGACAAGCAGGGCGATCCATCTATAACAGTCAGTTCAGTTTTTATTTTTATTTTTTTTAACATAAACAAACGAACAATTGTTAGTCACATAATCAGAGAACCGAATCAACCACGTGCGAAAGTCGACCAATCATCAAACTTCTGACGAGAGAACTTGTTTTTCCCTACAACTCTATTGAAACGCCAAGGCGCAAAGGAACAAGAACAAAAGACTAAGTTACAAGCCAATCGCTGGACATCCTCCAATAATCGGTCGGTTCAGTTGTTAAGCGGGGCTAGTGTATTAGGGCTTGGAAGCGCAGACTTCAAAACTTTGAGGATCTTTTCGTGAAACTGGAATATTACATGGGCTTACACGTTAATTATCCTTAAAATTCCTTAACCAACTTGCTTCACAAGTTTTCCCGCGAAAAAGAACATAAAAACTAAAACCCTTTGTAAAAACTCAATTCCTTCTCGTCTTCTTGAATTCGTGCTGTCAAGGAACTTCGATCAGTTCCACCAACTAACTATGGCCGCCGCTTCGATCTCAAAGCTGCGCTCCATCCTTCTCCGCTCGGTGAAATCCGCCGCCGCCTTCAACTCTGCCGTAGTCTCAGCTCGCTCATTCTCCTCTTCTTCCGTCCCTCGCGCCCTCTTCCGCCCTCTCGCCGCCGCTCACTTCACGAATCCTTCCTTCCCCGCCTCCTCTCGATGCTACGCCACGGAGACGAAAACGTCCTCGCCCGGCGACCTGAGCCCTAATTGGTGGAACAGGCTTCCGATTGGCTTCGATTCCGAGCATTGGCTCGTGGTGATGGAGGAGCCGGAGGGAAACCCTAGGAAGAATACGATCATTAACGACTACATTAAAACCTTAGCTCAGGTGGTCGGCAGGTAATTTGAACTCCGCAATTCCTTGTCAGAATTTCATGTATTTTAATTCGTTATAGAATTTGAATCTGATAGAAGTTCGTTTTTAATCATTGTTAAGGGAAGGTCATATATGATTATGTGTACCAAGTGTGATTTAGGGTTAGGGATTATAGTTGGAGGGTAATGTGAACCTTCTATATGTGTTTGTTACAGCGAGGAGGAAGCGAGGATGAAGATCTATTCGGTTTCGACCAAGCAGAATTTCGCATTTGGGGCACTCGTGTCTGAAGAGCTTTCTAACAAGCTGAGAGGTACTACTCTGACTAGGCTGAGAAGAAGATATGTGTAATGTTGTTTCATTTTCTCGTTTGATGGGTCTTTTCTTTTATGTCTGTGATTGATGGTGGCTTTGGTTGTACAGAGTTGCCCAGAGTCCGTTGGGTTCTCCCTGGCTCATATTTGGACTTGAGGAACAAAGAATATGGAGGTAATTAATAAGAAGACATCTTCTTCCCCCCTTTCATCTTGGTGGGTCACTAAATCTTCCATTTAGAGGTAGGGAGGGTGATGTCTTATCGCGTCGTCACAAAAGTGAGATCCGTCGCATTTATCTACAATTCTAGGAGGCTGGTATCCCGGATTCAACGTTCTGCGCTCCTGCCTACTGCATGCGAATAGGCAGAAGGATCTTGGGGTGTGCTGCCTTGGAGACAGCATGTATAGGGATAGAGGGATGCTAGTTGAATCAGTTTTTATGGGTTGCTACTTGCTAGACATACATTTGGACTTCCAGATGGGCTTGTTGTGCTATTTTGAGAATGTGTAATGATGTCCTTTGAAGCTGCTGCTGATGGTTGGGTTGATTCTCAGTGCCTCTTTCAGCTTACTTCACATATGTTGGATTTATTTAACTCAACTGTAATTGATGTCAAATGCCGATTCCTATCTATATGGTTGGTTAGTTTGCTGTGCTGTTCTTTAAACTCCTCGTCTTCTGCTGCTGTTAATATTCAGGGGAAACATTCACTAATGTGAGGCAGAAGCGTCATAGGCAACAAGAAGAAGAAGCAGAAGAAGAAGATTGGGACTTGAAAAGTGGAAGTAAGACTGGTACTACTTACAAGTGGGGAGGTTTGTTTCTGGATTGGCAATGGGAAGTAAGAGTAAGGCCAGTGTCTACAAATTGATAGTGATCCTAGGGAGTCAAAGCTTGTGCTAGAGATTACAGAGGTTTGTTTTCTTATCGGCCATTCTGATTACTGTGATTACAAGATTTGACGTAAGCACGTGTTCATGTTGTTGGATCGTGATTTTTGTAAATAGTTACAGCATTGTACAAACAAGGTTCTTCTCAGTTTTATGGATTGGATAATATAATTGGTTGACCCTCCAACTTCCTCAGCTTATTATTGGTTCAGTCTAAATGTAGTATGAGCCCATAACTCTTTGTCATTGTCAATGCCAGCCATTACCAGCCACTCTCCCTTTTTGCACATCTTTTTTTTTTCAGTGACTTGAGCTTTATTTCAATGATTGCTCTCCAAGGATTACAGCTAGCTTACACATGAACAGATGATGGGTTTTCTTTCAAGAACATATCCTGAAATTTATTGATGATCAATAGATGATCCATTTCAAGAATTTTCTAAATAAATTGATCGATTCAAGCGGAATAGCTCTAATGAGAAATAAAACTATCCGTTTTTCTGATTCACCTCAAACTTCCCACCATAACAATGTCAAATTCAATAATCATCGCGATTTACCTTGATTTCGACTATACAATGTTTTCTTGGTCAATTAAAAGACTGAATCCATGAACGTATTAACGTTGACACATAAATCAAATCTCCTATCACATGGTCACTGGAGTTTAGTGCTGAGTAATTCGTCTTTTAGCCAAACCCTATAAAACAAAAGCAAATCCGATTCCCCTGACAAACTCTTGTAGTTTATGTGAAAACAGAGCATCTTGGCTCTAGTGCAAACCTGTCATTATTCTCCCATCCTAAATTAGTAAATAATCTTTCAGATGAATGAACGTTAATTATTAAGTATAATATTAATGGCTCTTAATTACTTCACGTTCTCCCTCGCTAATCTCTCATGATCTCAAACACTAAGCATTACTCAAAATTTGGACGGGTCGTCCTCGAAGAAACAAAGCAATAATGTATGCCAATAACATCACAATCGATTGATTAATGCGATTAACTCATCATATTTTCATCCGAAAGTTCGTATCTTTAGGAACTTCATTAGCATATGAGACTTGATAGTTGACAAAATATGAATGTATATAATATAATCACCATCGTATTACATGTGTATAATCATTAATCAATGATAATCTCTCTGTTTCCCTCTACAGTAGCTTTACTTTGATCTACATGAATATGAAAACCAATCAAAATCTCTTGGTCTACATACCATACAGCTAGTTAATTTTGTCTGTAAATTTTGTTTCTAATTACATCATAAAATGAATTGGGATCAAAATGCAGGGGAAGAGATGAGGTGGAGGAAAGAATCTTCATCGCAAGGCAGAGTCAGAGCTCCCATGGAGTGATGGAACCCGAACTCTGCTTCCGCCATGTCGAGCAGCTCTCCGAACATCGGATGGTTCAGGTACGAAATCGGCACCACGAACCTCTTCATTTGGTGATGATCATCGTCACCAGACAAGTAGACCGCAATGTGGCCTTTCGGCACCGCCGCGGCGGCGTGGTGATCGTTTGCTGCTAAGGGGAAGCTGTGCTGAGAGTAGTGCTGCTGCTGCTGATAATAATGGTGGTGGTGGTTTTTCCTCTTCATGATCTTCTTGGCTCCGACCACCATTGATGAAGGCAACAAGCTCCGGATCCCCATTGTTTTCGTTGTTGTTGTGTTTTGGTGTTGAGTTGTAGAGAGCCTCTAGAGGAGCTACTGGTTTTTTGAGTTTTGCAGTGAGTTGAAGGGATGAGATGAGAGAGTTTCTTTCTTCAGTTGGTTGGAAATTTGGGTTTGGGGGAGAGGTATTTATAAATGAGAAGGTGGGGAAGGAAGGATTAAGGAATAGAAGAGTGAAGGTGGGAGGAATGTGCCAATTTATTATAATTATAATTATTTGTGAGTTAATTACCCTTGTGGGTACTTAATCTATACCAATGCATAATATGGTCCTTGCTCTTGTTTCTCATGGACAAACAAGCAAATAACACTCAAGTACACAAATACCATGAGAAAATATATACATTTAGCGAGTTACCGCAGTTTTTTTCTTTTTTTTTTTTTTCTGGCTCTTATGCTATGCACACTTGGTCTCGTTTTCTCCCTTTTCTTTCCATTACTTCTCCTCATTCTTTTTCCCACCAATTGGGGGGGTTTCCGGCTTAGAGACAAATAGCTTTTCAATGAATAAATTTGCAATTTAAAAGGTCTTTGTTGGAATAACTTTTACCCGATGAATACTTCCGTTTGAGTTGTTGGGTTGTTTAACAAGAGTCGAGTACTTTCTTGAAGTGTTTTCTTCTAACTTTGGGGAATTTCTTACTCATCTCTCGATCATATTAATTAAGTAGTCTTCTAAAGAAGATTCACTATGATAAACCATATATTTTTATGAATTGCCTAGGACACTCTTTAGGATAATTATTGTTAACTCTTATAGTTATGGGTATGATGATCGAACTGGAGAATTCTGTTTTTCTTATTTGATTGAGGCAGAAACAAGAACAATCTTTGAAGACCTCAATCTGTCATTTTAATCTAACCGTGATAACTCTATTGTCTTCTTTGATTGTCTAACTTTGATCAATTTTTTTTAAATTGACCAAGTAGTGGTGATACTATGATTTTTCTCTTCTATATAATGCTAATAATCGAATAATTTTTTTTCCAGTCTCTTGTCGTATATGTACAATCACTAACAAGATGGTACACATGAAATGAACTATTGTTTTACTAGGTTATGAATTCTCTTATGAAAATAAGTCCAATCGAAATGTCCTTATCAAAGTTGAAAGTTTCGATTTGAATAAATTCATAACACCTTGTTTATTAGTTTTCAGGATTTGATAGACACGAAACTTGTTGGAGTTGTGATTAGGTTTATTTCTATAACTATATATATTAGTATGTTTTTTTCATGGATGAGTAAGTTGGTACAATGAGCTATTGGAATTGTCTATAATGTTCAGTCTTGAATCTAGACGGTAGTTTGTTGGTTTCCTTATTCGATTTCTCTTAATATCGATCTTGCTTGCAATTATTAGTATACAGAATTTAAAAAAGTTTAATAAGTGTTGCTACAAGTTTAAAAAGTATGGATACAAGTGTAATGGCTATCCGCTATACAGGTGTATTTTTTTGCCTCCTACAAGATTTCAAATACTAAATAAGTTAAAAAGTGTGGCTACAACTGTGTATTTCTCAGAATATTACTATTATTGTCACAAAGTGCGAAGTGATGGGTATGCAGATATGTTTTGTCTTCTTTTTTCCCCGATTGGGTTTTTCCGACCAAGAGACAGTTAGCTTTTCATTGAAGAAATACGCAATTTGAAAGGATTCTGTCGGATTAACTTTTACCTCTGATGAACACTTATGTTCCATTATCTAGGTTGTTTAACATGAGTCAAGTACTTTCTCGAAGTGTTCTCCTCTAACTTAGAGAACCCCTTATCATCTTTTGTACATTTTCTTTTTTGGATTGAGCTATGTGGTTTTTAATATATATTTGTTCTTTGGGGATCAACTTTCTTTTCCTTTGATCCATTATTGATTGATTGCTTTAAGTTGTATTTTCAACAAAGTGTCGAGGGGGGAAAGCACAATGCTAAAAGAATGTTCGTTAATGGTAAAAGTGAGGTAGCAACATTGTTGTATCAACATATGAGAAGAAAATGAAAGGAGAAAGTAAATGACGAATTGTTTGCGGTAAGTTCAATTAGTACTTATTTTTGTTGTTGGCGATCTGAGATGCTTATTAAGTCTGACGGTTTTCTACTTCTAAAAAAGGATGTTCGGGATAATAATTTTTTGTATGATCTCTAACTTATGAATTGTATGTTATGTATGGATGTTTCACATCCTTTATAACATGAAAGTGCCCATCAACAAATCAAAAGATTCATATCACTCTTGTTTTTTATGTGGTCTCCTCTCACCGTATTCATTCATGCAATGATATGTATATCTATAATACCTACACATACACGATTTACATATATATATTTATGGATTGACCTTTTTATATTGTTTTCAGGAAGGGGGTCACTTTCTTTTCCTTTGATCCATTATTGTTTGAATGCTTTTAAGTTGTAGTTCGAACACCTAGTACTTAACACATAGTGTCGAGAGAAAATAAATAGCTTTGATGCAGTTGCATGCTTATTTATGGATGACTAAGTTGATGCAACAATGAGTTTTATGATATGTCTCTACTTTTCGGTTAGTTCTCTCATTTTTACGCTAGTTTGTTACTTTCCTTATTTGAGTTTTCTGGCATTCTCTTGGTAACTTTGATTCACCCTAATTCTTAATCTTGCTTGCATTTATTAGAAGTCGGAATTTGATAGACGTACACAAGTTATATATTTTTCTTGATAGATTGAGCTATATGGTTTTCTTATTTTTTGGGGACAAACTTTCTTTTTCTGATACATCTGATTGACTGCAATTAGTTGCATTTCCATTACCCCGTCCGCCACCAAGACCTACACAAGTAACAATAGCAAACCTAAAAGTACATGTCTTTGGAAAACAAAGCCCAACAATGCGACATCATCCCATCTTCCTCCTGCTCTTCCTCCTCGACTGGCTCTGCAGCCGCCCCAACTTGATCATTCGTCAAGGCCAACTCCTCAAGTATTAGGTTGAACTGTGGATTGTTGGCACCTTCATGAATCTATATGGCAAAAGTGGTGAAGCCTCTGCATCGCGCCACAGGGCCAGCGACTATCACGTCATGCACGTCAGCAACCTTAATGACCCTGTGCACTCTACACTTCTCAGCATCCCTCTGAACCTGTTGTTCAAGGTTCGTCAATCCTAGCATGCCCATCTCAGAATTTCTAGCATCCTCCCATCTGAGTAAGATCCTAGCAAACTTCTACGGGAGATGATTTGTAATGCCACGACAATAAGCCTTTAACATATGAAAAGTCAAAATGATACATTTGATATTACTTAAACTTGACCTTAACCTAAATGGTAAACAACCCACCTTACCCTTGGAGTCCCTATTGACGCATGTCTCGTTGCAGCTTGGACTTGGACGGGTGGGGGAAGTGGGTCTGCAACTTCAACTTGGACAAGTTGCACTGGCAGCTCCATACCAGGTTGAGGGTGTTGCACTGGCAGACTCAATGGATTCTTCTGACCTACAGTAAATCAAGCCAAATCCAAGTAACTATGACATAAATCTAAGTAGGCTCAGTTCGCGGGGAGATTCGCATAAACCATATTCCTTACTTACGTGGTTTTACTTAGCCGGTTGCGATGTTTATACTTTATAGTATGAATCTCGTCATGTTTTGTGTTTGTCATCTAACATATTACAAGATTTTTTTTATTGTGCAATTACTCGATTACTAAATTCTGAAATTGGAATCTTGATTTTCTCTTATTATAAATTATCTATTGGTAGGAGAGGGAAGAAGATGGATACACTAATTAGCTAAATCAAAATAAACCAACAAACGTAACTAAGAAATTATATTCGCATTAAGAAACATGAATGAGGCACAAATTCGTGTGAAGAAGGTTTTGGGAGGAGTTTATTTGCCTATAGTAACTACCGATGTTCTGGCATTTAGTCGAGTACTTGTTGAAAATGTTTTTTCAGCTCAGGGAAATCCCTTACTCATCTCTCAGTTATGTTTAGATAATAATCTTATAAATAAGTCTCATTTTTTTTTTTTGACAAAAGATATCATGTATTGATCAACAAATAGGCAGTTACACCCTGGACAACAGCCAGGCCTGAAAATCATAAAAGCGACTCATAGTCGGGTACAAAGAGAGGGCTTTCCTAGCTACCAAATGAGCTACCCTATTGTTCTCCCGACCTACAAAACGCACACTAAAACCAGGCTGAGTACGCAAATAATGGTCAATCTCTTCCAGAACAGCACCCAACCGGTTATCTCTGAAGTTAAGTCTCATTAGGAAGGATCATATGTTAATGATTCATCGTTGACCATTTTTAAGATCACTATTACTAACTCCTATAGTTGTGTGCATGACGACATGACCGAGATGCTCGTTCTTTCTTGCATGAGTGAGGCAAAAAATGAGAACATATTTTACAGATTTTTTTATTTATTCTCTAAGTTCAATAAAATTTGTGAAAATTAACCCGGATAAATGCTAACCAGGTGAGCTTTGGAACCAATGAATTCTCTCCTAAAAATAAACCCGATCGAAATGTCAGTAAATTAATCTGTTATTAAATGTTGAATCCAATTAATTATCACAAAGCCTATCCTAACAAATACTATATGGAGATTCTTGATCGGAACCCACTTAATCTCCCTTTTCCTGCTACATGCGCAATCCCCGGAAGGATATTTGGGTAAATTTATCTGTCGCTATTAGTTTTACTTGGGCCTATATATCAAAGCATCGGTACAAAGGCCCTTTATATATAACTTATTGATAGGATTAGTAGATTTGAACCCTTTATATAGCTTCCCGTCTACTTTTTAGAACATAATACTTATGGACTTGGGCTTAATTTGTTAGTTCAAATACATTAAAAAGAGATCCATAAATTCAAAACATAATTATCGTTTAAAGCAAAGTGTGTTTGTCACGTGAGTTTCATGTCAATGTAATTTTAGTTTTAGTCATAGTTAGTAAATACTCCGTTTAATACACGTATATGTACCCGTACGTACTTTATGCGTTTAAAACTTCCGTATCCGTATTATTGTTAAGACGTTTCATTTTTTACCGTTCATTTGATGGCTCCCGTACTAAACACGTATAAAACCCGTATAACACGTTTATTATCCGTATTTTATGAATTAAATTGGTAACTTTAATATTATTTATATACTTATTTATTTTTAAAATAATTAATTTTATATATTTATGACTATTAACGTACTATTAAACGTAACTTTAGCTTAAAGACAAAATATAATACCCGTATGTATTTTATACGTAACTTTCCCGTACCGTATTTTACTAACTATGGTTTTAGTTAAGTACATTCTTAATTTAATTACTTAAAATACGTGTACTAAATGTGGTATACATGTTTAATATGTGAAGTATCAACCAAACAGAAAATAAAGAAGCAACTCTATAATAGTATATAGATGAGAACTAAATTACGTAAAAAAAACTATCGTTTCGTAACCTTTTTTATAATGGATGTTTATTTTTACAAAACAATTGTAAATTGTCATTATGGAAGTCTTACGTAATGAACGATCATTTTATATAATGAATATTAACCTCGCGTTATGTAAAGTGCTAAATCATTACAGAAGTTTTACATAACGCTTATGATTTTAGCTGTTATGTGTTAACCATCATTTCGTAAACTGTACGAAATGGATGTATATTTTACCAAACAGTTATAAAGTATCACTATGTTAAAGTAACTATTGTTATCATATTGCGACCGGCCAACGGCCCGGGGTACAATCTAGTTAAAAAAAGGAGAATTATCACAAAGGAAAAGTTCCATGAAGCTCTTGTCAGTTGTCACATGGCAGGCTATATTATTGATTGGTTAGCTCAGCAAAACCGAGTACCGTTTTTCTTTCCTATAACAAATCAATAATTAAAAGAAATCAATAATTAAAAGAAATCTAATTCAAATTAAAAAAACATAATGCATGTACTTTTCTTGATTTTTTCCGAATGAATTATATTTCCTCGGTATTGCATTTATTCTGATCCAGCTAACTTGGATTGGATATATACTAATGATACCAATATTTTTTCTTTTTTAAAGTTTTAATAATACACAAATATACATTTACACACGAAGTCTAATGTATTGCAAACTACAATGAACAAATTATAAAAGGGGGGAAATATTTAAAGGATGGATGATGTCATGCATAGAAAAGAAATATTAACTTGTTAAAAAAAAAGAAGCAATTAAGCGAAGGTTAGAAGATTATACAAATGGTTAAGTAGGAATGTCAACTAATTAGGAAGTACATGATTCCTTCGTTGCCAAGATTGATCTATATTTGATTAATTATTAGTTCACACATACCTTTTTTGTATCGAGAATATTAAGCCTTCCATTTCAAACAAGAAAATGAGGATTCTGGATTTTCCCCCCATAATCAATTTTAGTAGGTTTTAGATTCCATGAGTTTATCGGAACCAATCAAACAATTTGTTATGTCTAAATTCATGCATCTATGGGGTGTGCAATTGATACACCTTTGTTTCAAATCCGGTGAAAGTTAGGTCTCACTTACAAAGAAAAGAAATTTCATATCATAGTCATCTAGTGACGAGTTTGATCGGCTAGCTAGTCTCTACCTGGCTTTTTTCATGTCGTTGTTTTCTTTCTTTAGCGGATTGAATCGATCATCAGAAGAATAATTTTTCTCACTTCGAAAAGATTTTCATAGGAATCGAAATCCACTTGCCGACGAATCCTTATTTCCCCGATGGTTTCGCATATCAATTGGTTTCGAATCACTTTGTCTTGTTACCCTCCTAAAATTTATGTCACATATATACCTAAAATTCACGAGCACTCATTCATCTCATATCTAGGGGTGAACAAACACACCCGCAAACCGACCCACCCGTCCAACCCAACCCACCCGTATTTATCGCTAAATCGAAGGTTTTGGGTTGGGTGAGGGTTTTCTTTTGTACAACCCGCCTTTTTGGGTTGGGTTGGGTTTGGATTTTGGATTACACAACCCGTAGAACCCGACCCAACCCGTGTTCCAATTATTGGTATGAGTTCCTTTCCAAAATAATATTTATGTTGTATATAGTCATACTTATGAGAAAATTAAGATATTTCGCCATGTTTTTCTCTTAAAGTCTCACTAATCTAATGCATTCTTCGACTTAAAGTTTAGCCATATATTTAATATAGCTATGATTCACGTATTTTTTTTCTTGTGTACAATTTTAAAAGAATATCATATTATGGATGCGTTCATTTGTAACCTTTTTAGCCTATTTCAACAAATGTCGTGAAAAAAACTAGACATAAGTTGAAGTAAATCAAGTTTTATTAAAATTCAAACAATATTTGTGAATTTTGATACCTTTCACCTCGGTTTATTCGTTTGAATTTTTAATTTGTTATAAAATATTTTTATGATTTAGAATAATTACATATTTTGTGTTGGGTTGGGTTTTTACTTAAAAATATCGCCAACCCGACCCAACCCAATTATAAACAAACCGTAGGGTTTATATTTTTTTGGGTGGGTTTGGGTTTAATATTTCCCAAACCGTAGTGCATGGGTCGGGTAATTAAAATGCCTAAACCCGGACCACCCGACCCATGTACACCCCTACTCATATCCATTAAAACGCAACATTAGCACGTACCAAATTCGATCTTTATATATATCCATGTATGGAACCAATACAAAATCTTTTTGGTTCACATACACACATAGCTTCGTTTTATTCCGCTAATTACACCATAATCTAATCTAATTAACTCAATAACTATCGATTTACAGAACGGATCAAAACAGGGGAAGAGATGAGATGCAGAAAAGAATCCTCGTCACAAGGCAGAGTCAGAGCTCCCATTGGGTGATTGAACCCAAACTCTGCTTCCGCCATATCCAGCAACTCTCCAAACATCGGATGGTTCACATACGAAATCGGCACCACGAACCTCTTCATCGACGCCGCCGTCTCCTCCTCCTTTCTTCTGCTCTGCTGCTGCTGATGATCATCACCGCCCAATAAGTAAACTGCAATGTGCCCTTTCGGCACCGCGGCGCGGCGACGATGATGATCCTCTGCTTTGGCTGCAGCAGGGGATTGGAAGCTGTGTTGGCAGTGGCGATTCTGTTGTTGATTGCGGCGTTTCCCCTTCATAATTATCTTCCTGGCTCCGACCATCACGGAGGAAGACAACAAGCTGCGGATTCCCATTGTTAATGTTTACACCATAAAATTTGTCTTGTACCACATTGGTGAGTTACAAGATAATTAATGAGTTTATAAGGCCACACCCATTAGAACAATTAATGTTGTTTCAGTTGGGCCTTATGGATATTGATTTTAGGCCCAAGCCACTAAGTCTAAAGAGAGGCCATGCCGCCTCACCAATAAGACCGAAGGAGTGAAAAAATAAACTAAGTCTGGAAGAGGTACATGCCACTTCAAGGAGAAGCACGTGCCACTTCACGAGAAGGGGCATGGACGCAAGAAAAGATAGTAAGTATGAGAGGGCCATGTTGTGTCACGAGAAGGCCATGGACATGAGTAAGAAGTCCATAGCCGTAAGACAAGAAGGCCATGGACATGAGTAAGAAGTCCATGGCCGCGAGTAAGAAGTCCATGGCCGTAAGACAAGAAGGCCATGGACATGAGTAAGAAGTCCATGGCCGCGAGACAAGAAGGCCATGAACATGAGTAAGAAGTCCATGGCCGCGAAGCAAGAAGACCACGACCCCCTTTGTGAGACACCACATGCTCATCAAAAGACTAGCATGACACAAGATTCAGAACAAGACTAGGCGAGGCAAGCTACACTCCAAGACCCACGACGGTTACAAGAGAGGCCCCTAGGCGGTTGAAGGAGTAACCACCACTCCGAGGAAACAGGGAGCGGTTCTTTTTGGGAGTTATCCAATGGGCGGTTTTTTCTACCGAAGAAGGGGGAGCGGTTCTTTGTAGCAGTTATCCAACAAGCGGTTTTCTATGACGGTTACCTCCTCGGGGCTATAAATAAGAGGAGGGGTCGATAGAGACAGGGGTTCCACAACCAAACAACTGACGCCTACGTCAAGTTTTATCCTTTCTCTGCAAATGTAGTCATAGTCGTAGTTTGGAGCTCTCGCTGAACCTCCATAGGAGTAGGAGTAATTTAATTTAGATCTTGTTCCCAAAAACTATCAATCAAACACCCTCGTTCGAACTTTGTTTGAAGAGGTGTGAACCGTGTTTAGAAATCGTTGTCCAAAGAAGTCAAAGGTGCTTCCATTGTGTTCAAACACAAGAAGTTTTCTCGCCGGAAAACAAATTTGGCACACCTGGTGGGACTACTGTGTGTTTGATTCGATGGCTCCTAGGCGAAAGAATCAGGAAAGTGATGCTCCGCCAGGGTTTGTGGAGGATCAAGTGGCCAACATTGAACATGGCCGGTTAGCTGAAGCGGTTTCCGGTGACAATGACGGCGGGGAAGCCTTGCCGCTGCCGGCACCAAACTCCAACGTTGATGTAGTTGCTGCCATTGGGTCACTTCGTCAATTCATGGGGGAAGCTTTGGCTGGCAACACTCTTCAGGTAAATTCTCAAATTGATTGTCTTAACTCCTGTGTAGATAGGCGTTTAAGTCAACTTTTTGAAATTGTAACTAAAAATAGGAATGATTTTGATGAGTTTAGGAGAATTTTGACCACACCAGTGGTACAATCACGAGCTTTGCCAATTGATGGCACAAGTTCAACTCCAAACAATGCAAATTTTTCTCCTGTCGGTGGCCGGAATGGCCAACCACGGCAAGATAACCTACCGCCGCCGGTGACAACCCAACCAACCTCTCACCCCGTGAATCGCGGCGAGATTCCCGCCACCACTCAAGTGGAGGCTTCAGTTAACGTGGGAGTTGGGGAATTTCCCCCACGTGGCGAAAATTTCGCCACTACCTTCAACACCCATGTTGAACAACCGCCATCCATCCCGGTGGCGAGACCCTACGTAGCTCCTCCTAACATGGGTGGGGGAGGAAGGTTAGGTGTTGGGGATCAAGTTCCTCCACGTGCTTACCCAGCACCCATACCACCCCAAGTCCATGGGCATGGTGTGGACCCCATGGGGTTCGTCCCGCCAGGGGGGCAAGGGGGGCATGAGGCCAACACTCTTAGGGATCAGGTGGCTCAACTCCTTACAGAGCAGTTTGGAATGGGAGTAAGACCTACTATGCCACCTGTATACCGTAAGCCGTACCCAGAATGGGTAGATAGACTTTACCCATTTCCAAGGGGATTCAGAGTTCCCGAGTTTGCCACATTCACAGGGACTGGAGATCAGTCCACTGTAGAGCACGTTGGACGTTTCACTGTCCAATGTGGCGATGTAGGAGATTTTGTTAAGTTAAGACTGTTTGGAAACTCGTTGACAGGACCAGCTTTTGCTTGGTACGTCAACTTGCCGTCTAACTCCATCCAGACTTGGCAACAGATGGAACAAGTCTTCCACGCTCAGTTTTACAGATCTGAGCCCGAGGTGTCCATGGCCGACTTGGCACGTATGCGCCAACAACCAGGGGAATCGGTTGAGCATTTCTTGACTAACTTCAAGAATGCCCGTAACCGTTGCTTTGTTAATTTGACGGAGAGGGAGTTCGTCAAGCTGGCGCAAGGGGGTTTGAGTTTTGAACTAAGGAAGAAATTCCAAGATAGGGAGTTCTCTGATTTATTTCAACTCATGTCTTGTGCTATGAGGTATGAGTCTCTTCTACACGAGGAAGAGAATCGTAGGAGTGCATCAAGGGGATCATACTTCCCAAACTTAGACTATACCATCAATCATATTGGCCACGAGGCCAATGAGGTTGAGGTAGACTTGGCTGAGATAACTCCAGGGAAGCCATACACATGTGCTTCTTTGTCTAAAGTGGAAGAGGGACCACAAGGAGGGAGACCCAATCGTGCTCCCATTCAGTCGAGGAAGTACTCCTTTGACGTCTCCAAGGCAGACTTGATTTTTGACCAACTCTATAAGGATGGTCAAGTCAAGTTGACAGGGGGGCATGTCTTTCCCTCACCCGAGAAATTAAAAGGAAAAAAGTATTGTAAGTGGCATAATAGCATGTCACATGCCACTGATGCTTGTATGGTGTTCTGTAATGTCTTGCAGGATGCCATTGAAAAGGGACGTATCAAGTTCCCTGAAGCAAAGAAGGATGCCATGTTGGTGGACACTGATCCGTTCCCCAAGGTGCTTGGCATCAACATGGTCAACCCAGACTTCTCCAAAGTCGAGTTACCACGCTTCAAGCTGGTGTTGGATACAACACCGCCTCAAAAGAGACCCAACGTGGTTTTCGACCAAGGAAGCTCGTCATGTACCAAGCAGGCCAGCCTGGCCGCAATGATGATTGATGAAGTTGAGAATTTGTGTGCTCATTGCAAGAAGAGTTTTAAGGTTGACGAAGAGAAGTCGAGATGTCCATCTAGGGGGAAGGTGGTTTCCAAGAAGCCACATCAACCCAAAGCCTCACATGTTTGTGATAAATATGATAATATGGCTAAGTCTGGACAAGAAAGCATGCCACCAACCACAAACAGTGGACATGGGGGCAAGTCCAACAAGGAAAGACGTGGAAAAGGCAGAAAGAGTTGTCACAGTCTCGCAAATTTTGCTAAGTCTGGACAAGGGAGCATTTCACCCACCATGAAGAATGAAGTAGACAACATCTCCAAGAAGACAAAAGAAATCAAACCCTCACATGGATTTTGTAAGCATGAGATTATGGACAAGGGAGGATTGGGGGGCAAGTCCATGTCAATGAATAGTAAGTACTCGTCACTAACCACAAAGAGTGTACATGGGGGCATGTATAAGAAGTCACCATACACACCAGCCAAACATGGCTGCACAAAGAGTCAATGGTGGTTGAGTGCTAAGTATAGGGGCCAACAAGGTTTATATATTGAAAGACGAAGACAAGGAAGCTACACGAGTGGTTGTCAACTTGTCAAGCCTATACCTGGTCCCCAACATCGTGAGGAGATTAAGCATTTATCAAGTGGGAGGAAATCAAGGCAGAAGAATAATCATGATAGCCTTGACATGTCAAGTAAGGTGGCCCAAGCAAAGAAGCATGAGGCCTCATGCAAGGCCACCAAAACTAGACAGGCTCACTATGTACCACCCATTAGTAAGCTAGAAAATTCAAAGTTAATGTATGAAGATTCATCTCCCATGGAGGAAAAGAGTCATGTGGTCTATGGATGGCATGTCTGGTTTGATCCATGGACTTGGCAATGGGTGTACACCTTTGGTACATTGATTGTTGCCAAAGGCTATGGAGAGCAGTGACATTTGTCACTTCTTGCCATATAAAATAAATAAATTTATATAATGTAATTATTATATATTAGTTATAAAAAATATTGTAGCCAACCATGGCTAAAAGAAAAGATAGAAGGAAAATATCAAAGTGAAAATCTTGAGTCGGAGTTGTTAGACTTCGACATGAAGATCTTGCCACCACGTTATTGTGATGGCTTGACATGACGAGCCATACATCAGGCCATGCCATGCCATGTTATCTTATCCCGAGTAGCCACGACCTTGGGGGGGGGGGCATGATGGCTTGAAAGTGGTAGTAGAGGAGTGGTGACCATAATGTCTCTACCAACATAAAAATGAACATTATTTTTTTTTCTAAGGCAAAAAGTAGACGGCTTGACTTGTCGCGAGGGAGCTGTCTAGCCTTGTGACGAGGTGAGATGAGTCAATCCATGCCAAAATAGGTGCGAAAAATTCCAAGTTATTCTCTCAACCATGTGGCTAAGTACGAGATGTCAATGAGGGTGTAGGTGATAAAGTGAAGTTGGTGTCTCGTTGAATGCATTAGGTGGCTTGACCATTAAAAGCCAAAATTTGGCTAAGGCATGGGATAAGTCGTTGATGGTGAGTTCCATCCGGCCATGTTGGCATGATCATTGAAAGCCAAAATTTGGCTAAGGCATGGAGCAAGCCTCTTTCCACGTTCCTTCGTGCCATCGTGTGTTGACATTGAAAGCCAAAATTTGGCTAAGGCATGGAGCAAGCCGCTTGCCACATTCCCTCTTGCCATCGTGGGTTAACTTGATATCCAAAAATTTGTCTAAGGCATGAGACAAGTTTTGACGTCGAGTACCATCCTACCGTGTTGGCTTGACGTGAAAGCCAAATTTTAGCTAAAGATGAACTAGGTG